ATTTAATAAAGAAGGTTTAGGAACTTGAATTTACCGCTATAGTAGGCTTTAAGCATAAAAGCAAAGGAATTACCTTCTAAGGAAGATATATTGCAATTTTAGAAAGAAATAGGATCTCTATTATACTTAGCCTTATTTACTAGGCTAGATATCTTATATTCTATAATTTCCTGCGCTAGATTCATGCTAAGCCCGACTAGACGTATTTTAAGGCTTTAAATATAATTTAGAAATATTTAAATAAATTCCTAGCCTAAAGATTAAATATAATTGTAATATCCTTTTACCTATCTATATATAAAGGTTTTACTCTAGCTAGGCGTCGGATTTAACGGACGGAAAATCCTTTTCCGGTTACTGTTTTTATATATATAATAATATAATAAGCTAGGCTTGCTCTAAGCAGAAAGCCGTTGCCCTTTCTACCTACGAAGTAGAGTATATTAGCCTTAAGGAGGCAAATAAAGAAGCTGTTTATTTAAATATGCTTTTTAAAAATATTACTAAGGATCTATCTATTAAGATTCCTAATACTATACCTCCTATTTTAACGGATAATACTGCTGCTATTAAATTGCAGAAAATCCGGAATTTTATAAAAGGTCTAAGTATATAAGATTAGCCTATTACTATACTAGAACTAGTATAAGAGAAGGAAATTAGAGTTTTTATATTAAATTAGAAGATAATATAGCTGATATTTTTACGAAGGAATTAAGACCTAGATTACTCTATAAATTTAGAGACGGTCTATCCTTAATATAAGTTCCTAAGCAATTAAAAGGGTTTTAGATATTTCTTATACTTTCTATATCTTTCCCCTACTAGGTTTTTCCTTTTTAGGTTTCCTAGAGAAATATTTACTAGGTTTTTATCTATTAAGATTTTCCTAGCAATAATAGGTTTTACCTTATATAAGGTTATCCTATAAATAATTATTATAACTATAGATTTTTCCTACCATAGGTTTTTCTATTAGTATATACCTAAGGATTTTTTCCTAAGAAAGAATAGGTTTTATATATCCTATTAAGGTATAAGAATGGTTTTCCTATATTAGGTTTTACCCTATATATACTACTATAAATAAATTAGTAAAGAGTATATAAATCTACTCTTTAAGGGAGGCTATAAGGAATAGTGTTCCTACTATAAATAAAGCAGCTATAATATACTCTCCCGATTATATAAGCTAATAAGTAGTATATTAATTATAGATAAAATCTCATCCTATAGAGCAAGAATCGCTCGTTATTTTGCATGTCATTATGCATTAAACGGGTTGCCGGTTATCGTACAATCGGGAATCGAAGGAACAGAGCTAGCTTGGAATACTAGCTAAGACCTCTTAAGAACACCGGCACGACCAACCTCCTCTAAACACGAATATCAGTGGAACCAAGACACTTCTAGATTTACTCGAGGTATCACGGAATTCCCTAGTCTTAGGGCTATACGGCAGCCTAAATCTGGTCCCGAAAGGTTCTTCCGTTCAGCTACAATTATCTATATAAGACAGTATGTCCGCTGGTAGATAGAGATAGAATCATTAACTTCAACACCTCTTCCACACACTAATATACTACCAATAAATTCCGTTGAAAATCCTACCTTATACTCCTTCTTCCCCTCTATCACGTAGTCTTACGTGATTTCTTGATTTCCTAAAATTCCGCTTTTGCTTATATACCTTAAGACTATCTTACGCTTTCTCCTACTCCTATATATTACCGAATATATATATAAGGTTTTAAAAGAAGTCTTATAGGTCGCGTCTACCCTTAAGGCCGCCCTTATCTTAGAATCTAAAGATCCGCTATATCTAAAGCTTTAATAGTATATAAAGGAGTAAATACTATATTATATTATAATAGCTATTTAAGTCTTATTTCTTATTAGTTATAAACTTAATTTATAGCTAGCTAAGGAAGAATTAAATAGACTCTAGCTTACTATTTAAAGTTAGCTAAGGAAGTAGCTTCTATATTAATAGTATCGCCGCTATAACTATTATTATAAAGGTTATATAGGTTAACGCTAGTCTTATAAATAGCTCCTTTAGTATAGCGAGAACCTTATCTTTTTCGCTAGCTATTACGCTTTTAATCGCTTTTAGGATAGCTATAATACTTCCTATCTACTTAAGGGGGGGCGGAGTACTCTTTTAAGGAAGTAGTACTATTTCTAAAAAGATATTTATTAGATCTATTAGTTAATAACTTATACTATTATAAAGTAGGTAGAGGCGTATATATAGGTACTATTTATAATATAATATTAATAAGCTATATAAAGCTTTTTTATACGTAGCTAACCTACTTATATATATATAAGATCCGGCTCTTTATATATAACTACCTAGCTTAAGCTATAGCCTAAGCCTATAACCTATAATATTTAAAGACTCTTATAACTTTAAGTACTTTAATATTATTAATTATAAGTAATAAGCTTTATAGTTATTTTTTTAAAAGGGTATTAATATTATTATTAAATTTATACTAAGGGACCTTTTTAAGTATTAAGGATACTAAGTATTAGTAAAATATACTATAACTAGTAATAAATATAAAGTAATACTTACTATACTTAGTAATAGTCCTCCTATTACTTTAAATAGTTATAAGATATATTATTTAAGTAGTAAGAGTAAAAGGCTTATTTATTATAAAGTAAGTAAAGGTATAGGCTTAAGTATAGTTTATAGAAAGAAGGTTAATAATCTATAAAAGGGAAAAGAAAGAAAAGTATAGGCATAAAGGCTAATTATATATAAGCTTAGCCTAGACCTTAGTCTAGGCTTATATAAGGTAAAGCCTTTTTATTATACCCTTACTTAGCTTTAAAGAGGCGCGACTTTAAATAATACTTAATACTACGCCTAAAGGGATAGAACCCTCGCGCGGACTATATATACTTAGTCGCGGAAAAAGACATTAGTAAATAATATATAATACCCTCCTAAGCGAGCTTCTTAGATAGACTATATTATTAATAAGGGCCGCGCCCTAAGAGCTAGACTTAAGTACTTATAGTTAAGGAGTAAAGGTATATAAAATAGGATATAGCTAGCTTTAGTAAGCTTATAGAATCCCGCCCCTCTATATTAGCGTACGGTAGTAGCTCTTAGTACTATAATATAAGAGATAGTACTCTAGTATATAAGGCTTTACTCCTTTCTATATAGCGCTATATAAATACTTTATTTTACTATAGTTATATTATATTAGCGGCCTTCTTACTTTTTAGCTGCCCTTTTAGTCGCTATAGGTATACGTTCTATTTATATAATAGCTACTACTATATATAAGGGAACGCCTATAAAGCTTATAAAGGTATTACTAAGATTATATATTACTAGTACTCTTCTCGCCATCGGACAGCGGCGCAGAAGCCTATTATCGCTGGCCCAGGCATTGGCAGACGATGTTGACGTGATTGGCATCAACCACTTCTTGGTCAATTACCCTGACAAAGTGACTGCAGATTGGTCTATAGTCCTTGACTTCTATTGCCGGCAGGTAGAAGACATGGTGCAGCAGGCCCCAGAGCTGCCAGTCTGGCTAGGCGGCTGGTCCATGGGCGGCAACATTGCTGTGGCGGTGGCCCAGCGACTGCTGCCATGTCCGCAAATCCAGTCGCAGCTCATCCTTTTCGACTCACTGCCAGGTTATAGTCCTGCGGAGCGTGAAATTAGGGAACTTACCACCGACGTATGGAGCCCATACCACCCAGATAACATCACGTATCGCCAGTTCGCTATGGCCGGCTATTCGCGACGCCGTTATTACCATTATGTCGATTGTCTTTTCGGCCATTTGCACGCCATGCAAGTTGACCATTGTCGCCATCCGCTACTGTTGGTCAAGTGTCTCGAGCCCTTGGGTCAGTATCGTTCAGATGAGCCGGATAACGGCTGGGGAAGGATCGCTGACATTGTCGTGGTGCATGACGTCAACGCTCACCATTATAACTTGATAATTAAGAAAGACGCAATTCAACAAGTGGCTTCAATTGTGCGGCGAGCGCCTGCGCCAAGGGCCTCGCCCTTGAACTATTTGAACAACGTCTCGGTCAAAGTCACCCTATCGGAGGCATCTGTTGTGGGGTATCTTCTTGCAGAGCTGGTTCTTGTGCACAGAATATCAATGATTGCTTGCCGAATTTTGGGCCTGAGAGCCCATTCGACCATCTTATACCAAGAAGAATTCCAACGAGTTGTCGTCACCCCGCAGCCTGACTCACCTGAGACCGTTCATGTTGGTAAGGTAGATATGTGTTCCCAGACGAGAGGACGGTAGTTTTTTGGGGACAAGAGCTACATCAGGAAAAGTTTGATCTCGTCTAGATGAAGTTTCTAGGTCAAGCGAGGTTAACGTCGCAAATGTCACAACGGGGAGGGTATATTTAACGGTCTCAGCTGAGTGTATTGACAACTAGTTGAGCGACTGCAACGAGTATATAAAGCTTCTTCGCTATTACTTTTACTATTAGTTTCTATAATAGCTTTAGTATACTCAATATTTAATGTTAGTAGTTATGGTATGGATTGTCTTTAAAGTACCCCTAATGTTGAATCGAAATATGCTGATGTGCATTGACGTAGTCAGGGTCGAAGTAGGCCGGGAGAGTGCCCCAGATACGAACAGACTTGTTGTACATCTCTCGAATAAAGTCGTACATGACGTTCACAAACATGTTGTAGTCCTTGACTGGCCCCTTGTACTCATCTGCCCCGATAGAAACGGTCTTTGAGTGAAACCAAGGCCGGATCTCGCGCCAGATCATCTTCATGGTCGGCATTATATGTGGATGAGAAATATTCAATAGAATTAGGTCGCTCTCGAGGCTCAGCCGTGGACGCCACTGTACAATCGGCAGCGCGTGTCCAGGGGCCTCAATCTCGGGCAGGATGGTGACTTCGCGGGCCGTGCAGCTCCTCCGGATCTCGTTAAACTCGGCCCTTGTGTAAGACTCGATGCGACGGGTATTCAGTCCCTCTAGATCTTCATAGTCAGACCAAATCGGAACCAGGCGTCTAGCCCAAGCGACTGCTCCCGCGAATAGTTTTTGCTGTTGAATAAATTGTCGCTCAAATGCAGGTGAAAGATGTTTTGCTTGAAAAATGACATGTAGGAGCACATCTCGATGAGAAAGGTCCTGGGATAATAATTTCGAGCAGCGTCGAGCATCATACCGCGCTCGCCCCAGCCAAGCATGTCGTTCGCTGAGCCGTACGGCAGGCCCGGGTCGTCCTCGCGCAGAGCAGCCTGCTGCAAGACGGTCCACGTTCCCCACCAGACAACGAGCGAACTGGCTCCAGTGATAAAGATTCCCGAGCCATTGGTCGTCAGGCTGTAGCCCTCGGACGTCGGCCAGCCGGCAGCATCTGTATAGGCGGACTCATCGCCGAGAGTGAGATATATGCTGCTCTCCCCAGGGCTGTTGCTTTCCTCCACCTCGAGACGAATGCCAAAGACAGCCTCTAAGTCTTGTGAAAATGTGGTTTGCAAAGTCACGCAATGTGGGGGGATCAAGGTGGCTCCGTCTTTATCTCGAGAAGAGGCATGCTGAGCGTCAACTTCGATGCTCCTTATCTTAGATAGTTCGAATACGTGCGGACCCGACTGACGGAACGGCACCGACGGGGTTCCGAAGAGGTCCGCGTATGCAATACGTGTGTAAGCGTGAAGGTTGAAGGTCGAGCGAGTAAGCGCCGAGCATGGAACAAGGAGATCAAGCCATTCATCTCATTCCTACCATTTTCCTGTCCTCCGAGTAGAGCCGGCGTCGCTGCTATTGCGAAAAGTAGCTTGAGCTTCATCGATGCCGAGTGCTACGTAACCGTGGATGCTTGAGAGTCGATTGTCACCGATATAATATGCTCCGATTAGGACATGAAATAAACATCAGACGAGGATGGATGCGTGCTCCATATTCATGCAACTTGAAAAAGAGCACGACACCTTCGCGTATACACAGCTGCTCAGATACAGAAGCTCATAAAGGCCCATCGTGAGTGAGCGGTAATGATGCCAGGAGCTGTTAGATGTCCGATATAAGCGAATGCGACATTGCCAGCGCTGAGGTCTGCAGGAGCGTCGCCTGAAGCGTCCATCGGCTTCTGGACGGTGTGGAACTTGTGTCAGGATACATCATATTGACTGCTCGATCGGCACTTCAGTCACTCGCATCCCCAGGTCGGATCGGCCTGCGGCGGGGCTGAAGCTGAGGGGTTGTTAAAGTTGTCCCGGATTGGTAAAAAGGATGGTGTGAAGGACACACTGCGTGCAAGGGCAATCGCACAGGTATACTTTGTTCATTCCGCAGAAGACACGAATGCCCCACGCCGGAAGCTCACCCGGCTAAAGGTTCTGATGTCGGGAACTGTGATTTCGTTTGATCGGTAAATCGGCATTCGTGCGAGGTGTTGGACTTGATCTCAAGGAGTCGAGTCCCAGTCTCCGCCAGTCATGACCCTATGTCTGCATGACAGGATCATGCTTTCTCGTCAAATTCTCCAAATCTTCGGTAAGCAGATGTTGACTTCCTTCCAATTGAACTAAAGTATATATGGCGTGGCCAGGCATGAGAGGCACGGGAGTTGATCTACACGCATAGAACAGACGAGTTTAGAGTGCAGAGATGGCGGCCAGATCAAAGCCTCAACCTCGAATTCTACAAATGATCAATCCATTTTATTCCCTAAAGGTGGCGAAATAAAAAGAAGCAAAGATGGCGAGTCTTGGCAAGCCATGAACCAGGGCTGCGTCCTCGGCCATCTCGGGGTAGTTGCGGCTGGCATGGAGCCGAATAGCGACAATGACCCGACGGATAATCGCACAGAAGATGCAATGGGAGAATTAGGGCAGAGTCAAGTCCGCCTCCTCCTACCGCCATTCTATGCTGTGTAACAATAGTTCCCGTTCTTGAGCCAACCTGGCTGCAGCAGATGCGGCACGGCCAGAGGACGACATGTGCATGCAGCAGCACGCAGTCTGCGTCAGTTCTGCACAGAGGTCTGCCGCCTCGTGAACTTCTAGTATGACGAATTGCAACCTCGAAAGATGTGTCATGGCGTTGAATAGGCTGTTGCCCAAAACTCAGTGCCCCGTCAGGCCTCGACGGGTCTTGACTGCTGACGGGAGGGCCGCTGCGTTTTGTCCCATCCAGACATGTCTATCGAATGATCTTCGGCGGACCCCGCCTGGCAAGGCACCCTGTGCCGCCGCCGACTTGTAGGTCCTGACGAATGTCTCGTGCCACCTTAGCAACCAAGCATGTATGCTCACTTAGCCCTAGCATAACGACAAATGGCAAAGTCAAGTGGCAATGTCATACGAGTTGTAACCAGGAGCCAGAGGCTCGGCCTCGGAGTTCATCATGCATTGTGGCTCCTGCACGTACTGGCAGAGAGCGGCCCGAATCCGAGCGGCCGACCCAAGCATTCAAGCAGCTTACGGGGTACTTCGTAATTACTGTACAGCTTCTTAGAGGACCAGGTGGGCTATCAGCCGTGGTACAGACTGAAATCCCACTGTCATGGCCGGGTCGTCGGGCTCAGGGGTCTCAAGCCTCCAAAGCCCCAGCCCCTCCGCCGTTTCGAGGCTTTCATGTCAGCTGCACGGTGCAGCGCAAGAACAGCGGCCGGATGATTCCCCTTTTCCTTCTTGGCCGCCATGGCATAGAAACGTGGGCTGACACCGAGCTTGGTGGCGGGCGGGGGTCAGCGGTCCTCTTTTGCAGGAACGGCGGCTAGGCGGTAGCCATCCTCGTCGGGAAGCAAGTCGGAGGAAGCAAAGGCGCGGATTGACGGAAGAATAGACGAGGCACGGGCCGGGTGGAAACCGTCGGTTGCCGTCACAAGCCAACCAGCGATCAGGAAGTACGTGGTCGGTACGAGGCACCATAAGGCCAGAGCATGCTATTCATAGAATACGAGCCATCGCTCTCGCTGGCCTTGACACGCTTCTCGCCGTATCGACGGGCCGCCGGCGGGTCCCCGGGACGTTGCATACATATCACGAGAGTCCCGCTCCTTGGCTGACGCAGGGTCTCGAGCCTCCCTTTCCAGCCTACTGGCTGTGCCACTTGGGGCTTTTTTTTCCCTCCTCCCATTTGCCCTGATCGAGAACGTCGGGGCGCCTAACGCTTCGCCCTGCCACCCCGTGCTGATTGGGACGCGGATCGAGTGAAAGGCCCCCCCGCGCCCGATACGAGCCGACGGCGGACCAGGTGACCCCGTCAATTGAACCCTCCCCAAGCCTTCACACATTGTCGGACCAACGTGAGCAGAGAGGTCAGGTTGTCGGTCAGCATCCAACGCAAAGGAAGGGCCTCTCCGTTTACGAGGCGCGGTCCACCTTGGCTGACTGCCGATCGGCCCGTGTTGGGAGGTTTCGCCGAAGACAAGCTCGATCTAGATGGGGACTCTCTGGGCGTAAAGGTGGGTTCGTGAATGAGGTCATAGGGATGCGGGAGAGGAACCTTGCCCTCGACTGCCTGCAAGGTCGCCAGACACGGAATGTGACATGACGGTCAGTCAGCCGGGAGTGGTGTGTGCTATGAACTCGAGACGAGCCCGACGTGTATAAGAGCCTCGACCTCTCTCTTCCCCGACGAGCAAGAGAAGCCCTTCATCCGCATCCACGAGCCTCATCTTTCCCAGCATCAACTTGTCCACTCTCTCTCACACACTCACTCTCTCACCACACACAACCGTCGTCATGCAACTCACCAAGACCCTCATTGCCTCCGTCCTCGCCGCCTCGACGGCCGTCGCCGCCCCGGCCCCGAACGGAGTGTCCATGATGGCCGCCGCGCCCGAGTGGACCATCCAGAACATGAAGCGCGTCTGCGACAAGGACGACAAGCTCTGCACCTGGACCTTTGGCATCAACAGCGGTCATGGCGCCGCCACCGCCTGCAAGCTCGCCGTCAAGGCCACCAAGGACGTCCGGGCCTCGCGCGCCAACGGCGGGCCCTCCAACTGCGGCGACTACACCGTCACGTCGGGCTGGAGCGGCCAGTTTGGCCCAGGCAATGGCTTCACCACGCTTTCCGTCGTTGAAAACAAGAAGCGGCAGATCGTGTGGCCCGCCTACACTGACAACCAGGTCAAGGAGGGCAAGGTCGTCCAGCCCGACCAGAGCTACGCTCCTCAGAACCTGCCCAAGGCTTAATGCCCGGAGGGGATTGGTTTATACATGTCACGAGATTCATGGTTTTCCACATATCAAGCGGCCTTGATCATCAGTTAATGCAATGTGGTACACAACAGTCAAGGGGATAGGTGATGCTCAAGCCGGCAATTAATGTATTCCCCAAGGCTGGAGACTAGTATATAATGACTCAAAATATAATTCACCAAACACCTAGAGTTAGGATACGTGATTCGACGTGTTCTTGGGGTGTGACTTTGTGTTTCTAGAGAGGGTTGATTAACAGTCTTTCTCGTTCCAACAGCGGTTGTTGCAAGTGTGCCAACCCGAAAGCAGACATGAAAGCGCAGCTTCGACGATGAGTGGCAGATTCCTATCAACTTGGCAGCAATCCACATTTCCCATCGACGTGCGCCATCAAGCCGCTCGCTCAGTTCGAAGGGTATTTATCCCCAAATGCCCTGTGCCACTCGTCGACAATCTCATTGCCCTTGCCCACCGTAATCATGTCATCTCCCCCCCCGCTCGAGCTTGGTAGAAGCCTCTTGCGTGAACTCGTCGACGCTCAGCATACTGGGATTGTTGTTCTTTTTGTTGCTGTCTGGATCCGACCTCTCGGGATGCAAGTCCGTCGCTACCATCGGGGGAGCAACCTCCACCACCCTGATGTTGGACTTTGCATTCTTGAGTTGCGTGCGGAGATTCATGCTCCAGAAGTGCAGCCACGCCTTGGTGCCGTTGTACACCGGTTTGATGATGGAAAAGGGGACGAAGTCCAGGACGCTCGACACGTTGATAACGACGGCATGGGGCTTGGACTAGAAATGAGGGAGGCGGCTGAGCGTCAGATGCATGGGCTCACGGATGTTGATGTCAATCTCCTGGTCCGCCTCAGGGAGGAAGTCAGAGTCCTTGAGTATCTCCAGCGGCCGCTGCACACCAGCGCCGATGTGTCGTCGTTTAGCAGGTCTTGGGTTCCTGGTCAGGCAGTTTGAGCGGAATCTTGCAACTGGATGCTCGTTGCTTTCTCTTGCCCGTGGTCTCCGGTCCAACAATAGCCAGCAGATACCGGCCCCTCTCCCTTGAGTGACAATTGCAGCCCGGCGTTGAGATGCAAGACGCCATCACTGCCAGTCCAAAACACCCAAGTTTGGTTGGCCTTGTCTCGGCCTGGTCGGTGAAGAGCGGCCACCACGTGCTGAATTCCGGGGTCCATCCACCATTGACCACGAAGAGCGAGGAGAAAGGGGGGTTGTGACTTTGATCGCTACCAGGGAGGCATCAAGACACACTATAGACAACATCATCTCAAGCAGATTTTAAGGCGAACTATTAAGTTGCGTCCACACACTGAGTCGATGGAAGAGTTGGCCGTCAGCAGACGCCCGAGCTTAGGGAGGTGCGCACCTGAAGACCTCCCACAGTCGAAGTACGCATATGCGGACATGGCTCCTGTGCCGTCAGAAGGGAAAGCATCGTGGAACAGTCAACAAGCCCGGCTGGCTGCTGGGCGTTGTAATGGCAACGCGGCGACGCTGCGTTTCGAGGCCCCCATTCCTCGGCACGGTTGTCCACGCTCAAGTTACTGTAGGCAGGTTTGTGACACGTACATGCTTCGCATGTTATGCACGAGGGCGCATGCACAGCTATCTGCATGCGAGGCCGGCCTTGGGCACGCGCACGACTCCCACGGCATGCAGGTCCACGTTGTTCGACAGGCACGGGAGCAGCCGCTCAATCACGGCGAGCGGGTTCCTGGACGAGGCAGCCAAGGGGAGGTTTGGGTCGGGGACATGCGGCACGCCGTCGTGGTAGCACAGCGTAATTTGGAGCCCGTGGGATACGATTGATTGTTCCCGACGGCGCGTGTGGTGACGACAGCCATGTATGGACGTCGGACAGAGCGAAGTGACCGGAATGAAGCCAGATTGGGAACGGGGTTGGTACCTGAGGGACCCCCTTTGATCATCCTGTGCGCCGTTTTTATTCCCCCTGTGTACAAAGTCTACCATACTAAATTCTTGACGTGCTAAGTACTAATAACGATTTTGTCCTTGCCTTATAGCAAGAATACGCTATCGACATTCGCGATGTATAATTCGCGATGTATAAGACGGTAGGGCTCTTAAAATGAGTATAGCGCTTTAAACAGTAAGTTATTTTAAAAGGTTATGTAAAAGTCCTCTTAATAGAGTACTATATGCAGAAGAAGTGGGTCTATATAGGGTAGTCGGTACTTTTAAGTCCTAGCAATTAACGTGGTATATAAGGTCACTAGCTTTAAGGAGCCAATTAGAGCTCTTGACTGCACAGGGAGAATAAAAACGGCGCACAGGATGATTAAAAGGGGTCGACCTGAGGCAGCCAAGGCACCTTCCGGGGCGAGATAGACCTGGAGGTGACTCTGGCGCGGTCGAGGAGTGGCCGGTCGAGGAGGTATACTTGTTGTACTGCCTGCATTGAGTCTGGTGTCAAGGAGCCGGAGCTTCAGCTGCCAAGATACTATCGCAGACTACTGCCTGGTAGTAGACCAAAGTTTGTCTTGCAAGGTTTCAACCATAAAACACGTTTGCGCAGTGCCGGGCAACCAGTTTAGCAACCTGTCGAGTCGCAGACCAAGAGGTGCAAACAGCAGCAAGGCGCCTCCATGTCGGGGCTTGTACCCGATACAGGGGCATCAAGCATCTTTGGTCGCTCTGCCTTGTCACCTACCTACTTACCTTTGTGCGGGGCGGCACTCAGATTCAGGTTCAAGCTCTACGGAGACCTTGACCGACGGTAGCCGGTACTCGTCGGCACCCCGTGAGGCCCGCAGAACATGGCACGAAATGTGGACGAACCGCCGAGTACTGCGACTGCCAGGTAGCTAGGTACGTAGTACTAAGTCATCAAACGCCCGGATCCCCCGCCAATCAGGTGCTTTGGCACCGCTGATGCCAAGCAGGCAATCTATGACGCGCCTGGACGCGATGCCAAGGCGCCTGTTTAGCGCCCACCCCCGGAGCTCCCAAGCTTGAGGTACTTGGAAGACCCTGTGTTTGTAGGCGTCATCAAGGTACTGTACTAGTACTCGATTGGCCCGGGTAGAAGAGACAAAAGAGTGTGGCGCAGCTCCCCTCCGCCGCGGTCCGGAAAAGGCCTGTTGACGACAGGGCCTTTTTCTGTTTAACGTTGCAGTAGCGGCTTCATTAAGCTCACCCTCTTTTCTCCTCGACAGCCTGAGGCTCACCCTCTTTTCTCCTCGACAGCCTGAGGCCTCGCCGTTGCCGTGGTGCTCCCACACGCACGTGCTGAGAGCTTTTCCCTCTTGGCCGCCTGATTCGCCCCGGCTCCACCCATTGTTGATCTCCCTTGCCGTTCCTCACTTGATGGGTCTTGTTGATGGCCCCTGTGGTCAGTGTGTGCGGAGGTGGGTGCTGCATCGGCCAGCGCTTGTTCTCTTTGCCAAGACTTTTCCTCGGCCATTTGTTTGGCATCAGCAGCTCAGCCCCGTTTGCTGGCTTCTTGGCCAAGCACGAACGGGCCCGCCCGCTTTTCATCCTTGTCCGTTTCCATCCCATGTACGGAGTAAGTTACTCCGTACGGATATTAACCATTGCCCTTCTCCGAACCATCAGGTTCATTGCATTGCCCCTTTGGGAACATTCTCCAAGGTACCCTGCCACCGTCCCGACTGACTACTGCACAGTACCTACACCCACCAGCTTCACCTTCCTCCTCGCTAGCCCTCTCCCTCTGCCTCTCTCTCTCTCTCTGCTTCTCTCTCCCCGTCACTCTCTCTCTCCCCCCGTCACTCCCTCTCGCTCCCCAGCTTTCATAACCAAACTCGTGCGGGCCAACAGGCACGACTATCCGCGTTGGTTACCCCACGCACGCGCCTCCCCTCGTCCCGTCCCTCTTTTCGCCCTTTCCATCCATCATCATTCTTTCCCCTCCCTCTCGGGGCTCCAACCAGATTTCTCTCTCTTTGCTTTGCCCCTGGATCTCGTCGGGCCTCTTTAGTTCAGCCATCCTCACACCCGCCCACCTCGTCTGTCGTGACGCTTCGGTTTGCCTTATACTAAAAGATCGACACAGCGGCGCCACGAGTTTGCCCTTCGCTTTTTTTCACCCCGCCTGCGACTTCGCGAATCACGGCACCGAGACGACATCGATACTTGAGCGAGCTTCGTGTTTTCACCCCCAGCGGCCTGGATAGGTGCCTGCTGGTGCCCCGTCCAACTTCCGCTGCCCTCCTCTCCTCGACCACCATGATCTCTTCCCGCCTAACCCCGAGCTTGTCCCAGACATGGCGACTTTTCTTGGCCGGATTTCTGCTCCTATGCGGTGCTGAGGCCCAAGCAGTGTCGCCGTACAAGATCGACACTCGGGGTACGAGCTTCCTGCTTTCTCTCCCAATCATGTTTTTTGACCCTTGGAGAGAGCGCTAACATGGTGTGCGACGTCTGCGCAGACAATATCCTCGAATCCGCCCGCACCCTCGCTTATGACCTGATGCTCTTCTACCCGGGCAACAAGACGGGTGGTATCCCCGGCACTCTGCCCGGCCCGCCCCCTGCTGGTCCCTACTACTGGTGGGAGGGCGGCGCCATGATGGGCACATACATCGACTACTGGCACTTGACGGGTGACTCGAGCTATAACAAAGTCGTCATGGAGGGCATGCTGCACCAGGTTGGCGACAAGGAAAACTTCATGCCCGCCAACCACACGGCTTCGCTCGGCAACGACGACCAAGGCTTTTGGGGCATGTCGGCCATGCTGGCCGCCGAAAACAAGTTTCCCAACCCGCCCGATGACAAGCCTCAGTGGCTTGCCCTGGCCCAGGCCGTGTGGAATACCATGGCCGATCCCAGCCGCCACGACGAGACTTGCAACGGCGGCTTGCGCTGGCAGATTCCCTTTTCCAACGCCGGATACAACTACAAGAATAGTGCTTCGCCCAAGTTTTTGCTTCGAGATGCTCTTGCTGACATGACTCTCCAGCCATCGCCAACGGGTGCTATTTTAATATCGGGGCGCGTCTTGCGCGATACACGCACAACAAGACGTACGCCGAGCACGCCGACCAGACGTGGAACTGGTTATGGGGCACCGGCTACATCGACAACAAGTCTTGGCGAGTCTACGACGGCGCCCATGTCGACCGCAACTGCACCGACATCAACAAGGCCACCTTTTCCTACAACACGGCCGTCATGCTGCAGGGGGCGGCCTTCATGTACAACTTTGTAGGTGACCGTCTTTGCGAGACGTCCCGCCTGGGAGATGACAATGGCTGACGCGAGGCATACTTTAGACCGACGGCGAGAAGAAATGGGCCGATCGCGTCGAGAAGCTCACTGAGGTGATTTTGACCGACTTCTTCCCCAAAAACATTGCCTACGAGGTGCCCTGCGAGATGCGCAAGGGCGCCTGCTCGCCAGACATGCTGTCCTTCAAGGGCTACGTCCACCGCTGGCTGGCCGTCGTGACGCAGATTGCGCCCTTTACCAAGCCAAAGATCCTGCCGACGTTGCAAAAGTCGGCCGAGGCAGGCGTCAAGCAGTGCACGGGCGGAGCGTCGGGCCGCCAGTGCGGCTTCTACTGGAGCGACGGCACCTTTACGGACCCGGGCGTCGACAAGACGTCGGGCGCGGGCGAGGCCATGAACGTGCTGGCGGCCGTGTCGAGTCTGCTCATTGAGCAAGCAACCCCCCCCGTTACCAATTCCACGGGCGGTATCTCCAAGGGCAACGTCAATGCCGGCGGCGGCCGCGACAACGGCGGCGAGGAGTTGCGGCCTATTACGGGAGGCGACCGCGCGGGTGCTGGCATCCTGACCTTTTTGCTCTTGGGCAGCGCCGTCGGCACCTTTGTGTGGATGAGCGTGCTCGGGTAGATGGTGGCAGGCAAAAGAGAGTTGACATTGGGAAAGGCGTTGTCGGCGTTGAGCGATTGGGTCTTTTCTTTCTTTTTCCTTTTCTTTTTCTTTTTCTTCACCTTCTTGTGGTCTCTCACACTGTGATTTGGTCGAGATGAGTGTCCGCCAATTTTAAATTTTTTGCATGCGGCTGGGCAGGGCAGGCCCTATTTATATTAGTTACGAGAGACGCAAAGAAAAAGGGCAGAAGACTGGGACGAAGATGGGAGAGAAGGTGCATGGATTCAGCGTTGACGCTTCATGCCAGACCGGTTCACCACGATGATGTGGACGGGCCAGTGGTGGTGCTCGTCGTGGGCTTGGCGACATTTCAAACGATTGTATGCATGTCTGGATAGATATTGTGCCTGGCTCGGTATGTAGAATAGCGGACACTGCGTTGATGAGTCCGAATAGCACATGGGACGAGTGGATTCAGAGAACGAGACTCCATGGAAGCTGTCGTTGAGAGCGAGCGGGCAAATACACCCGAATCTACGGAACTTGCTACACGTAGCCGGGCCCTGTACGTTGATCCAAGACCCAGGGGCATTTTCAACGCTGGGGAAGCATATGGAAAGGTCATTGTATTTATTCTTTGACCACATAGGATCAAATTCCTTACCACGGATCATGAAGGATAGGTGCAGGGTAAGGGTAGGCTTGCGAGGCGTGATCAAAACTGGTGAGAAGAGTGGCTGATGGAATTGGTCTAAGAGGGTGGAAGAATTAGAAGGCCACCACCACTCTTATTCGCATTGCAAAGGAGGGAACGGGATTAAACAAAGTTAGCAAAAAGCGAGCCCGATGGTTCCCTGACAGCCCCGACAGAGACAGGATTCGAACCTGCGAGGGCGAACCCACATGATTTCTAGTCATGCCCTTTGGACCACTCAGGCACTCTGTCTATTGGCTGTTGGATGGTGGAATCGTGGAGCAGAATACAAATATGAGGGCATCGTCGTGCCAAGTGCTTTGTACAGTACCGAGTACTCTGTACCTGCTCGGAGAATGGCGGCCGAATGAGGCTTAGCCTGATCTGCTGCCAGGCCTGCAGGGAGGTGTTGCGGATCCTTGTTCAGCCAATGGCGCAGCTTCTGATATTTCCCAACTCTGGCAGGCAACAGACAGACACTCCAAAGTCGACATTTTGCGAGGCCAGCAGAAGCAGAGGCGGCAACAGCAGCAGCAACAGCAGAATCAACTTCTGCAGCGGCGGGCGCGCCAAAGAGAAGCGAAGATGCCGCGCGCCGTGCTTCTTTCGAGCGGCGACGAGTCCGGCGACGGCGCACCTGGTGAGCATCAGCTCTTCGAAGACCAGAGCTCCGGCTCGTCATCGAACGGCAGCGACAGCGGCGACGATGACGACGACGACGATTCTCACAATGGTCGCCGCTCCGGTTTCTTCGACGTCGAGGCGGAGGAGTCCGACGGCGACGCCAGCCACGACAGTTCACACGCCGAATCCGATCTCGACACCACGCCTGGCCGGCCGTCCAGCCGTCGCACCTTTGCGCAGTTTATGCAGCTGCCACCCGAGCTTCGCAGTCGCGTCTGGGAGCACTTCTGCCCGGACCTCGTCACCAAAGCCCGCTTCCTGCAGTTTGTCCTGGCTCCAGCCTCGGCTGCGGCGGTGCTGCGGTCTTCTTTATCCGACATGTGGACCGCCAGGGACAAAGTGTACCTCGCAGACCAGACGCAGTCTTTGCGCTGCCTCATGGCCGCCCACCGAGAGTCGCGGGAAATGGGCTTGCGAGTCTTTCCCCACACGCTCGCCATCGATAGCGGCGACGGCGATTGCGATGGGATTGTGTGCTTCAACAAGCATCTCGATGTCATCTTCGTCGACGGCATCGAGCACCTGCACGCAGGCCGTCTATGCCACCTACCGGGTTTCGCCGAAAACATCGTCAATGCTGCCACCGTCGGCTGGATCTCTCCATTCGACGATTGGGGCGGCGCGCGCGTTCGTGCAGCCCTGCGCCTCTTTCCAAATATTCAAAGGCTATACATCTGGCAGAGCGACTATGACCTCAAGAAACGGGACCTTCACTGGGCCGTCTCCGACTGTGTGCATCAATACTTGATGGAAACGTTCGAGAAAGGGATTGGACTGGGCGAGGACACGGAGACCATTGCGTGCTGGCCAGATGTAGATCGCCACCCCGACTTTGCCAAGTTCCAAATCCCCCCCATCCATGTGCGCGGCCGGCCAAAAGAGGTAGACCGGTTGGTACAGAAGCGTGGCGTCCACCTCTGGCCCATCGTCACCTTCGAATTCGGAGCTGGTATGACCCGGTACAAAAAGCTGCTGCAAGTCAAGGACGTACCCTACCCTGATGGCTTTCTCGACAGCTCCGACGAGTCGAGCTCCACGTCGTTTTCCGACATGGACCACGATGAGTATGAGAGCGAGGGCATAGATGACGATGAACTCATCCAAGACTCCTCCTCCGAGGATGACCTGATTTCCGATCAACTTTCCGAAGGGCCTCTTTCCGCCAGAGAGCCGTCGGGCGGCAAATTCTCGAGCCCAGAGCTTGATACTGAAGACGAGATCGCTAGCGGCCCGCCAGAGCCTGAACTGCCAAGGCGGCCGCCGAAGCGCAGAATCGTCACCGACTCTGACGACGACTCGTCCGCGCCCGACGAGCCAAGGGCCAAACGGGCTCGGATATCCCGCCCCGCGGTGGCGGACTCGGACGACGAAACGGACCAAGCCCTGGAACAGCCACGGCGGGACGCGGGGCCACGGAGGCGCACCACAAATATTTCAGAATCAGACTCGGACGGCCACTCTGGCGGCGCAGAGGCTCACCCGGAAGACGGCGCGGGAAGCTCGTCGGACGGCGACTCGGATTCGGATCCACCGCAGCAACGCATGTCCCTAGCAGAGCGGCTGCAGGCTCATCGCGACGCCCATCCCCTCCCGCCGTCCGACGAGGAGGGGTGTTCCACTGAGGACGACGAAGAGGACGAGGATGACGACTCGGCCGACGAGGACGGCGGGTGCCTGGTTGACCGAATGGCCTCCGAGTCGGACGGGGAGGGTGATGAATTCGAAAGGGAGTGGTGATGTCGTGGGCTTGCCCTTGCTTCCCCTCTTACACATACGCGCGTGCAAACAAAGTGAAGATGAGGATGGCGTTTCGGTAGAGGACTATTTGATATCAGGATCTGATGGCATAGATATAGGAGGATCGCAGAACATAATACTCATGGCCGCAAGGCTAGAGCCGGCTAGAAGTACACACGAAAACAAGTCCTGGACTCGACTTTTCCTCGCCGGCGCTGTCACCGTAGTCGAGCCAAACTCCGATCATGCCAAAGGAAAGAGAATCGCATGGATCCAATGATGGGCGCGTGCAGAGATCTATTATTGCTTCTGTCATATGTTTTGTATAGAGCCCGCCACCAGCACAGATACCCAGAAGGCTCGGTATGTTGTCCACGAAGCGGACTAGAGGGTCTTGGTCGCTATCTGGTGAGTGGACGGTTTGGTAGGAAAACTCCAGGATAGCCCGTGTGAACAATCTTGGAGCCATGGCATTGGTATCGCGACCTCACGCTCCCGTACTAGAGCTCGATATGACAATGTGAGCTCCCATAGCCTGGTGCCCGGCTGCTGAGACGCTCAACCGATATTGGCACGAGTCTCTCGTGTAGGATTTCGCGGGGCCGGGGCATGAGCATCTTCCGCTGTTCCCTTGTTGTACCCGTTCCTCCCTGGTCTGCCACCTCTTACTACAGATCAAGTAGTCGCCAAAACGATATCATATAAAGCCTTCTCGAAATTCGACGTAGCCCAAAGATGCGTTGGCTACGGATATAAATCTTGAACACTGACATGTTGAATTGCTCAAGTAGGCCGGGTATAATTTGGTCGTGTTACAGTTGATTGCATGTCTTGAAATCGTCAAGTCAGAATATCAGGTTCCGTTTGTTTCATTGCGCCCACCCCCAAAACAAAGAAGAGAAAGATTGTATCGCGACATAGGAGGGGCCGAGGACGACACGGATCGACCTACCTGATGTGGCACTGTGCGGGACGTGATGCGTCGGAGCAGCAAGCTGGGCTGGACTGACTCACGTCGATCGACGAATGCCCCTGGATGCGAGCCCTATTGGAACATTTCTAGTAGCCGCTGCACGGGCCAGGCGTGGGTGTCGCGGTATCTCTCGACGACGGTGCGGATAGCCTGCCGCTCATACGGGTCGGTGAAGAAGTCGCTGTACACGCCGATGCCAAGGGCGGCCTGGACCAAGGCAGGGGGCGAGGCCGGGTTGCAGAGGGCGACACCGCACAGGTCAAGCAGCAGGACGCGGACCTCGTTTTCGACCTGTCTCCAGTTGGCGCGAGAGGCCACGGGGTTTCTTGAGGAAGTTGTAAGTAAGTGACGTCTCCGGAAAAGGGGGCCTTGGAGGTGTGGCCCGTACCTCAAGGACGGATTCTCGGCGACGAGGACGGCCTTGGCAATGAGGCCCAGCTGGACGCTCGTCACTTCAATGTTTGAGCCGTACCATATCGTCGGGAAGATTTCGCCGCGGGATTTGTCGGCGGCCCGCTGGAACAGGGGACGGAAGTTGATGAGGATGTGCTGCTCGAGGTGCTCTTGCTGCTTGGCCAGGCGCACTGTTGGACGGGGAGAAAGCCTTGGTTAGCACGAGATGCAATGAAGCTCCCCCCAAATCCCCTCTTTTTTCTTCCGGACGATCAGGGGGCTCGGGTGGAAGACGACTCACCCCACTCTTGCTCGCTGCCGCCGCCCCAGTGCCACTTGGCCGTCTGGACGAGGTGCATGACGACCTTGTTCGCCTGGGAGGCGCTGTGCCAAAACTCCGGGGGCAGCATGAGCTGCGGGGCCTCGCGGCGGGTAAACGAGTTGAATATCTCCTGGCGCAGGGCCATCCAGTAGGCGGCCTGCATGAGGCTGCGCTGGCCAAAGGCAGTCTGAGAGGGCAGGCTGCGCAGGACGGCGTCGATGATGGCGAGGAAGTTGACGGACCGATGCATGGGCCCCCCGTGCGCGTCGTCCTCGTGGTCAATCTCCTCGAGCTGACGCAGGATGACGGCCGTGGTGATGATGCTGTCGCGATAGTCGTCGTCCTGGATGTCGTGGAACTGGCGCAGGGCGGGGATGCACTTGAGCATGTACTCAACGGCCGCGTGCTCCGTTAGGTTGGGCAGCAGCTGGCCGTGGTAGAGGATGCCGTGGGGGGTCTTGTACTGCGGCAGCCGGCTGAGGTGGCGAGCGGCCACGGCGAAGATGGCGTCGAGGAGATGGGGGTGCTTGCGGGCGCAGACAGGGACGATGAGCTGGAAGTGGCGGTCCTCGTCGCAAAGGTCAAACTGTTGATGTTAGCAGGTGTATATATATATATATATATATATCAATAGGGGGTATAAGTAGTGTAAGTGAGTGAGTGAGAGGTGCAAGTGTGTAAGTCTCCGCTCACCCAATGCGACATTTCCTCGATAAAGTAACGCAGCAGACAGGCCTCTTGCACATCGCGCAGGGGAAACGGCCGGCAGCTGCCGTCGTCGCCGCCGAGCAGGCCGGGCTGCATGATGATGCTACTCGAAGTCGGCGGCGGCGGCCCCGCAAAGGTGCTGCTGTTGCAGCTGGCGGGCGACCCGTGCTGCTGCAGGTACGATGACGGGCGCGGCGACGACATGAGCCTGGTTGTGGTGGTTGTGCTGCCCTCAGTGCGACTGTGCTCATGGTGGAAGCGAGGCGAGACGTGACTGCTGGGCGACGAGGTGAGGTAGGCGATGGAGGGCATCGTGGTGGCGGGACGCGGCAAGGTGTCGCTGCAGCCGTTATCGAGATCGTACGCCAGCTCGATGGTGACGCTGCGGTCCAAGGGAGGCAGCGGCACGCTCCCGCGGGTGCCCGGCCGCTGGTGGTGGTGGTGGACAGGCCGGCCGTCCAGGGGCGAGCCGCTCGGGGACAGGGCGGGGGAGTCGCGGACGTCGTCGGCGGCGAGGTCGGTCAGGGCCGGTGAGGTCCGGGCGGCAGCGACCCGTTCGCCGCCGCTGTTGGGCGGAGTGTGCTGCTGGTGCCGCCGCTCACGAGGCGCCGTCGCCGTGGCACCGCCGCGCGGATGGAAGCGGACTGGGACGGGTCAGACAAGTGACAAGGAGAGACTTTTGGTATAATCGTGTCCAAATCATGTAGACTCACAGTGTCTGGCCTCGCTGTTGACCCATTTCTGGTCCTTGGCAAAGCTCGCGACGGAGCCGTGCTTGAAGACGGTCCTGCGCGTAGGCCGCGAGCACGGCAGCTGCTTGGACTGACACCGACGGCATTTGGGCTGCTCCTCGTCGCCTGTGGAAGAAAAGAAAGATGTGTCAGTCAGTCCAGCCTCTTTGTTTGTTCTGCGTCTCCTCTGTGGCTGGCCGCGCTGGCCCCATCTCGACTCCGACACATCTTTCCCAAGCCAAGGGCCAAGATCGCCAGGGCTTGACTTGTCCTCGGCTCCCCGCACCAAAAAAATGGCTCCAGGGGGGAGCATTGAAACTGCGCGGTGCCCGCGGTGACGGCGGTGGCCAAGACGACGGCCGGGCTGGCGGGCTGCGGGCGGCAGAAAGGGAGCTTGGCAAAGATGGAACACGGCCAAACGGTGATGGATCAAAATGGGGTGTCGGGAGAAAATAAGGGAGGGACTCACATTTGACGTGCTTCTCTGCGGTGGGAGTCGCGAGGTCAGCAAATGCGCTTCTCGTCAGTTGGGGATGAGAACGAACCTTTGCACTGCAGGCAGGGATGTTTTACCGCGGGCATCGCCTTGGCAAGCGAGTGAGCCAGCTTTTCGACCTTCTCCTCTCGCCTCACCGCGGTGAGCAGAGAGCTATGCGATGCGAGCAGGCGTCGCGGCCGTCTTCCGATCCGAGCCCGCCCCGGAACGAGGCGGCGGCGGCGGCGGGTGTCGGTCGGTTGGCTGGTCCAGCAGCAAGAAACCCTGGAGCAGAGGCACGAGATGGGATGCACACAACGATGCTCCGGCGACGTCTGCAGGCGCTGCTGCACAGCCGTTGGACCCTACCTTAGGGACCCTGCGGGCTGGTTCGGGGCTGAGACAAAGACTCCGGGGCGGGGAAGAACCTCTGCGATGATGTAACAACAATGGGATGGTTGCACAGATCGAGGCAAAGAATCGACAGGGTCCGCGTTGGCGAAGCGAAGGAGGGAGTCGACGATGTCGACGAGGGCCAAGTGGTTGGATGGATGCGCGGGCGAGGATGAGAAATGAAACCGGCCGAGGGCGGGATCCAAATGATTAGGTCAACCTGTTGACTTGCTCGTGGATAGAGGGTGAACGGGCGTAACCTAACGGCGGCCCTGTCCTCGTTTTGGTCTGGATTGGCTCGACGGCGTTTCTCCCGCTTGGTGGTCAGACGCGGGCTGCGTGTCCAAACTCCGAAACGACAACTACTGCTCGAGCATATACCAGTCTCTATGTCTGTGTTGCTTCCATGATCAATACTGATGAGGCTCTTCCTCGACTGCAAAAAATACATCTGCCTTCCGCGTGCATGCACCGGCCGGCAGCTGCTCGCTGCTCCGCCCCCCCGACAACCACCAGCATCGACGATGACGGCCAATTTTCTTCCTTGTCCCTGTTCCTCTGCCTCCCCTTCCTGTCCTCCGGTGGGGACGGAAAACTGGAGTCCATGGTTATGCTCCTGCAGCAGCAAGCGTGGATGGATCTCGGGCTCCGTTCCGGCTGCTACAAACTCAAAAATTACCTCAACCGCCCAATCAATATCAGCCTGCTGACCTCTCGCCCCCCTACTGTCTGCCGACGAGTTGGCACGTCGAGCCAGGTTTTTTGCCGGGTCGCAAGGGAACCCATATCATCGACAACGAGGGTCCTCCTTACCTCTCCGGCCTCATGGCTGAAAGCCCCCCAAGCCTCTTATAACGCCGTGCATTCTATTAATACGCGCGGCTTTTGTCAGGTATCCACGCCACGTGGACCAGTTTGGTGTGGGGGCCAAGGGTGGTGAGCAAGAGGATGGGCTATCGGAGCCTTGCGAGTTGCCGCTGCTCGCCTCTCTTTGACATTGGAGGTTGGATTCCAATGGAGAGAAAGAGAGTTTTGCTGTGTTTGTTGATGCTGCTTCACCCCTGCATCTGGTTCTGTCGATTATATTTTTCTTGGAAAATTAGATGGCGAGTTGTGGTTGTTGAAGTTCATGTAAACACTCGCCCTTTGCTCTAAGCTTGCCATGCTAAACCCCCTAATTACTCACTACACGTTATAATCTGCTTGGGTCCACCATCGAATTGGGTGGGCCACTGCTGTTGACGCCAGCCCTGTGGCTCCCCTCTCTTTCTCACCCGTCGTACGGGGGATCTCGAGGGGTCTCCGTGCTCCCGAGGGGGGCCCGGGAACCTTGAAGGTTCCGACTAAACTGTACGTGCAATAAGCTTTCTGTCCGTGTGGAACCCCCACGATGAAGTGCTAATACGTATGCATGTTATTCCACGAGACGGCATGCCAATTCGTGTGACGGCTCCTTGACTAGTCAACATGACAAGCCTTGTCTCGGCACGTGTAGTCATGCAGAGTAGAGCACTTGCTTTTCTCGTCGGCTGTTTCAGCTCTGGCTCGTGTGACCATTGCAGCGCAACGGCTTCCGCCCGCCACACACTCAATCTCATGCTCACTCAAACTCATAGGTGCTCGTCCGTCCAGGGCCGAGCAGTAGCCGCAGCGTCCGTTCCCGAGGTCTCCCCTCCGTTGAGCACATTTTATCTGCAACAGACAACGTGGGAATTCAGATACGTTCGAGGCCTCCCCCAAACAACCCCCCTCTTCTTTCTCTTTCTCTTGTTCTCTGTCTGCCCCTTTTGCATGATTCGGGAGACGCGGAGCGGCCCACACGTGGTTTCGGGCCTGGCTTCCGGGACTCGCCCCTCTCTCCGCCCCGTTTTCGAGAATTTCCAAGACGCCGTTGCCTGCCGGACAAGCAAGCATCCTTCTCTCTGGCCTTCTATTATCTCCTCTTTTTTCTTCTTCCTCTAGCCTCTCTTGACCTTCCTCCGATGCAGATGGCAGGCCCGACGTGTCTCCACCGGTTAGTGTGGAGTCGGAACTCGTACAAATCTGCCGCGAGGTGCTCTTTGATCGGCATAATCTTAATCTACTCCGCCTCGGCATTTCACTCCCTATCCTTGCCTTGAGCACAAGCAGTTGCCGCATGGCAGCGTCCCGCTGAAAAATGGTGCGTAGCAATCTCCGGCTTGACCCTTGTCAGTTCAATAATGGGGGACCTCTCTCGGGTCCGGGGAATTGCCCGGCATATTGGACCTCTCTCCTGCTCCTGTATGTGTTCACGCCATGCAGAGAGGCCGTTCATTTCGGCAAGACTGCAATGCGACGAGATTGAAATCTCCATGTGCATACACATAAATGATCCCCCGTCTGGTATTGGCATGTAGCGCCTAGTGACTTGATAGACTCCATGACGTTCTCATGGAGCAGCGGGTAAGGAATCTCCGTCTTGAGTTGTGGTTTCTGGCTTCATCTTATGCCGGGAGTCATATGGGGATCCGTCCATGGCGGCGAGGCTAGAAAACTTTCGCCATCGACCTGAGGCCCAGCACTTTTGATTTAAGGGACTCTTTACTAAGAACGAGCATACCGCCGATAACCAGTATCGATATCGACTGCTTTTCGAAAGCTGTGTGCGCTGATGCCTTGGTGCACCCGCCCGGCAGAGCACGAAGCGACACAAATGGTCCGGCAAACGACACTTGCAATCATAATGACCTGTGTTTACTGTCTCATTGTTTGGTACACGTAGCTGCTCAGAGAGCCGAGTGAGGACCGTTGCTCTCTTTCTCCATTCTTGATGGGCTTGGGTCGGTGCCATTGAATGGCCGGCCAAGACTATTAAAAAGTCGAATCTTCATTAAATTGTAGCTGTATGCCGTGAAATAATAGTATTTGTTCGTGTATTACTATGAGCATTTCGCTCTCATCGCATGCGGTCAAAACTGCCCTGATACGGTGTTCTAAAACTTCGCTGGACCAGATGCCGATCGAGATATGATTCCATTACACAACTAACAAGTGGGGTGTTTGTAGTTGTTCGTGTGCCCGGACGCCGCAGGGTTTAGATAAAATGTATAGCCTTGATCAGTGCCGCGTCGGGGTCGACTTTATGACAGAAAATTCAACCTCATCCCATACGCCATATCCCTCCCAGCATGTCAATCACGGGCCATCTAAACGGCATTGTTGCCAGCCTCCATATCGAATGTGTCCATGGACGTTCGGCGACTCCTGACAAACTTTGGCCACGTGTTCGTGAGCACGAGGTATTTGATACTCTTTTCGGCATCGTCAAAGACCGTCTCGTCAAACGACCCGGGGACCTCGCCCCAGAACTGGACACGATCTCCGACAGCACTGCCATCTTCTGACGTAGCCACCACGGCCTTTTCGGACCCCCCGCAGGAGGAGGTGGGAGTGGTGGAAGCCTTCGGAGAAAGTTCAGGCATGTCGAACGGGGTGGCAGGATCAACCTCACACTTGTCGCCGTAGAGGATGCGGGCGGAACTCTCAAAAGTCCCCTCGAGCTTCTTCAGGTCCTGTGAGGAGATGTTGATGGGGAACTCGGCGTCACGAGTACTGATGAAGCCCGCATAGATGCGAAGAGCGCGGTTGAACCGCTCCCGGACGAGTTCTCTAGTCTGTTGGTCTTGCGAACCGTGCGTGCTGTTTCGGGCCGCGGCGGGCAACGAGTTCTTCCACTCGGCGACGCTGGTCAGGAAAGCAATATTTTCTCCAGAAAAGTCCCGCAGAGCGGAGAACTGCTGGAGAGGGCCGGGGTTGCGTTCCAAAACGTGCTCGAGGGCGCTCATGGTCAGGATACTCTCGCCAGAGTCGCTGGTCCTGACGGAAGCGTTGGTCGTCGACTTCCGCCCCGACATCATCGACTCCACCGCCGTGGTGGCCGAGTGGAGGGACTTGGCTCCGTGGCCAGACGCCTTGTTCTTGGCCTCCCAATGCGCAATCGACTCGAGCGTCTCTTGGCGAAGGGCCTGGCTTCGCATTACCTCCCAGCAGGGGAGGAAGACGGTGAAGATTTCCATCATCATAATGGAGACGGCGAGCCTGATAAAGCTCTTGTTAGGCTAATGGAATCCGGGCTGTCGGATGCAAGGGGAAAGCTAGTGCTTACCACTGAGGAGGAACCCAGTACTGGTTGACCGGCGCCATGGCGGGAACGTACAGGGCGATCACCCACATGGGCGTAGCATGGAGACTGGCAGACTGCCGAGGGTGTAAGTGAGGCGTTTTCCATGTCTCGTGCAAGGAATGAACCTACTTTGCAACAGCGCAGGCAACTGTCTGAAACCTCCAGCCTTGCGTGTCGTGGATGCCACGCGCCTTCCAGAGAATATAGGGGGCGACAAGCCAGGCCCAGAAGAATTGCCAAAAGACAGAAGGCCACCTGTTATGACGGTTAGCAAGTGTCATTGGGTGTAAGAGAGGTAAGTGTGTCGCGATATACTTACCATTCCCAGCCCCTGCCCATCGCCATCTTTTGCTCCATCTCGGTACCGTTGACCTCGGTGCCGGCGATGCCCCAAGACCGATGAAACTTGCGGGAAATGACGTACATGAGGATGGTGATGAAAAGCTAAAGTGTGTTTCGTTAGTACAAGGACGCCTGGTCAGTGAAAAGATCTGCATGGCGTACCTGAAACAGCATCCCCAGCCCGACGACAAGGAGAATCTTGGACGTGTAGTCAAGACGGCGGAAGTGACCAAGAATACCGCCAGTGCACCGGGCCTTGGATGGACCTTTAGCCACGCTGCTTCCGTGCTGGGCGTACTTTTTCTGCGCCTTGGCAACATGAAGGAATCGACTGTTGGAGGCGTGGAAAAGGGCGATGCCGAAGGGGAAGTAGATACCCATGACCCAGTACTCAGCCTGCGCGGGCGCCAGGGGACCGATGGTGATGCCGAGCTGGACGGATATCCAATACAAGTGAAGGAGCGTAATGGCCGAGAGCGAGAGATACAGGCCGCGGATCCGGAGCAGGGGCGTGTGGCGGCGTACAATCAGGTACGACATGCCGGCCACGACCAGGACCGTCCACACGCAGGTCAAGCATATGAAGAAGATGCCGGCAGTGGTGAGGACCGGCGCCGGCTCGGGGTCGGCTCGGACGCCGAGATGACGTCCCATGATGAGTGTCGCGGGTTTGCGCCAGGAGCCTTCAGCTCAAGCCGCGCGCGGCTCCCGTGCCGAGATGGATTGGCGTAGAAAATGATAGAATCCGAGGATAGGGTGGACGAGGACGAGAATGAGCGCGTCTCAAGTGCTGGAACTCTTCCCGTATATGTCTTCGCCTATCGGAATCGTAGCCGTGAGAGCACAGGCTGGGCAAATCACGCAACGACAAGCCGGACACTGAACTTATAAAGTAACGAGTGCCTTCGGGAAGAAGCGAGCACGGATCTCGGGGCGGAGAAGGGTCAAAAACAAAAAAAGAAAGCCGGAGAGAGGGAGGGGCTAAGAAAAGAAGGAAAACCGAGAGATGGGATGTCCACGTCGGACCTCACTGGGAACTGGCGATGATGGGAAAAGAACAGGGCGCTCTCGCCACGGATATTGTGCCCTTATTTTCTTGTTCTTTCTATCACCACATGTTAGCGCTTGCCTACCAGCTGCTAAATACAAGAACACATCGTCCGGACATCCGTCCAACCATCCATCCGCCCAGCATCTCTCCCGGCGTCGCGTTGGCCCATGCATGCAGAGTGTCTCTAGCGGGTCACAGCCTCTTTGCCCAATCCCGAGGGGGTCTCGAGCTAGCAAGCACCTCGAGGCGAGAGCCTGGGGTGGCGCCCCGGCACCAACGTGGCCCGGCGCAGGGATGGGGAGTCGGCTGAGGGAGAGAGAATGGAGAATTACAAAGTATGTTGCGTGATGAATGGCGTCAAGGGGCCTGCCCTGTGCCGTGCTTAATGGACCCGGAGATGGCCTTGAAGAGCAGGAGAGCAAACTGAGAACAAAGACAGAAGGCAGCAATAGCACTACCGCAGCAACACAACAGCACCTTCAACGAGGACCACATGCCACGAAGACGCGGAGAAGTAACAGACGACGACACGCCCGTCCCCGCAAAACGAGAGCACGCCGGACCGCTGAGTAACTGAGCTCGTCAGCCAGCGGAGGCGTTCGCTAACCCGCCGCTAGCACCATCCTATTTTTGATGGCCGGCCGCGAATCTTCGGGCTCGCCCGTCTCGCCACCACGCGGCGAGGCGAGGAGCCTGGTTGCTTTGTTTTGATGCGTGTGCAGGGCTGCCATGGGCCCTATTTTAGCCCCTGGTCCCGTCCCGTCGATCCGTCCGTTCGCCCAAGGCTTCTCCGAGCCGACGGGGTCTAAGACTTGGTTAACTAATCAGGGACTTTTACCACGGGCAGGAAGGGGAAAGGAGCGTATCAGAAAGGTTGATGTGTGCTTGGGGGGAGCCGTGAAGCAGCAACCGGGAAATGACTGGTGCGCCGCTCTCTTCGGCATTTCTATTATCTGTCTCGGCCTACTCGCTGCGCTGTGCAGCTATTTCCATGCAGTACACACAGGTCGAGATATGAGTCCTCCGGTTGGTTGGTGGCCCTGCATCGACTGGCTGGGGCCCGGCCCTGGCCGATTATGTTGGTACGCACGGAACGTGAAGCCCTCTACTGGATGTCGAGAGCGACATGATGCCAACAGTCCTATCGCACCGGAAGCTACGAAGTAGAGAGAATGGGTAAAGACTGAGACGTTACGCCGTGGCGCCAGATGGCGCAACTGAAGCCGCCAGACGTCATGACAACTCAACCTTCGTTGCGGCAGAGCAAGTTGCCGAGCCGCGCTCAAGCCTCTTCTTTCCCCAGTGGATCGGCAGAAAAAAAGACGGAATATCCGAGTCTACGTTCGGAAAAGAAAGCATAGGCCAAGGTTCCGCGTTGGCGCACGCCCTGTCAACAAGGGTCAATCCACCCACTCAAACGCCATGATGAATGGCGGCTGAGGCATGTCCGTCGTTGCCTCTTTTCCTCTTCTTTGCTCCCTTCGGCTCCGTCAGTGCCCCTTGCGTGGACGGCAATAGACGAACGTCGCTTCGGCAGGGCCATCAGCTTTACCAAGACAGGTCGCCACCGCTTGATTTCGCTGCTTTCCTGGTGTACTACGTAAGAAGACGTCAGTCTTGGGTTCCCTGGATTTTGTTCCAGGCATCGATGTGCATCCACCAACACTGCATCCATTAATGCACGAAGTCTAATTAGTCCACAAGGCAGCAAGGGCAAGGGGCAAGGGTGGAGCATGCGTGCAAGAGATTGGCGGCAAGTGACCGATCTCTGTTGAAATGACAAGATTGCAGCCCTGTTTGCCTACCACATGGTGGTGGCTGCGTCACTCTCCCCGACCTCTGCCTCCAATCCGCTCTCCCTATGCATCTTGCTCAAGTCTTATCTTCGTGGTGTGCTATCCGTTTGGCATTCTATGTCAAGTAGTAGATGGCATACATGTTCAATAGCTGTATGACATGGCAGAGACCTAATCTGCCGAGTACAGCAGACATGTGAGAAACCTTGGAGGCCAGGGCCCGTCGTGTCTCACACCCTTGGCTGGGCTCTAGTGGGACCACTCCCCCGTCACCTGAATCGCGTCGTTGGTCCAAGGGTTCGAGTCGGGAGTCGTGCTTCGGCTCACATCACCGGCCCAACTATGATGATGCTTGGTTGGAGCCCGGCCTGTCGGGATTAATTACAATGGACTCCGTATAAACTCCGAGACTAGTACCGCGTTCCCCTTCTCCGTTTCTTAAGCAAAGATGCCAAGCGATTGGACGGGAAAAGAAATGACAGGAAAAGAGAACGGCCGCCAGCTGCTCTCGTGGTTGGGTTGGGTAAGTTTTTAAAGCTGCTGCAAAGCACAAGCTTGTCTCTCAGTCCAAGTTATCCAACCAAGTACCCACTCCTCCTTCTCTTGGGCCTCTCGATTCGGGCCAAAGCGACAGGACACTATCAGTCTTGTCCTTGCGGGCTGATTGACCCTGGTAGCTTTACATGTACAGGAGGAAGCCGCTGACCGCGATGCCGTTGGCGTCGAACAGAGCTGCAACCCGCAGCAGCATCGGGCGATCAACGGCCTCAAGTCATATGGCGGTCATCGGTTTCACGAACTTGCTCCCCGCTACTCTTTTCTTTGCCTCTTCACAAGATTTTTACATGTATCCTAAGAAGTCTCGACTCTGCCTCTGCTTCTTTTTCCCTTTCCCGGGCCAAGACGCCGGCGGGCTTTCGGCTGACAGGACGATGACCCGTCCCCAGTCATGAATACTGATGAGGCCAATGTGACTGGCATGTGAGATCCCTCCGCACTATCGTTTGTTACCCCGCCCGTAAGCGATGGCGCCCGGTTCGATGTACGGGTTCTCCTCACCGAGCGCGCAATCTAGCACGTCAGCCTCACATTCCAAAGCCCAGGCTTTGCTCAACCGCCGTTGCTGGCTTTGATGCCCCTGTGCTCGATTCCATCCCTCGAAGACAACCAATCATGAGCCCGCCGTTGCAAACCGTCGTCGTCTCGTCCCAGAACCCCGTCAAGATCGGCGCCGCCCGCGAAGGCTTCTCACGCATGTTCCCCGACCGGAGCTTTGACGTCCGCAGTGTCAGCGTTCCCTCGTGCGTCCCCGACCAACCCTTCTCCGACGACCAGACGCTGCAGGGGGCCCTGAACCGGGCCAGCAACGCGCGCGCCGCCCACCCGGCCGCCGACTTCTGGGTCGGCATCGAGGGCGGCGTTGACGACACTGGCGGCCGTGACGGCCCTATCGAGTCGTTTGCTTGGGTCGTTGTCGCGGGCAGCGACGGCGGCGTTGGCCGGGCGCGCACGGCGGCGTACTACCTGCCCAAGGAGACGGCGAAGCTGCTGCGCGACGGCATGGAGCTGGGCCACGCCGACGACCTGGTTCACGGACGTACAAACTCCAAACATCACAGCGGCTCGGTGGGCATTCTGACCGACGATGCCGTGGACAGGGCGGGATACTACACCCAAGCCGTCATCCTGGCCCTCATCCCTTTCAAGAACCCGAGCCTAACCTTTTCCCTGTAAGAGCAAGGCATGGCGTATTCGTAAGAAGAGGAGACTAAAAGAGGAAAAGAAATGACGAGAAAGGCTAGTGGGAAGAAAAGCATATCAGGTTAAAGAAAGACATGCATTTTACCTCAAGGCCCGACTGCCTGCCGAAGTACATAGTCGAAGCTAGCAAATAAGCAGCCGACGCGAGAGAAAGGGTAGCTTTTCCCGTATGCTCCTCGGAGTTGGGGCCCTGAGGGTGGATCAATCTGTCCAGCTACGGGTGGTTTGGAAGCTCACTAGACTATAATGTATGACGATCGAAATATATATCAATAATCTGGCTGGCAGTGGCTCCTTGGGCAATAGACTAGAACCATGCCCAGACCATCATCTGGCCTAGGCAAGCCAATGTAGCTGCATCAACAACCGCAACAGGTGTTCCATGGCGCAGACGGCACATGATGCCCGAGGCCCGCTTCGTTACACTGGCCCACCAAAGGCTCCATCACCTATCCATAATAATTGGATATTCACAATCCGTGTAACCCAGACACGGCTCGGAGCAGGTGTCAATGTCCATGATACTGCAGCATTTCATCAACGACTTTTCTGCTGATGACACTGATCTCTTGGCTGCGTTCGTTGGCAGACGGCTCAACAATGATACACAGTCGGGTCGTGGAACCGTCTCTCCCAATATTCCGGGAATTGTCGAAACATTTAACCCACTCTTCGGTGAATTTTCAAAGGATTGGCCGGAGCCTGGGCGGAAGATTTGCATATCGGCGCTCCACGGCTTCCTATTGTCCAAGACGAGTATGTATTGCGCGCCGACTCCGGAACGCTTACGCCAGCCCTTTGAGGACATGCCCAGGCAGTCGAATGACCGCGGCTCGGCGCCTTCATCGGTAAGAATCACACGCGCCAGCATTGTTCTTTTCACCAAATAGTTCTAATGCTCTGATAACCTACTCGTGCTAAATGTCCCACAACCGGCTGCTATTTGTTTACCCACATCGTTCGGTGTATGCTTAACATTAACTCTTACGCTTAATACGTATAGGGAACTAATTAGCGTGGCTCGGCAGGGTTGTCAAGACTCCACTTGCCAGCGTTATTGAGGTTATCGGAGCCTGTATCTCTTGACCCTTTGACGTAATAATCCAGTTTCGCCGTCTAAGGGAAACTCACGCTGCAATTATCGTTACCTGGCCGAACGGCTCTAGAACGCTGCCGGATTGCCAAGACTTTCGAGCAGCGGTTGGTGGTGGGAAGTCTTCGAGTGGTCTTTATACAGGTCTTGTTATTTTCCAGGTTCAAGGGGAGACACGCGTTTCCGTGCATGTAGCTAGCATGACTCTTTGATAGAATTCATGCGGATGCTACTGGTACGTCGGTTGCCAGAGTCCATTATAGATGTAGATGGATCGATCTGATCGTAGCAGGCGCCAAAATTTCCTGAAAAAATGGAACAATATCTGCGTTACAGCGGTATAGCTATCCCTTGGCTCGCATGCATAACGATATAATGATTACATCAAGCGCAAATTGCATGCAGGACCTATCTACTGGCCACGAACTCGAACTTATATACTACTAAGAACTCGGCAGCTACCACGCGACGACTCTAGTTGTAGAGATGTAACTGTCAAGCTGGTAAAATACCGCTACACCATGCAAATTGAGGGCACCCCCGATAGAGGTGTTACTAACGCGTATTATAGGCCCTTTCTTATCCTAACAGTAACTCTATAAATGTCACCCTTGCAAAGATGTATAGTCATGGATACTATAGTGCACGCGGCGAGGTAGACTTGCTCTTTATTCTAGGAATCTAAGGCGGCATAATATTCTTTTCTTAACGCGAGGTCGACCTATTCCGGACATATGCTGCGAGTAACCTCGTCCTCTAATCATTTTCACTCAGGGATTATACTTATGTACTGCTTCTTTTTCGTTCGGCCAACGAGCAATAGGGAACTAGGACGATTTGGTCTAATATGCCGCTTTTAAGTGCATTCTCGCTGCTCCTAGTCGTGTAGACAAAGCGTCCCCCTCTCGCTGCATAACAAGGGCCGAGTCGCAGTATCATGCTCGCAATTTTTGAGTGGCTAGGTTTCACGAAAATAAACATGTAATCATTGTACGTGTCAAGCTGGTAAAATACCGCTACACCATGCAAAATGAGGGCACCCCCGATAGAGGTGTTACTAACGCGTATTATAGGCCCTTGTCCTGACAGTACGCAACGCGGAGGACCGAGAACTTTCGGCCTTAACCCCGCTTCGGGGGCTTATGCTCCTTGGCCGTCCACCAGGCTCAGTAAAGCTCCGAACAGTCCGTGGAACACGCCGTGGGAAAGACCCATCAAGGTGGAGACAGCATCATACAATATAGCGAAGGCATAGGACAAATTACTTAGCAAATGCCCACGTCTGCGGAGTCGCAATGTCCGCAGCATCCGGGAATTTGACAGAGTCATGTGGTAAAAAAATAAATGTATATACAAAGAAGGGATTATTGAAGAAAGTTCGTCTTTCGGGCTGTGCTATGAGCCCCACCTCACCTGAGGCTGGTTATAAATATCTCCTTGATGCCGTTTCCTTACTCGTACACGACGAGACGTCTCTAGAGAGTTCTCAGAGGCTCTTCTTGATTGAGTCTTTATAGCTTGTCAGAGTCGTAGCCTGATTATCTCTAGCAAAGACGGCGTCTGTACAGCGAATCGCAAGGGGGGTGTAAAGGAACGTCACGCACGCTCATGTCACTCTAACCGCTCACTCGACTTGCTCTCGGGAAACGAGTACGTTGTGAAAACTATCACCTCTTTACCTCTCGTGCAACGACTAATTACAAAAGGGTGAAGACATTTTACCGCCATCTGCCTCTTTAATCTCCGTTTAGCCATCACCAGACTCTAGAAGCGCTTGTTACTACCGGGGGAAAAGCTTCATCGCACCCATCATGTCCATTCTCTCCCTTTCGCTGCTGGTTCTGGCTGCAATCAGCCCTGCGTACGCAAAAGTGGCGAAGCCAGTAAGCTGCGACCCGCAAAACTACTGCGCCGGCACCGCGTTTGATGCCTCACTGCAAAAAACCCACCTGTGCGGCGATAAACGTCTCGGCCCCGTCGACTTCAAGACCGGCGATGCCCCCAAAGCCGTCTGGAAGACCTACGTCCCCTTCTCCAAGACATGCCCCGGTGCTTTTCTAGGCGAATTTGGCAAGGACCAGTGGTATCGGTATCCTCCGGAAGACGGCTTCAACCTCGATTCTAGCGGCAGGCCCATCAAGGAGAAGAAGACCTTAACCCCGGGAACGCTGGTTGACCGCTTCGGAGGTGAGGGTGGCAAGTTTCTGTCTCCCTGTGGGACGCCATATGAGAAGCGATCGCTACCACCGGCTAGCCTGGCGCCATACCCAGCAGATCCGAGGTAAATTCCTTCGAACCAAACTTGCCGAGAGGAGCAGCCATTCTAATGTGCATTGACTACAGCCATCCGTTCAACTACCGCGTGTACAAGGTGATTAAGGACTTTCCCGTGTCGGCTGGCCCTATTGCGCCTTTCTTTGACCAGCCCGGACTTGGCGTCCAATACAAGCTGAATATCAATGTCTCCATGGCCTTGAAGAAAGGGTACCTCGAGCCACACGCAGCCAGCTGCGACACCGGGAAGGTGGCGAGGAGTCTGAGGGTCCATAGAGTGTTTTGAAAGGAGAGGCCTATTAATTAGTGTACTGTCTGGTAGCTGGCCTACCAAGTACTGGACCTCGAAATGTCCTGGTGGCTGCAGGCGAATAGGACCGCTTCTCGTGTTCTCAATAGCCAGCCTATACGATGGTAGAGGTATTGGACTTTAATTATATCAATATCACCACTTCCTACTTTGAGTACCTGTCAGAGCAGAGAAGGGCTTATAATACGCATTAACATCACCTCCAATGGGGGTGCCCCTATTTTTCATGGTATAGCGGTATTTTACCAGCTTGACAGTACCTGTCCCGGCATCGGGTGGGTATGCCGGGCCGTAGCGGCGCGGGCTGTGCTTCTCCACATCGGGCCCTGGAGACCCCAGGAGAAGTTAAAAAATCCGGTTCCCCCGACGATTCCAGATCAATGCCTGTTCGAAAGACGACGTTTGAAACTCGTCCACATACGAAAAGTCGCTCTCCATTGGATGAAGCGGTAGTGAAACTGACATCGTTCGCCCCCTTCGTTGTCTCGCGCTGGTATCTATTCTACGGGCTCCCCCTGGGTCTGGCAGGGACGAGTATGGCGCTTGCTATCGTCGCCCTTCAAAACTCCCTGAAGCTGAATCCCAGAGACTTTAGTTAGAGCAGGTCCCCCGGCCGCGACGGGAAGCCTCGGAGCGATAAGAGTGCGCGAGGGTTCATCAAGGCAACGCTGTCCCTGCCCGGAGTCTGACCGCTGTGCAGCTTCTTCTGTTTCTCCTTTGGCTTTACTATGACCGGCGGCGACTGGGTCGTCGAGTATCTCGTCGACGTGCGTGGGGGAAACATGTCGCAGATGGGTTGCGTTCCTGTAGGCTTTAACGGCGGCATCCAGCCCGGGAGATTGCTCTTTGCCGAGCTGACCTACCGGTTCGGCGAGCGCCACCCGATTCTCGCCTACAGTCTCGCCGCCATTGTTCTCCAGCTCGTCTTTGGCTGTAAGTCTACAATGTAGCCATGTATCGACATTGTCTGCGGTGTGCTGATGAGCGAGCTCGCCATCTATGAGTGCCCAACATCATTGCCGCCTCGGTCTCCGTGTGCCTCGTCGGCATCTTCACCGGCCCTTTCTTCGCAACAGTAAGTCAGCCGCCACCATCCGGAACTCCTCCTCATCGGCAAGATCGAAGCAACATCGACCTCTCGCAAGCGCGGCCGTATCTAAGGAATCTAGTTGGGCTCGAAACCATTCCCGCATCACCTCCGCTCGCTCGCCCTGGGGCTTGTGCTTCTATTCGCCCAGATTGGGAATCCCTTGTTCCTGAGCATTCATCGTCTCGCAAGCCAGCGTCTCGATGCTCCACCCCACCTTGACAGGTCTTCTCCCCGCGACGGTCATCATTTAGTTCTTCGTCCCGCGTCCCAAGTCCAAGTCATTGTTCAACGGGAGTGCGATGGATTAAGAATAGCGGCGCACCCAGAGAGTGATTCGGGGTTACGCCGGAAAGCCGGGAAGCGGTTTGGCTCAAGGTCACATGGAGTCCCGCGCCTGACAAACACTAGACGCTCGCCGGTTCGCGAAAAGATGATCAATATGGCGTGCATGATTGCTTGAACTGATATTCTAGACATGACATGCAACCAAGGGATTGGGGATTGACACAAATTCCAAGCACCTTCCGTAGACCTTAACCTTGAAGGCGTTATTTGCTTGTATAATCTAGACACTTCGCAAGGAAGTCGACTCCTAATCAACATCTCCATCTATACCGAACTCATACAGGCCCCTACAGCATCAAACATTAGCCAACATCATTCCTTTTCTTCTTCATAGGTTCCAGACGCCAACAAAGTACAACCTCCCACCAAAGCTGGTATTCCGAGACCGTGTCCGTGTTCGTCGGGCATAGCTTAGCAAGGTCAAGGCCAGCTATCGTCATGGTCGAGTTCGCCTCGCTCAAGGCGGTCGTAGGTGTAGTTTCCAAAGACATATTTGGCGTCAGTCATGAAGCAAGCAGTTGGCTCGTCAACGGAGTTGCGTATTCGGGATGTGCGGACTCCAAACGGGCGCCTGTCAGCCATTGACTTCCCTTTGCTTCGGATAAATGCGGCGACCAGAGTCCTCAAACAGGTACAATATTCGGAGCGAGCTGGGAAGATAGGTCAGAATAAACATTTCATGGCCTGCCTTGAATGTCAGTCTCTGCACACTCCGGGGTAGCCGGTGCGTGCTCCAGGACCGGTTCTCTAACAGCGATTCTCTGGCATTAAGGAGACGATTATGACCCTCAACTCGAGAGTAAGCACTGTCAGCACGTCCTCGTGTAAGGCGTGCGGGCAGAAGGGGAAGGAGGAAGACGCAAACGAGACTCGACAGAAAGAAAGAGACGGCATTTAGCATTGTTTAAACTATCCGGCAAATGTGATGAGCACCAAGACCAAGGGGCGAGGCTTAAGAAAGAACTGGGCACAATGAATTTATATATGCAACGTGTGATGTGTAGATTCACCTGATGGAACAGTCATTACATGTAAGTCTTCTCAGCTGCCAATTCCGTCCTCTATATCTTCCGGCCCGCCGTGTGCAGAAGAACGGACTGATATACAAGCATGTCCGTCGGTCTATATGCCTCGTCGGTCTTCCCTCCAACCCGTTGGTCCTCCCTCTCTACACGGCAGCCTGTTCATTCCACCGCCGAGCCTTGGGCAGGTACCGAACCGTGTATGGACAAGAGCTCTTCGGTCCATCCGGATCAGCCGCAACGAACTCGCCATCCTGCAGCGACCCGCGAACATTGAAGTGATACCACACCTCATTAATGGCCCCGCGCCTGCAGCGAAGCGTCACGGGCGCCCCGTGCCGCTCCGACAGCACGTCCTGAATCTCGTCGCGCGAGTACGAGCGCCGGTACGACGGCTCGATGCCCGCGTCGGCGAGCCACTCGTGCGTCGGCAGCGTCTTGAAGAGCCCCACGGCGCGCACAAAGTAGGCGGCCGCCTCCTCGGCCGGGCGGTAGCGCGCGCCGTAGCAGCTGGGCGCGAGGGTGCTGATGCATGTGCCGTGCTTGGCCCACTCGTGTTCCCACAGGGTGTCGTCGGCGCCGCGGTAGGCTTTCCAGTATCGGTCCATGTAGTCGAGCGTCGAGCGTGCGCCGGCGGCCGTGAGCACGTCGCTGAGGTTGGTGTAGACGCGGTCCGTGTCGCAGGCCGTCGGGTAGGAGCCGTCGCAGTTGTCGGGCCAGAGGCCATGGATGGTCCACGAGTCTGTTCATAGATCAGGGCATTGTCTTATTTTCAGCGCTTGCCGCCCCATTTAACCCCTATTCATCTGACCCAGGCTCGATGGAGTTTGATGCTATTGCTGAGATATTCATCATCGGGAGGAGGCCACGACTTGTTACGTACCAGACGGCCCCGTCGGGGGGTGCGTGTCCCAAAACTGCGTCTGGAGCAGCTGACCGGCCGGGATGAAGCAGCAGGTATCGACGACGGCTGACGAGTTGTGGCACGAGAGCGGCGAGTCGCTGGGACACGTCTTGCCGGCCGAGTGGGCCAGAAGAGGCGCGAAGGGGCCGAGGGGATGCATGGTGAGAGGTCCTGCGCGGTGAGCTCGAGAAATGGTTGACGAAACGACTGTCCTTTGATTGGAGGTGATGGAGAAAAGATGCTTCTTTGCCTCACCAGCTTGGAAGACCGTGAGGATGGTCAGGGCCAGACGAGAGTCCCTCCCTTTTAGGGGCGTTGGCGACGGAGCTTCCCAACCACCCACAAACCGAGGTACCTGAGCTCTCCGAGCTATGAATGGAGGAACTCGACCAGCCAGCTAAGGGGTCCGAGTAATCAAACATACACTCCTGATTTTCAAACATACACTCCCGACCTAAGCCCCATTTGGAAGAAGACCCCGCCACCAAAATTTGGCGCGCGCTTTCCCAACGCCCTGGCTTGCCGTGACCATCGCCGCCGCCCACCCGCCCAGCCACCTGCCTTTTGGCCGCCATCTGCATTTTCGCAATCATCAACAATTGAAGCTATCACCACTTGACTCAACACAACAACGCCGCCGCCGCCTACCGCAATAGTCACGTCTAGTCAATCGTCCCGATGAATTCGACCGAAAGCAATACCAACAGTAGCACCGAGGCTATCACGGAGATGTCTTTCGATACGTATGATGAGGCGCTTGAAACACTCAAAGCTACGCAAGAGCTCCTTGGCTACGTCGTAGTCGTTGCAAATAGCAAGAATACCGGCAAGCCTAGGCGCAAGGAAGCCAATATCCGCTGTGAATACAGTGGTCAGTATAGGCCCTGGGACGAGGCAGAGGGTATATACAAGACGTCATCCAAGAAGTCGGGATGTGACTTTCGCTGTTACATCCGCTTCTACCGACGTTGCAATGCATTCAAAGTCACCATCAAGCACGGCTCTCATAACCACGAACCTCTATTTGAGCCAATTGCTAACCCCATCGTCCGTCAACGAAGCCAACGCAAATTCGGCATCGAGCGTCTTCATAGCCTCGTCGAGGGCTTAGCAAGAACGTCAATAACAAGAGCAGGGATATCGTGGATGCTATCCGACAGGAATATCCTGAGCTCCTTATTACCGATTCTGATATACACTTCATCCAGCTGCAACTTCGTGCCTTCCGTTACGGCGCCTCTACATCTACACAGCCTTCCTCGATGTACTCAAAGATGCTAAAGCAAAGGGGAAATCAGCTACTATGCAGTTGACCGTGGCCCTAATGGGAAGGTTTGGAGGTTTTTCTGGACATACGATGACTGTATTGCTGACTGGAAGCGTAACCCCGAGCTCCTTATCATGGATAATACGTATAAGGTCAACCGCTTTAACATGCCGCTTCTACAGATCATTGGCACAACAGGGCTACACAAGAGCTTCAGTGTAGGCTTTGGCCTCACTGCCAAGGAAGACGAAGGCGCGTTCCAATGGATCCTCTCACAGTTGCGTGAGGCTGGTCGGCAGGCTGATATTCCGGACCCGGGCGTTGTGATTACCGACTTTGATACCGCCCTGAAGAACGCCCTTGACTCTATCTTCCCATCAACGCAACAACAAGTGTGCGTTTGGCATATGATGAAGAACGTGATCCTTCACATCAAGAAGAAGTGGGAAGGATCCCTCGATGGCACCGAGATTGGCGGAGATAGGCCAGAACAGGAGACTCGCCTCGCTGCAGCAGCCGCTCTCGACGACCCTATACAGGCAGATAATGCCATTGACGAGGACCGACCTATCGACCGTGCCACTGATTACCAGATTCAACATGCCTCACAACTGGCAGATCAGTGCGTTGAGCAACAAGATGATCGTGAAGATGACGATGGAAACCCAATACTACCCCCGGCTCCAAGGCGGACTTTTGAGCACACAGCTGACGGTATCCGTGATGCCTGGGTTTCAGTCTTTAGGGCTCGCACGGCTGAGGAGTGCAGAGATCAGTGGGATCTACTCTGTATAGAGTTTTCGGATCAGCCAGGTAACCTAGCCTAACTACCCTCCTACTCTAACCTTTTACTAAATAGCTCCTCTTATAGCTCTCGTTAATTACCTCCGTACAACCTACTGGCCATGGCGTGCCCAGTTTTCCACCTACGCTATCCAACAGTACCGAAATTATAACATTACGGTAACTTCCCGTGTGGAGAGCACACATCACGAGTTGAAGTCACGATTACGCAACCGCTTCATTGACCTCCATCAGCTACAAGCACATCAGAGGCTCGTTACCCATCGGCAAAAGAAGCATCGCGAAAGCTTCAATCCGAGTTTGCAAGAGCTAGAGTTGAATGGGCCAAGCAGACGATTATGAAGTCACTGCACCGAAAAATTGGCTGGCAGCCGATGAAACAGATCTTCAGGCAAGTTAGGCTAGCCCGGGCTGAGCTTGCCGATAATCGAGGCATGCCTACGATTTGTACGGGTGCTTTCACGATGCAATGGGGGCTGCCCTGCCGGCATACAATCCGCGATTTGATCCAGGCTGACGCGGCCGCCCTTATACCATTGCATCTTATTGATAACCACTGGCGGGTTTACGGCGTGACTGTAAGTATCTTGCTCCAGCCATAAGTACTATACTAATTTACTAGCAGCCTGAACAACAGCAATATATCGATGCAGACCACGAAGCCGATCCTGACGTTGTCCAGCCTCGCCGGCGTGGAAACAGTAGACGCGAGGTCCTCCACTAGAGGCATCTACGGGCCGGATCCTTAGTGCTTGGGAGCAAGAGGAGCATAGAGCCAACCCAGAGCTCGTATCACGGCCACCAGAGACGCAAAAGAAGAAGAGGAAGGGCACAGGCACCACTATCATGAACAAGAGGTCGAATACACTTGCTTCCGTGAGCAGCCGGGTTGACGATCTTGCCCAGCAGATCGGTGATTTCATCAAGTCACAAGCAGCAGCAACGCCGGTGCTGTTATCACAGGTGCCCTCACTTCCACAGGTGCCGCTGGTGTCACAGGGATACCAAACGACGATGCCCTCACTTCCACAGCCGGCGCCGCCGTCACAGGGATACTATGTGATGCCACCGCCTACACCAATTGTGCCTGTATACGTACAGGCGCCGGCGCCGTCACAGTGGCAAGAACCGCCTCCTCGTCACAGGCACATCACGACGGCTTCATGTGGGCACAGCCGCCGGCACAGTCTCACGAGACGGCTACGGAGCATTTCCAGCAGCTGGGGATCAGAGGACACGGCACCATACAAAACTAGCAGGCAGGCCGGTCACAAATTCGTTCCTTACGTGCCTCGCCCTCCGCCGCGTCGGACGGATCCTTCCTCACAGTCACAGTCACAGTCACAGAGGTAGGCAAAGACCTTCCGCCATTATATGCATATTGTATATATATCGGAAGATCGATCGGGCCGGGCTTATTGATAGCTTCAATTGAATGACTCTAAGGGATGCATCTTCCGGCGTTGGTAATAATTGCAGATAGAATCCATATATGTCAGACAATAGTGTCCCACCTCGCGCACGACAGCGGTTGATCTTTGTGGCATCAGTCAATTGATGAGAATTATCTAAAGAACAAAGGAAAGGAAAAGAATTGGATGCACACATTCGTGCAACAATATATACCCGATCATTGCGGCGAAGCCTGGCGCAGTGGCAGTGATCGAGCATAAGGTTTCAGGAACTGACACGGGCGTGATATGCGACAATATATCTAGGCAGGCAGCCGCGGCAGCGGCGTTGGGAAAGCGCGCGCCAAATTTTGGTGGCGGGGTCTTCTTCCAAATGGGGCTTAGGTCGGGAGTGTATGTTTGAAAATCTGGAGTGTATGTTTGATTACTCAAGGGGTCCAAGCTTTGACGAAACCGCCTTTGCCTCGATCTGGTAGGTGTCGCTGTGGACCGGGTGTCGCTGGTGGACCGGGTGTCAGCTGGGTGCGGGATAGCACCAACGTAGCTGATCGGCGCCCGTGGGCGGGCGACCCTGCGGCGAGATAACAAAGGGGAATGTGGCGCGCTTGTTGTTATCTTCTGGCTCGGCCGAGGCGTGATTTCTGAGCAATCACTCATCCTCTAAGTCGCTTGTTTGTCATGCCCAGGGCCATCAAGGTCGAGCAGCAAGAGACGGGATGGACAAACATACATGAGCGACTTTGTCCAGCCCGCCGCTATCGGAAGATCGGAAGAGAGAAGAAGAGAACCATCGAAAAGTGGCGACAGGGGGCGTTTCAAGCCCATCTCCCCATCGAGCTTGGCGGTGACGCCGTGGTGCCGCCTTTATTCTTGTCTCGCAATATTTGCAATTTAGTACAACGCTGACAGGCTGCTGCTTACTTGGTAGGCGCAGCAAAGACGCGCCAGGCCCAGCAGCGACGTCAGCAGGCCTCCTTGGATCCGCAGAGGTGACGACTCCAGTCCCGTGGACGGGCTCGTGGCCAAGCATTCCACCGTGCACAGCAATGCCAAACCCGGCGTTTGCATCGCTGGCATCCAGTGACCGCATACACCTGTGTGTATCAACACAGCCGGTGGTCGGCAGAGAAGACGTCCAAGAGGTGAGGTTCTCCGAGTACATGGAAGTGCGGCATTTTTATCCCCCGTATGAGTATCTGCACCGAGCCCTGTGAGAGGTGGTTTCAGGCTTGAGTAAAAAATCCAACGATATATTTCCATCGGGAAGAGGTGCGCCAAGTTCCAAAACATAGGCGAACGCGTTCACCAAGCATTGCCAGTAGATGGAGCCGCATCCGGCCGGCCCCGCAAAGCACCGCCTCAACGGCCCGGCGGACAGGCGGGGCCCGGCCGCCGCCATTCCTGATGAATCCAACCGGCCCGCCAGCCCAGTCACAAGTACCAGTCACCCGCACCTTGATCCTCGTCGGTGGCAATCATCCAACTCTTTTACATTTCATTACATTTATCAATCTCGGCTCTGTGGTGCTCGAGATGTCTACCTAGGCTATGCGTGTAGGGCGTAATCAACCCCTGGCCCATGTCATGCCATGCCATGCCATGCCATGCCATGGGCTTGTGAAAGAGGTCGGGAGGCCATGCCTCTCAACAATAGAAACAAAAGGAAACCAGCCTGTTGCGGGTGGTCGAGGGTATCTCTGTTCACCGACCACAAAAACTCCCCCGGTACAGGAAGCCAAGGAGATTCGTCATCGCTCTCTCTAGAAACGCCAAGAGGAAAAGCGAGCTCTTCGCTTCATGCTTGTAGAAAATGGAATAGAAAAAGAGAGCACTCGAACAAAGGAGACATTATAGGGATCGAATGGCCGACCGGTCCTGCGCGTGACGACCGACTTCATGGCGCTGACATCTCGGGCTCAAGGCTCCTCACTCTTGCAGGCCCTCGATCAGCGCATCACGGTCCACCGTCTCGGCCGTCACCTTGGCAGGGGCGCCTTTGCGCCTCTGCGCCGCCCAGTACTGTTGGAAACCCGGAATCGCTCCGGGCTGATTGATTCCGGGAGATCGATTTGCGTCCCCGTCCTTCTCCCTGTATGATAGGGTCGGCGAACTTCCGGGAGTGGGACGCGAGCCCGCTCCCCATGGCCGCCATCCGACCCAGCGGCCAAACGCGCGAGAGCCTCCTTGCGACGCAGGAGAGGGTCCAGGCGATAGGGGTCGGGAGCCGGGACTCGAAACAGTTCGCGGCGTCTGGAAGCCGGCAAAGTGGTCGCGCAGCGCAACATCACTTCGCTTGCCAGACGCCGAGGAAAGCGTCGGCCGGGCCGTGACGCCCGTTACGACGGCATCAGCGCCGCCGAGTCGTCGTAACGTCATCTGGCTCGGCCGAGATTTGAGCGTATGGATATCCAAGCCGCCCGCGAGCGACATGATGGACTCGTGAGACGGAGCGCGCAGCAGTCGCGAATGGACGACCGCATCGTGCTGGAAGTAATCCGGATCATCTGCAACCGAGCTCTCGGGAGAATGCGCCCTCTCCACCACCAACACTGGTGTCTTGCCGTGGCCCTGCGGCAAGGCGTCTTCGTCTTCGTCCTCTTCCTGAATTGTGTCTGATGGAAAGACGTGAACAGCAGGCTGCTTGCCAGGCGGAGTGGTGGGCGCGGTGTCCATGAGCGACATGGATATTGACTGGAAGCTCTTGGACGATGCATTCGAGGGCCTTTTGCTGTGCGAAGCCCGCCAGGTCGGCGACATGGGATCGAAGCTGGTTGTCGGCGACGTCATGAGATCCGAGTCGGCGAAGCTGGTGTCGAACACGGCACTGCCCAGCCCAGACGGCGATGAGCCCGGGGACGAGGACAGATCTGAACAAGGGTTTGACACGCCTCCCCAGCTGTGGCGCGGCTTGGACGATGCTGGCGTTGCGGCGCCCGTCGCAGGCGACACCAAGGCCGGGGCCGCGGGGGAACTGGCGGGGCCCCACTGCGCGGGAGGTCTGGGAGACGCGGGGGAGGCGTAGACGCCGGGCAGCAGGCCCTGCCGCCGCTTCCTCGGTTTTCTCACCTCCTGTTTCTTGGGGGTGCCGGCGACGTGGTAGTGATGGTGTATGTGTAGCTCTTGCGACAGCTTGGGGCTGCCCTGCATCGATCCAAGCTCGGCCTTGAGCGTCCGTGCTTGGCCGGCGTTGTCTTGAGACACGGGCTGGTGGTGCATCAGCTGGTCTCGCAGCGACTGGATCTCGTCGTTGGAGCTGATGAGCATCTCCCTGAGCTCGGCCATGCCCAGCTGTAAGTTGGCGTTGTCTTCCAAGAGGTCGCGTACAAAGTGGCCGACAATCTTGTTTCCGTTGGTCTGTTCCTGAAGCGATTTGCTGGCGGCGGCGCCCTTGAGTCGGCCTGCAGCCACGTCGAGCTGCTTGTCGATGTCGCGCTGACGCTCCATCCTGCCGACCACCTCGGCGTGACGTGCGTTTTCCTGGCGAGCCTCCTCCTCCATGCGCTCGAGTTGGTCCTGCATGTCGAGGATCCCGCGCTGCGCCTCCTTGAAGCGCTGTGCGTGGGTACGAGCATCGTCCTTGGTGGACCGCAGCTCCTGGTATAGTCTGTCCTGTTCCTCTTCGAGGACGGCAATATGGTGCTCTGCGTCGGCGGCCCTGGCGGCGGCAGCCTCGAGGCGGCGGACAGTTTGCTGGGAGGCGAGAAGGCTGGCCTCGAGGGCCTTGATCCTGGTGTCAGAGTCGGAGACGGTATGGTTGAGAGCTTCGAGCTGGTCGAGCAGGCTGCGATTTTCCTCAATCTTGCTCGCGTTGACGGCCTCGAGGTCCTGCTTGTCGTGTTGGAGACGCTCGATACGGCCAGTCAGGTCGAGGCGATCACGCTCGGCATCAGCCATGTAGGCCTCATGCCTGGCGAGCAAGGCCTGCAAGGCAAAGGTCAGTGACGACTCCATCAGAGCGTGTTGGCCGCCATCTATGTCCAAGCCATCTATACCGGGAAAAGAGATATTGTAATCCCGTGGGGTATCAGGGGGCGCGGGAAGGAAAAGTTGAAAGCCCAGCTGGCATGCAAGAAAACAACAAGCAATTAGGGCAATGGGTAAGTGGTGGGGGTCCGGGGACTGGTCGGGCACAAAGGAAAAGGAATGCCCAGGCTGGAATGACGCGGGATGAAGCAAAGCGGAGCGCCGATTCGCGGGGCATCAGAGAGTCGAAATTACTCGGACGCGCGAACACGACCAGAGTAAAGTGTGTATGTGTGTGTGGAAGACAGAGAGGGAGAGAGAGATGGGCGTGTCTTTACACGTACCTGACCGAGTTGGGCCGCCGTGTGGACGTCCTTTTCGACCGTCTCGAGGACTGAGCAGCTCTTCCTAAGAAAGACACAGTCGACACGGCCGCAACAGCAGTGCAGCGTCGTCGACGAGGGATCACGGCGGGCACGGAGCGACGTCGAACGCTGAAGCAGGTCGGGAGCTGGAGAGCAGGCGGCCATTGCGGGAACAAGGAGGAGCAGTCGGGCGAGCTCGCGGTCTTCATGGTCCAGAGAGGAGAGGACCCGCCGGCTCGGCAGAGGTGGAGGAGGGTGGAGGAGCAAAGATATTGAGGTTAATGCGGCAAACGAGGACGAGTCCGATCAAAGGACGACCCGAGGTCTGAAGATGGCTGAGTCGAGGATCAAAGGAGCGAGCGTGGTTCGAGACATGTGCGGTCGACGAGGAATGGAAAGACGGTTGCGTGTACGAGGACGAGCTCGCACATGGAGGCGAGAGTGACGACGTGTGGTCCGGATATGGATGTCGTACTAGGTAGGAGGTGAATGAAGAAAAGGGAGAGGAGAAGCGCAAAGGGACTGAAGATGGACGGTTGTCTCTTCAGCGAGGTAATAATACCTGAGTCTGTTTTCTCCACCGTTCGGTACCGAGTGACTGGCGCGAACATGTATCTACGGCAGGCTGCTTGTATACAGGGCGTGCGAGCGCGCGTCGTCACGTGCATGAGTGGTCGAGGGTACATGAAACATGCAGTAAATACCACGTGGTCAGAGGTTACGTTTCTCGCGACTGAACAAATGCAGAGTCCCCAGCCACCTGATGGGGTCCCCAAGGTACGAGCTAGCGGAGCTCCGGTACACTGCTCACGTGCAGAACAAGTACTCGACGCCTTGCTAGCACGAAAAGGTGGATGTTTGTTTGCCAGCTAATGGCGGGTGGGGAGATGGATGTCCAGAACTGGGGTTTTCTCCAGGCGCGCCTACCTTGCCAAGTACGAGGTAGATACCGCAAGGTGTACTGTACGTAGCAAGGGCATTGACCGGCGGCTTGTTGACAATGGAGACGTTGATTCTCGGCATGGAGGAGCCTGTATCAATTAGGAGATAAGCCAATCTTTGAGGCATCTCTACGCTGGCCCGGTTGCGGTGAGACTTTTGCTTGCAACCATTGTGTCTCCTTTTTCTGTGCGAACACTCGTACTAATACTTCGTACTGTACACAGGTGCTTTAACATGGTCACGCTCCGCTCTGGTCCAGTCACGACACACAGGAGAGAGACACGGGGGGCAAGGATGCCGCCTGGACACGCAAGCAGATCGTCGTGTTTGTTTTTTTCGGCACCAAGCGCAAGCAAACATAAAGTGGGTGCCACCGAAAGTCATTTACCGTGGTTCGTTTAACTTATCGCTCGTTTCACGGCAATCACAACCCTTTTGAATCGACGACAAGCTTGGTGGTGCTGAGGGAGATGCAGGGACGGGCAAAAGGACTGTTCGGGTTAATAATGCCCATGACTCCTTTTCTGATGCATGCACGGCTGGTGTTTCTTTTTTGATTCTTTCCTTTCTTTTTCGCTCTTGGACGCTAACCGCCATCCCCAGAATAGTATTAGTTCCTCGATCAGCTGCTGCACTATCCAGCACAGTGCCTCAGCATATGCCGAGGTGATCATCTTTGTGCAGCTAGGTGATTGACGGCATCTGCACCTTGTCTCCTGGTCACCTCCAGCCAGAATGAACGAGGAAAAAGACCAAGCGGTGGATAAAGGTCCATGTTCACTCCCCTCTTCTCGTTCCAAAAGACAGTTACTTTGTACCCCCTCCTTTCCCTTGCTGCAATGGTCCTTACTCCATCACAGCCCGCGGTATTGAGTGCGTCACGCCTTTGTGCTCTTGCTTGACCTCCACGTCATGGCGCTTACACACAAAGTACCTGCACGCGACTCATCTCCACACCTCACAAGCTATGCGTTCCCAAATCAAGGACAACATTGCGTGTCGAGCGATTCACCAGACTTTTAGCTCTCTGTGTCTTCGTATTTCGTACACCCTTCTTCATTTAGTGTTAGTCCATGGCCAGACGGGAGACAGCACTGGCCTAAGAATACTCACCGGCGCAGGCTGGAAGAAACAATCAACGCTTATGAAGATGAAAGAATGTCGATTGAAGGACACACGCCCAAACGAATATCAAGAACAATACTATATCAGTGGAGTTTTGGTACTGACATGAAACGACAACAAGTCTCAACACGTTCCTCGTACAGGGTAAGTATGTGCCAGTCAGTTGAAGCTCACAAATCGCACTCTCCCATCCAAGCATCAAGGACATTATGTAATTGTCAATAGCCGCAGGCATCATGGTAATGGTAAAAGCAAGGTCAAGAAACTCTACCACTTCAGCGACTAAGCCATCGATGTGGGTACGGCAGCGCAAGCTCCAGAGATGCAGGTTCGTGGCTTTCGACGGCCAAAGGTTCAACACTACTCCTAGCGAAGCCATGAAAGCATGCAAGATTTCAACCCCTCTCCGGCGACTATTAACGTGCTTGCATCCTTCACTTCCTCATATTCACTCTGCTCAGCATCGTCTATGCCCTCCGAAATGCTCTCTGCAACTCACCACGTCTCCTACTGGATCATCTCGGCCGCGGCCGCAGCCATATACCACTGTCTCGTCTCCGTGCTGGAATGCCCCAGTGACTTGTTCGAGGTGTTTCTGATTCCGCTGGGCGCCTACGCAGTCCACGTCCTCTGGGCAGGCCATGGCCCCAAGGCGAGGCCGGCTGTTCACATCGCTGCCACCGGATGCCTTGTCCTCTCCCTGGGCGCCGCGGCGAGCTCTTTGCACATGCCGGGGGTCGATGTGACGCAGATCCGGGGCGGCATCCACGCCCTCCTGGCCTTTTCAGTCCTTGGAGCTCTCGAGCACAAGCGACAAGACGTGAGTCCGAGCACTCTGTATGTTGACCTCGTGCTAACGACACCGGGATAGCGAGACGATATTGAGTCGTGCTTCTTTCCGGGCTTCTGCACATTCCCTCGCCTACGGCAGGACACATCGGCCAACTTTTGGAGGCGCACCGCCCAGTACGCTTATGCATGGAGCTTCTCGGCGGGCGTCATGGCTGGCCTTTTGAACCTCGTCTGTCTGGGCCTCAACTGGGCTTATGGGTTGGACATGTCGTGGTGGAGCATATGGCGCGGCTACTTGCGCAACCTGCCCGACGACTTTGCCAGCGCTTTCATGCTCTTGTACGTGGGAGGGCCCTTTGCAGACGTGGCAGAAACGGCGAGTCTTCCTCATCCATTGACTGCGGCTTCAGCTGACCAACGTCTAGATCTTCTTCGTCGTCCACAGACGTTGGTTCCCGGACTGGATTCCAAAATCGAAGCAAGAGCTCAACCCACAGGAGAGGCGGTCGGGGCAGTTTGGGCACGAGGCTGTGACGGCTTCGAAGAAATGGCTGACGATTATGCTCCTGACCATGGTGCTTAGATGGGGCAAGCGTCGGGCGGGATGGGACAAGGCTTCGCGTAGAGAGTAGGCAAGGGATAAGGACAGCCGTTTGTGAGATGCAGGCGTCGTGTTGCTCGCAGCTTGACAATGGGTCGGCTATGTCAAGATGGGAAGACGGATTGGACAACAATGTTTTGAAGGGTAGGGGGAGGGGCTTAGGGGTCACACGTCAAAAAGCAATATCCAATTGCACCTTGCGCGGAATATGTCGGTACGTGATTGAAAGATTTCCCTTTGACTGTACTATAATTAATAATAAATAATAGTAAAGACCGCAACTAGGTCGCGAAATTGCTAGCAAATAAATCTACCCAATCAACCACTTCAAGTTCGTAACAAGCGCGGGCGCCACCACAGAGTACAAATATTCGCATCGGCAAAATAGCTCTGCCAACTGCTCAGCCCTGTGGCTGAGTGCCTGCGGCGGATAAATTCCGTAGATTATCGAAGTGCCACGAATGGAGAAACGTAGGACGTTCGATCCCCTCTATCCCTCACCTCCACCTCATCTGCTATCCTAGATTGACTCCCGACACACGACGTTCGTTCCACGCCCATGAACCACTGCACGTGGTAACTCTGTTCTATATTCGCTGTAATTACGCTGATACTAACCAGGTGAACACTTAGGCACTAATGGAGATATGCGAAAAAGGCGAAATCTTTATTGAAAAGGACGATGATATGGTTTTTGACCACGCAAAGATCATCCTACGAGGAGCCAACGGCGAATACCTCTACGCCAAGACCCACCAGCGCATATTCCGTTCCTCTAAGATCGACGTCGATAAGCTAGAAACGACCAGAATTCCTGCGGACCACATCTGGCCTTTAGCTAATCCGGAGTTCACTCGGGCTCCCGACCCTCTACCTTCTAACTCCTACCTTAAACGACCTAGACTTCTATATTATGAAAATACTCCCGATAATTTTGATGTCGCCCGTCAGGGTTTAACTGAGGTGGAAGCTTGCGAGGTCCTAAGACGGCACCCCCATCCTAACATTGTGCAATACCTAGGCTGCATTGTTAAGGACGGTAGGATAAGAGGGCTTAGCTTTGCCAAATACTCTTTAACTCTGGCGCAGATATTTAAAGATAGGACACATTTTAATATAGTTCGTTGTCTGCATGGTATTGAAGCAGGTGTTCGTCATATGCATAGCTTGGGGCTTATGCACAACGATCTTAATCCGTCAAACATCATGATGGATGGAGATAATCCTGTTATTATAGACTTTGACTCCTGCAAGCGAGAAGGGGATAAACTAGGGTCTAAGGCAGGCACTTATGGGTGGACATTAGAAGGGGAAGACTACGCAAGGCGAGAGAACGATCTCTATAGCCTCTTGAAGATACGAGCGGCCTTGGAGAAAGTCGATAATTAGGGTTAAATTGCTTAAGCCTAAACAATAAACACTCACAGCCCTCCCCCCCCTGGTCAAGTCATTCCTTGTCCTTTGCTCTTCCTCAAAGCGAATCAAGATGCTGAGAGTATGGGTTGTCAACTAGGGCATAAGCACCTTGCTTACGCTTTCACTGCTTTGGTGGGATGTAACAACTGCTAGACCATTTGCAACGCGTCTGTCCACAGTCCGATATTTGCGCCCTATATGACGATCCATCCTTGCGGTACCTCGTAATCCACTCGCAGGCATCAACGGGTGTCTCAATCTCGCAACAAGCCATTGTTTCTCTTTCGTTAGAGTTCGACTCAGCAATTCTGGCCTTGGACAGGTCAAGAAGTCGGTGCAGTAGCATGTACATGCTGAACCTTGGTTTGAGTTTCCTCGAAATGCTTATGGGGGAAAAGTGCAGTGGTAATTTCTGGACTATTTAAGATGGATTTTGATGCTTATATACTTTTCCAAGGTCGGTGAAACGACCTACATTGGCAATCGCATTGCTTCAACATTTGGAGCTAGGCACTCGTAACGTACAGTTCAGGCAATGGAGATGGAGAAGGATGCTATCCCTGCCCACAATTCGTGTATATGGCACACGCCGCGAATTGTGAGAACACGGGCCCCCTGTTTCCATCCCAGAGTGCTCGAGGTGAGGTAGCAACGTAAGCCACAGCCTAAGCCAAGCGAGGAGGATACGTGCCACAACCCTGTGCTCTCAACCGAAAATGGAAGTTCCTTATCGACGCGCGAACGTGCATGGCCGCAGTGGGAAAGGGCTACAGAAACGTACTCTCTGTAGTTAGCAGATCCCTGGGACTACGACGTCACCGTTTGATCTACAGCGCCCTCAGCGGCTCACGGATCAGCACGCCGCGTTCATATAATCGTAATGGTCTTCGAAGTTGCATTACAATGTCACTATAATAAAGTAGAGTCGTGAGATTCATGACATTGCATGCTAGGATGCGAGAGATGGCCTCAGCTCTGCGTGAATGGAAATTGATCATTCATATCTAAGACGAACGCGGCCTGCGGATCCGGAAGTCGGTCAACATGCCGGCACGGGATGCGGTTTTCCTACGGGATGGTTAGCAAGATACTTTATTCCAACTTACCCGCGGCGAGGCTTCGATGATGGCGTTGTACTAGGAATCACGAATTGATGATCCAACGTTCCAACCTGGGGTTAATGGGGTGCTTATTGAATTATCATGTATAAAACGGATATTTCCGGTCAACATCACTCTCAGACAGCAGTTAAAGATGGCATGGATAGTGGCACCGCCGTGCTTCCTAAAATTGATGCCGACGTAGGCAGCCCCCCCCTTATCACAAGCCTCCCACAACTGCAAGATTCGCTACTCCCGATACTTCCAAAGAATATGCATGTACGTTGCCGAATTATGTGTCAAGACGAGGGAAGAGAAATTAACGGACAAATCCAGCCTCACGCCCGCTTCTTATAAACTCCCCCCCCCCCAACAGGGGAGGCTGCGGACTAGTCTATCTGGCGTTGGTACGTACCTATCTTAAAAATGGGATGTGAGTGCAAATAGTACTGTATTATTCTATTGGTATAGATAGTGAAGAGCGTAGGCGCCACCTCCCCTTCATCTCCGTTCCCATATTTATCCTTTTCTCGCAGTTCTCTAAAAGCCAACAAACGCCAAACGATCTAGCCCTCATACCCCTGCGGTTGCGCGATTGGCCGGAGCGCTAGAGCCAGCTGCGCATTTTCCTCGGGTCCATCCCCGCCATCGCGCCTACTTATAGCGCCTAGTTAACGGGCTATTCAGGCGGAGACGGCCTGCCGGTCGTGTCGTCATCGCCCCCCCGGGTCCTGTCCAGGGTCATTAGCCAGTGAGCGTCATGGAATTGTCATGCATCAAATCATCCACCCTCGCCCATCACCACCGTCGTGCTCTCTCGCAGAGAGCTTATGTCTGACTTTGGGGAAAACCGAGGGAAAAGAGAAACGAAAGAAGAAGACTAGGAAACAGTCCACCGACTAGTCAAATCTCTCCCACTCGGCTTCAACTCCAAAAGCATCCATCAACGAAACATCAATCATCCGCCGATCAACCTTTCGCCCTCTCGCCCATCTGCCGCTGTTGGCCCCTTCGGCCTGCGCCCTGAGTGTGCATCCATCCTCTTCTTTCCGTTGCCCCTCTTCCCAAAACACTTCATTGATTACTACCCCCTCCTCTTTCCTCCCCTCTTCCCGACCTCGTAAAACCTTCACATGCTCCCTCTCCGCCGCTGTACTCGACTGCATCCCAAATCTGTCTGCATCCTCCAGACCGCAACGCCTGGTCATCCAGCACGCTGCTTCTCCCTGGGCATCCGAGCCATGGCAAAGGAATACAAGCTCAAGGACGTCTCGTCTCTCGCCTTCGCCCCGGGCACCAAGCGAGAGGTCGAGGTCGAGGGAATCCAGGACGCAAAGGTCCTGCTTGTCAACGCCGCCGGCAAGGTCCAGGCCCTCGGCGCCAAGTGCACCCACTATGGAGCTCCCCTAGCCAAGGGCGTTCTGACCACCTCGGGGCGTCTGACGTGTCCCTGGCATGGAGGTGAGTCCTCTTTGCTTCAGATCTACCACCACGAGACTGTGTTTGCTGACTCTACACCCAGCCTGCTTCAATGCCACCACGGGCGACGTCGAAGACGCACCCGCTCTCGATGCTCTCCCCGTCTTCCCCATCACCCAGCGTGACGGAGCCTGCTACATCACCGCCGACGAATCCGCCATCTCGGGCTCCCGTCGAAAGCCCAATATCCGCTGTGGCGCCGCCGCTGCCGGTGCGCAGGACGACAAGGTCGTCGTCGTCGGCGGTGGCTCAGGCACCATGGGCCTCGTCGAAGGCCTGCGCGAAAAGGGCTTCACCGGCGCCGTCACCGTCATCTCCAACGAGGGCTACCTGCCCATCGACCGCCCCAAGCTCAGCAAGGCGCTCCTCACCGACCCGGCCAAGCTGGCCTGGCGCGACAAAAGCTGGTTCGAGAGCGGCTCTATCCACTGGGTCGACGCCGAGGTCAGCGGCGTCGACTTTGCCGCCCGTTCCGTCAAGACCACGGCCGGCGGCACCTTTTCCTATACCAAGCTCGTCCTCGCCACGGGAGGAACGGCGCGGACGCTGCCCCTGCAGGGATTCAAGGTCCTCGGCAACATCTTCACCCTGCGGAATGTACACGATACGAAGGCCATTGTCGCTGCCATTGGGGAAAAGGGCAAGAAGATTGTCATTATCGGCTCCTCCTTTATCGGCATGGAGGTGGCCGTGGCAACATGCAACGGCAACTCGGTGACTGTTATAGACATGGCCAAGACACCTCTGGAGCGCGTCCTCGGCGAGAAGGTTGGCGCCGGCATCCAAAAGATTGTCGAGGCCAAGGGCGTTAAGTTCCACCTGGGCGCCGGCCTCGACAAGGCCGAGCCATCGACGTCAGACCCGTCCAAAGTCGGTGCCGTCTGCCTCAAGGACGGCACGAGGCTCGAGGCCGACCTGGTCATCACCGGCGTCGGCGTGTCCCCCGCGACCGAGTTCCTGAGGGACAACAGCATCCTCCGCCTGGAGCAGGACGGTTCCATCAAGACGGACGAGAATTTCGAGGTGGCCGGGCTCAAGGACGTCTTTGCCATTGGCGACATTGCCACGCACCCGTACCACGGGCCGGGAGGCGAGGGCAAGCCCGTGCGCATCGAGCACTGGAACGTGGCCCAGAACTCGGGCCGGACCGTCGCGTCCCACATTGTGAGCCCGTCGGGCAGCCGGCACCAGTTCATCCCCATCTTCTGGTCCGCACTGGGCGCGCAGCTGCGGTACTGCGGCAACACGGCCCACGGCTGGGACGACCTGGTGCTCCAGGGCGACCCCGCCGAGGCCAAGTTTGTCGCCTACTACACAAAGGGCGAGACGGTGGTGGCCATGGCCAGCATGGGCATGGACCCGGCAATGTCTCAGACCGCGGAGCTGATGCGACTGGGTAAGATGCCGAGCAAGAGCCAACTGAAGGGAGGGCTGGATATTATGGACGTCGGGATGCCAGAGTAGGTCATCCGATATAAAGCTGCAGGCAGCAATCAAATTGATCAAAGGTCATGGTTATAAGTTCTTAAATCGTGTACTCTTTGAATCATTCAAGCGTAAGTATGTACACGACTTGACTAGCAGTGAATGGTCCCGAAACGGGCACACAACCCATACTATGATACCACCGACCTGCCCGTTTTCACCGTGGATGCCTCAACAAGTCAACCCTCATGAATACGTCGTCAACGCGGGACACCCTGGGGCCGCAGGGGCTGAGAACTTGGTCTCGACGTAGACCTTTTGCATGCCCTCCTCGCGGGCCTCGAACTTGTAGTAGACCTTGTCGAGATCCTCGAGGCGGACGCGGTGCGAGACCATGGGCAGCGGGTCCAGCTTGCCCTCCTGGATCATGCGCAGCAGCTCGTCCCAGTATTTGTGGACGGGCGCCTGGCCGTTGCCGATGAGGCGGATACCGCGCTGCATGAGCGAACCGACGTTGAAGTGGTTTGTCTGTATGAATGGGGATGCGTCAGTTGACACGCGCAGCTTTGCTAAAATCAGGAGCATCAAGGAAAGGGGCAAACGCACGTATCCGACATAAACGCCCGTGACGCCGCAACGGCCATAGTTGCGAACGCCCTCAATCATCTCATTCAAAATCTCACTGGTATCCGTCTCAACCCCGGTCGCCATCTCCAGCCAATGCAGCCAGCCCTTTGCATACTCGCCCGCCGCACATTCCAGCGCCACGTCCGGCCCGCGCCCGCCGCAGAGCTCCTTGAGGCGGCTCACGACCGTCTCGCGTGCCGTGACGCCGTGCGAGAGCTTCTTGTAGTCAACGAGCTCGAGCTTGTCGCGGTGCTCGGCAGGAAGGTGCGCCGCGACGTAGGACAGCCGCGGCTCCGTGTCGACGAAGATGAGCTTGGATGCGCCCTCGGCGAGCGCAAAGACGCCGCACATTTGCCCGATGGGGCCTGCGCCGAAGATGGCGACTTGGTCTTTGGGGTAGACGGCTGTGTCCTTGACGCAGTTGTACGAGGTGCTGAGGACGTCGGATAGGTAGAGGGCTGCACTTGTGTAAGTGAAATGTCGCATCCTCCACTTTGCCGACTTAACTGCCTCCCATCAGGCAGGAAACCAGGGTTTAAAAAGGCAGGTAATGGGAAACGCGCCTTTTTCATCCGGAACATCGCCCGGAATTTCGAGCAAATTCACATCCCCCAGCGGCACGCGGACATACTCAGCCTGTCCGCCCGCAAACCCACCGGTAAAGTGTGAGTAGCCAAACATGCCCGCCGTGCGCCCGCCGTACATGGCCTTTGCCGCCGAGTTGGAATTCGTCTTCTCGCACTGCGATGACAGCTTCTGCTTGCAAAAGAAGCAGTCGCCGCAAGCGATCTGGAACGAGGCGACGTAGCGGCGGCCGGGCTGGACGCGGCGCACGCCGGGCCCGACGCGGTCGACGACGCCGCAGAACTCGTGGCCGAGCACGTCGCCCTTGGCCAGCTCGATGACGGTGCCGTGCAGGAGGTGCAGGTCAGAGCCACAGACGGTGCTGCCCGTGACTTTGAGGATGACGTCCCCGTCTTCGAGGATCTGGGGGCGGGGGACGTCGGCTGGGGGAGACACGTCAGATGGGTTACTGTTTCTTGTTCTTTCTCTCGCTCGTTTCATCGGGCAGATAATGCTTGGGGTAGCGAACCCATTTCGACCTTGTTCTTGCCCATCCACACCAGCGCCTTCATGGTCTGGTCGGCCCCGGTCTGCTCGTAGTTGGAAACGTCTTGCTGGGTGACGGCATTGTCGCCGTGGCCGACTGCCTTTTCGGCAACGTAGGCTGCCTGGGAAGCCATCGTGACTTGATGTATTGGAGTTGTGGTTCGACTGGACTTGGATTGCTACGTGTGAGTGTGCGAAACGGCCCCCCTGACATGGCCGTTGCGCAGGTTGGTAATTGTCGATTTATAGACGACGCCGGCCCCTAGCTCCGGCCCGACGATGTCCTCTGTTGTCATAGGTGGCGCCGGCGACGTCATGGACCGGAGGATATGCTCCACGGAACCAACCAGCCGGCTTAGGTACACTGCAACGGTAGTTAGTGGTTGATACCATTATGGAATGGCCTTGACGTCTGTTGGCCGTGTCGATATCCATACTTTTACAGATACACAGAGTGGAAAACTGTCCGTGGCAAGAGTGGGACTTGACTCCTCAGATCCGAGCCATGGCCGGAATTGCCCGACGGGCCGGACCGTGATCCATGGGCCGTGCGGGACCGTGCTCGGAGAGAAGGAGCCGAGGCAGCAGCATCCGTGTTTTCTTTTCGAGGTTCTTCCCGTGTTCATAGCCTGCAGCTCGACCCGTGGTGAAATGGCTATCCATGTCGTGTTTTTGTCAATTGCGATAGAGTAGCTTCATGCTTTGAGGGGGAATTCGTTTCTCATCGTAACGTCCACGGCTGCTTCGTAGGCATGAGCAAGAGAGCCGAGATACCCACCGCACAGCAGAGAAATAAGGTACCGCTTTCGAGTACCAGGGTAAAGTCCAAGTCGTCGTATTACGGACGGGGAGTAAACAGTCCAGATTTACGGGGTACTTCTTTCCTCGCAACTGCTTCCGTGCCTCGTGCCTGGGAAGGACTCGAAGGAGCTAAGATCAATGAATGCACGGCACGGTCACTGAAGGAAGGGCCCCGAGGAGAGCCGCCCCCCACCTGCAGCATCGGTCAGCGGCCCCACCCAACCGCTGCCTCCACAGAAGATCAGCCTCCGTTCCCTCGAATTCATGTCTTCCCTTCCACCTCTGCCCGCCTTCCCACCTTCTACCGCCCTGGCACCATCACGACGCCTGCTCGCGGACAAAGAGAGCGAGAGAATCCGGCACCCCGCCTCTTCCGTCGTCTGCGCCTCGACTCGACTCGAATCGATTCGACCTGCCTCCGTCATGTCGTGCCCTCACCTCGAGTCTCTCGGCCCCGGTATGTCAAGGCTGCCTATTAGCTTGAAAGATGCAACTCCTTGAGCTTCGCCCCCCTTTTCCCTGCACGAGACTCAAGCTAACCTCGTGCTTCCTCCTCCAGGCCTCTCCCCACCGACGCCCGCCCAGTCCGTCTACCGAGAGGACTGCACCCAATGCTTCGACTCCATCGTAAGTCTGCTTCTCCGCAGCAACCTCGCCACCGATCGTGGCTGATGTCCGTCGCCTGCCCAGGACGAACCAACCGGTCTCGATGTCTGTCTGCAGTGCTTCAACGGCGGATGCGCGGGAGATAGACTGCACAGCAATCTCCACAGCAGCCTCCGCAACCACCCGCTGGCCCTCAACATTCGCCGCACCCGAAAGGCTCTTGTCCGCGATGAGCCCCCGGCCAAAATGTCCAAGCTCGCCATCGCCGCCGAGACCGAACAAGACCGATACGATACTGCCCTCGCGGCAAAGTGCCTCGACTGCGCCACCCAGCTCGATGTTACAGATCCTAGACTCGCCCCCGTCGTCGACGGCATCCTCAAAGCCAACACCTTCGCGCGGAAGGAGGAGGTGAAGGCCTGGGAGCAAGAATTGACGAGCTGTGAGCACCTTCTCTTGCTGCAGCAGCAGGACTCGCGCAAAATCGAGCAAGGCGAGCTCGGTCATTGCTCTGCCTGCGACCTGAGGGAAAACCTATGGCTCTGTCTCGAGTGCGGCAACCTGGGCTGTGGCCGGAAGCAGATGGGCGGCGTCGACGGCAATTCGCATGCCTTGGCTCACTCGACCGACTCAGGACACGGTCTGGCCGTCAAGCTCGGCTCCATCACCCCCGAGGGCACCGCCGACGTCTACTGCTACAAGTGCGACGACGAGCGTATCGACGAAAATCTGGGACAGCATCTCGCCCATTGGGGAATCATGCTGGCCGAGCGACAAAAGACGGAAAAGAGCTTGACCGAGATGCAAATCGAGCAAAATCTTAAGTGGGATTTTAGCATGACCACCGAAGACGGTAGGGAGCTCAAGCCCCTATTCGGCTCCGGCCTCACAGGCCTGAGGAATCTGGGCAACAGCTGCTACTTGGCCAGTGTCGTGCAGTGCCTCTTCGACATGCCGTCCTTTCGACAACGCTACCATCGCCCAAGCGATGAGCTGCCCCTGGTGCAGGAACCGGCCGCGGATTTGGAGACCCAACTGCGGAAAATGGCAGACGGACTCTTTTCTGGACGGTATTCCAAGCCAGAAGAAGGCGTGGGCTCCGATGCCGAGGCGAGGCACCAGCAGGGCCTGGCACCGGCAATGCTCAAGCACCTCATCGGCAGAGGCCATGAGGAGTTTTCAACCATGAGACAGCAGGATGCGTTCGAGCTGCTGCAGCACTTATTCAAGTTGATTACTCGGTCACAACACGGTGGCCATCTCGAGGACCCCACAACTCCCTTCCGGTTCGTCCTCGAGCAGAGACTGCAGTGCTTGGGATGCCGCAAAGTCAAGTACAGCACAAACGAGCAGGACAGCATCTTCATTGACGTCCCCCTCGAAAAGCTGCCCCAGGCCGAAGGGGAATCGGACGATGCCGGGGACAAGTATAAGCCCGTTACCCTCAAGCAATGCCTCGACAACTTGACCTCTGCGGAAAAGGTGGAGTTGGCTTGCTCGGCCTGCGGTAGCAAGGAAGGCTTCAGCAAGCAGTCGCTCTTCAAAACCTTTCCCGTCGTTCTCGTCGTCAATGCTCGCAAGATGACCGTGGTCAACTGGGTGCCCATCAAAGTCGATGTCCCCGTGCTTGTCCCCGACGAGCCGTTTCTGTTGGACGAGTACCTATCCAAGGGCCTGCAATCGACGGAGGAGCTACTCCCGGACGAACCTCAGGCCCCGGCCCCGGCGTTTGTACCCGAAGCCACCGCCTTAGCCCAGCTCGAGGCAATGGGATTTCCACGCACGCGCTGCGAAAAGGCGTTGTACGCCACCAGTAACTCAGACGCCAATCTCGCCATGGAGTGGCTCTTTGCCCACATGGAAGACCCCGACATCGACGCGCCTCTCGATCTCAGTGGCCAGGCGGAAGCTGCTGGCGCTGGCGCCGATCCGGACAAGATTGAGATGCTTGGAGCCATGGGCTTTGAAGCCCGCCACGCCAAGAAGGCCCTCAGGGAGACGGGTGGCGATGTAGAGCGGGCGGTGGAATGGCTCTTTAACCATCCTGACGACAAGGACGCGGCCGAGGACGAGAACTCGACTGCCAAGGAGCCTGCAGGAAGTGCGTCGCTCCCCGCCAGCTTTCAGCTGCAGTCGATTGTCTGCCACAAGGGGACGAGCATACACGCTGGGTAGGCCATACCGAGCTCTCCGTCGTGCCGTTGTGTATGCGCTGACACGTTTCGACTAGTCACTACGTCGCCTTCATCCGCAAGCAGCTTGAACAGGGCTCCAAGTGGGTGCTCTTCAACGATGAGAAGGTGGTCGAGGCCTATGACGTCGACGAGATGCGCAAGTTCGCGTATTTGTACTTTTTCAAACGAACGTAGAGACGGTGTTGCATTTGTTTGACAATGGCGATATGAGACGTAGACAAGCGCAGCGCAGATGACTTACGACGCAGCTGGCCTCAGGATGAGGGTGCCATGAGGCGTTGGCGATGAGACGATGGAACTGTGCGTCACGATTTCAAAAAAGAAAACGATGGGGCTGCTAGAGGCATACATAGAGGCGATGCGACAGGAAGATCAGAGAGGAGAGACGTATAGAGGCGCACGACGATGAGAGGCCGTCTTGGAACGTTTGTGGCGGGCGAGGGATCCAGCATGACATCATATACCATTGATGCGAGTACCAAACACATGGATATTCGGCATCAAGGCCGGCCGCGCGGCTCAACCGCGGAGCGTGTCGATGCGCGCGTGACGGTTTGGGGACCTGATTTGGCCAGACGCTCATTGTGCCCTGTCCAACCCCGGCCCTGGCGCTTGCGGCTGCTGGCCATCTGTGGCCGTGGTGATGGGCGGTCCTGTTGAGTCGCAAGGGGTCCATCTCCGAGGACTTTATTACGCCTCGCTTTCCCGCCCGTGCTCGATACACCTCCATCACCTTTTAGTCGGCGCGCCGCGCCGCTCAGTGACTCTTGTGTGTTGCGTATTGCCCTTGTCCTCCATGCCCTCGCCCTAGGAAGGGACTCAGTCACCCAGACGGTAGCTGACGAGGGTATCGACGCGGTGATTTGCGGTGCTGAAGCCGCGGAGCTGGACATGCTCGCCGTTCGCAATCTCTTTTGCGTCCGAGTCGCCCCACTCGACGGGCACGTCGCTGTCGGCGTCAGCGTAGACGAGCACGTTGAAGGTGCAGTCGCCGCTGAGCTGAGGCAGAAAGGTGACCGACGCCGTGATCTGGCGGAAGATGGCGGCGATTTCGGCCTGGATCTCGGCCTCAGTTTTGTCGAGTGGTGGCGGCGGCTGCTGCTGCGAGGACGCGGCGTCGTTTTCCTGGTCGCCGGTGGCGGGAGGATTGGAGGAGGTGGGCTTAGATTTTGACTTGGGAGGGGGTTGGGAGATTTGGACCTGCGTGGATTGTGAGCGAGCTTTAAAGTTAGAAGCATGTTGTTGTTGATGGGGCGGAATAAGAGGAGGATAGGAACGTACGTCAAACTGCCACCGCTCGACGCGCTCGCCGGTGTCTTTGTCGGTGATGACGATGACGAGCCTTGAGATTTTGCCGCCCGTCATCCACTTGTCGAGCTGGGACATGATCTTTTTGATGTAGGCCTTGACCTGGTCGTCGGCAGAGACTGCAGCAAGCGAGTCAGCTCTCCCTTATTTCATCAAGGATGGCTTAAATCCACGCACCAAGCATGTTGAGGCCATATTTCTTGACTCTATAGCCGAGAGAGGTCGTCAGCAAGCGGGTAGGATTTCGATGAGGGGTGGGAGACGGACGTACGCTGTGAAGTCTTCGGCCGGGTAGACGCCGCGCTGGAAGCTGGAGAGCGATACAGGTCAGCCCAAGATCAGCGCTCGAGATGTAAATAGGGGCGCGTGCGCCAAGGGGCGAGAATTGGTCGTACAGGATGGTATGGATGGAATACTGAAACTGCAGCGGCGCAAAGCGGTCAGCAAGCGGCCCAGCCCCTCTCCCTGTCGGGAAAGGCAGACGTACAAACTCGGCGACAAGCCTGGCGCTGCCCTTGAGCGACAACTTGTGCACCTTGGACTTGTCCTTGTCCTTGGGGGCCTTGGGTGCCGAGGCGGCCTTGGACGACGACATGGTCGCGCCTCCTTGTTGCTGGGGCGGTTCTTTTCCCTTTTGGGGGGGGGGGGTTGCGTGCCGGAGACTGACTGGCCCTAAAGAGAGGGATTGAGAGGGGCGTGAGGATGGAGGTGGATGGAGTTGTTGGTATTCGCTTTGCTCCTAGGAGGGTGGGAAGAAAGAAAGAGAGTCGAAGGGAGAATGTTTACTTTCATTGGTGACGATGGTTGCTGCGGGGCCGGCATTGAATCGGGAGGGGTGGTGGTTGATTGGACAGGGTACGTTGTCGATACTTGCTCTACAGCCATTGGATGGCGCAGCTCGCAAGTCCTTCTCAGTACTTAGAAGAGTGCCATATCATGCTTTAGCGCCAGGGTCCGGCAGGGGCCTTGATCAGCAGGGGACTCGAGGCGGCTTCATCTTCGACCAAAACTTTCTCTTCCTCGAATCAAATTCTCGTCAACAATCCCCCTCGGCAACATGCGCTCGTCGACCGATCAGCTTGTACAAACATACATGGAAACTTGGCAGACTATGATCCGCCATATCTCGGCTCGTCCGTCCCAGCCGCCGTAAATAACCTCCATCTTGGCCAACGCAGCTTCATCCCATTCTCCTCGCCCCCCGGCCCGCGTAGGCAGCGGGAACCTGCCGCGGCATCTCCAATGCCCATCCATTGCCCTCAGGCACCGCGGCCAAAGGCACCACCGTCGATCGTTCCTCGTCGCCGTCTTCGACAAAGTGCAGATATGTCACTCGCACGACGATGCCGACGCTGACGAGCAGCGGAATCACTTGCGCGCTCGTGTCGATTTGGTTTGACCCCCAAAGCTCGTTCCATTGCACCGGCAGCTCGACGGCCACAACGAGCACGGCGAAAACGACCAGGTTCACGAGCGTGTGCGGCGCGCGCATCCGCTCAAAGCGCTCTCTGCTCGCACTCCATGTTAGCCTCGTCTCAGGAGCGCCCTCGAGTTGACGTGCCTGATGCGCCTGCGGACAAGCCACCTCCTCCGCCGGCGAGGTTCCTCCACCCGGCAGCATGCTTTTGATACCACAATCATGACGCACGTCAGCACCATGAGTAGGTAGAGCAGCGCGTTCAGAGCGGCAAACGGCGCGTTGTCGTCGAGCGACGTTTTGCCGAAGAAGAATCCATACTGCACGCAACCCCTGTTCAGCGCCGGCAAGTGCGTCGTGTAAAACCAGACGCCGATCGACGATGCCGTGATGATGAGGGCAAAGTTCAACACACGAAAGACTCGCAACTGCTCTTCCCCGTATCCTTCGAGCGGGTTCCAGAAAGGGTCGCAGCAGGTCAAGGCTCGCCAGATATACACGGGCACCAGGAACGTGTGCGGGCCCGTCGCCAGGAGCAGCAGAACATATATGGCCGCTGCGTCAAGCTTACCCTGGCTGATCTGGTGGAGCAGGCCGATGGCGACGCCGCCCGAGAGCAAAAGCCCGAGGAGCCGTATCTCGGGCAGAGACTCTGGGCCTGTGCGTTGGAAGACGATGGCGGCAAACCACTGCACGTATGACGAGATCCTGATGCCCAGACCGTACATGTCCGGACGGACCTGTCCCTTGCAGAGGCTCATCTCGAAGGAACCTGAACTGGGGAATGCCCAGCTCGACTGAGAGGGGCGTCCGGCCTTCTTTATCCATCATCTGCGTGCGCCTGGCTTCGGCGCTGGCGAGTAGCCACGATGCCACCTTCCGCAGCGACGAGCCCTTTGAGGAGACGGCAGGTGTCTTTGGGTGCCCAACGCTGGCACAGATGGAACAACAGAGTGCCGTCTCGTGTAGGATGTGCAACGGCGAAGGGCCAATGGATTGCTAGCAGCACCGTCTTCGCGCGCTCCCAGCAAGCGGCGCGACTTGGGCAGCGAGTGCAACGAGAGCAACGCCGACAACACCACCGTGGAACCAAGTCGGATGGCGCGTTGCTCTCCTCGTGGGAATCTTGAGCGCTCTCCTGCTCCGGCTTCGCGTGGTACGGTGCGCAGGCGTGAAACTGGATGCCGTCCACGGCCACGCACCAAGGGCAGCCAGAGTCTGCACGGAGAGGCCTTCTTTCCGCCGTCGAGCGTCAGGCATCGAAGGGCTCGGTGGCGAGCGACACGTCGGAAGGAGCTTGGCGACTCTGGGTCTGATGATTGTCAGGTCGGGCTTTGGGACGCGGATACCCTTGCTGGACGAAGCAGGCCCGACGCCCTTTCGCCCTTGTCAATGTTTGCCGTCTGTCAAACGCGTCTGCCATCAACACTCCATCTTCACCATCTTCTCTCACACCACCTCTCTTCTTGGTTGTTCATCTCCTACTTATATTCTACGCCCCGCTCCTCGTGCCCGCACCCGAGCCTTCGCCATGACGACGGTTGTCGAATCTGGGCACAAACTGCCCTTCGCACAGCCCGGGTTTATCCTTGCGCGCGCCCGCCAATATATCAACCAGATATTCCAGAGAAGGGTGGCCGAAATCCTCAAGGAATCCAGCAGCTTAGACATGTCGCCTTTTCTCCGACGGGAGCTGGCCTAGTATCATGACTCTGTGGAGGATATGGCGCGTATGCAGGCTTGGAGCGAGACGACATTTGAAAATGGACGCCTCATGCTTGACCTTCCCCGGTGCTGCGCTGCCGAGATCACAATAACGCATCCCATCGGTCCTTTGGTGCTGGGGCCCGTCCTCGGGTGGGTCCCACAGCCCGACGACCATCCCTTGCGCGACCAAGTCCTTGACGTATTCTTGTTTCGTCTGCGTGTCATGCTCGACAGGAAGCCCGAGATCCTCTACGCGTCGGCCACGGCGCTCGTCTTCGGGCTCACGCCCTGGGCTGTGCTCAAGATCAGCGATCGCCCCGACTCGGAAGACATCTGCAACATGGCATACATCACCGCCAACGTGCCCGAAGTGCCCGTTCCAGCGATCCTGGGCGCTTTCCGCGGCGCAGGGCGACACTGGGTCTTTATGGCTCGGGTCCCCGGCGAGAGGCTGAACACTATCTGGACGAAACTGACGCCCATGCAAAAGCTATCCGTGCAGGGCCAACTCAACACGGCGTTTGCGGCGCTCGCGAGATATGAACGGCCGCCCCAGGGTCCCTGTTCCCGACTGGGGAGCGTCGCCGCTGGCATCTGCAGGGACGCGCTGCGCAAGTCGCGAGCCAGCCTGGGGAGCATCCCGACAGAGATGGTGTTCAACGATTTCCTCTGCGACACGCTGGACCCAAGGGTCAAGCGATGGCTCCGTCACATCCGCGCCGGGATGCGCAACGACCACCGCATCGTGTTGACGCACGGCAACTTACACCCGCGAAACATCCTGGTGACCTTGGGGACTCCCAACACTGCCGCCCCCGACGGAGAGGTCAAGGTGACGGCCATTTTGGGGTGGGAAAGGGCCGGCTGGTATCCCGACTATTGGGACTATGTCCGAGCCATGAGCGCCACCGAGGGCCCGCTCAACAATGCGCTCGATGACTGGATAGACTTTCTCCCGACGGAGGTGATTGGCTACCACATGGCCGAGTACGCGATGAATTGCCTGTTGCGTGATTGCCATGAGTAGTTGCGGGCCTGGTTTCAGCGAAGAGATGTAACCTTGGAAGCACGGTCAAGATGGAGATGAGGAGGGATGAGAACAGCGTCTTGTTGACTTTGTTACTGGGCTTTTGTTTCTACATGTTTCATGGTATAGATGAGATGAGAGAGCGACAAGAGACATGGAATTGACAGCATCTTAGAGGGCATCAGCTACGAACGGTCTTTTCCCCATGGTAATAAACACGGTGGCATTGGATTTACAGGCGCTTTCACTTGATCAAAAGTCTGGTTCATCAACGATATGCAATTGCTAGTAGTTGGTCCCGATTGCTTTGCCAAGCAAGTCTGCCCGGCGGTCCTGGACCGCGGCGAATATCTTATCGATAAGGATATTTTTTCCAATTTTCTGGTCAGACCCCTCCGGCCCGGGCATGGAGACCTACCTGCCTCTTTGCCCACCGCCTTGAACCGCAAAGAAGCAGAGAAGGAAGCCGCTGCGATTCCCTTTCGACTTGGACACAACAGTTAGCCAGGACTTTCTACCATGGCCGCCACCAAGCACAAGCTCGCCCCCGAGGCCGAGGCGGCAGCCCGGCCGTCCAAAAAGTCAAAGGTCGACAGCGAGGCGCAGCTAAAGACGGAGACCAAGGAGGGCAAAGATGGGAAGAATAAGAAGAAGGAGAAAAAGGACAAGAAGCGCAATGGTGACGGCGAGGACGCCGGCGAGACCGCTGACGCTGACGCCGTGCGCAGGGCGGAAAAGGAGGCCAAGAAGGTCCGGAAGCAGGCGAGGAAGGAGACGAAGCAGAAGCTGAAGGAGGCGGGCGAACAGCTGCTGCGGGAAAAGGAACAGGCCCGGCAAGAGGAGGAAGAAAAGGAGACACCGGCCGTCAAGGACAAGGAGGAGGAGACTGCGGTGGTGGACAAGGGCAAGGGCAAGAAAAAGAACAAGAAGAGCAAGGACAAGAAGACGAAGGAGGCGGCCACGGCCCAGCAGGACGGCGGCCACGGGTACGTGCAGACCATGAGCCTGTCGAGCGTCCCGCAGGCCGACATTGACGCCTTCCTGGCGACGCACCAAATCACCGTCACCGACCCGCGCAGCTCCACGACGGCCCTCCGGCCCGTGACGGGCTTCGATCACCTCCCCTCGACCAACCTGCTGGAGAAGCAGCCGTCGCCGTTTGCAGGCTTCAAGGCGCCGACGCCCATCCAGGCGGCGTCGTGGCCCTTTACCCTGTCCGGGCGCGACGTCGTGGGCGTCGCCGAGACGGGGTCCGGCAAGACCATGGCCTTTGCGCTGCCCTGCGTCGAGGCCGTTTCCGCCGCCGCCGCCGCCGGTTCCTCCAAGACCAACAGGCCCACGCGCGCCGTCGTCGTGTCGCCCACGCGCGAGCTCGCCATGCAGACGTACGAGCAGATGGCGCGCCTGGCGGCCCTCGTGGGACTGCGGTGCGTGTGCCTGTACGGCGGGGCGTCCAAGGATGACCAGCGCGTGCAGCTGCAGCGTGGGTGCGACGTCGTGGTGGCGACGCCCGGCCGGCTCAAGGACTTCATGGCCGACGGCACCGTGGACCTGGGCGGCGCGCGCTTCGTCGTGCTCGACGAGGCCGACCGCATGCTCGACAAGGGCTTCGAGGACGACATCCGCCACATGCTCAGCTGCTGCCCTGCCCGCGAGCATCGCCAGACGCTCATGTTCACCGCCACCTGGCCCCAGTCGGTCCAGGCGCTGGCCTCGAGCTTCATGGTCGACCCGGTCAAGGTCACCATCGGCCTCGGCAGGGACGACGACGGCTCCGGCGGCGTCGAGCTGCAGGCCAACGCGCGCATCGCGCAGAGCGTCGAGGTGGTGGATCCGCGCGACAAGGAGGGCCGGTTGCTGCAGATCCTCAAGCAGCGACAGCAGGGCACGCACCGCATGGACCGCATCCTCGTCTTCTGCCTGTACAAGAAGGAGGCGACGCGCATCGAGGCCCTGCTGAGCCGCAAGGGCATCCGCGTCGCCGGCATCCACGGCGACCTGCGCCAGGAGCAGCGCACCCGCAGCCTCGAGGCTTTCAAGTCGGGCAACACGCCCGTCCTCGTCGCCACCGACGTTGCGGCCCGCGGCCTCGACATTCCCGAGGTCAAGCTCGTCATCAACGTCACGGTACGTCTCGCTCAGCGGGCTGGCTTGGATTTCATTGGATTTCATTTCTACCGATCGTCTCTGTCCTGCGTTCCCGCGTACCACTGCTGACATGTCGCAGTTCCCCCTGACCATCGAAGACTACGTCCACCGAATCGGGCGAACCGGTCGCGCCGGCAACACGGGCGAGGCCATTACCCTCTTTACAGTCCAGGATAAGACGCACTCTGGCTCGTAAGTCTTGTTTCTCTCTTCCATTTCCTACTCGGTGTCGATTTCAGGCTACATACTTACCTCGATTGCGATTCTGTAGGCTGGTCAACATCCTCAGGGGCGCCAGCCAACCCGTGCCCGAGGACCTTCTCAAGTTCGGCACGACAGTCAAGAAAAAGACGCACGACATGTACGGCTCGTTTTTCAAGGACGTCGACATGAGCCAGAAGGCGACCAAAATTACCTTTGACTAGTGCTGTGAACTCGTTGGGGAGGAGGGAGTGTTTGGCGTGATGGCTTGGTCCCGGGGCACATTACGGCTTGGTCCCTTTGCGCCCGCGTACCGACTGGAAGCATTCGAGCAGCAGGCTCTTTTCGAAATGGACACTGTGCAAGTTAGCTAGGGTCCATAGGAGACAGATATTTTTGCCATGTAGAAAGAACAAATCGGAATTGTGACTCACATCATGAGAAGCAGCGGCACGGCGGAGCCTGCAACCTTGGCGAGCGTCTGGACGGGCTCAGACTCGGCCTTGTCCAGGACGTCGAGCTGGCGCAACACGATAAAGGTGGCGAGTGAGACGACAAGGGTCGAGCGCGGCAGCAGGGAGGCGACGGAGAAGTGGGCGCGGTAAACGGTAAAAAATGCCTTGATAAAGGCAGCGCTCCAGACGATGCGGCACAGCATGTTGACAATGTTGGCCAAGACCAGGCCGCGGGCGCCGAGCTGGTAGACGCGCATCAAGAGGTAGGCGGCGGCGGCAAAGACGACGGAAAAGGCGGCCATCCAGAGCGACTGGCGGTGGACCTGGCGCTCGGTGGCGACGGACGCGACGAGGGACTCTGCGAGGCCGTTGAGGGCGAGAAAGGGCACGTAGAAGCAGTAGGTGGCGAGGACATGGCCGGCCCCGACGCCGGCCCAGCGGCTGCCGGCGACGAGGGCGAGGAGCGAGGGGGCGGCAAAGGGGCCGACGCTAGCGACGACGGCGGAGAGGACGAGATAGAGGCGCGCGAGGGTAGTGAGGCTGCGCCTCGCCTCCAAGACTGCGGCAGAAGGGGTTGCGTCGTCAGCAGGGGTAGCAGGCGAGGAGGACAGGAGGCGGGAAAAGTAGCTGCGGCAGCTCTCCTCGACGGGCTGCAAGAGGAGGCGGGCAACGAGACCGCCGTAGTTGTTTGCGAGGGCGTAGACGCCCTGGACCTGGGGACTGGCGAGCAGGGAGACGAGAAATGTGTCGCCCTGGGTGAGGAGGTGCTTAACGACGCTCTGGGCCATCATGCTAGCGGCGAGGCTGACGGTGGGACGGTAAAAGTAGGTCATGCAAAAGTCTGCGCCAGTACCGACGGCCTTGGGGACGAGAGAGAAGCCTTCGTCCGAGGCGAGGCGCAAGCCGGCAACGAGGTAGATGGCGAGCAGGGCGTAGGCGTAGGCCAGCTGGCCCAGGGCAAAGGGCAAGACGCCGACGTCGAGGCCGCGGCGGGAAGCAGTGACGACGGCGCCAAAGACGACGAGGCAGCGCAGCAGGGTGGCGAGCGACTCTGCGGCGGCACGGGTGGCGAAGCGGAGACGCATCTGCATGAGGACGAAGCACGGCTCAGCAACCAGCTCGACGAGGGCGGCGAGGGCGTAGAGGCGCAGGGAGACAACGAGATGCGGACGGGCGAGGGTGGCAGGGCTGGCGGAGGCGAGATAGAGCCACGCGAGGGCGACTGCGACGGGCACGCCGAGTGCGAGGGCGAGATAACCGAGGTTGACGACGGCCTGGGCCTCCTTGCCCTGCCCACGCCGCTTCTGCTCCTGCTTCTGGTGAGCAGCGACGCCCTGGCGCTGGATGGCGACGCGGAGGCTCTCGCGGGCAAAGAAGAGGACGGAGAGGTAGTAGACGTCGAGCTGGGTGGCGAGGCCGAGCAGGGGCGCGGTGAGCAGGCGGACGAGCAGCTGGTTCGCGACAAAGGTGACGAGGCGCGAGAGCAGCTGGAGGAGGATGAGGAGCGAGGCGCCCTGGACCACGGAGGGGGGTGTTTCGGAGGGCATGGTGATGGCTCTTGACGCGTTTTTATGATGCCTTTGCTTCCTCTTGGCGAGGGTGGCAGGTTGTGAGCCGCGGTGAGGGTGGTTGTCGAGGCGAGGGTGAGGGTTGAGTGAAGTTGAGGGTTGAGGTGTGAGGTGGAGGAGATGAGGTCGAGTCCCCGTGGGTAGGCGTCAGCGGGCGAGGTGCAGTGTGCGAGTCCACTAAACTCGACCGCTGGGGGATGACACTTAGTGGGGGCTAGTCCAGCTGTCACGGTGAGATGCCTTGAATTACAGGCCCTGAGCATCGATTACCTATAGTTACCCACTGACGGGCAGCTGGCAAGTCAAGTGACGAAGAGGCCAAGCGAGTCAAATCCGTATCTCGAACCCGTGAAGAACTCAATACGCCCTCTCCCACCGCCCATCCGCCCTCGCAGCATCAACCTCCCTCAAGCCCGCGGGCGCCATCCTCCCCTCAGCGAGCAGCGCCGCGACGCGCGCGACATTGCGGCGCGACCACACGCTCCGCCGGCGCCGGGGCGTGAAGCGCTGCAGGAAGAAGCGAAGCGCTTCGTCGTCGTCGTCGCAGCGCCGCCGCTGGCCGTCGATCCAGCCGTGGCACAGCGCCGCGTCGACGGCCGCGTCGTAGCTGACGGACGCGACGCCCGATGCCTTCTTCGCAAGCTTGAGCCACACGCCGCTGCTGGCGGACGGCTGCTGCGCCGAGAGCCAGGCTTCCCACGCCGTGGCCGAGGCGAAGAAGAGCGTGGGCAGCGCGGGGCGACGGGCGACGGGAGCTTTCCGAGTCGGCGCTGCTGCTGCTGCTGCTGTGGCTGAAGATGTTGGGCGCGCCGGCTTGTCAAGGGCTGTTGATTTTCCTTGCGGGCGCTCGGCCGGGGCAGACGCAGTGACGGCCGTAGACGCAGCCGTCTGGGAGCGCGTCGTCCGCGGCACGCTCGTCCGCACAGCCGCCTTCATCTTCCGGCCCATGCCGTGACGCAAGACAGGGGTCAACGATGGAGGCTGAGGTTGATGAGTACGAGTGAAATGACGATGCCGTCATGTGACGCTGATCCGGAGGCAACGAGGCCCTAGCGTCGAGGTTGTGTTTCTATTTTCATCCTCGACCTCATTGTCTCAGCCTCATCTAGTGCCATCACTCTTCCTCCAAACTACCCTATACCCAGCCCTCTCCACGGCACCATGTCTCTCCTCCCATCCACTCTCCAACTGCCATCTCGCCGGAATAAGCGAGAGTCATGTTCAAAGAAAAGAAAGGAAAAAGAAGGAGCCTTGTCCAACAAACCCCAACCTTGGCACCCAACCGGCCCCTCGGTTCCCGGCCTCGCTCGGGAGCAACATGTCCGAGACACTCAAGACCTCGCCAATCCAAGACCCATTTTGATTTCATGTCCATATCAAGAAGATATACGAGTCTCTGCGCCCTCGTCTGCTTGCAATTGACTACAGAAATGATCCCCGAAAGAGCATCCGTGCAACCCCCAAACCGAGACGAGAGCCGAGAACAAGTTGTGATAGCGGCTCGCCTCGTTTCGCCTCACCATGCCATCCCCTCCTCGCCCGCATGACACCCCTATCGTAATTCTCCCGACGCCCTGTCTAGTCCCTATCCCAGATCCCCTCCAGCCACGCGTATGCCCTCATGTACATGAAAAAGGAGAAAGGAGCGGTGACGAGAGCCTTTGCTTGGCCCTGCCGATGACGGCCGTCAGTCGCACGCGATGCAATCCCGAGGCGCTCCGGATGTAACCTGCGGCACGGCGCAGTAGCCAGAGTGCGACAGGTTTAAGGCGGATTCCGCCACTGCCATAATGGCTACTCGCAGACCTAATCCAGCGCAACCCGACTCGCCGAGAAACACATGTTCCGCCTCCCCTGTTGACGTACACGACCGCGCTCCCTAACCCGCCAGCCCAAATCCCATATCCTCCAGCATGGCCACCCTCCGTCTCACCACGCTCCCCCGAGAGACACCCCATTTCGCCCTCGCCAGACAGCCGCAACCTCCCCCCCCCCCTCAAGCGCGTGCGGGCGCGTGGAAGCCATGGAACCCCAGGGCTATCGGGAAATCAGCCTCGGCTCGCCCCGTTTCCTCCATCGTCCTCGCGTCCAGACACAGCAGATACGACTTCTGCGCCGTGCCGTCGAGCACCACGCTCAAGACCACGCCGTCGTCCTCGTCTGTTGCACCGGGCCGTGGCACAAAGACGGGCTCGCCCGGCGTGTGCGCGTGCGAGCCACTCCACAGCACCGCCTCGCGCGTCTCCAGGTCCGTCTTGACAATCGAGTCCATGAAGGTACTGAGGCCGCGGTTGCTCGTCCCGTACACGTATCGATACGGCCGTCCCATCCGCTCGGGGTGGATGTTGGACAACTCTCCCGAGTGCGGGCTGGCAATCGAAAACACTTCCTCGGCTGTGGCCGACCGCGCCTCCTCGCGCGTCTGCTCCGCAACAGGCATTCTGAATCTATATCGCACATGGCGGCTGTGTGACCTCTTGTGGCCGCCGCCGTCGCAATATGCCCTCATGGCCTCGTTGCGATCCAGGATCACGTCGTAGTAGAGCCCAAACATGATGTCGGCATTGTCGTACATGGTGTGGTCCAGGCATAGGTCCGTCCACTTCTCGTCGCTCTCGTCCTTGACGTGCTCCTCAAAGGCATTGACGGAATGGAAGAAGAAGGCGGCGGGCGTGGAGAAGCGCGCCATAACACCGCGGCCGTGCTTGCGATCCACGACGACCCATTGGCACCGTCGGTCTCTGTCAAACGGCTTAATAGCGTCGACGAGATTTCTTTCCCACAGAATCTTGACCCCATTCCACCCGAAGTGGCTGGATGGAATGCACAGGACCACGTAATTTTCTGTCAAGAAGAAGCTGTGGATGTACGCGGGTGCCAGGTCGGGGTCCGATATGGTGGCCAAGACGTCCGTTGTCCCCGTCGCCGCGTTGACGCGGAAGACGCGGTACGTCGCAAGCCGGCCCAGAGCCAAGTTGAAGTTGAACCAATCTCCGGTCTCGGCGTCTTGTTGGGCGTGGGCGCAAGAAAGCACCCCCTGGAGGTCGGGATGGAGGCGCTGTTGATTCGCAAAACCTAGCGGCTCGAGGGTGTCCGGGTCAATCTCCTGCAGCGCGCAGTGGTCTGTGCTGATGTAGACGTTGCTGACTCCTGTCCGGTGGCCGCTCTTGGTGTCGGCGGGCCCGTTTGCCGGCAGGCCGGGAAAGTTGGGCAGGCAAGCGACGTTGTTGTTTAAACGCCGCGGGACAAAGAGGCTCATGAACTTTGAAAAGATGCCCACGCAGGGATCGGCTCTCTGTCCAAACGAGGTGCTGGAGCGCCAGCCCGCTTTCTTGACCTGTGCGACGTGATCCTCAGACTGCCGCCGGGACGAGTAAACAACGGTCGTTTCCCCATCACCGCCGTGGGGAGCAATGATGTCGAACTTGTGGGTGTGGGCGAAGCCGTCAAACCAGTGTGAGACATAGTGAGTCCCTCTGGACGTGTCCTCGACGCTGCTCTGGCCGGGGCCTGTTCGATAGAGCGAGCCGGCCGCCCATGCGGGGATGGTGCCTTTGATGCTCAGCTGGAGTGGTCCCCGATGCTCCTCGAGGCCCTCGAACTTGAGTTTTTCTGTTAGCGGGACGGACTGGCAAAGGGGACGGGGTGCCGCTCTTGGGCGTCATCGCACCCCGGCGTGGTTGGGCCAGTCTTTCCACGACTCGTTTTGGATGTTGTGGAATATCTGCTCCTTGTCTTCCTTCTCGTTCTTGGCGGTGCGATGGACAACGCCGAACGCGTTGACGGCCATGGCTAAAGGCGAGGGAGGCGGCGGGGGACGTGGTTGAAGGGACGACGAAAGAATAGGCTCTCTCCAGGCGGATGGATGCTCGTGCGCGGCCCCACGGCAAGGGCTCGGCAGGTGATGGGACGAGGATGATATATCTACAGCGGAATGGCGCAGCTGGGCTCAGTCAGTTGCACGTCTGCGATGGCGACGCAGCTGTCACCACCTGGCGATGCGGGTAGCCTGGAGGCGGTCGAAACAAAGTTCCTCCAGAAGTGCCGAGGCACGACCAGGCCCAAGTCGCACAGAGGTCCCCCATGGCTGTTCGCTCGCTCCCCTATTCGCTTTGCGCGGATAGATGCGGCTATTGGCCAAGGAGCGCGCTGTTGCTGGCCAACGTACAGTAGTATGTAGGCAGCAAACGAGATTTCCCATCAACAGGCCTTGCCGCGGCCTGTGCTTACTCAGTCAGGATGGGCCCCCAAACTTGGATATGCCTTATGAAGCATGCTTTTTCTCTTGCATCGCACCAAGGGCCTTTTCGGGCAGGTGTCTTTCCGTACGACGACGGGGCATGCCCAGACCCCGACGTCTGAGCCATCGCCTAGTAGTCGAGAGGCCCACCACCCATGGGCCACAGCGCAGCGGCAAGCGAATGCGAGCCAGTTCTGCTCGGGGAGCCCCATGCGGCGAAGACGCTGAGGGGGGATATACCGTGCCCGCTCGGGGCCTGGCTGCCCACCATGTGCCACATTGTCCCCATGAATTGGCCGCTGGCGTCGAAAAATGGACGCCTTAGGAGCGGCTCGTGCCCAGGCTTCGGTTCGACGTGATGGAGGGGCCGCTCGGCTGTTCTAGATGGCTGCAGCAGCCGTCGGGGTGCTGCGCTCCCAGGCCCATGAGGTTGGCGCGGTGCGGTGTTCTGGGCCCGAGCGTTGCCCTCATGTCACCTGCGAAACCCCGCATTGGACCGGATGCATGTATGCGTACAATGGACGGGTTCGCGTTGGCATCAATGGACCAGTCCCTTTGGCACAGGCACGAGTCCACAGCCGGGGCCCGGGCCGCGTCGGGGGCGCCGGCGTGGGGCCGCGGCCGTGTCCGTGCACGAGCGGATCTCATGGTCGAATGGGGAAGGTTCGTGGCCAGGAGGGAGCGAGCATTTGAGACAGCAGCGGGCGACGAGGACGGATGGCCACGATCAGACGTCTTGACACTCGGTAATCGGAAACAAGTTTATCCTCCTGGCCCGTCTAGTCAATGAAGGCGCTCGGGGGCAATGCCGCGCGTCAACTAGCTCCAGTCAGCCGCTAGGTACTAAATACGTACTTCTGCTAGTCCTGCCCATCGCTAATCTTTGGCTTCCTATTCCCAGCATTGAAGCGGCTGCATCGAGATTCATTGCTCGCGTGTCCTCTGTCGGTGGAGCCAATCCATGAGAGAGCGTTGTTCGACCGTCCAACACCCCCTGCCAACACCGTCCTGACCAACGCTCAGAATTCAGTCAAGGACTTGCCCCCAGTCACGAAATGGAGCTCGCATCATGATACGAATCCATGGCCAGTCAAGTTTCAGCACCCTCGTCAGTCGTCGACGAGCCGCGCGGCGCTACCATGGAACGGCTGCGTTGGGCAGGGCTGAAGCCGTTTTGCATACATAGTCAACCCGCGTCACGCTCATACGAGTCCTCCACGATGCTTGGTCCCAATGGCAAACATTTCCATTCTCGCGTCCCGCCCAGCATCGCCCTCGGGCCTAACAAGGCCACGCCCTAACAAGGCCACGCCCCTCGGGAAAAAAGAATCTCTGCCGAAAAGGCCATGGTCGCCCTCTCTCGAGACAATCAACAGCCAGCGTCTCATGTGGCGTCATAGACAGAAAAGTGCACCATGTGCTCGAGCACCTAGGTTACGAGAACGGAATACGGCATGACGTGGGACTCGAGCCGACGCGTTGCGCGGAGCTCATCGCATCCACATGACAGCTTGATGCCAGAGACGAGCAAGAGGCATACGGCTGGCTCCCGTCGCGTCACGAGGTGATGAGCACCCTGTCATCTGGGCTCTTGGACAAGTCCGGGACAGCTTGCTGGCCGGGGATGGCATTATTGATGACGAGGCAGCGCACGTGCGCCCCTGATGGCGCCCTTTCTCCTGAGAGCCGAAGCACTGCAGGTGCTGTGCTCTCTCGAAAAGAGGTCCGCCATGATGCCACGATGATATGATATCCCTGGGTGGTAAGACGGCGAGCCAAGGACAAGTCGGGCAGCTTCCTTTCCATCATTGGCCATCGGCCCCGAGCGCCTGTCATTGGGCGAGAAACTCTCCGGCCGATGCCGTCATACGTTCGCGTATGGGCATCCCGCGGCCATAGCAGAAGCACGTTGCCGTCGGGTTTCACGGGTACCTCGTGACTGGAGGTCTTGCTGGGATTGGACGGCCAGCTGCAGGTATGGTGCTGCGTATCTGGGCGAGTCAAAATGAGGCATCCGACTGGACCGGGCTTCCCATTGTGAGAGTCGGGCGCAATGGCTTCAAGTCTGAGGTTGGACAGGCCGTTGGGGAGGGAGAAATCCATTGAGCATTTCAGGACGGGAAAACGTGTGCGTCCGCAAGGAACTCGTCGACGGCCCTCTTCCTGGCGCCACCCATAGAGGCAAGCTCAATTATCCGGCTGCCCGGAGAAGTGGCTGGTAGCTCGCTCATCCGGCCAGCGACGCGAGCCAGCAGAAAGCGCATCCTCTCCAGCTCCACCTCTACGGGGCCATTGCGAGTGATCAGGTTCTCCTGTACGCCGGCGCCATCTGTGGTGCGGAAGGGATCGACGCTTCCCTTAAGGCGGCGAAGCCTCTCGACACGCTGCCTTAGGGTTTTGCGCTCCTCGTTGAGGCGTGTGAGCCGGGACGCGGCCTCGACATATCGCTTCGCCTCCATGGGGTAATCGTTTATTTCTCTATCCAGGGGCCACGAGGGCGGGAGCGCTTCGATGACGACATCGTCGGCTGCGAGGTAATTGTCAGCATAAGCCTTGATGAGTCTCTCGACCCTAGATGGGCAGGCCAGGGGAAGAAGTACTCACACAGGTCGAGCTCCTTTAGGACAGCGCCATCGACGTCGCCCTCGGCGCCGACCTTGCGCTCGGCGTCGCGCGCATAGGCGCTGGCTATCTGGTCGGCGACATTGCGGGTGGCCTGGGGCGGGTAAACACGGCGGCAATGCTGCTGTATGGCGTGGGCGAGTGCCGAGAGGGCGTCGTCGAGGGCGCGTGGCGGGATGGGGTGATCAGAGGCGGTGTTGGCGGCGCGCCAGGCGTGAGACGGCACTGGCGGCTGAGCGAGAATGGTGATTTGGGCGGCGATGAAGGATTGCTTGACAGAGGGGACTGTGGGTACCGGAGCAGCCATGCCTGGTTGCTGATGTCGAGGTGGATACGCTCTCGGGACGGGCCTCGAGAAGGTATGGCTCGGTATTGACGGTGAAGGATCCGGAGGGATGCCACGCAGACGTGGTTACCGAGGGGGTTGGCTGATGAGGTGGTGTTTGTTGTCTGATGGAGAGGAGCCGCAGTTGCTGGGATGCAGTCGACATGACATGGACGGGTGGCCAATCAGAGAGGGGACAACGGCCGTGGAGAGTTAGCGCCTTATCACTTATCAGCTCTCCAGCACTGCAAAGTACTTGGTACCTAATTAATTAGGCACTGAGTTGACAGACAGGCCAAGACCCTCCCAGCATGTCGTAATCACAGGCACGAAGTTGCTTGCCAGCCATGAACCGACGAGAGATTTGCAATCAGGAGGAATCTGTCAAGAGTTGTTGGTTCAAACGCCGGCTCGAGGCGGAGTTCTGGGCGGCGGCTGGGCGGCGGCGGCTTCGGTGGCTTCAGCCTCTGCGGCTGCACCTGCCCTTCTGAGCCGGGAACTCGGCACTCGGCACGCTCCAAGGATTTCATACTTAAGCAAGCCAGCACCTGCCTTTGCTCGTGCTGCATCGTGACAGTTTTCTCTCCCTCTCTCTTCTCCTCTCTCTCCAGTCACGCAGAGGACACGAGGGGGGAACCCTTCTTCACGGAGAATCTCCCCGTTCCTCCCGAGATGACGAGCAAACACATCAGAGACACGGCACCAACAGCACTGGTCACTGGACCCGGACGGCGCAACGGAGAGAGATGCTTGTACCGGATATCAGGTCCTGATGCCAGTCCCTGTGCCTCACGACGCGCAACTCGGCCTGTCTCGATGGAGAACATGCTGATGAGCAAGGCCGTGCGGCACAGCGCTCGCTCTCCTGTCTCGTCGTGACTTGCGCATGCCAGCACGACGCCGATGCATTCGCCCCTTTTTCAGAAGACGACGACGACCAACGCCAAAGTTAGACGAGATGGATGCATCGGCTTGCAGGGGGTGCTTGCTTACACGGCTTGGAGATGCACTCGTCGCTGTGCAGCCGAGATCCATCCATCCTCAAGGAACATCTTGGCGCCATCGTCGGGCTGCTCAACGTACGGCGGCGGCATCACGCACACAGCCTTGTCTCAATGACCTGCGTGCTTGTCTAGACAATGCCATGGCATCTCTCTTTCATCTATTCATTCTGCACATTCATCATTTGTCCGTCTCGGTGTGCCGTCGCGCCCAGTGTGTGCCCCGCGTCTCGCTACTCGGCCTCGCGCCCGCTCCCGCAAAGCCCCGACGCTTCCAGCTCACCTCACGCACCACGACGACGAGCCCTCAGCAACAAAGGATCCAACCAACGTTGACTTTGGTCTTGTTCGCGCGGCTCCACAAAGATCGGCACTCTTGGCTGCTTGTCCAGGGAACCCTCCTGAGCCACCCCCGGCTCTTCAGCCAGCGTGCAGTCCCTCCTTTTTGGGCCTCAAACAACATGCAATGCAGCGTCTCGGACTTTCCCGTCAAACACGCAAGCACGGTTTGTCTGATGCGGAATAGGGCTGAGCAGAAGCTGGTTTTGCTACCTGGCGCACATGCTGCCCGAAAAGAGAAGCTCGACCAATGGCGGCCGCAGCAAAATGACAACGTCTTCGGCTCGTACTTGACCAGTTCACACACCAACCGGTGCTTACTCACTTCCCAACGCCCGTGCATGACGACGACTGCCGCAGCAAGGCGCAGCCCGCGGAGCTGGGGACCAGAGATTGGGCCGGCTCGTCACCGCGAGCTGCCCGCTCCGGCGCACGGGACGACAAGACGGCGGCGCGAGACGACTGCTTGCAGAGTTAGTTGGCTGACGGACGTACTTATCCTGTACAGCCAACACGCTAGGTACATACTCTGCTTGGACAGCCATGGCGGCGTGAGGGTTCGCTCTGTCGAGCGCGAGTTCGGCCGGCGGTTGTGGAGCCCAGGGCCGCGGCGAGGACGAGACATGCATATACGGTATTTATTAGTCTTGCTCGCATCCACCTTTCACCCTCGGGACCCTCCATTGCAGAAGGCTAGCCTTGTCCAACGATTGCCTTCTTCCTCGCACCAGAGCGCCAGGCCCTTATATCGAGCTTGCCTCGGCCCCGTCTAGTCCCCTTTCGCCCCTCACTCACTCCCTCTTCTCTGCCTGGGGCCCTCCGTCTTGCCTGCTGCCGAGACCCAGCTACCTCGCTACTTTCCCGGGGATTCCTTTCGTTGTCACAGCGCCATCATCCACCAAAAAGCCGATCTATCGACACCATGGTTGTCGTCGATCGACCACCGGCCAACGCCTTCGTGGCCTATGCTCGCCGCGTGTACAACCCCCTCGGTTTCGCCAAGGGCTACAACTTCACCCTTTGGTTCATCTTTGGCGGCGCCTTGACGGGCTTCACCCTCGCCCGTTTCATGTACCTCAACATCGACGGCATCTTCTGCGGCAACGGCCCCAGCGGCGCCGTCCCGGGCGAATGCTACTACTACCGCAGGGGCGTCGAGCGCGCCGGCCTCATTTTGCACCTGGCAGGTATCTTGCCCGCTGCCCTCCTCGCCGTCTTCCAGTTTGTGCCCGTCATCCGCCACAAGGTTCTGCTCATACACCGCATCAGCGGCTATGCCATCATCCTCCTGTCCATTGTCGGTGTCGTCGGCATCTTCATGATTGCCAGGCACGGCTTGGGCGGCGCCCTCGACATCCAGAACGCCGCGGGACTTGCCGCCATCATCTTTGTCACTTGCAAGGCCATCGCCTTTTACAACATCAAGGTGCTCCAGATCGAGCAGCACCGGGCTTGGATGCTGCGAGCGTGGGTCATTGTAAGCCAACCCCTTGCCTCACGAAGCAAGCATGGAAAGGCGCTGATATTTCAGATAGGCCAGCTTCATCATCACCATGCGCCTCATCGGAATCATAATGGCCTACATCATTGGACGCCCGGGAAGCGAGTACTATGTCGTCCAGCCGTGCTACATTGTCGACAACATGTTCAGGGGCAGCCAAGCGGCCGTCGAGGCTCTTTACCCCGACTGCCGAGCCTATTACTCGGGCGCCGATCCCAACGTCCACGTCCCCATCCGCGCCGACACGACGACTGGCCGTCCGGATGAAGCTGCGTCGGCCTTCAACTCCACATTTGGCGCCAGTGCATGGCTCTCCATCTTCCTGCACACTCTGGGCGCCGAGCTCTACCTGCGACTGACCCCTGCCGAGGCAGAGCGTCTTCGCCGCGTCTCGTACCAGCGCCAGCTCGAAGCCGGCATGAAGAACCCAGGCAACGGCGGCTTGACGGTTCAGCGTTTCGGAGATGCCGAGCCCTGGTTCCCCAAGCAGCAAGAGGCGCGCCAAGTGGACGAGTCTGACTCGGCCCCCAACGACGCCGCGGCCTCTGAGGGGACACCGACCAAGACGCCGACCCAGGAATGATGCAATTTATTAGGGCAGCCTTGACGGGGAGTGTCTGGGGTGGTGAGCTAGCCGGAGCCAAAGCCCGCTGCACGGGACTTTTGACCTGGGCAGTTTTGTTTTCCCGCGACTGAGAGATTACCATTTTCGGGCCCTTTATCTACAGCCACGGGCTGCGCGGAGACAGTAACCAAGCAAGGCGTAGAAACTGGGGATGCATGAGACGTCTGCTTATATGTTGGGCACGCGCGGTATGACGGGAATGGGAAAATGGAAGGGGCGGGAAGCACTTGGTCGACGACGATGGGGATAGACCTTTTTTTTGGCGCCCTGTCTTTTCTTTTGTCTTCTAGAAGATACCACATTGAACTGTTTATGTTTTGCAGGTGCTGGCGTCTTTTCTCTCCTAGAAAATACCACATTCAAACAGTTCAGATTCTGCAGGTGCTGGGCAAGTAGTGAGCGTTGCGAGACGAGTCGGCATGGTGAACCCTGACCCGTCGTTCTCGTTCCCGCTCCCATGCCGACCCGGGCACCACCTTGTCGGCTTTGGGGTTGCGAAGAAGCTGACAATCAGCCGGCATGGCGGCTGTGAAGATGGGCGGGAAAGCGTGCAAGGGTTTGCAGTGTGCAGGGGGTGACGTGACGAGCACGCTGTCGAAGGTATGCATGTAGGTGAACGAGACGGGGATTGTGTGGCAAATCAAATGCAAGACGGCCGATGTGGCTGGGCCAGAAAGGGACATGTGACGGGAGGCGGGACGATGCGGGCTGGCGTCTATTCTGGGCGAGGCTTGGGGCTGCGTCGCGGTGTCGAAGTAGTCGGCCGGTCGGAGGCTCGGGGCTGAGGTCCGCCGCCGGGACCCACTCGGTGTGCCGGCGGCCCCGGACCCGCGGCCACGGATGGTTGTGCTTCGGTTTGGTATTGGGGTTAATAGCAGGGGTGCTTTCCCTGGAGTAAGGCCTGGGGATGAGGGCGTTGAAGCGGGTTGCGCTGGCGGCGTGGGTTTATGGGAGACGGTGGCGTCGCGATCAGGGGACGAGGGGTTGGGTTTTTGGTAGCTGAAGCTTGAAGAAGCGATGGGCGTCGTCTTCATCTTTGATCCTTGACGGAGAAACCACGGCCTCAGTGCGTGACGGCACCGGTCGTCTGCCGGTAGTCCACTCTCCGGCCCGCCGGGGCCTGTCCGCCGAAGAAGCGGAGTGTGGCCGCAGCCCGGGCGCGAGGATGACGGGCGGCTGGTGCCCTGCGGCGTGCTTTCGCCAGGCCGCCGGGGAGAGGAGCACGTCACCGTGCCTGTACAGTATATAAGAGAAGGAAAGGAGACGAAGGTTTGCCGTCATGGGCGGGCAAAGCATCCGGTTGCCATGCACGGCTCCCATCGGCTCACCCATCCTCATCGCGCTCCGCCCGCTTCGCCTCTGGCCTGTTGCGCGTGCCGAAGCGACCGGGCTGCGTGCCATCAAGGGGTAAGCTCCACCACACAACGGGCATGGGCAACGCCTCCATTTCTCTTCCATCCTCGCTCTGCTCATTTCTCGTTGGTGGGAAAACAAGCAGGATCACGAGGAAAAGGACCCCAGGCAGAGGGACTTTTGTCGACTGCTCTCGACACCCTGGGGAGAAGTCGGCCGATTCACCGCCCACGCTACGCTTTGTCCTACCGCATCGTCGTCGAATCCATCGCCTGCGCCTCTGCAATAGCCGCGCCTCCCCGTCGCGGGTACTGCCCCCTTGCCATACTGCCCCCTTGCCATACGTAGGTGGATAGGAGCAGGGGGGGGGGGGGAGACTCGGAGGAGCAAAGGCGGCACTTTGGCTGGCGCGGCCCTGGCCCAAGGTTTAGCTTGTTCTTGTCTGCTTGGGGCATGTTGACGTTTGACTTTGCATTCCGCACCGCATCGATCCGCTTTCTGGAGGCGGGCAGGGCAGGCTTGGACCAGGCAGCAGCCCGAGTGCGATGACATGCTGCCTCACCGTTTCTACTGACACGCCTCCCCTTCCTCCTCTGTCTCCGGGATGATCGGTTGTTGCTCCAAGGGCAGGTCGTTCGCCGAGGACGGGGTGGATCGGAGAAAAGGTAAAATCTGTTGTTTATTCTAGAGCTCTGTTCGTGTCTAGGTGGCCAAGAGCAGTGTGAATGGGGGTTGAGTAGGTTGTATGTAGCACGGGGCGGTGCGCCGTAGTCAGGCCGGCAAATGGATCGTAGCGGGAGAAGCGTGCCGCCGCGTCGGCGTTGCGGCCGAAGCCCTTTCGTGCCTGAGGGTTGGAGTATAGTATGGTCTGGGAGGGTCTCGTCCCTATTGCCTCTTGTCGTCTCGGAATGGCAAAGCCGAGCGGCAAACAAGGAGGCCAGAAACCCTCACCCTCTCAAGCACGGCGCAACAGACCGGCCGGGCGGACGCCAGCCTGAAGCCCCGAAACCCCGGAGGTCCGGCGTCCGGCTCGAGAAAACGAAGACGGCCCGACCGGCGACGAAGCGAGTCAGCCCCAGGGCCCCGGTTGCTGCACCTCGGACGATGCATCGTAGCGTCCCGCGGTTTCTGACTCGGGCGGATGCGGGGAGAGGCGGCGGCGGCGGAGAGCCAAGGGAGATTGGCTTTGGCCTAGCTGTGATGGGCCGCTTTGGGCGTTGTTTGTCTCGGTCGGCATGGGCGTGCGGCTGATGCGCGGCTAGACTTGGGGGACGGGGCCCGACTGGACGCGGTATGGGGGAGATGGGAAGCGTGCGTGGGATGCTCCTGCGGCACCGCCTGGAGCTCGCGTGTCAGATGAGGAGCGGTCCTTCAACGCCGCATCCACGGCCAAGCCCGGCGAGACGTACATGAAGCTTCCAACAGTCGGACTCTACACGCAGCCGGGCAACAACCTGCTCGCAAGGGGCCAGCCACCCGGCCCAATCCGCACCACACCCGTCCAACCGTTAATCACGGCTGCCTCCAGGCCGGGCCGAGCGCCCTGGCCGAACGATCTGTCGCAAAGCCCGGGGGGGGAGGATACGATGACACGCGGTTCCGAGCAGGGCAATGTCTCCCAACAGGCCAAGGACACTCCTTGCACCAGGCCGGAACATGTTGTCCCGAGCGCCGCGTGTGAGCAAGTTTCTTTCCGCCCCCTCCCCACAGCATGGCGAGGAAGCATAGCGGTGCTTTTTGGCAGCGCGGCGGGAGCGCTGGCGTGTCCCCACGGTGCGCCGGGCGGACTGGGAGGGGGGTGGTTCTTTGGGTTCTGCCCTGGAGAGGCGGTGCAGGAGGCAAGGGGGCTGAGAGATGAGGGAGAGAGAGGGAGGAGTCTTGGCGTATATACCGTCCGGTTTCACCTCGGACCCTTTCCCATTTTGTTCCATGCGGCTGCTGTTCGCGTCCTGTTTTCCGCGTCATCTTTCCTCGGTCCGCTTATTCTTTCTTCTAGCTAGGGTGGTGACGTCTGCCGCAGTGTATATACAGAGTCGTGAGCGTGACGGCAGTTGGGCTTGACTTCTCTCCGCTGCCGACTGCCGTCGTTCCTTCCCCGTCCACCCCTCCCTTCACCCACGCCCCCCTGGGCAACAGCCAGCCCCACTTTGGTGCCACGTTTTCGTCTCCGCCAGCGCGGCTCCGCCGTAGCCTCGGGAAAGAGTCCAACGGTTCCGGCACAGCCAATCAACGGCGGGCCGGCCCCACCCTTTTGCAACGGCTACTTCTACCGACACGACACACACACACACACACACACACACACACACACCACACACACACGCACAAGAAGCCCGCTCGCGCCTCCCACCCGGCAGAGCCAAAAAAAAGGGACGCCCGCCGTGGGAGGGCAGTCATGCAAAAGCGTCGGCGCCCTTTGCTTCGAGCGCGGGAAACGCATGAACCCATGCGCGTCGACGGGAGGGGAGGGCGTCGCCGGGATCTGCGACGGGCTGCTTTGTTTTGGCCTTCGTCCTAGAGAGAGGGCCTGGAACAAGGAAGCGCACCCTCCCCTGGGGCTGCTTTGTCCCGGAACGCATCGGGCCCGGCGGTGGTGAGCGACAGCCGACGGCTACCGCGCCCAGTTCGAGCAGGCAGGCCGTGTCGACCATGACGAGGCACCGCAGCCTGCTCTGGCCCCCCCGTCGTCGGCTGCCCCGGCGATGCGTGCATGCAGGGACTGCGCCAGATCAAGGCCGTCGGCGGGGGGGGAGCAAATATGCCACGTCGTCTCCGCGGCCGCGTCGTCTCGACAGATGGCCTTGACCTCGGCCACGCATGGCAGGCATCTACCTCACAGACAAGCGTGCGCAGGCCGGCAAGTTGTGTCATGTGTGTGGATAGACAGGCGGGTAGGTATTAATTAGGTGGGCAGTCGGCAACGGGCAGTCGGCAACGGGCAGCGTGTATGTACATACGCGTCGTGAGCTTCTGCAGCACCCGCACGCAGCCCCAGCGTGCATGACAGCGAGCCACACCCCCCCCGTCCTCGACTACCTTCCCGTACCATATGGACCTATACGGATACCGTCTCCATTCACCCAGTCCATTGTAGCCAGTACAGTGCATACAGACAGGGAAACGCCGGGCATCCACGCGTCCTGCCCGCGTCCAGGTCGGCAAACACTATGCCTGCGCTCTCCGCCACGGCACCGAGTCTGGGATGCCGTTCAATCCTGCACAGCAGATGACCGCACTCATCTCAGCCCATCGCGTCTGCCCCGACAACCCCACCCCCCGATATCGGTCCCCTCGGAACCCTACGTAGATGATTCCATCTGCCTGCCTGCCTCCCCCCCCCGTCATCTCGCAGGTACGAAGACGGCGGTGCCTGCGCTGCATGCCCGAAGTGGGTGCATGCACCGCACCGCACCGCAACCTCAGATGCTGCTGCTGCGCGCGGCGCCCTGCCGAGCTGAAGCCTGGCACCCCCCCCCCCGGCTGCCAGCGGTTGGCCATTGTTCATGCCTACGACGGGAGCTGACCAAACGCGGCGGCCAGTAACCACGGCAAGGCAAGGCCAAAGAAAGAAAAAGCCAAAAGAAAAGAAGAGAAAAGAGCCGAGGCGAAAGCGCAAGTGGCGTCTCTCCCCGGGGTCCGCATCGCCGCCTCGCGCATCGGCGCTGACGGCTCCGTGGCAGGCGGAGCCAAGGTCGAGCCCGGACAGCACGGCAGAGGCATCAGCACGCGAGCCCAGGTGCCTGGCAAGGACGTGATCTTTGCTTCTTCCCACAATCCAGAAAAGGTTGCGAGATACATACGGGCGTGCACGTACGCGCACCCATCTGTCTCGGTCGAAAGCTTGTCCAGTATCCGTACGCCGAGTCCATGTCGCCGACCAGCTATATCCGGCGCAATAAGACGCGATATGCCCCGTTTGAGAGAGATCCAAGGCGCAAGCACAATGAACCCAAGCTCACTCGCGTAGAGAGCAAAGCCCTCACGGCCGCCCTCGGCGCCCGTCGACACATGCAGGCCGCCCACCGGCCAACGTCCACTCCACCCACCCCGAGATCACAAACCATCAAAAAGCCATTCGTCCTCTATCGGCCAGGCTCCTCACTCCCGTCGCATCGGCATCTCCCACCCTAAAACACTCACATCCCCGTTCATCGTCCCGAGCTTCCCCCTCTGTTCATCTCAAGTGGTAGCACCACGCACCATCGAACCCTGCCTGCCCGCCTTCTCGACCGGCCCCCGGGCTACTACCACCTGCCTCCTTCTCCTCCCTCGTCTGTTCCCACTTCTGTGCCGACGCCATACAGACAGAGAGGCGATGCGCACTTATCACGGCGAGACGACCGCACCCGGGTGGGGCAGCGTGACCATGATGACGGCGTAGGCGTGCGAACTCGTGCGAGCTGGCTAGGCCGAAGCATAGAGATGCAGGCTGCCAAGCTATTTCAGCCGCCGGGAGGTAGCGAGTAACATGGCGGAGATGGCACTGCAGCCCCTCGGATCTGGTTCATCAGACTGACAGGTCCATTGTGTCTCTATGCCTGTGCCCTGCTGCTCCCCCTCCCTGTCATCCCTCTTCGTCTTCACCATGTGCTCACGGCCAGTGCAGACCATGCAAGTCCGCACCCGTCGTCGTAACACCCATCAAGCACACCACTCGTTCAGGCAACCGTGGTTGTGATATGATTTCATGCTTCATTCAATTCACATGACCAGCCATACACCGCTCTCCCTTCTATAGTTTGCCCGTGGTATCCCGCTCTCTATGTAGAATAAGAAACATGTGCACCCAAACACCTCAAAACACATGCTTTCTCGCCCATTTCCCCTCACGCTCTTGCGCTCTCATGGGCCACGTGAAGAGGCAGGAAAAGAAAAAGCATCCTCGTAAACACGAAAAAAAGTAACATCGCTGGGCCGAAATCAAGACAAATCTCGCGGCTATTCGTACACACAAAACCCAAAGCCCCACCCAGCAATGCTTTTGCTCGCGCGAGTTCCGCAGAGGGTGTCCGACGGTGACATCGACTAGGCCCCAGAGGAAACGCCCAGTGTTGCCTATCAGGAAACACAAAAAAAAACCGAAGAAAAGCTGGAGAGCGGCATTGCCGCGCCGCCCTTGTCGGTTGGCTGCCCGAGGAGGACCGTCAGCCTGCCTCCTTGCATGGGGCCGCAGCACCCGCATCGGGCACTGTGCTCGGCCTGACAGCCAATAGTCGACCATCCTCCATCGCCTGGTCAGCGGCATGCTGGCTGCGCACGCCGCTGGTCCCGACGCGGCTTGTCGCCACTATCGGACCCAACGGCGGAAGCGAGAGAGAAAAAGCAAAGCTGCGTCGTCTTCATCGGCTCGTCATCGGGTGTGGGGGAGGTTGCGTCTCGGCGCCCCTGTCGCCCCAGCGGTCCCATGCCAGATGGGCCATTGGAGCTGTCGACATGCAGTGGTTGGTTGCGCAGCCCTTGAGCAGACGCCAAGCAGGCTCGCTCCGCCGTGACATGAGACGCCGAGCATGCCGCCGGCACCCCCGCCACTGTCGCGCGGTGGCCCAAGGCCAGGCAGACACTTGCTGGCGCGAGAGCTTATCGGGAGACGCAAGGCGAGGGCGAGGCGGCCTCGTAGTACATGGGATACATGTTCCAGGCCTGGGGCCGCTGCTGGTGCTGCTGGTGGGGGGACTGGTGCTGCTGGTGCATGTAGTTTTGGGCGGCCATGGAGTGCATGTCTTCAAACTCCATCTTGACGTCCTTTGCGGAGCCCATGTTGGTGCCGTGCATCATGGAGGCGGGCATGCTGGTGGGGATGTAGGCGGGAGTCGACGAGTAGTCGGCGTCGTTGACCGAGGAGCAGGGGCTGCCGACGCTCGAGGCCCACGACTCGCAGTTCTTGGGCAGGGAGACGTACTGCTGCTGGGGGTATTCGGGGAGGGAGGCGTAGTCGGGGCCCGAGGGCAGGGGGGACATTTGCGGGCTGGGCATGGTGCTGGCGACGCTGAGGTTGTCGTCGTAGACTGAGGGGCAGGGGGTTAGCCGCGAGAGGCTCTGGCACAGGAGGAGGGCATGAGGGCCGTCGGCGGGGGTCGCGGTCGTGTGGCAGTCCGTACCTGCGGGAGCCGAGTATGGCGACGAGGTGATGGAGTTGGAGTCCTTGAGGCGGCGCACCTCGTCCTCGAGGGCGCGGTTGCGGCGCAGGAGTTCCTGGACCGTCTTGTCGCGGCTCTGGTTGCAGCGGAACTCGTCGAGCTCGCGCTCCAGGCGCTCAATGTGCTCCTTGGTGCGCGCTCGGATGGCGCGCTGGGCCTCGCGGTCGTTGGCCCGCTTGCGCGCCAGCTGTGAGGGCGTCAGGGTCGAGACGCTGCGGGTGCCTGGGAGGGGACGTTAGCGAGACGACGGAACCGGGGGAGGCTGCGAGAGAGACTGACCCTTCCGCTTGGACGACTTGGCGGGCTCCGCCGAGGACGATCGAGGCATCATGAAGGCGGTGGGGGTGGGGAAAAGAGGCGTTGTTGGTTCTGCCGTGGCGGCGGCTGGGGTTCCTTCCCTTGTCTCGGTGAGGCAAGGAAGGAAGGAGCGAGAGAGGAGGAAGGAGAGGCGGCGGCCACGTAGGCGACGGAAGGCAGGTAGGGCCGGTGGCGTGGACAGATGCTGACGGTTCCGGTGGAGGTGGCGAGGAGAGCAGTAACGGTATATAAGATATAAGTGCGTATATCAAGAGGAGGTGGATGGATGGAGATGGTGGCTGAGTACGGGCGACGACGACGTAGTGGAGCAGGATCCTCAGGACCTCTTTATCTTTCAAAGTGAGCGTCTCTCTGTGCGTGTTGGAAGTTGCAGGGCGATCAAGGACAGAGCCGGTTGGCAGGTCGAGTCGGCATGATGGATATATAGATATATGGCTTGGGGAGGGGGACGGGGCCGTACGGGGCAAGGCTCGTCGCACTGCATCCATGCCTCCGCAGCCTATACCCGCCGGGGTCCTGGCGGGCGGGTCTTGGTCGGAGTGGAGTTGAAGAAAGAAGAAGGTCAGGGGTGAGGTTCTGTAGGGAGAGATAGAAGGGGGAGAGGAAGGGGGCGTGCGAGGCGGGCAAGGGATGTCGGGGCGTGGCAACCGTGGAAGCCGGGTTTGAGCGATTGTGTCCGTCTTGGACCACAGCTGCGCATGGAACGGACAAGGGTATGCCTGTATGCCTGGTCTCTGGCTCGAAAATGAGCAAGGATGGCAGCGGTGGTGGTGGTGTGGGTTGGAAAAAGGGCTGTCGAAATGCCGAGGGGCCACAGTGGGATGGATGGGATGGGCAGGGCTCGGCGAGGGGTGGGATCGCAGATGGTGACAGCATGTTGTTTATTGCTGGACCCAAACTCTGCTTCGGACGTGGCCTGAATCCCCGGAATATTTGGCAAGGGGCAGCGGCGGCGATATCAGACCGCGCGTCAACGAGAGCTTTGACAGAGAGAGAACCTCTCTGTGTCCTGGGGACCCTCGTTGGGGGGCCTTTGTCTGCCAGCGCTCCCTCCACATGGGCTCTCAGCGCTCCTCCATGTGGGCTCTCAGGGCTCGCCGCCACCACCCCCCACCCTCCCTCAGGCCTGGTGGTGGTGGTGGTACGAGCGCTCTGCGCGCCGTTGACCGTATGTGGTTGGCAGGTACCAAATGCATGCACAGGCGGTGCGGCAGGTACTTGCTTGTGGGCCCACCGGCCAAACCAGAGGCTCCTTGGGCGTTGGCTGACCGACGCTCTTTGTTGATGAAGATTCTCACGAGATGATGGAGTGAATGTGAGTGCATCATGGCAGCTTTCCCCTTGTTCGTTTTTCCCGGCGCTCTCCCCTGGCTCGCTCAGTCGAGACGGACAGGAGAGGGACGGTGGGGCCCTTCCAGCACTGCCAATGCACCACCGGTCCAGGCCCCTTCAGTGGCCGGCTGTTATTAGGTGCTGGGCTGGGTGCTAGGTTAGGTGCTAGGTTAGGTGCTAGTGCCTGTAGCAGGCCACGTCTGGCGGCCAGTTCTAGCGGCTGCTCCTTGTGCAATCATGCCCCGCGACCTCTGGAAAAGTCGCGCTGCCGACCGAAACACGGCGGCTGCCTTGCACGCACTGGGCACCGACCGCCCCGAGTCTCGATGAGACTCGGCTGAAGCCGGTACTCGGCCAACAGAGACGGACCAACAAAAAAAGGAGACAAGACAAGAGCTTGTGCGCGCGCTTTATTAAGCTTTTGGCACACTCGCTGGAGCCCCTCCCCCCTTCTCCCCCTGCGTAATTTCCAACATGGCGTCACCAGCTGCCAGCCATGCACGTGGCATCGCCGGGGAGCAGCTAATAACTGACGTACTGTACACGGTACAGTGCAGCACTGTATTACTGCCAGGTGCTCGCTTTCAAGCGTCATCACGACAGGGACGTCATGGTGCCATTCATGCAGCAAAGAAACGGTCCCGCCAGGTTGGCCATGGATGCCATGCAAGCCTCGCCGTGAAAGCCCTCCCCTCGTATCTCTGCTACGCGCGTCTCTCCCCGAACCGCGCATTAGCTGCGGTCTTGGCTTGTTCCTCCTCTTCCCTCTTCCGTCTCCTTGATTCCAAACCCCCCTGCTTGGCCGCCACCCCTCCAGACTTGGCCTCGGGCTCGGCTCGCCTTGTTTCCCCTGCAGGTGACCAGAGTAGTAGCTTCGGCATCACGTCGTACCGGGTGCCTGTGGCATGAGCGCGACCGGCTGCCGGCCCTACCAAGTCGCTCCCGACGGCAAATTCCTTCGCGTCGCCAAAGTATCGGATCTTGGCATGACGATACGAACCATGGGTTTGTAATACGGAGTACGGAGTAAGGTAGCCAGAGAGACAAATCCGAGAACCGGGAGCGGGATGAAGAAGAAAAACGGCCGGAAAAAGCAATGTGGTCCTGCGAACCATCAACTGCCGAGCCCATCGTGGCTCTCGTCCTTTCTTCTGCCCGCTGCGAGACAAGAAGTGCTGTATTTATTTTCCTCCCGCCGCCGCCATCTTTGAACTCGCCCCCTGGGGTTTGAACGGCCCTCTGGTCGTCGGCCGCGCGCTCAACGCCTTCCGGCGCGCGTGGTATCATCGACGGCCGCCCGAGACGACGTCGGGGGGGGGAGGGGGAGAAGAGGAGGGGAAGAAGAGGAAGGGGAGACGAAAGGGGGCACCGTCAACCATCGGGGGCTCCTAAACGGGCAATGAGAGCAAGAAAAGCGAGCGACAAGATAGAAAGGAAAAATAGGACCGCAATGACAACCCCCCGGCCCGTCAGCCCCCCCTGGCGTCCAGGTGTCGTCGACGGCACCGACCAGAGGGAAGCATAGATAGACACAGATACCTAGCTGTAGCCAAGCCCGTACCCAGAGCATGCATAAAGGCACCTTGTTGGGTCCAGAGTGGCGCCCCCGGCCCAGCCAGCCCGGCGGCGGCCCCCACGACGCCGTTGCGCGTCCACCCCGGCCGCCAGCGGTTGAGGCTTTCTCGCTCCAGAGCAAGTTGGCCGATTCTCATTCTACATTCTACATATGCACATGCACTTGCATACCTGCAGATGTCCCATGTTAATTACTGTAAGTAGGCAAAGGTAGGTATGCTGTACCGTGTTTGCAGTACAGCACAATGGAGATTGGCGGCATTCCGGCCGGCGCCCACTTCTCCAGAAAGGCTCCCGACGAAGGTGCTTTGGCAGCCCATGACTGAGCAGCTGGCCTTATCGGCAGATGGGGCGTCTTCGGTCGGTGCCGAGCCATGACGGATGGATGCAGCGATGCCTCACCGTATTGGTACGCCGCTTGCCGTGTCCCCCCTGGGGAGTCTCTCTCCCTCTCCCCCCCCCCCCGCCGACAGATCAACGCCGCCCAACGACGAACCGTGGAGCAGAGGGCCGACGGCCAGCAGGTCCCACCCCGTCGGTCGGTAGCGCCCTCATGCTAGCACCAACACAGCCAACACAGACGGCGGTGGAGAGCGCCAAGCCGTCGTCGGCAGGGCGCCTGTCCACTGGCCTCGAATGTTTTCCGAAGGCGGAAAATGCCGCGACGAGGCCAAGGCCCCAAAGTCCAGTCCAAGCGAGAGTCCAGCAGAGAGCCCATTTGTAAGGGTCCCAGGGTGCGCACACTTGTTCAGTCAAACGACAAACAAGCTCAGCACGTCGACGAAGCCCTTGCAAGGCCCGCGGCCCATGGCTCCCTCCTTTCTCCTCCCTTTGGCTAGGGTTCCACGCCTCCCCCTCCCCTCCTCTCCTCTCCCCTCCATCTTCAGCAACTAAATAACCCCCCGTGTGACGGACCCCTTTTGGTTTGTTTGGGCGGCTGTCTCAGGCCGAGGCTTCTAGAAGCATGTTTTGGAAGCCGGGCTTTGTCTGTACTTTTCCTGCCCCTTTGCTTCTACTGCTCGGGTGGGCAGCCGAGCCGCGGGGGGGAGGGGAGGGGGGGAGATGATGGATGATGGATGGAGTGGGTGGATGGGTGGATGGTTGGTTGGATGGGGAGAGTACACTAATTATTAATTACCGTCTGCCACTGCCACTGGATGACCCGGCGAGCCGGGTCTTAGCCACCAGGACCACTGTAATAAGCATGCAGGGATCTCCACGCCTCGTGCCATCTCTCCAGGCCAGGCCCGTCTGTGCAGCCTCGGCCCGGTGGGGACGCGAGATGCTCCCCTCTGCACCTGAACCCGAAAATAGTCGATGCCCTCTTGCCTGGGCACCATGCGCACGAGCTGCCGCATGACGGCATCGTCCATGGACGCGAAGACGCCCAGGGGAACAGCAAAAGCGACCGAAAACGGCGCAGGGCCCGGCGAAACACAGGCGAGACAGCGCCATGGCAGCCGCCCGCGGGGATCCCCCTGTCTCATTTCACACAGGCGCGATGAACACATGCGGGACCGCGCCAAGGGCGGCAGTCCCAAGTCGGGGGAGGGGGCGCCGTTGGCGAGCCTCGGCGGCGGACGAGCCCTGTGATGCCGCTTGGGGTTTCTGCTCTTGGGCTTTCTCTCCGGGCGCGCTAGATAGTAATAATAGGCACATATTTCCAATGCCGTCAGGGAGGAGGCGCCACGAGGGAGAGCGCCCGGCCGTCGTTCCGGGATTCCGGGTCCCCCCAAACCCCGAACGCCGAGGCCCCGACTCCGCCGGCACATTCGACTGGCCTGCCTATCTGATCTGATCTGATCTGATCTCGCTTGACTCTCCGTCCCCAGTCGTCGTCATCTGTCGCACGCAGCCAGCCAGCCCACTTCGGCCGGAGGGGGGGAGAGGGCGCGCGGCCGGGGGAGCTCGCAGGCAGGATGCAGCTCCGTGCAACCCATCCCACGAACCTGTAAACGGATGGGATTGATGGCCATCATGCGAGTGATACTGCGTCCACGGCCACGGGAGGCAGCCTTTGAAACCGCCGCCTGCACCGTCCGCTCGCCGTGCGTATGTGCTGTTTCGTCGACGAGGGCGTGTCTCTGAGCCCACGAAGGAAACCGAAACAAAACACAGGCGATAAAAATACAATGACGATGGACGATATATCCTCGCGCCGGGGGACGACGAGGAGGAGGAGGAGAATCAGAGCAGACAGACAAGTTTGGGGACAAAGTCTAAAACGGGACAAAGGACAGGGACTCGACAAGAAGAAACGCGGGCTGTTGCTACCAAGAGCCGCAGGCGCCGGCTCGAGACTGCGCCTGGCAGAAGCTGCCGCGTCCATCGTCGGCGGGCGACAGCAGCGGCAGCATCAGCATCAGGCCGTTCCGAAGCGCGTCCCAGGGGTCGACGGGGGACTGCTGCAGCCGAACGGCCACCTGATGCACGCACACACACACGCCCGCCCACCCACGCACCCGCGCAGCCCTGTAGAAGACGCGCACACACGCAGACGGCAAGCTCCGGCGCCGGAGGAGGAGGACGAGGAGGAGACGGTGGGAAATTGGGAGGACGACGCTGGGGCGCCGAGCTTTGTTTTGCCCTTGCGCACCCACCACCTCGCCGCCGCGCCGGCTACGACTTGGCTCTGCGCACGTTGGCTGATACCCACTGCTGCCGAAGACGGGGGGCCGGAGGTCGAGGGCGCGCGTCGGGCCCGATGGACGAGAGCCGGCGCGAGGGATGGCCGAGATGCTGACCGAGACGCCGCGTTGCCCACCGGCGGACCTGCCGGCGTTGGGATGGGCGTGCATGCTTGTTGTTGATGATGCGCGGCAGGGAAAGGGACGGGATGGAAGTAAAAAGCCAAGACAGGTCCATTATGCCGCAGGCCCATTTCTGGCTGTTCCTGTCGTCGTCGTCGTCGTCGTCGTCGTCGGTCTCTCCACCACACTCTTGTTGATAAACATACGTTATCAGCCAAGCCGTGACGACGCAAGCCATGTACTGTAAGTAATTACTAGTCGGTGAAGAAAGCAGGGCAGAAAGAAAGTAACAATGCAACCGTGGAATCGCCCGGCCTCTTACACGCCTAGCACGTCACGCCACGGCATAAGTTATCATACATCATCCGCGCCACGCGCGCAATGCACCCGGGTGGAAGCCGCCCTTGCAGCCACGGCGCATCGCCAACAACGCCCGGGACGGAAGCGGAACACGCGCAGCCCTCATCTGTCGGCCTGTTTCGCTCCGCCGAAATGCGCATTGCCGTCGAGACCAAACCGAGAAAATAAGGTTGTCGGGCAAAAAGAAAACAAAAGAAAAGTACGCCGACAATCCCGAAATGCCGCGACGCATCAATGCCCCCGAGGGCCGGTCGCCGATCAAACCAAACCCTTTTTCTCTGCCTGGCCCTATAACACCCGCACGCATATAGTTTCTCGGCGCATCAAACGCCCCCGTCTGCCTGGCCCGACGCTGAGAGAGGCCGCCGAGGACAATGCAAGCCGCCTCGTTCTGGCCCTGCGCTCCGTGTCTCGCGTTGAGCATCTCTCCCTCTCCCCGCCTGACGAGACAGCCGCGCATGATGGCTGACGATGATGCAAAATCCTCCGACGGGCGAGGCACGGTAAAGCCATTTCCTGGTGTTGACATTGACGACTGCCCCCCTTCCATACCAGGCGGGATCTACGCAGCTGCAGCAATAGCCTCTGCCAAACATCCCTTGCGCGTCGCATCTACAGCGCATGCAGCTTATGCATAACCTTGGCCGGCCGCCTTGCCGACCCGGCGGCTGCTCACGCCTCGAACACATACGTTCTGTTGCCGCTCCTCTCTCACCTACCCGGGCCGTCGTGGAGGGAAGCCAACTCGCCCGCCGGCGGCAAAGGGCGCCCGCCGAGGCACGACGCCGGTGGCAGCGACTGGAGAGGGAGGGAGGGAGGGAGGTGGAGCGGCGGCACGGGAAAGAAGAGCTCTGCGGCCTCCCCCCCCTTTTCAGTGGGCTGCCTAACGAGAGCCTCCCTTGCTTCCCTTCGCCGGCGAGGGAAAGCAAGCATCTCGATGTCGGTCGTCTGGGCAAGCTCGGAAATGTCGGAATCTGGATATCGAGCTCCTTGCACGGCCATCCCTCGGCGGATGCTGCACCACCACCATATCCCAAATCGAGGCAACCGTCTCCCCTCTTTCACCGTCCAAAGGTAACGGCCAGTATCACCAGATGCAAAAAGTGCCGCCTTGGTGTGTGGTATGCGAAACGTAGCCCTTTTAAGGCAAAGCGCGAGCGAGACGCCATGCAGTGCCGAGAGACGTGTAAGAGATGGCCGGAGAGATGGATGCAGAGATCCACCACCGAGAAGCCAAGTCGACACCTTCTAGAAGACCGCGTCCAGCTTCTACCGTCCTTCCTCAGCAAACCCCCTCTTCCCGAGACGAGACACTGGTCGCGTGTCTCAGATCCCCCCTCCTGGCCTCCGATCCCCCTCCCTCCTCACGGACTCCACCGGCAGAATCATCCTGTTGGCCTCCTCCTCGACCGTGACCGTTCTGGGTGTCACACACACACACACCCAAGACACTAACTTTCACTCTCCCCATCCATCGTCGAGGCTGTTTGGAGTCGATAGCTCTCGAGACAAAGGAGGCGGGGAAGGGGGGGGCGTGGGAAATCTGAAAAGCCCGTGCAGACGTGGCCCTCCTCGAGGTGGTATGACGGGCCACAGGGACCAGAAGAGATGGATGGGAGGGGCAGATCGCCATCGACAGCACAGGACGAAGACGAAAGAGGGGAAGAAAAAGAGGACCAGACGGTTGCGAAGCAGTCGCTCAGCCGCCGCCTTTGCTTCTAGAACAGAAAAAGAAGAAAGGAAGAAGACTCGTGTCATTGTCTTGACGGGCTCCCTGTCCGTCACACCTCCCTTGTTTCCCCTCCCCTCTCCAGCTGCTGCGGCACCTCCTCCTCCTCCTCCTCCCCCACTGCGCCTGCGGGCTTCGCTGCTTCAGTGCGCGCCGCTACCTCGGCGGGCCTCGCCTGCTTCCCGGCCATGTCCGGATCCTCGCCCTCGTCCTCTCGCGCCGCCTCCACCAGCTCCTGCATCCCTCCCACCGTCGTCGGCCCTTCCACACCCTCCGGCGGCAGCGCCCACGCCGGCAGCTGGCTCACGTACGACCAGCTGCCCTCGACGTCCTCGTACCGCAGGCTGTGCAGCCACAGCGACAGCTCGTGCGCGCCCGGGTCCGAGTAGAGCGGCGTCTCGCACTCGCCGCACAGCTCGCCCGTCATCTTCTCCGCCCGTCGCTTTTCGTACTGGTCCACCATCTCGTCGTAGTAGACAACGGCCTGCGCCACCTCTTGCTTGCCCATCCGCGACAGCCGGCTGATGACGTCCTCGTCCGTCGTCGCCGTCCCTTCGGCGTCCGCGCGGCCCAGCTCCAGTCCCCAGACGCGCTGGTTGGCATAGATGGGGTCGTTCTGGATCGGGTGACCCAGGTACTGCAGGTGTACCCGGATCTGATGCGTCCGCCCCGTCACCGGCAGGCAGCGCACCACCGAGTATCCCTGCTTTAGGTGCCACGGCTGGCCGTGGCCGCCATCCTCGGGCGCCCGCGGCGGCCGCTGCTCCCGAACCGGCGCCGGGTAGTAGGCCAGCTTCTTGAAGACGGTGCGCGCCGTCTTACCATCGGCGCGGACGCGATTCAGGCCAAGCTTTGGCGAGATCTGCAGGATGGGCTGGTCGCAAACGACCTCGCCGTCGGGGAACTCGCCCATGACGCGCGCAATGTACTCCTTGCGCACCGTGCGCTGCTTGATCTTGCGAGTCAGCGCCTCGGCGGCGTGGACGCTCTTTGCGACAAACATGACGCCGCTCGTCAGACGGTCGAGACGGTTGCACGGATAGGGCATAAAGCCGGGGCCGCGCTCGCTCTTGAGGATCTCAATGACCGTATTGAGCTTGTACCGGCCGGCCGGGTGGACGGGGACGCCCGAGGGCTTGTTGATGACAATCATGTCGTCGTCCTCGTGGACGATGCCGATGGGCTCGGCGGTGACGGGGGGCTCGTGGCGGTGCAGCGTGTGCGAGACGAGATCGCCGTTGCGCAGGACGTGTTCGGGCCCCACGCGCTTTCCGTTAATGAATATCTGGCCCGACTCCATGGCGGTGCGGTAGTATTCGGTGGTGCGGTCGCGGAATTCGGACTCGAAGACCTCGATGAGGGTGCGTCCGCGCCAGCGCTCCTTGCAGTATGTGTTGTAGGTCCAATGGTAGGGCTCGACGCGGCGCAGGCCGTCCTCGATGTAGTACGACGGCGGCCACGGGGTGCCCATGGGCATGATCACGGGCTGTTTGTGGGCTCCCTTGATCTGGCGCGTCTTCTTTGGCTTGTCTTGTACCCTCGGCGCTTCGGCTTCAGGCCCGCGACTCGAGGATGGGGAAGAGTCCATGATTCTTGCGGCGACAGCGAGGGTCCGAGCTTGGCCGAGCTGGAGCAGATCGGCGACGACAGCCCGTGGGCCTGCAAGCATGAGCGGTACCGGGCACGAGGGAGCAATGGGACGGCAGTCTGTCGGCCTCGAAGAGAGAGCAGAGAGGGAAGGGCAGAGACGGCGAGGCTAGCTGATTGTGTGTATTGCGCCGCTGCTGTCAAGTACGAGTGACCAATGCCGCTAAGCCTTGTAGACTCTATCTTCTTGGCGCATCGACGTCGTCGTCGTCGTCGTCGTAGTCTTTGTCATGATCATCCAGTCATCAAGACTCCAAGTTGAAGGTGGAGTTGGTGCAACAAAAAAAGGGGCGGTCAACCTCGGCAGAATGGGGCCCCACGCAATGTCCCCCGGAGTGTCTGCTTACATAAGCCCCGGCCCGGCCTTCGGATCATCGGTCCGGGCAGCGACGGCCACGGTCCGGACGTCGCTTGCCAACGGCCCGTCCATCCTTACGGCCAAGTGCATCAAACGCCGGTTAGCCAAATACGAAAACTCTGCAGCCACTTCCATACAGCTCGCAGTCTCCCCACTGTGCGGTAAATAGAGGCTCTTCTCCCTCGGCCGAAGCACGGCAGGATTTCACCAGGCCCTCCTCCTCCTCCTCCTCGTCATCGCTTGTCTATCCCCCTCCGCCCCTCCTCTCCATCAACCGAGCATATATACATACACACAATCTTCTACGGCGTTAGTAAAAGCAAAGAATCATCACCATGCCTCCCTCCTCGGCCGACCGCAGGGCCCGCCGTCGCCAAGACTACCCATACATCTTGGACTATCGGACGCGCTGGTAGGTTCTGGCTTCGATTCCTTTTGAGTTTCGACTCCACTTTCTGAGCCTGCGCTTCTACACTCCCCTCTTTGTCTTTCGCTCGGCCATTTCCTTTCCGGGGATGCTCTCTCATCATCAACACGCGCTTACAGCATGCCTCGCAACAAGGAACGACAACGACATGTACGACCACATGAACAACTCGGTCTACAACTTCCTGTGAGCCTCTCTCCTGAGCCAGTGCTGGCTACCTACAGTCATTCACCATCGTCACCTCAGCTTCGACTCGGCCGTCAACGCCTACCTCGCCGAATCCTGCTCCATCCACCCGCCCACCTCCTCCCAACACCCCCTCGTTGCCCACACCCGCACCGACTACTTCCGCCCCATCGCCTACCCGGCCGTCGCCGACGTCGCCCTGCGCGTCGCCCGCCTCGGCCGCTCCAGCGTCACCTACGAGCTCGCCCTGTTTGAGCGCGGCGCTGACGACGGCCCCCGCGCCGTCTGCGACTTTGTCCACGTCTTTGTCGACCGCAAGACGGGCCGTCCGGCTCCGGGCGGCATGACGTTGGAGCTGCGCAGGGGCTTGGAGCGTATCTGCACGCAGGCGCCGGGCGATGAGCCGTCGAGCAAGATTTGAGGTGCTTATGAATTGCTTGGTTGCCGAGGTGTTTGGGATGCCGTGGTCCGTCACTCATTCGTCTCTTATTCGTATCATAGCGACTGTTACTCTTATAATCCGACATTTTTTAAGCTGCGCAAGACGACTTGCCTCGAAGCGCACTACATCATACACTCTTCATGTCCAAATCACACGCAGTCGACTTGCAAGCCAAGCTATCTCTCTCCTCACTATTCCAACCCCGTCTTCCCCCCTGCCTCCTCTCCCAACTCTTGTCAAATAGCAATCAAGCGAGCATAACGAGAAACCAAGGATGAACAGCACTCATCACCGCCCCCCAGCCTGCTCCTCGAATCGGTACAGCTGCTCCACGCACATCCTTCTCCTCCGCGCCGCCAGTGCCACGCGCCCCCTCCCCCCAACGTGGAGGCGGTGCGAATGCGCCGGACGCCGGTGGTCGCGCGGCGACAGCCCTGTCGCGTCGTCGTCGGCCTCGACTTCCCGGCGGAGCAGAGCCGTGGGATGCATGGGATGGGCTGCGAGAGGTGTATGAAGTCTCAGTGCGTGTTCTCCTTCTTCTTGTCCTGTTGCTTGAGTGTGGCGAGCCAACCCCCTTTGGCACCTTCGGAATGTGAGATATTTCGTGATTTCAGCCAATTTCCTCTCCGTGCGCTCTCTTTCAACTCTGTCGTGTATGTATGTGTGCTCGATCGGCCGATCGGTAGAGGCTGAGTGCGAATTGATCCTCGGCCAGCTCGTCGCAGCTGAAGACTCCGTCAAGGCCTCTCTGTCTCTCTGTCTCTCTCTTCCACGTTCTCCAGCTGTGTAATAGCCACTCTCAATTGCGTTTGAAGAAACAGCAATTCCACGGGATTGACGACGAGAACAAGACGGGTACCAACACCGCCCCCTCTGCGACAACTCATCAAGATATATGCGCCCTGCACCCATGCAGCACAGCACATAATACCCATGATTACATCCTCGTCTCCTCTCCTCTCCCTCTCCCCACCCCTACACAAACTTCCAGCTAAGAAGCAAGCAAGGCAAAAAAAGAACCTCTTGATAACCGTTCCCTGCGTCGTCCAATGTCCTCCGCCTCTCGCCCACCATCCACCCGCCCGCTCGCCGCAAGAACAGCTCATCAACCACCCCCTTTCAATTGAGCATTCCCCTGCCTTTGACGGCTTGCCTGCATCCTACTGTAGAGCATGCGCTCATGTACCAAGCGTGTACATGCGTCGTCATGCACTTCCAGGCCACCGCGCCACTTGACTGGCTCCCGCTCGAGCCCGTGACGGCCAATTCTTGGTCCTTTTCCCCTCCCAGCCAGGGGGCGCTTGGGTGGTTCTCGGACAACGTGGCACTGCATGCGTGAGTGCTGGACTTGCGCAGTAGCTTGGTGGGACGAGGATGAGAGAGAAAGATGTCATCAATTCCCCTCACAACTTGCATCTGCGACACGCCAATCATCGGCCCTCCTCCTCAACCCTCGATCCCAAACCCCTTGTGAAATACGTTGTCCGGATCAAAACTCCTCTTCAAGCTCCTCAACCGCTCCACGTTCTCGCCGTACGCTTCCTTCGACCGCACCGGCTCCGCCTCCATGTTGATATACCGTCCCACCGGGGCCCCCTTGTCCCTCTCGTCGCCGCCGCCATGTCTGGCGCGATGCCCGTTGGTCCGGCCAATCTGCTCGCGCAACGTCCTGCCAAACTCTGCGACTTCGTCATCGAGCGCCGGCTCCGTCCATCCAAACGACACCGCAACGTCGTAGTGGTCCCCGCGGTTGGCATACGCCGTGGCGTCTTGCGGCACCGAGCGCTGCTTGTGCGTGGGGAATATTTCAATCACGATAATCGAGGAGTCCACGTTGGGGCGCGCATCGCAGAATGACCACATCATGTCGGCCGTCTCCTGCAGACCCGCCGCGTCGAGCGGCATCGTGACGTTGCTCGAGCCCATGAAGCGGCGGAAGCCGTGTGCAAACACCTTGTTGACCAGACCGTTTACCCGCGCCATCGTCATCATCTGCGTCTCGTCGCTGACTGGCCCAACGCGTAGAAGCTCTGAAAAGTAGGCCCTCGCTTCCGCCTCCGGCCCGTGGAACAGGGGCACGGCGGAGAGGGCGCGGGTCCTGCCGTCGGGTGCGTATCCAAAGCCCAGAGTCAGGCAATGGCCTTCTCGGTTGTCCTGGACGTGCAATTTGTTGGCAACGGCCACAAGTTGGCCGAGCTTGTCCGGCGTGAACACGAGCGTCCCGCTCCACACCGGTTCTTGCCTGTGGGCGCGCGACTTGAAGCGCGTGACAACTCCAAACATTGCCCCTGCGCCACGAACCGCCCAGAAAAGATCTGGCTTCTGCGTCGCGGATGCTTCCACAGTGGAGCCGTCGGCCAGCACCATTTCAACCGCGACGAGGTTGTCGATTGTCAGTCCATGTCTCGCTGTCAGCCAACCGTGACCGCCCCCGAGGACAAGCCCTCCTACGCCGGTGTGATTGACGACGCCTGCGACGGTGGCGAGCCCGCTGGCCTCCAAGGCGCCGTCCACGTCGGACCAGAGACAGCCGCCCTCAAAGGAAACAATGCCGCTGGTCTCGTCGACATGCACCCTGCGCATGTTTCCCAGGTGAATGAGCATCCCTTCCGTGGACGACAGCCCGCTCGTTGAGTGGCCGCCTCCGCAGACAGTCAGGGGTAGCCCGCTCGCAACCGCAAACTGGACACTCGCGGAGACCTCATCTGAGCACATGGGCTTGACAACCACCGCCTGCAAAGTGGTCAGTGTCGGGTCAAGGGAGGCCGAGTTTGACAGCGGTACTCAGTCCCACATACAGCTTTTGCCTCGCGCGCCACGTTCCATCTCTTGAGGCTCGCTTCATATCCATCGTCACCAGGCACCAGCACCTCCCCATTCGGTAAGACCTCGCGCAGCTTGGTCCAGTCTAGCATGTCGGGACAAAATCGTTTTTTGTAGAACGCGTGTAATGTTTCGTTTTCAGTTTCCACTATCCTGGTCTGATCAGGCTTTCGTTCCTGGGTAAACTGTGCTCTTTTACCTCGACCATGTTAAGGCTTCTTGCGTAGCTGTGACGCAACACTGTGTGGCAACATCCAGCCTCGCGTCGATGCCAGCTGGGGGAGCACAACATATGCAGGCCGTGGCCGGGTCAAAGGCATCGCATTCATCCAGTGGCTTTTCGGTTGGTCATTCCAGACATGGCTTAGTCGGCTCCTTCAGCTTCGTCCTCCAACGCGTCGGGAAAGCCCGGTGGCAGCGTGTCCCGGAAGTCCTTGAACGCAAACCCGTACTTTTCAATGACCTGCTCGCCACCAAACGCGGCGCTGATGACTCCGTCTTCCACGTCGGCCTTGCCGCCTCTAAGCCAACGCTGAAGCTTCAGGGCGGCCTCGGCCATGTCAACCGCAACGTGCCAGTTCTCCGTGCCAATGTACATGAAGGCCGTGACCAGGAGCGTCTTGGTCATTCGCCCGTGGATCGACTGGTGAGAACTGGCCACAATGGCAATCATCATCCAGGCAAAGATGCCGCTGAGCAACGACCAGCGATCCAGGCCCACCGTCCAGGCGCAGCTCCAGATCTGAGCAAAGTCGGCCTCGCTGCACACTTTGCTGGTAGGCACTCGGTGCACAATCGAGTAGCAGTAGACAAGCGCCGTCCTCCGCACGCAGCGGTGCACCAAGTCTGGTGCGTCCTCTAGCGTTGCCATGCGTCCGTCGAACTCGCTCGTGCCGGCCTTTCTAGGAGCCATTGTGTCGTCCCCTTGTCGCTTTCTCTTCAAGCCAAACGTGGTACATCCGGGACCAGTGGCGGCTTCGGAACGGGGCGGCTCCGGGCTGACGTCTAGTGATACATCCGCGGGCAAATGGGTCACGGCCGAGAGAATCGACATGGCCGTGCTGTACAGGCTGTCCAGTTGGTCGTCCGAGGGATGATCCGGCAGCTCCACGACAGCCTTGGTCAGAGTCCGCATGTTGTCCAGGATTTGAGCCGTGTGGGGATGGAGTCGCAACGAGGACGCGGGGCTGAGAAAAGGGGGGCAGTTGAAGAGAAGAGGAGAGTTGAAGTTGACCTGTAGCGGCTCGGGAAATGGGTCAACAAAATCAAAGCCGGGCTCGCCAAACATCAAGGGCTCGGTCTCGTGAGCAAGAGCAATGACAAAGTCGTCGCTGGAAATCAACTGCCATCAGTAAATGCGAGACAAGGTGTGGGTTGCTCGACTCACATTAGGGCAACCTTGCTCGTATAGCCCTCCATGCCTAAGCTCTGAATGCCTCCCCTCAGTAGAATCATTCTCTTGAAGCCCGCCATGTGGGCATGCAGCTCCTGAGTGCTGCCCCAGTACCACGAGGTCAAGATCATCTGGGCGACGGCCAGCATTGCCGAGTCATTTGTGCACAGGTGCGGATTGGCGAGCTGATCATTGAGCATCCGCATGACTGTCTGGCGGTGGAGGAAGAGCATGGCCTTGGGGACGCGCCCCGTCTCGTTGAGGAAGCTGGCCGTGGAGCAGAGAACGACGTGAAGGACGAGCGGGTCTTGGATTGAATAGGGGATCCAGTGCTTCATAAATCGATTGTTGGGGCGCGGGCTCCCGTCGAGAGACGCCTTGAAGCGGCTCATGAGTTGGAGATCTGGGCTGGTGTCAGCATGCTGTCGGTTGTAGAGTGACAGGGCCATCGTACGCGTGCGAACGAGTTCCTTGTTCATCTGTGTGGGCGCCATGGGCAGGTGGCGGATTTCGTGGTCAAACCTAGCTAGCGATACCCCCGGCGGGCTTGCCGCCTGAGACGCCCGCAGCAAGTGAGCGCCGTCAATGTACCACTCATCCTTGACGATGCTGTTGGTCACCTTGAGGCGAGTCTTGAGGATGTACTGCAAGAGTTCGATAATGTCCTGGCCGGCCAGCACCCCCCCCTTGTCCCTGAAGCGCAGCCTCAGCATGCGCTCCGCATCCGGGGTTTGACCCTGCATGAGAAAGTACGGGCTCGCACTTCGGCTCGGCGGCGAGACAACGTCGGAGAAACTGGTGGGGACCGGGGGAGTGCCGGGAAGCTTGCCGATGGCGGCCGGGCCTTCGACCTCGACGAGGGCATCGCGGACGGATTCCATGTCAAGATGGGAATAGAGGCCACCTGCGGCGGACGCATTGTTCCTGGGTTCCGACGCCGGCGCGTACGGGGATCTGCTGAGCACTCCGTCATCAGCCCAGGGTGGGTCCGGGGGCGGGGGACAGAGGCTCGGGCGGACGGCCGATGGTCCACGTACCTCTTGTTCTTTTCGACGCCGTATTCGCAGGTGGGCTGCGGGAACCGACGGGCACAGTTGGTACAGGGCTGAGTAAGGGAGCACTAGGCGGTGGTAAGGCGTTAGCCAAGGTGACATGGGCGCAGTGCCGGAAGTGGCCGAGGTGCGGCAAATGAAGCAGAGGGACGAGGTAATGGGAAGCTTGCAGCTTGCAACCCTGGTGGCGGCCATGCAGCTCAGCCCTAGCCGCACCGAGCTCGCGTTTGAAGAGCGAGCTGACAAGACGGTCTGGCTCTCGGCCTCGACAGGTCGCCGCGCCGGGGGGTGCAGAGGATGACGGACTCGGGTGGGGAGTGACGGATGGTCGCGAGGAAAAGAAGACGGACCTTTTGCTTCCTCCTCCGACACTCCTTGCAAGCCGACGGGTATCTGGTCTTGAAGACAAGGTTCGGCTGCGGAGTCGGAGCAGGAGCCGGAGACATGGAGGGAGCGTGAGCGGGAGCCGAAACTGAGCCGGGTGGTGACAGCGACGAGCACGGTTGCAGGCGCGGCCTCTGGTCCTGCAAGCTGCCAGGCGTGATTTCAAGCATGACGAGAAGCGCGAGCCACAGCCATAGGCGTGGCGGATGTTGGGCAACAGCGTCGTCCAAGCTGGTCTCGGGCGAGCGTGAGAAGTGGTGGATGCGAAAAGAAACAAGTCGCGGAGAGAGCACAGCGAAGAGAGGCAGACGGGAGAAAGAAGAGGGTGGCAAGTTGAGGAACAGGGGTGAGCTGTCGATTGATTGCTCGCCTGCTTGGGCTCTTAGCACCCCGTGCGGTGCTCGTTGACCGGGGGTTGGGGGCGGGGAGTGGGCGGGATCGTCGGCAGATGAGATTGGCAAGAGCAAGGAGGAGCGAAAGGGAGATGAAGAGGAAGAGTAGGCGATGAATGAATGTACTCTGTACGGCGTACACACGGAGTATGGGCCAAGTTATTCGATAAGCCGGGCTCCAGGATGCCGGGAAAGGGGTGCATCTCCAGGCGTGCAGTAGGCGACTTGCACCAGGCGACTTGTTCCAGGCGAGATTCATGTCTCCGCTGCCTCGGCCGGCAGCTTGTACTCGCCCTGAGGCTCTGTCTTCTGAGGATCCATGGCACCTACGGAGTAGGAGATAGAGTGATGAGCGTGAGACGGGGGGGCCAAGGCGGGACGTGATTCGACAGGCCGCGTCTACCGTGCGTACCCCAACCTGCGTACAGATAGATGGATGTATGTGTATGTACGGCGTTTTACGCGTCCATCATTGCTGTTCAAGTCTTGAACGATGACGCCTCCGGGTATTTGCTTCGGCACCTGCCGAGCCAGTCTCTCCCTCCTGTCGAGGCGGGGCAACTGAGCGTACCGTACTGTACAGTGTAGTATGGCAGGCAGCTACTTAGGTAGGTAGGTAAGTAATTACATAGCTGCCTGACACGCACACGCACTCACACGCACAAGGGGGGCCTTGGAGGTTGACCGTAGTGGTAGTATGTACTGTGGTGGTTGTCGACGGAGACGAGTCGAATGTCAAGCCCCCCAGTGATGACGGCTCGAGAGGCATCCACCTGGCCATATCCTGCGCTCCCGTTGGCTGGACGGGTGCGTGTGGCACCTCAAGGATGACGGGGCGCCAAACTCCCGTCGCTCGCTTCGCTCTCTCGGCTTCTCGCCAAGTACTGTGTGCAGGCCGAGCCTATCACGTCTCGACGTCGGCATGGAGTCGGCACGTGAATGTCCGTACTGTATCGCAGCCGTCTCTGTCGCTGCAGCCCAAGCCTCGTCATTGTCCACCGGAGCGTCGTGCGTATGTCATGATGGTTCTGGAGCCACGTCGGCCTGAAGCACCAGAGGGAAGGAGACGATACAGTGCGGGTACAGTGCAACACCGCGAGACCTGCTTAGCTCCGCCGGCTGCAGAAACACGGGCGCTACAGTGCACTAACGCGGGGAGCTAATGCCACAAGGCGACGGTTGCTGCCGCGTCCTTGGCCTAGTTAGTACCTGATGTCACTGTTGCCTTGTTCATCTGCAGGTCACGATGGGGGCAACCGCAAACCTCGCCAGTTCCCACTCACAGCACCCTGCAACAGCCCAGCGCTGTCCGGTAGCTCAATACATCACTCGCCCGGGAGCAATTGCGTTTCAACAGCCGAGCTGGGCCGCTCCATGCGTGTCACATCAGCCAGCCAACAAGCATGCATCCAAGACTCTGGCAGTCATGCCATGCACACAGCCATTCGGAGACGAGACGAGCTGACGTCCTCGGATTAATAATAAGGCCCTTCAAAGACACACATGGCCTGATTTCATCGTCTTCAGCTGCAAGCGTCAATTCACAAATGTCTTTGCCGTCTTTGCCATTCCTCCATGGCTGATGCCCCAGATACTACCCTCTCACGCCCCCCCCCCCTCCTCTACATGCATGCATCGCAGTGGCTCGCAGCCGTGGTATCAGAGAGAAACAAGCCTTCATCAAGTCGCCAAGCACCCGCGCCACTTGGTCGACTGCGCCCTCATATCGTCGTCGCACAACAAAAGCGGAAAGGAAACAACAAGGTGAAACACGGCTTCCTGTGTACAGGACCAATCTGCCACTACTTGCAACGGTACTCGGGCTTCCGCGCCATGTTGACCGGCGGCGGGGGCCCCTCGTCGTCCACTGGGTATGGCGGCGTCGGCACCCTCGATCCCCTGCCGCCCGACGGCTGCTGCACACGATGCGTGCGAGAATTGCTGTCCGGCAGAGGCGTCTTGGGCGGCAGGGGCGGAGGCTCGATCCGCGTCGGGGGCGGCACCGCGGGCGGCGCGGGCGGCGGTCTCGGGTGCTCGTCTGGGCTCATTATGGCAATCTTGTCGGCTCCCGATGCCACCCTGTACTGGGCTGGCGTCGGAGCGGACCCCCAGAGCTTGTCGGGCTCGTCCGCTCGCGAATTCGCCACCCCGCTGTTTGGCGTTGGAGGTGGAGGCGGGCGCTGCCCAGGCGGAGGCGGTGGCGTCGTCCGCTGGTTGCCCGAGACGGGCCGAATCCGATCGTGAGAGCTCCGTGGCGATGCCGGGTTATTTGCCCCGACTTGCAGGCTGTCCGGGCCCGATTCAAAAGACGACCGGCTGATTGGGCTGTGCGGCGCTGCCGGAAAAGACGTGGGCATGTCGCCCGGGAGCTCTACCGCAAAGGTCACCCCGGGTTCCATGCCCGTCGACGACTTGACAAGCTGCGGGATGCCCAAAGCCGCTCGCTCCCAGCGGGCCTTGGCCTTTTGGATCTTGGCCAGCTTGGTGGAGATGCCTTGGATCATGCGCTGCTCAGCCTCCTGGGCCATGTATCTCCGCGTTCCCGTGCTAATGTCGCCGAGCCGGTGCCACTCGTTCATGCCAAACTCGCCCACGCCAATCTCGACGTTGAGCCGGTAGTAGTTTTCCGTATTGACCCCCCTCCTGGGGAGGTGTTCGCTCAGCATGTACTCGTGGATGTCCTCGCATCCTTCGATCTTGGCAATCAATCTCTTGCGCGCGTCGGCAAAGTCGCCAAGGAGGCCCTCGTACCACATCTGCTGGCTGCCGTCGCTGCTTCTGGGCCGCCTTCCGGTACCGACGCTGACGAAGACCCCAATCTCCCGTCCGGGCCATTCGTTGACCAAGGCCTCGTCCAAGGCCTCGGGAGCAGGATTAAAAGTCCCTACGCCGTCGTCGTGAAACCATGATTGGCCGATCTGGACGGGCTTGAAGGCGAGGCCAATGGCGCATGTCGCCCGGCCGGCCTGCCAGATCTTACAATCAAACTCGGGGGGTGGCTCGCGTCGAGAGTCGTAGGATCGCAGCATGGCGGGCGGGGATCCGCGGGGAGAGGCTTTGTAAACGGCCGTCACGGCGCTGTCGAGAAATATTCGTCGTCAGCCGGGGGTCCTCGCGGCCAAGCGGGGAGGGAGATGCACTCACGTCTTTGTCCTAGTCTCGCGAGCGTCGTATAGCCTGGCGTGTGGGTTGCCGTGTCTCGAGTTGTAGAGGGGCCGAGAAGCCATCTGGGCCGAGGGGCTGCGGGCGCTGAAGCTGACGGTGCTGGCGTTGCTCAAGTGACGCCTGGGATGCACGGGACTCGAGTGGTTGCTGAGGCGGAGGGGGTTGCCCAGCTCGGGCTCGTCGTCGCTGACGGCGTCGTTGCCCTCTTTTTCGTAAATGGTATGTTCTCGGACGCACTGCCTGATGGCGTCCTCAAGGCGGCTCGCCTTGAAGAGGGTGGAGCGGTAGGGTATGCCGGCGATGGTCTTGTCCGTCTCAAAGACCATGCGCGTCAGGCGCACGTAGAGCTCCTTGCAGGTCTCGAGGTCGAGGCGCAGGCGACCAAGCATGAGGGCGATGAGGCCTCCGGTGCCGGTGCCGACGATGAGGTCAAAGTGTTCGCAGGGCTTGGGGATCTCATGGCGGCGGGGGGCGCGGCCTTCGGTCTCGACAAAGGTTCGGTGCATGAGCTCCTGGACGATGATGAGCATCGAGTAGCCGCGGACGCCTCCTCCATCTAGACGGGCACTGGTAAGCGACGAGTCAAGAGCAGGAAGGCTTGGCTCCTTACCGAGGGAGAGGACGCGCAGGGGCGGCCCTTTGGTGGTGTCCTTTCTGCGGACACCGTACGCGTCCATGACGGCGGTGGCGGGGACGGTGAATGAGACCCGAGTCTTGACTGAGAGACGGCGACGAGGCTTCGAGCGATGCCAGCAGGCGGTTTGTCGCCAGCCGTATGTCCCCGGCCACCTTAGCTTGACAGACTTAGCAAAGTTTTAGTTGGCTGGTTCGGCAGGCTTGGTTGGTGGCCAAGAGTAGGACGACGACGGGGAGGGCGAGCAGATAAGAAAGAAAAGCGACGATCACCGGACTAAACCATCTTAATCCAACAGGCGAACAGCAAAAAAAGTACTAAGTAGTGCGGTACCTCCCTTGGCTCCGCCTCGCCCGCAGCACCACAGGCACTAGGTACTCTATACCTCGCACCTTGGGTAGCAAAACGGCATGACGCCAGCGATCCACACACCCGACTGCAGATGGTTGGAAGGCCGGCGCACGGGCTGGTCTCTCTCGATCGAGCGTGGTATCGTCGGGACCTTGGTAAATACGGAAATGGGAGCCTGGAAGCCATCCACTGAAGACCGAATCCCGGCGCAGGTACAAAGTAAGTACTTAAGGGAGCACAAGCAAGCCCCCGTATGACGCATCTTGGTAGCTCGCTTGCGCCCAGCCCTCCTCTCCCCGCTTATGGTGCACAGCCTCGCGGGTCTCTCCCGCCGTCCGGCCACGGGGGGCTTTTAACGGCTCCCGTATCCGCTCGCGCTTGGCAGGGCATATTCGTGTCGTTGTTTCAAATCATTGAAATGTTTCCATGTGTCCCGATCTTGATTAGCATACTCGCCAGCCCTCGCGCCATTTGCCGAATGGTGCCCCAATCCCTCCATGCCCCGCAACTCTTTGCACGACCAACGACGACTTTCGTCGGCTCGACGCGTGTTAGCTGCCGACAGCGCAAGAGCAATGCTCGAGATGATGCGAGTGAAGCTTCCGCCAGACCTTATGATAGGCGGAATGCCGCTCGCCTTGGCCCCGAGACAATATGCTCTGGCTTATTCGCGGCTGACAGTGCTGTGGCTGGCCAAGTGCTTGGCCTACCGGGATAGGGCCGTCTTGGGCTAAATGCGAAGGTCCCGCGGCCGGCGTAGATCATCCACGGAATAGCAGAAGGGCGACACCGTACTTCAAGTCCAAAGCATCAAGGGGCCTTTGAAGGCAAAACTTGGATGCCTTGAACGCTTTGTCAGTCATCTGCTTCCTAAATGTTGATCAAGACATGGATGGCTGGACCTTAACGATTCGGCATGTGTCCCGGCAGCCGGTCAAAGGCGGAACGAAGGGCAGGAAGCCAGGCGAGGCTGCGGTCGGTGCCCGAGCATCCGAGGTCATAGACTGCAGACAGGTCACAGGTCACTGGGTGCCGTTGGTCGAGCCCTCGACTCGGGCTAGTAGCAAGCAGCCCGTTTCACTGCCGGCCAACGAGAGCGACTGGCCACGGCCTTGGCGCTGTGGCTGTGCCAGGCTGCACCATCCATTGCCACAACAAGATGCTCGGCAAGCAGCTAATTATGTGCCTCATGTACTCATGGATGTCCCGGCAAGGCCGCAATCCCCGGGCCGATTTCGCCAAGGATTGCGTTTCACGTGGCCAAGTGGTTATCAGTCCAGCACAAGAGCGTTTGCAGTGTAAAGGGTGCTCGGACAGCAAAGGGGCCGGCACAGGCGAGGATCCCTTGCTCTACTGGGAGCGGATTGCCTCTTTCCCTTCGGCAAGCGTAATCGCGCGCATCTTGCCTTTGATGGTGTCGAGGTTCCTGACCCGAAGCTGTCATGGTCGGGCGTCTGTCTCAACTCGGTTGGGCAGCACAAGGGGCGCCGTGGCCACAGCAAAATCGACCATGGCCCGCGTCTCAGCGCCATCGACGACAGGTTACATGGCTAGTTGCAGTATCATTGAATGACTGCAGGCACTCACCACTGGCGGGCTCTTGTCCGTGGTCGTCAGGCTGATCCACGAGAGTATCGCCGGCCAATCACGCGGGCGCCCTCTAACCACTGGCCGGTGACGGAGACCGGAGTCTCCTGTGCCGTCGCACCGGGGGACCGAGAACCAATCACAGACGAAGCCTCGGCTGGACGCTGCTGTCGAGACTCTGCACAATGAGCCAGGCTGTACGGAGTACCGGATATCGTGGCGTGGCACCAGTGGCATGCCCAGGGAGGGCTTGGGCGCACGACGGGGTGCGCGCGCTGTAATTTCATGCGCGAGCGGGCGCAAGTCGAGGAGCAGGCCCGGAGCCTCTGGCCCGATGTCGCCGTCAATGGGCGGCGACACAGGCCATGTCGTGCTCGGGGGCTTTGTTGGGGAAGGCCAACAGACATTCTGTTTGGCCCCTGTCACCACCTCTTCCCTTACCTAAGCAACTCGGTCGAGCCGGCCAGAGGGGAGCTTCGAACTGCCTCCTCTGTGCGACCTCGCGGAACGGAGGACCGGTGCGTCGGCTTATGGGCTTGAAAACCCACATGAGGAATGGAGTCGGGGTAGGCATCTGGGTGAGACTCTCCGTGTGGATCGGCGTCTGTCATGGTGAGGCTGCTCCGTCAACCAGCCGTGGCCTGACAAGTCAGCGCAGAAGATACTGGGTCTCAAGGTACCTACAGCACCTCCCTCAGGCAGGGCCCTCCGGCCGCGTCGTGATACAGCATGTCCCCGGCTTGGAGCTCGCCGGTGATTGGTGGTCCAGGGCAACCCGGAGAGGAACGGCGCCCGGTCTGGCTGCTTCTGTCCATGCGGCGCACCGGCAAGATGGACATCAACCGCTGTTGAAACGCCTACGAAGCGGAGTCGGCCACCGGTCAGCTGGGCATTGCTTTCCTCGAGGGCAAGGTAGGCTTGGTTATGCAGTCGCCCCCCACGCTGTGTAGCACAAGTCTAGGGCATGCAGGTGCTCGAGGGAGGAAACTCGAGACATCCATCCATTCAGCTGTGCAGTCCAGATTCCTCGTCCCTACCACGCGCACGAGACACAAATATTACCCGTCGACACCAAGGCCCCTTTTTGCCCGACAGCGGCACCAGGCTGAGCCCACCCAATGCTGGCCTCGGCTACCGGCCAATCGTAGCGCCCGCCTCCCCCACATCCAGGCCGCCCACAGCGCTGTTCGCATGGCAGCCTCGCCAATCAGCCTCGAGGACCCCCTCCAATTCCTCCCCCACAGCCAATGGACGCCTGGCCAGCCTTATTTACTTATTAGAGGCTGGCTGTATTCCAGGGTATTTCCCTCGCCTGAATGTCTCCTCTCCTGGGGCAATTCTCGTCTACGTAACCTCGTCCTCTTCCTCCCGTCTTCTCCTCCCGCGCCCTCCTCTCCCAGCTCCTCCGCTGCCGTCTTGTCCCTCTCTTTTTACCCAGCACCGACAACCCAAGGCGGTTTTCCAACCTCAATTCGGCGCCCTCTCCTCTCGTTCGACCCCCCGCTTCTCCCCCCCCCTCTCCCACCGTCTCCAGTCCTCTCCTCGGCCCGACAGACCTTCCATCGTCCTGATTGCGCTGTCGTCTACGCCTCTTAGACCCGGCCTGCTCGTCCATGGAGCCGTCCAGTAAGAAGCGAAAGTTGGCTCCCAAAGTCGACACATCTTCGGCCCCCAACTCTCAGCCTTCCCAGTTCGCCCAGGTAACGGTCAGCCTCGACCTCCCCTCCATCTGCAGCCTTCCCTCTCTCCTTTCGTCGCTTGCAACTCTTCCACTTACCCACGTCCTGTTCTTCAGCCTCAGCCACAACAGCAACCCCAACCCCAACCACAGCAGCAGCAGCAACCACCGCCGCCGCTGCCTTATGCCGTTCACGATGCCACCGTTGTTGAGCGACACGACTTCGAGTCATTCGCCCGCCATCTCCAGGATGCTGCCATGCTCATCCAGCGTCAAACCGAACGGCCACCATACGCGGACGTGTCCGTACTGTTGTTGAATTGGCAGGACGACTTGGCGGCCCACGACGACCTCGGGGCCCTGGAACAGATATTCCAGAAGCACTACAACTTTGGCACGCAGCGCTGGCAGATCCCCACCGTCCCCAATCCAAGCATTAAGCTTGGCATCCAGCTGGCGTCCTTTCTCGAGAATGCGAGGCCCAGCCATCTCCGCATCATCTACTACGCCGGCCATGGCTTCGTGAGCCCCGACGGTCAGCTGTACTGGGCCTGGTAAGCTCCTCAGCACTGTGCATTGTCGCGACGGACCACCCGTTGATTCAATTCTTCTCCTAGCTCCGCCCGCGACGATGCGGCCAAGCTGAAGTGGGACGGCGTTCGCTGCTTGTTCGAGGACGCCCATTCCGACATTCTCTTGTTGCTGGATACGTGCGCCATCGCCGACTCCGCCCCGACCGGTAGCCACGGTGCCAAGCAGGCCATTGCTGCCTGCTCTCCTGAACATGGCTGTCGCGGCGATTCGACCCGTTCCTTTACTGCCAACCTGACCGAGGCGCTTCACAAGCTCAGTAGCGGTAGACCCTTTAGCGTCCAGCGCCTTCACGAGGAGGTTCTGTCCCAGAGACAGCAGCACCTATCTCAGACATCCTGTATATCCAACGGCGCCTCGAACTCTCCGCCCCAAAGCCAACTGCCCGTCTTCTTCACCCTGGCGCCCGGCAAGGGCCAGAAGTTAACATTGGCCCCATTGGCCTCGCGAGCACTGCCGACAAATGGAGGCGACGCGGCTGATGGACGCGCGGTGCCAGGCCGGGAGGATCAGCTCATCGACCCGGAATCGGTCGCCGATCTCAGATTTGACGAAGCTCGAATCCTGGTCTGCACCACATTCGTTGGTGACGCCAGCCCCAGCATGTCCTTTTTCAACCAATGGCTTCAAAACACCCCTCCCCTCGGCGCCAAGATTGCCGTCGAGGGAATGTTCCTGGGTCCCCCGACCATGCTTCTCATATCCATGCCCGTGTCGATATGGAACGTCGTCCAGCAAGACAAGGTCTGCTGCTATCTGGGCTATATCACATCCCACAACATGCTCCATCTATACGAAAAGCTGGTTGGTCCCGCGGGTGTAAGGCCGTCGGCGAAAGAAGTCGAGGATGGTCGGATACTCTTGGAGGCAAGAGAGCTGGCTGTAGGGACTCCAGCGCGTGTGCGGAGAGAAACCGAGGGTCACGAGCACCCGTACCATTCCTCGGCATCGGCGGACAGGTCGCTTCACGGCGACCGTCCGGAGCTCGTCCCCCAGAGCAGTCCCTCGGGGCCCCCTTTTGCCTCTGCCGACTCTAGCATCAGTTCGATCAAGCCCAAGGACGAGGTGGAGGACTCGGCTGAAATGCAGGAGGCGGCCGAGCAGCTCAAAGCTCTGAGCCATGTGCGGCATCGAAGCGACGAGACGATCCCTGCCAGCCAGCGACCTCGCACCAGCTTGCCTGATGCCGTTCCAAACCCCAGTCGAGATGCTGCACAGGCTGTTTACAACGCGACCCCTCGGGATGTGGATGATTCGGCCATGGCCACGGAACCCAAATCGGCCTCGGGATTGCGAGTCAAGGCCGCTCGACGCTTTGTCCCCAAGCAGGAAACTCGATGCAATCACTGCAGCCACGACCCCTTCAAGGACTCGTCCTCTCTGCGCAAGCACATTGCGGCCGCGCACACGCGACCGTTCCCTTGCGCCTTTTCTTTTGCGGGATGTATAAGCACGTTTGGGTCCAAGAATGAGTGGAAGCGGCACATCGCCTCGCAGCATCTTTGTCTGCAGTATTACAGATGCTCCCAGTGCCCGCAGAGCACGGCCGAGGGCAAGGGCAACGAGTTCAACCGCAAGGACTTGTTCACACAGCACCTCCGGCGCATGCATGCTCCCTTCCAGGTGAAGCGCGCCATGTCCAAGGGAGAAACCAAGCTACTCGCCGAGTGGGAGGAGCATGTCAAAAATATGCAGCAATCGTGTCTCGTCACGAGGCGCCAGCCCCCGCAGAGGTCGGCGTGTCCCAAGCCCGGTTGCCAGCACGAGTTCAACGGGGCGGGATCGTGGGACGAGTGGACGGAGCATGTTGGGCGCCACATGGAGAAGGGTGAAGCACAAAGCCTCGGCGTTGATGGTCTGCTCGCTCAATGGGCGCTTGACGTGGGCATCATCCAGTCCAAGAGCAACGGAGAGTATCGTCTGTGTGCGGCCAACGGCGCGGTTGGGGGACAAGGCGGTAGTGGCGGCGCGATGCTGGACAGCAAGGATGCATCAGGACTCCTGTCCCAAGCCGACTCCTGCCAGCCAGACGACACGTCCATGACCGACGCAAGGCCATCAGAGGACGGCCACGGTGAGAGACCGCCATGAGCCGAGAGAGGGGGAGCGATACTGGAGTATTCGACTCTTCCACGAAACTTCGATTCGGAGCATTTCTCCCGGGAGATTCATTTTTCGTCTTTCAATTCAGGTGTTCCATATTACGATCCGATTTTCGACTTGTCTCTCTTTGCTTGCCTCTGCCAGGGAGGGGAGAGGGCGACGAATAAACGAAGGTACGATACGATGCATTCTATCACATACTTTTTTCCAAGACTTTGCCAGGGCGTCAAACGCCTGGCCTTGGGGGGGATTTCACATGAAAAGTGAAGGCTTCGGGTTGCTTGTCCTTTCCTAGGGAGCGGCGTTTGCAATGCCGAGACATGGTAGTTGCACAATGGGTTCAGGGCGCGAGCGGTTCATTAGGGGGTTTGCATGGAAAAGGTAGAGAGTGAGGAGCGAGGCATTCCACTTGGCCATATCCCTGTTTGTCTTCTTGGCTGCTGTATGGAGACGGGACTGGCTCCGGAGAGCCCAGCCGGCGTTGAAGGATCAAGGGACATGGAAGGGGACGTTCAGGGTCCTACTTTTCTCCTTGTTTGGACGTTGGTCTGCGCCACTTGAACAAGGATTGGTCCTCGGCGGAGACGCGGGCACAAATAAGCAGAAGAGAACCTAGGTGGAGTTGGACAGCTTCACAGCTGCCGCATCGCGTAGACGTTGCTTTTGTGATGGTTGACCCTTCCTCCTTGTCCCGTCTCCCGTCGGTCCTCTCTGGCGTGGCATAAATGGCGGCCTGTTAGTACTAGATGTATTGGACGACAGGGCCGTTAATGGCGGACGTGACGAGCAGACCATGGTGGCAGTGTGCGTTGCTCAATCTCAGGAGCGACATGGCAGCTCTGCTTCTGAGGATGGGGGCAGGTAGCCGATCTTTTTCTTTCCCCACCTGACTGAGCAAATTCCTCTCGCGCTTTAAATTGGTTTTCAAAGTATCGTAAGCTTAATCAATCCCATAGGTAGGCTTGCAGGACAGTTGTGTCGTTGTGCTCGTGTATATCACAGAATCAGGGCCCGGCCCAACGAGCCCACCCGGCTTACCCTGTATTTTACTATGCTTGGGCGTCTTCACTGGCCGCTTTACTGGCGAGTACCTGCAGTGGATGCCTGCCCGCCTACAGGTGCCCCGTTAAGCGGATACGTGCATGCAGCAGCGTCCAGCAGCCTCTCATCAGCGGCGGCACCCAAAGCATTACCACCTCTTTTTTTTTTTTTTTTTATCCTTCGTTCTCCATGTTTTCGCAACGATCGCATCAGACGGTGTACTCTTGCTCCTCCTCTGCCGCCGCTGAGACAAGAACTGTCGGCCGCTTTCTCGCGCCGCAACGTCAGGCCCAATCGACGACACAAAAAGGGGGGTTTTCTAGCGGGCCCTACGATGAGCGCCGACGTTGAGTCGACGGGGGCTGGCGGTAGTAGCTGGGGGGCCCAGGGGCCGCCGCCGCGGCCTCCGCCGCCTCGGCAGCAGCAGCAGCAGCAGCAGCAGAAGAGCACAGTGGACCGTGGTCGGGCCAGCAACGCCAGCGACGCACCGACGAACAGCAGCAACTTGAACTCCAGCAACAACAACATCCTCCTTCACCAGCGTCCGCTCGCTGCCGCGCCAGACATGAATTTTGCCGACGCCCAACATCAGCCGCAGCAGCAGCAGAACCAGCTCCAGCAGCAACAGCAACAGCAACAGCAACAGCAACAGCAACAGCAACAGCAACAGCAACAGCAACAGCAGCAGCAACCGTCCCGCCAATACCCCCCGCAGCAGTTTCATCAACAATCAGCCCTCTCCCAAACAGCTTCTCCGAGTCCGCACCACCCGCTCAACCAACTTCAATCGCAGCCACATCATCCCCAGCAGCAGCCGCAGCAGCCGCAGCCGCCGCAGCCGCAACAACAACACCACCTCCAGCAGCAGCCCCTTCACCAGTACCCGGGCGTCAACGGCGTCAACGGTGCCCACATGGCCCCTCCTGCCCCGATGCCCACCCCGGCCGGCCACCAGGCAGAGCTCAACTACATCTACGGCATGGTCGAGGAGCTGAGCAGGCAGTTGTCTGACAACCGCCGCGTCACCGAGGACATTGTCACGGGCCTGGGCCGCGTCCGCAGCAGGGCGCGCTCGCACGCCATGTCCAACGAGGACCTCATGGCCGCCGCGGCCGACGACATCAACGGTATGTGCTCGTTTCGCTTAGAGGAAAATGAAGCATCGCGCGCTGACCCCCAACGGCAAGCCGACGACCAAAACCTCGACGCCCTCGTCTCCATCTTGTCCGAAGCCCTCGAAAAGGCCAACCACAGCCGCGACGCAAACGCCACCCTCCTCTCCCAATACGCAAACGCCGTCGCTCTCATGCTCAAGCAGTTCCACGAATACAAGGCCATGCACGTCGCCGACGTGGCCGCCTGGCATCGCTCCTACCGCACCCAGCTCGACGAGGCACGCCGCGAGAACTGCCGCCTGCGCGAGCAGATCTGGGAGATGCAGACGCACGCAGGCCGTGCAAACGAATGCCTGCGCCGCTTCCGCCGCAGCTACGACGACGACGAGACCCGCTGGGCGGGCCGCGTCGACGACACGGCCGTCCGCCAGGAGCTGCGCTTCTGGAAGCGCATGGCCATGCCCGAGCTCGACGACGACGACCCCTACTGGAGCGACGACGACGACATCATCGACGCCGCCGAGAAGAGGCGGCAGAGCGACCTCGAGCACGCCGCCGCCCAAGAGCAGCTCCTCGACAGCCAGGTCGCCGATGACGACACCACCGAGCCCGCCCAGCCGCCGCCCCTGCCGCACATGGCCGTGATGGGCGGCACAGCCATGCAGCGCGACGAGTCGGGCGGCCGCCCCGCGCCCCCGCCACGCCCGCTGAGCGCCGCTTCGAGCACGGGGTCGACGGGACAGCAGTGAGCGCGGGCCGTTGTGGGAGCAGTGGAGCGTGTCGTGGTTCGGGAGCGCTGCGTTGATGGCGAACGAGGTATATACCCAGTGTTGCATGTATCGTGTCGCCTGTTTTTTTGTTGGCTTTTGATCTTGCCTCTCCGCCTTTCCATTTGCCCCTGTGAAGGCAAAGGCATGTGATGGATGGATATTATCTGGGGTGTACGGCGTTTTAAAAAGACTGAAGAATAGGGAGCCGGGCGTCATCAATGTCCCGATTTTGTTCTTTAATCTGGTCTGCCAAATAGGTTGCTTACCCGTGGCGAGCGGCCACATCCTCTCCGTATGGTCCTCGACTTAAATCAAACACCGCTTTAAAAGTACACTTTTTTCCGCCGACAGACCTACTCTGACAAGAAAGAAATCTCCAGAAAATCTTCATTTGACTTCGTGTTCTCAGTACCCGCTCTGCTCCCGCCTGGCACCCCCCTCGCCGCTGCCGCCGCCGTGGCCGTCCCCAGACCCCGCGGCCGCGGCAGCAGCCTCGCGGATACCCTGCTCGTCGCCACGCAGCTGCGCAAAGTAGGCCTTGATGTCCTCTGCGCCGACGGCGCGACCGCTCTCGGCAAACTGCTGAAAAAAGGGCTTGAGGCGCTCCTTAAGGTGGTTGTAGGCCATGACGCCCTCGATGGCGCGCACGCGGTCCACGTTGCGCAGCGCGCTCTCGCCGCGCTCCAGCAGGCTACCGCTGCCGTGCGTCGACCCGCCGCCGCCGTGCTGCGACCCGTCGGCCGACAGGGGCGGCTCGTAGACGTCTTCTTCCTCGAGGAGCTGCGGGTGATCGAGGGCCATGCGCCGGTGGCAGGCGGTGCAGCGGCAGAGGTGGTTGCGGAAGCCGTCTTTGAAGAAGACGGAGAAGCGGCCGGCAGGTGCGGGGGGGGACCTGGACTGTTTGCAGTTCGACGATGATGACGGGCTGTCTGGTTCTGGCTTGCTCTGGGTGGTGGGGGACTTGACGGCCTCGGGGGGTTCGTCTGCTGCAGCAGCAGCTGCTGCAGGGATTGGTGCTTCCTCGCCCTCACTCTTGACGCGCTTCGCTTCGACTTGCTCCTCCGCGTCGCCATCGGCCTTGCGCTTTTTTGTAGCGGCATCGTCTACCTCGGGTTTGAAGGGTTTTTCGGCCGGATCGAGAAAGACGGCCGGGAGGAAGCCGGCCGTTCCAGCGTACAACTTGATCCAAGGGTTCGACTCGACGCACTTGTAGCACAGGAAGCCCTCAAAATCTTCCTCTTCAGGAAACCCAGGAGGCATCGGTGGGTCGTCTTCGTCATCGACAACAGCCTCGTCCGTCTTTTTTTCTGGCTGTTCCGCGCCCTCTTCGGCAATGCTGGCTAGGCCAGGCCCGTTGGAGACACTATTGGACGGCTTGGCCTTGTTGCAGGCCTCCATCTTGTCATACCAGTTGGGGCCCATGCCGACCAGACAGCCGGGATGATACCAATCTTCGCCGCAGCCACCCTGGTCCTGGGTGCCCAAGCCCAGGCATTGGAACATGGTTCCCTTTTGCTGAAAGGGGTCATAGTCGCATTCGCACCCGCAGAAGCGATTGCGGAAGTTCTGGTTGTACTTGTTGTTGGCGTCTGCTTCCTCCGAGTGCACGCCCCCCTTTGTGTTTGTGGCGTCGTTTGTGCGGAGGGTGCAGGGGCTCGTGGCGGGGATGCGAGTGGTGCCGCAGTCGCAGGTGAAGTTGCGCTTCTGGAAAATCTCGACGAGGTTGTGCTCGCCGTGGCACTGGACGGAGCACGCGTAGCAGACGCCGGCCGGGGTCCAGGGGTCGCCGGGCTTGGGCGGCGGCGGGTTGCAGGTGAGGCAGGCGAAGACGTTTTGGCGCAGGGGGCCCAAGATCTTGGTGCAGCTGTCGATGCTCTGGGACGTCGTGTCAGCGCTGCTACTCCTGTCATGTTGCGTTTGTAACGGGAAGCCGGCTTACATAGGGGAGGGCTTCACGGGCGTCGGCTTCGAGGAGTTGCTGGTCGCGAAGGAAGCTGCCAATGAATGTTTAGCTGGGAGCAAATATGCCCGAAGGGACATGGGCGAAACATACTCGGCAGCAGTCTGGGAATCTGCAGATGTTCGCGACTGCTGGGAGAAGCTGTTGCTTCGCGAGGGCGCGGTGACGCCAATGGCATCGGCCGCCGCAGGCACGGGGGGTGGCGGCTGATCCGGGGACATGGTCGAGGTAGACAAATGTGAGGAAGAGCAAGGCTTGAACGAGGGCGATACGACCCTTGCAAAGACGAAGAGGGATGAAGTGGCGATGGATGAAGCTGCTGCTGAGACGCCTCAGCACCCAAGGTACGTACCTACACAGCTTGGCGGGCTCACTGGCTGCAGGGCTTCTTTGCCCCACTGTAACCCCTTTACGCGTCTGACCAATAGGGCTTGGTGCAGAGCCACTTAACGCGTCTTCGCGCGTCTTTTGCCGACACGGGCGAAATCCACAGCCCTCATCCACAGCCCTCACCCACTTCGACCGCCCTTCATTTCGACGACAGCCTCTTCGTCCCTCCGTCTCCCATCACCCACTCAAGCAGAACTGCCTCTCCATCACGCTACACTCTGAAGATAGAGGCAATGAGGTATAATCACGACCATGCCCACGCTGTGGTGCACCAGACTGACAGACTCTGCTTCGCCTCAGCTCCCCTCTTCGAGACAATCCGGCCTCGGCCAACCGGGGCGTTCCTCCGCGGTCCAGTCGCAAGCGCTCCCGTGCCGGTGCTGAGGATGCCAGCTCTCCAATGGGCCCGGGCTCTAGCCCCATGCCCTCGTCTCCTCCGGCTCCCCTCAACATGGCCCACGGCGCCGACGACGACGACGAGATCGAGGAAGAGGCCGAAATCCAAGACGACCTCGACGACATGGATGAGATGGCCGACGACGACATTGACCTGTTCCGCGAAGGCTTCGAGGGCGACTACCGCGCCCGAGAAGATGACGTCTACGAGGGCGACGACATTGATGACGAGGGCGACTACGATGCCCTCGACCTGGGTGCCAGACGCCGACTCGAGGCCCAGCTGAGCAGGCGCGACAAGGAGGTTGCGCGGCGGCAGAGGATCCCGGCCGCCTTTCTCCCTGGCGACGACGAGGACGGCGATGTCGACCTGTCGACGCAGCCTCGCCGCCGTCGCCATCACTACGACGAGGACCCCGACGACGCCATGGATGCAGACATCATGGACGAGGAGCTCTCCCTCGAGGCCCTGGGCGATGTCAAGGCCGCCAACCTGACTGAATGGGTCTCGCTGCCTCCCGTCCAGCGGACCATCAAGCGAGAGTTTAGGGCATTTCTGACCTCGTACACGGACGCCTCTGGATCCTCCGTCTACGGAAACCGCATCCGCACCCTGGGCGAGGTCAACGCCGAGTCTCTCGAGGTGTCGTACGAGCATCTGTCTGAGAGCAAAGCCATCCTGGCCTACTTCATGGCCAATGCCCCCGCCGAGATGCTCAAGCTCTTTGACCAAGTCGCCATGGACGTCGTCCTGCTGCACTACCCCGACTACGAGCGCATCCATTCCGAGATCCACGTCCGCGTCTTTGATCTCCCCGTACACTACACGTTGCGCCAGCTCCGCCAGTCTCATCTCAACTGCCTGGTGAGGGTAAGCGGCGTCGTCACCCGGCGCAGCGGCGTCTTTCCCCAGCTCAAGTACGTCAAGTTTGACTGCACCAAGTGCGGTGTGACTCTGGGACCGTTTCAGCAAGAGTCCAGCGTCGAGGTCAAGATCTCCTTTTGCCAAAACTGCCAATCTCGTGGCCCCTTTACCATCAACTCGGAGAAGACCGTCTACCGCAACTATCAGAAGCTCACCCTGCAAGAGTCTCCCGGCACCGTTCCCGCCGGCCGTCTGCCCCGGCACCGAGAGGTCATCCTGCTCTGGGACCTCATCGATAAGGCCAAGCCCGGCGAGGAGATTGAGGTGACGGGCATCTACCGGAACAACTACGACGCGCAGCTCAACAACCGCAACGGCTTCCCCGTGTTCGCCACCATCCTCGAGGCCAACAACGTGGTCAAGGCCCACGACCAGCTCGCCGGCTTCCGCATGACGGAGCAGGACGAGCAAGAGATACGCAAGCTGTCGCGCGACCCCAACATCTTGGAGAGGATCATAAACTCCATAGCCCCCAGCATCTACGGGCACACGGACATCAAGACGGCCGTCGCGCTGTCGCTATTTGGCGGTGTGGCCAAGACGACAAAAGGGGCGCATCACGTCCGCGGAGACATCAACGTCCTCCTCTTGGGCGACCCGGGCACCGCCAAGTCGCAGGTGCTCAAGTACGTGGAGAAGACGGCCCACCGCGCCGTCTTCGCGACAGGCCAGGGCGCCAGCGCCGTCGGTCTGACGGCTAGTGTCCGTCGAGACCCGCTGACGAGCGAGTGGACGCTCGAGGGCGGCGCGCTGGTGCTGGCGGACCGGGGAACGTGCCTGATTGACGAGTTTGACAAGATGAACGACCAGGACCGGACGTCGATCCACGAGGCCATGGAGCAGCAGACCATCTCCATCTCCAAGGCGGGCATCGTGACGACGCTGCAGGCGCGGTGCGGCATCATCGCAGCCGCCAACCCGCTGGGCGGGCGCTACAACTCGACGATTCCCTTCTCGGCCAACGTGCAGCTGACGGAGCCGATTCTGTCGCGCTTCGACATCCTCGTCGTGGTGCGCGACACGGTCGAGCCGGCCGAGGACGAGCGCCTGGCGCGCTTCATTGTCGGCTCGCACGGCCGCAGCCACCCGTCGTCGACACAGCAGGCGCAGGACTCAATGGAGGTGGAGCCCGAGTCCCAGCGGGCCGAGACGCAGGGCACAGCCTCGTCGTCGCGCAACAAGGACGGCGGCGGCGAGATTCCGCAGGAGCTGCTGCGCAAGTACATTGTGTACGCGCGAGAGCGGTGCAGCCCCAAGCTGTACCACATGGACGAGGACAAGGTGGCGCGGCTCTTTGCAGACATGCGGCGCGAGTCGCTGGCAACGGGCGCATATCCCATCACGGTAAGTCTTGACAGCGGGAGACGACGGTCCAGACGTAGAGGGGACGCCTTTTGTTTCTAAATTTACTGACGTGTCTCCCGCAGGTGCGCCACCTCGAAGCCATCATCCGCATCAGCGAGGCGTTTTGCCGGATGCGCCTCTCCGAGTACTGCTCCGCGCAAGACATTGACCGGGCCATTGCCGTGACTGTCGACAGCTTCGTCGGCAGCCAGAAGCTGAGCTGCAAAAAGGCCCTGGCGCGCGCGTTTGCAAAGTACACGCTGGCGCGGCCGGGCGCGACGGGGCAGAGGAGGGGCGGAGGGGGTCAGTCGAGGCGGCGGCCCACGGCGGCCATGGCGTAGGCTTGAGCCTGTTGTCCGTCTTGACTGCATCCCGGTAGCCTGTTCTACGCCTTGCTCTTCGTTTGGATGGAAGGAGGGAGGAGCAAACATATCACGCGCGGCGAGGCGTGTCGTGGCTTTGATACATGTATTGCGCGCTTTCAACTGCGTGATGATTTTCCCTGTTTTTTTTTGCCCTGTTCTCCGGATAACCTTGCGTGTATTGGTTCTTCTCCTTTCAAAGTCCCCAGCGCCCGCCGCAGGTGTTGATTCCCTCCTTTGCGACTTTGGAAGCAAAATGGAGGCACGCCGTCGACGAGGGACCTATGGGGATGATGATGATGGGGAGAGCGGCACGGCACGGCACATAATCACTACGGTTGGGACTTTGGGGGAGACGGCGTCTTGTGGGCGTGGAGGTGTATGTAGGCTTGTTCTTTTACGGCGACACAATAGACAGACGTCTGAGGAGGCGTTTGACAATTCTTTGGGTGCTCGCCAACTTGACAAGGAGATGGCCCCAGGAGCCGCAACTCGGCGCCGTCGTAGACGTGAGAGGGATGGGATGACCCGAGCAAAGACACACCCTTCCCCCAAGGAAGAGGCCGATCCGTCAAGCCTCGCCAACGACAACGACAACGTCCCGGCCCGAACATCGACAGCGGAAGAAACAAACGTGGCGCCCCCCTCGGCAATGCTGCTTCACCGCACCACGGCGTCTCGCACCCGGCCCCTGGCTTTGCCATGCCTTCCCCCTCCGGCGGCGACTCGTGGCTTGAGGCTCTCTCTGCGGTGAGGAGGTAAGAAGAAGCAAGGTGCTTCCCAAAAACAGGACGAGGCTGCCACCCCCCCTCCCGGTGTATGCCATGCCATGTAGCTTGTGTATTGTATCTGCCGTGTGGCTTTCTTCCCGCGTCGGCCCGTGGGGGGGGTGGGAGAGCTGTTGGTCCGAAGCAGGACGCGGCAAGACACAGACACGCACACGCACAGGATGAGAAGCCGAGGGTTGAGTAGAGACGGAGGAAACGTCGTGTGGCCCGCGCCCTTGGCTTCGGGTAGGGGCTTGGCGTGCGCAGCCTCGACGCGGGGAGGGCGAGACGATGAGCGAGTAGGGAGACTTGTGGATGGTCAACGGGGGTCTGTGATGGGTGGTTGTTTTTTTGGCTATGGTTTCCGTATGGGACGGCGTCGAGGTGCCTTGGGGAAAGGGGTCTGTCAGATGACATCGCAGCAACCGGGTAAGCACAACGCCCGCCCATCCGTCTGGCATCAACTCGTACAGACTATAAGAAGACAGCAGTTGAGGCAGAAACAGCCGCAGCAGGGCCCGTTCCAAGCCCCGTCCGAACCAACACCCTCCGGCCGCTCAGATCCCCGCCCTCACTGCAATATCCCAATGCCGGGCCCTCAACCCCGGAAGCCGCAAACCCCAACGCAGGAGCCAACACAAGAGAAACCCGAGGACGAAAAGCAACCCCAGAAGCCGGCAAGAGGAACAGGTGGCCGGAGAAGGAAACCCAAGCCACGCGTCGCACAGATGGCTCCTCGCCAATTCTCCGTCGCCGCGACTAACGGCATGCACACAGTTGCACATGGAGTCTGCAAGGGGCACGTCGAGTTCCCGAGACGCCTCTCCCGGCCTCGCTTCTCTCCGTATAAGACGAGAGGGGAAAGAGCAGGGCCAAGGGTCGTGGTGGGACACGACGAGGATTTGCGGGAACATGGTCTCGAGGGATATAGCCTCGAATCGTCTTCAGAGAGGCAGAGAAAGCCGGGCGTCGTATTGGTGCGCCATCTCGCGAACCCTCGCAGCCTCATGTTGTGAGGGTTCCGCTCGGGAACGTCCCGCCTCCCGCCTCCGTCTCCCATCTCCTGCCTCCATCGTCCACGAGGAACAAAGGGGAGCTACCATGCTACTAGCAGCAACACCAGAGTAGACGACATATATTTGATGTCGAGAATCCCCCGTCCCTAGCTGCAGCCTCTCCTCATGGACACTTCTCCTCCGCCCGCCGTTCTTTGCCCATGCTCCTGTCCCGATTCCATTGACTTTCAACTGCATCAAGTTCAAGCCTGCTTCGCCCTAAGCCTTAATCTCTTTCCAATCTTCGTCAACCGCAGCCGGGTCCCATAGCTCGGCTGCGCATCTCCCTTACCCCTGCTGCTAGCACCACCAAGAGAACCAGAATCGGGAACTCATCGCCATGGCCGCCAACAAGACAGACGCTCCAGACGTAGCCGACCCTCTGCGCTCTCATCTCTTGGCAGAAGACATCACGGCCTCGCCCCAGACGGCCCTCCCGCCCCGAGGCCCTCCTGATCGCCAAAACTTCCCCGGGCATGACGCTTGCCACCCCATGCCCTTGGCGACAGGACCCCTGGAATCCATTGCCCTCGGAGACGATGCCCCGTCTCCCGCGTCTCCGCCCTTGGCCACCAATGAGCTCGGCATCCTCTCCCGCAAAAACACCTTATGGCCCAGCGTCGCGGCCGTGTCCAGCGCGGAAGCGAGCATCAGCCCAACCGAGTCGCCGCCACTGACCGGGGCCTCGCTTGGAGGCTTCTCCATTGGCAGCCCGACGATGAGCTCCGCGGCCGCGTCGCCTCGCATAGGTCTTCTTTCTCGAAGGCACCGACAGCCGACGACTGTGTTAGAGCGTGTAAAGACGGTCTTTTCTCGGCGGGCGACGTCGTCACACGAGACCGGCTCGGAGCCCCTCCAGCCATCTGCCGGTTCCGAGGGACTGCAGGGCGTCTCCGATCGTTCGGATGTAGAGGCAGAGGCAGGCCAAGGTCTTGGACAGGGTGGGGGTGGTGAGAGCGATGGAGAATCGGACGAAGCCATGTTCAAAAAGAAATTCGGTACGCTGCCCCTGGAGTTTGTCCGATTTAAGCGTGCAAAAGAAACGATCAACTGACGTTGGGACCATCCAGCCGAAGCCCCGACGTATTGCTCGTCCAAGAGGAACGTCCAGACCCCGCGGAATGGCCCCCCGTCTATCGTCATGATCGGCCTGTCCTTCATATCGACCGCCATGAGCATCGGGTGGCTCTGGGTGGCCGGGACTAGGCCGCGATACGGCCATGTGATCTCGTCGAGCGGCTTCATGCTCCCAGCGACGGCGACAATACTCGCCACGCTCGTGTCCAGGAGCATCGAGCTGATATCTGCCACCGTAGTCATCTCGTGCGTCGGGCAGATTCTGAGCCAACGTTCCGCGAACCAGCCTGAGCGCGGCATGACGTTGGCCGAGATGACGATGCGCAACTGGATCCTCCAGCCGGGCACAATCATCACGGGCTATGGGAAGTTGAAGTATACCATCTTCACCGTGCTCGGGCTGCCATGTCTGTTGGCGGCAGTTGCCATCACGCTGTACACGCCGGCCTCGGATGCCTTGGTGTCGCCCAAGCTCTTGCTTGGCAAGTGGCAGTCGCGTGAACTCGTTGGCCTCGTTCGCTCGTCCTACGCCAACACCATGTATGCCAAAAGGACTTGCCCTTACATGTTTCGAGAGGACATCGACAAGCACGCTCCTGAGTCGTGCTTGAATGTCCAGTTCTCGGGACAGTCGTATCGCAACTTGCAGGGCTTTATGGAGAGGTGGATGAGCATCAGTGGCTCTGTCTCTGGCAACAGCTTCGGCTACGAGGGTGACCTCGCCCAACGTCCCGTCGGCACCAATCTGCTGTACGATAACACGACCATGACGGGGGTCTGGATCGAGACGGAACACGCCAACGTGACGGGGAAATTCGAGGAGCACCAGCGCATCGTCAACAACGTCACCATGGCCATGCCGCATCCTGGCGTCTATGCCGCCGCCACGAGCCGTACCAATGGGATCCTGCAGCCCGATGACCTGGACAGCATGGGCGAGTACTCCATCCGTGCCAGCGTCGTTTCGCCCACCATCAATGTCATGTGCGTCAACATGAGCCGCGACGAGCTCGCGCCCCTCGTGTATACCGAGTGGCCGCGCAGCCGCACAAGGACGACTGGCGTCGGAAACCAGACCAAGGGCCTGGATGACTGGGCAGGCGACGTGCCGCGCTTTGTCGAGGGGCCGAGGGCTCGATATCTCAACCGCACCGTGGTCGACGACATCTTCAGATGGGGTCCCAAGTACGAGCGCTGGCCACCCGCCTTTCAGTTCGTAAGTGCCGTGATGGCGCCTGGGCCAGTGCCGCGGTGTTTCTCGCTGACCATGTACAGTACCCGGCCGATTACAACCTCGCCATCAACGCATCCGGGTACAAATCCGACGCCCTCTACCTGCTGGCAAAGAGGGTTAACATGACCAGCTACACGCTCTGCGAGACGCGGTCCTGGCTGTCTCCCAAATGTTCAACACACTTTAATATATCGGGAACGGCCGGAGCCAACATGTGGGCTCACTGCGAGGACGCGGAGGACCCCAACGCCTATCGCCGTTGGGTAAAGGAAGATCCGAACGGGGACGGTAAATGGGGAGTTCCTGACAAGGATTGGAAAGTATGTCGGCTTTCCGTCAGATGTCCTGCTGCGATAACAGAAGAGAGGAATATCCTGTGCTGACGCCGAGACACAGCATCTTGCCGAGCAATGGCGGCTGTCGATGGATCTCAACGGTGGCAGCTATAACAACAATGCCTCCAACGCGCGAATCCTGACGCAGCTCGCCCTGGACGAGCATGAGCTTCCATCGGACCTTCCATCCTTGGCCGAGGCCGTGGCCGTGTTTGGTAGCTCCATGTTGGTCATCGGCTCCGTCGACACACCCTTCCGACACAATTGGACCTTCACCGCGCCCGACAATGTCCTGGAAGCGCCGGGATTGCCGCAGCGATTCCACGCATCCATCATCTCAAAGGAGTACCAGTCTGGGGACATCAAACCGTGGAAAAGGTGGTTCTACTTGGTCCTCGCTGTCGTCCCCGTCGTCAATGTTTGCTGTTTGGCATACTTTTCGTGGCACCGCCGGATCATGACCGACTTCACCGAGCCCGTAAACGTCTTCGCCTTGGCTATGAACAGCCCGCCCAGTTCCCAAATCAAGGGCAGCTGCGGTGGAGGTCCGCAGGAGCATCATTTCATGGTGCCGTGGCGAGTCACACACATCAAAGGAGCCAACCACTACTTTTTTGAAAGCGCCAACGAGAGGCCGTGGAGTGAAAAGCACAAGGAACAGGTCGCTTCCGCGGCCAAGGAATACGGCCAAGTGCCGGGAAGCAACGCCAGGAAGCTGCGCTTGCGCCGAGGTTGGTTGTGAGAAGGTTTTGGCTTGGTTTTTGCAAGAGGACAAAGGATGGGGCTGAGATGCGAGTGTGGATGAGCAGTTGGCCAGTTGCTAATGGGAGAAATGAGCCTTGATGAACCACTTGATCTCTCTGAGCATTGCGAGTGTCGACGTGTGTATTGTAGACGTGCCGGGACTTGGTCTCCACAATGTGACCGAGCGATTCCCTGTGCTGCAGTAGAAGAAACGACGGGTAGATGTTGATGCAGGGGCAGGGGGACGTTGACGAGCAGGGGACCGAGACTAACAGGCCCGGCGAGTCCGGGGTCGGAGTCGGCAGTCTCGAGTCATGCAGCTGCCGGGCCGACGAGGGCACTGGCGACGACGATCTTGCCGAGATGGGACGGACTCTTTTTGACGCCGACGAATCCGGAGAGGAGCGAGAGAGCATTCCACCGCCGAGCTGCAGCCACGTTGTTTTTCTCCCGTCCTCATGCTAGACTTGTTTCATTGCCGTGGTGCCCAGTGCATTGTTTGCCTCGACGCGACCGAGACATGGACCTTGTTGACCAGCGTGTCGAGATGGACAAGGGTCCAGACCAAGCACTGGCAGTGCTGGCAGTGCTGCGTACGAGGTGCAGAAGGCACTGTACATGCTGTACACGGCAACGCGTGGACGCAATCCCCCGAGACACGGAGCCCTGGCAGACAAAGGCTGTCGTATCCACTCGGTACTCCTTGCCTGCCGCCGCAGTTCTCTCAGTTATTAATAATACGTATTAGCCTTTGGAGGCGGAGCGGCAGCGGGACCTCGCACAGTTGGGGTCGAAGGGGTCTCGTGGGCGCTCTCAAGCTGCATGGACGGGCCGTCGAGGAGCGCTTTGACGGTGCGTCGTGATGGGGATCCGGCGGCTCGACGGTTTTCGCCATGGTTTGCCCGTCGAGAGGAGGAGGAGGAGGAGGTCCAGACGCGGGGTGTCGAGCGAGAATAAGCGGGACTCGCTGGCGATCTTGGAGTCGATCTTGGCTTGGCTCTGATCGGGGGTTCGTAGGGGGTGGAGACGGGGGCCGGCCCCACCAGAGCTAGAGAGGTGGATGGCTCGCCGGCGACTGTTGGTTGGATGGCGATGAAATTTGGCGTGGGACAAGTGGTGAGAAGAGAGTGGGAGATGGAAGAGGTGGACGTGGGAAGAGGAAAAAGTCGAGGCCATCCGACAAGTCCTCGTGGGGTAACAGAGGGCAAGAGCGGCTGCTCCTCGGGGCAGACCAACAAAAACAACCACCGGCATGCAGGCAATCAATCTATCTCCCGGTCTAACGTCTTTTATTCACCTATTCTTGGAAATGGCATGAATAATAATCGAGATGTATTTCTCAACTTCTACATTGCCAGCCAGCTCCTACAATCTCCTTGGCGAAGCAGGAGGAGGAGCAAAGCAGACATCATTGCCCGCGGCAGCAACAGGTTTCCGACAATGAGTGGCGGCCTCACAAGCACACAATGGTCCGGCTCGGCACACGCACATCCTATTTATTGCCTTTGTCCGGACCGATAGAACAGGGCCAGGCCACCTCGTCGAAGAAGCAGATCGGAGATCGCCGTCGCCATCTCGCCGCCGCCTCCCCCAAGCCGGCGTGGCGCTTCTCGGATCTATGCATGCATTAAACTTGGGAGATGCGGTGCTGGTTGGACGCTCATTGAGACTCGGTCTTTCCTCATTGCCATTATACATGTTTACGGGCAGAGTCGAGTGTCTCATGCTAAATCTCTTCACCAACCCGAGACAGAGAGAGACAGACCCCTATCCAAGACCAACCCATGTAAACAAACAAGCACACCAAAAGACCCAAATCACTGGCGATATGCCTCGCCGCCTTACGGATGCGGACACGGATACATACATCTTGCACAAAACCCCGTCCCCCCACACTCTGCGAGTCGTCACCCCCGCCCCCCCCCCAGCTCCCTCCCCCCCTGCAGCCAGTGACGAATCCGTGCAGCTCCGTGCAGCCTGCTGGGCCCCCTGTACCAACTCTAACGCCACTTGGGATTGATGGGGCGAGCTGCCGGCCATGTCCGGAGCCAGACTGGTGGTTCTGCTGGTATCATGATGCATAGGCCAGCCTACCCATCTGCCGAGAGATAGAGCTGCGAGCTTCTCTCTCATTGGGGCCCAGCCCCGAGTCTTGTTCAACGAAGCTTCCTCCCGTCTTGGCCGTATTCCCGCACTCTTCTTGCCTCCTTACCCGTGCCGCTCTCCGCTGCTCTCACTACTCTCGCAGCTCTCCTCAACCACCTCTCCCCCCTTCCTTCATACCCTCTTCCTTCGATTGATTCTTCCCTCTGTTTTTGCACTTTCTTTGTTCGGCCTCGCCGGCCTAGCCTGTAGACGCCGCATGTCCCCCTCCTGCTTCACCTCGCCGCACTAGCTCCTACGCAACCGGCCGGTCGTTACACACGCACAGCTTCCTCTCCAGACACCCACACACATATACAGGCGCACGGCTCCCCCGGTCGACCCGCCACCCCTGGAGAATCCAATAGCTCGAAACCGACATTACAGGGTCTAGGAACAGACGACCCCACGACTACGACGACGATACTCGGCCCGAGTCCGGGGAAACCTGGGGATCAATCGACAAGCGTCACGGTTCGCCAGTTTTGAAGTTATAAGACGCTCTCGATCCGCTCTCCACATCTGCCATCTTTATCACGACAACGCATCCCCCTTCTCGTTCGGGTCTATCTGGACGACTTGCCTGCCATTGGACGCTGCTCCGCATCGCCACTTACACGGGGTACCTCCCCCAGACCCAACCCGCGCCGCAGTGACGACGGTGCGCCTTCAGAAGACCAGGCCGCAACCATGGGTGCGCTTCGCAAGGCCTCCCTATCCAGGCCGGAGGGCGAGGTGGGAAAGTCATGGCCCGGCATCGCCATCGGCTTCTTTGTCGCCTTTGGCGGCGTCTTGTTTGGGTAAGCAGTGTGAAAGCATTCTCCTCGTGCCCCTTCAAGCAGAGAATGACATGTAGGAGACAAGACAGAGGCACAGGCTGACACCATGCGCGCAGCTATGACACGGGCACCATCAGCGGCATCCTTGCCATGCCTTACTGGCAAAGCACCTTCAGCACGGGCTACGTCAACCCCCAAGGCCACCTGGACATCACCACCAGCCAGGAGTCGGGCATCGTCTCCATCCTCTCGGCCGGCACCTTCTTCGGCGCCCTGCTCTCGCCCTTTCTCGGCGACCACGTCGGCCGCCGCCCGGCCCTGCTCATCTCCACCTGGGTCTTCAACCTCGGTGTCGCCCTCCAGACGGCCGCCACCTCGATCCCGCTCTTCCTGGCCGGGCGCTTCTTTGCCGGCTTGGGCGTCGGTCTCATCTCTGCTCTGAGTAGGTCAACCCCTGAGCCTCCCTCCCCTGTCGATGGATTCGCCATGCCAAAGAAACAGTGCACAGAGAGAGGACATGTCACTAACACCATGCCCCCAGTCCCCCTCTACCAGTCCGAGACAGCCCCCAAATGGATCCGCGGCGCCATCGTCGGCGCCTACCAACTCGCCATCACAATCGGCCTCCTCGTCGCCGCCGTCGTCAACAACGCCACTGGGTCCCGCTCCGACACGGGCAGCTACCGCATCCCCGTCGCCGTCCAGTTCGCCTGGTCGCTGATCCTCTTCGCCGGCATGCTCGTCCTCCCCGAGACGCCGCGCTTCCTCGTCCGCTCCGGCCGCGACGACGGCGCCGCCCGCGCCCTCGGCACCATCCGCCGCCTGCCCGCCGACCACCCGGCCGTCCGCCGCGAGCTCGACGAGATTCGCGCCCACCACGAGCACGAGATGAGCCTCGGCTCCGCGTCGTATCTCGACCTCTTCCGGCCGCCGATCCTGAAGCGTCAGTTTACCGGCATGGCGCTGCAGGCGCTGCAGCAGCTCACCGGCATCAACTTCATCTTCTATTACGGCACAAAGTACTTTCAGAACTCGGGCGTCTCCAGCGGCTTCGTCATCCAGATGATCACCTCGGCCATCAACGTCGCCTCCACCATCCCGGGCCTCTACGCCACCGACAAATGGGGCCGCCGCCCTCTGCTCCTCTGGGGCGCCGTCGGCATGTGCGTCTCGCAGTTCATCGTCGCCATGTGCGGCACTCTCTCGTCGGGCCAGGCCGACGACGGCGTCGTCTTCGTCACCAACCTCGCCGGCCAGAAGACCGCCGTCGCCTTCTCGTGCATCTACATCTTCTTCTTCGCCTCCACCTGGGGCCCCCTGGCCTGGGTCGTCACGGGCGAGATCTTCCCCCTCAAGACGCGCGCCAAGTCGCTCAGCATCACCACCGCCACCAACTGGCTCCTCAACTGGGCCATTGCCTACGCCACCCCCTACCTCGTCAACTTTGGCGACGGCTTCGCCAACCTCCAGTCCAAGATCTTCTTCGTCTGGTTCGGCGCCTGCTTCCTCTGCATCGCCTTTGTCTACTTCTTCATCTACGAGACAAAGGGCCTCTCCCTCGAGGAGGTCGACCAGCTCTATACCGAGGTCCCCTCGGCTCGCAAGTCGACAAAGTGGACGCCCAACGATAGCTGGGTCCGGCGCCAGAGCATTGCCCAGGAGGGCCCCGACCACAAGAAACGCAATTCCGCCGACGCCGACGCCGGCCACGACGCACACCCTCAAGGGGAAGATAAGGAGACGGCATAGACAAGCGTTCTATAGTTTCATTCTTCTACTTCTTGTTACTTTGTTTTGTTGCCCTCGCGCTCCCCCAGCGTGTCTGTTGAGCTTGGATTCAAGTTCTAAATGCATCATGGATATACGCTATCGAGGGCACCAATTCCGGGCCCGTCGAAAAGAATTGTCAATACACATATAGGGAGAGTATCTCCTCTCCAGCGTTTCTACTCTTCTCTTCATCTCGTTTCTCCGCATAAACGACGTCGGGGCATGGAAGCAGGCGGCCACGAGTTGCTGCTGTTTTATATCGGCTCCCAGTTCTTCTATACATGTTACATGTGGCATTCAGTGAGCATATCCGGAAGCCGGTTAAAACCATTCCTCTCGATGACCTTACTGTCCAGCGGTGTTTCATCGAGATGTGCCCTATTGACTGTTTGGCCTCATCTCGAGCAAGGAGTCATCCAGTGCAAGAAAATGGAGTAGTGGAATTTATTGAACGTACGCTGTGCTTGACTGAGCAGAGAGGTTAACCATAGGCAGCATTCTCGTAGGGCATCCAATCTCGTCGTAAAAAACCTCTCCACCCCAAGCGGCGGTCATATGATCGCAATCATCCCGACCAACGGCACATCCCGTCTCAGAACACCGGCCGGTCGTTACCCACGATGCTGTTGCGGCGTTCCGTCACGCCGCCCACCAGCGTCGCGTCCTTGGCGCTGTCGTCGACGTCGAGCTCCCTGGTCTTGCCCTCGGCCGAGTCCGTCTTCGCCTCGTCGTCCGCGTCGGCGTACGGATTTGGGCGCACAACCTTGAGCCGCACCACGTCGGCGTCGCCCCCCTCGCCGACTCTGTGGTAGACGCGGAGACCGGCGACGGCGACGGCGTTCCAGGGGTCTCGCTCAAACTCGTCCGGTTGCTCCTCAGCGGTGGGAGCCGAGGCCGCCGAAGCCGCCGCCATTCGCTTTAGCTGTCCCAGCTGAATTTCGACTTGGATGTCCAGCTCTCGCTCCGAGAGTTCCGAGAGCTCGTCCGAGACGTTCGAGCCAGACTCGCTGCCTGATTCGCAAAAAGTCTCGTCGTGTCCATCTCTTAGCTGCTCTTCGACGCCGTGCACAGCCGCGTCCTCGCCTTGGGGAGCACTTGCCGTTGCATTTCTGGCCTGTGTGTCCTCCTTCGCCGCCTCCTCATGAGACGGGGCTTCATTCTTCTCAGTTTCGACCTCTGACGCATTCCCTCGCTCCCCAGCAACGACGACCACGTCGCTTTGTCCCGTTGTGGAGACAGACCCTCTCTGATCGGCCACGCCCGACTTGATGGCTCGCTTCCTGGCCTGCATCGCCGCCATCTTGGCCTTGTTCTTGGCCCTTTCCTTGCGCTCCTTATCTTTGGTCCTCTGCATCGCCTTTCTTTGGAGATAGTGCTGCTCCTCCCGGTCGGCCTCAATCCTCTTCAAGATCTCTTGTCGCCGCTTGGCCTCGTGCTTCTTGTCGTGCGCCTCTCTCGCGGCCTTTTCCTCCGCCGTTTCGACCACTTTGCCCTTGCCGTGTGCAAGGTCGTAGGCCAGCCCGATGCGCGTGAGCTTCTCTCGACGCAACTTTGCGCTGTTCCGGATGACCTGTTCGGTTGGTATAATATCCTCCCAACGGCAAGCGTCAACCTTGACACGCACGTCGTACTCGCCGGCCTCGAGCTCCAGCTCGACGTTGACGGAGCGCCGCATTCTGTATGGAGCCTGGCTTCGCACAAGATAGTCCTCCTTGCCCTTCTTGTGAAGACGCAGGGCCAGCTGGAAATGATACTGGCCTTCGAGGCCACGAAAGTAGCGTTCATCAAGCTGGGAGAAAACAATGACCACGGGACCGGGCTTGGAAAGGGAAAGGGAGAAGTATGTTGTATGATAGTCGAGCATCCAGGGCACCGTGAGCGTGGTCCAGATCTGGGCAACGCTCCAGTCGCTGTCGAACAAGCGTGTCCGCTCAAAGGCTTGATATTTGCGCAAGAGGTCGTCGTACGATATCCAGAAGTCGCCGTCGTCGCCGAATCGATGGTCCAGCTTCTCGAGCCATTCTGGAGTCCATTCTTTGGACCCATCGCCTGGCATCATTGTCAGTACATGCATGGACGGGGCATGAATGTGCCCCGGTTACAATGTGGGTGGACTTACTCCAGGCGCCCTTCCATTCACCCTTTCCCCACGGGTTCTTGAGGCGAACCAGGCGCTTCCCGTCAATCTCGACGGCCCTCTGGACAGAGTAAGAGTGAAGTTCCACAATGCCCTTCCTCTCTCCCCAGCTCGAGGACCCCCAGACTCCGGTGCTGCAGCCAAATAGGAAGTCTTGGTTGACTTTGAGGAGCTCTTCGTTCCAAAAGTATTCCTAATCGGGGCACAAGAACGTTAGACGAGAAGCGCGAAGTACACAGACTCAGCTAGGACGAACCTTGTCGAGGATATCCGTAGTGAAAATCTCCGAGGTGACGCCCCCCGTGAGGTCCTCGATGCCCTCGCCGCCGAAGCCGCCCTCGATGGCGGCATAGTCGCCGTGAGCTTTGGCGTAGCACTTTTCAAGAAGCGGCAGCCACGTTTCCTGTGGGTGCTCGCACTGGGCAAAGTACAGGGCGCCGCTGTTGGCCTGGTAGATTCGGCGGTAGGCCTCCTCCGGGTTGACGCGCTCGAGCTCGTCAAAGAGGACTCGGTCTGTGTAGCTCTCGTCGTAGTCTGGTTTGGTCAGGTAGAGCTGGAGCGAAACTGTCAGTCTTTACCCACAGGCGAAGCACGGATCCCGAGACTTACAAAGTCGTCGACGATTTCCGATATCCACTCCCCATCTCGGTGGAAGACGAAGCCATAGACGCCGACATCCTGGTCGTGCGCCACGCACAGCCTCTCAATGAGTCCCGGCTTGTTGCTGAGCGTGCACAGGGCCGACATGAGCCAGCAGTCGCCATCCCTGCCCTGCCTAACGTCGTTAGCTGTCGGGCCGTCAATGTAGAACTGCGGCTTGTCGAATATCTCAGTGACGCGCTTGGCGCTGCGCGGGTTGAAGCCGCCTCCAGGCGGTGCCTTGACACCCTTGACGTTGGGGAGAGACTGCAGACAGTCGCGACGGCCGAGTTTGAGGTCCGACTCGAGGTCAAAGTGCGGGTCACGGTATTTCTTGTTGACGCGGCGGCATTCCTTGATGATCTGGACGACTTTGGCCCGGCACACGACAGCTGCCTCATCGTAGCTGTCTTGGGTTGTTTTGGATGGCGTCGTGTCCGCGCTGTCGGATAAGGGTGTTGATGACGGTGTTGCTAGGGACTTTTTCCCAACCACTCTGTCGACCAGCTGCTGGTCCTGGGGAAGCACAGTGGTGGCTGCATTGCGTCCTCTGGTCAGCACAGCCATTGCAGCGTAGAAAGACGAGGGGGAGCGCGCCTTTGCCCGGCGCCTTTGTGGTGAATTTTGTCCAAAAGTCATCCACGATGGTCTGCGGCGCCAGCTGCTGCAACTTCCTGAGCCGCTTCGCCTGGCCCTCCATGGTCTGCGAAGTACGGCCCCTGCGTGTAAAGGGTGCTGGCGGGTCGGAGCGGCCGACAGTCGAGGTCGAAGGGGAACTTGAGGTCGAGGACGAGCGAGATGGGAAACCGTATCGAAAGCGTCGCCCGCCGCCAATGTTGGGTCCCAGGATGGCCGACATGGTGAGGGAAGCCGCGACTCTCGCCCTTTCGTGCTGCGGCAAGTGTGGGTTTAGGTGTGGGTGTGGGTGTGGGCAGGCACGCTGCAGTCGATGAATGAGCAGACGACGCCCGTGATGCCATCGCCAGGAGAAGGAGAAAAGGGTCTCTCACATCACCGCCTCATCCAACCTCGACGCTGCTGCTGACGCATACCTACCTGCCTATCTATTTTGAACAGAGGCGGCGCATGCATCCTCCTGCAGCCGCCTCGCCCTCATCGGGGTGCCTTGCCGGCTGCCTGGCCCTCAGCTTACCGTCTGCATGATGCCGTCCAACGACGACGATGGCTTGTTTGGCCATGTTTCTCGGGCACGAAAAGCGAGGGGTGAGCCGGCCTTTGGCTGGTTCCCGACAAGCCCTCTCGCTGCGGCTGACCGTTTGTAGAGACCGACGTTTCGTCGGTCGGGGTATCATGTCATTCATCTGCCACAGTACATCTATCAGGTGCGCCTCTTGTAGCTTTACAACGCTCCCGCTTCGTCCGGCGCGTGTGAAACATACCTACCCTCGGATGGCACATCACCAAAGAGGCCTTGCCGTCGAGCAGGGAATGGCACGGCAAAGTCTCGATGCGTCCCACCATGGCTGCCAACTCGGCGGGGGCAGTGTCTGGGCCCCGTCAGCCCTACAGCCCCAGAGTAAGAAGAAATATCCGGGCGAACTGCAGATCCCGATGTTCCAGCCGTCGCCACAGCTTGGCCAGGGATGAGGACAGCCTCGCACAGAGACGAGCTTCAGTCCAGACCCTCTGTCCTGTCCCACTGACATCTAAGACAGACTTCACGCTCCCGGCGCCTCTCGACTCTCGGCCATCACGATTCTTTCTGCGCCATTCCACTCACTCAGCAAACGTAGTCATGTACAGCTTTGCCCAAATCCATCAACATCCGCCTGTCTCCTCTCACCTCTGTTCCTACGTCACCAGCAACTGCGCCCTTGCCCAGCCACCTCAAGCCGAGGGACGGAAGGGGGACAACGTCGGCACGCCGACTCCGCCCGCCACTTCCTCTCTCCTCTCCTCGCCTCCGCGTCCCGGAAGCGTGTATGCAAGGGCAACTCGAGCTCCGTGCAGCTCCATCTGCTTCAACTTTTCTTCGCCTTGCCGTAAAACGTCCTCAACCACCGCCATTACGCGCACCACATCCGTTTCGGCTGCCGCTCCTCTGCTCGAGGCCGCCGCTTCTGTCACCATCGAGACTCCATGTCCCCCAGCATGGGCGGCGCGCCGTCACCTTGCACACGGAAAAAGGGGGCCTCGACGTCGGCAGACCACAGATGGACACGTCTTTCCAAGCTCAACACAACAACACACAGCCTCGCGGGGTATATCCATCGCCGGTGCCATATTTTAACTCTTTAGTCGTCAAGAAGAGCCACGTGACAGTGTCTGTCGGTCGTTTCAGTTGAAGTCGTCCCGGGTGATCCAAAACTCGTTTCGATGACATGGGGGGGTTGCCGAGCACCTTTGCCCAGAGGTCCTTGGGTGTCGGGGCCAAAGATCCACCAAAGGCTTGGTGTTCCAGCAGAGAAGAGTGCGATGCGAGATTGATGGCCGTGTGCCATTCCCATTTTTGACTCCGTGCGCTTCCCCGTCTTGCTTGTCGAGTACCTCAGAAGGGAGGACTGTGGAGGGAGAAGTAGCAGGATCTTCGCAATTTTTCGTTGTCCTTCCAAAAGATGGGAGTCCCGGCGCGGGGAATAAATGAAAAGAAGAGTGAGATAACCGGAGACGCCGTTTTGAAGCCGAATGGGTAAATAAGGGCCATGCGTTGAATTTGAAACCAGAAGGACAGACAGGCGAGCAACGACGTCGCACGTTGCCGCAAGGGAAAAAAGACAACGAGAACAGAGAACTGAAATAGCACACGCCGACAGGTCCTAGGCCATCTCTCTCTCGGAGAGCGACGGCCTCAGCGAGCATCTGTGCTGCCCCCAAGCCCCGCGACCCACGACGAGTCCAAGAGACCGACATAGGCGTGGGAGAAACAGACACAAGGTGCACCGTGCCCCGACGGTTTATGCGACCGGGGCGATCGGGGCCACGGGAGCGGCAGCTGCCGGCACGGTGCCCAGGTCTACCTCGTTTGCAATCTCGCCGTTGGGGTTCTTCTGGGGGCAGTCCCTTGAGATGTGACCAGCCTCGCCGCACTGGTAGCAAGTCTTGCCAACCGTGTTGAGGGGGCCGCCGTTGGGGGCAGTGCAGTCGCGCGAGATGTGGCCCAGCTTGCCGCAGGCATAGCACTTCATGGCCTGAGCCTGGCAGTCCCGGGCGAAATGGTTGGGGCCGCCGCACTTGTAGCAGGTGGCTGGGCGGGGGCCACCGGCAAAGGCACCACGGCCGAAGCCGGGGGCGAATCCGCCGCGGCCCATGGGAGCACCGCGGCCCATTGGGCCCATGGGGTTAGGGCACGCGCGCTGGAGGCGAGAGCGTCAGCCAGCCAGTCGGCATGCAAAGATGCAATCCTCGAGCGCGTTGCACACTTACGGCAAGGTGGCCGGGCTGGCCACAGTTGTAGCAGCGCCCGCCGGTGGGGTTGCCGGTCAGGCGCAGAGTCGGGCAGTCGGCTTGGACATGACCAAGGCCCTGGCAGTGGTAGCACTGCTTGGCCTCGGTGGTGCGAGGCAGAGGGCAGCCGTTGGACTCGTGGCCGGGTTGCTTGCCTTGAGGGGCCGTCAGCACGATTGGGATCAGGCGCGAACGCGGCCGAGAGCCGTACAGTTGTAGCAGAGTCGCTCAGCAGAAGAGCAGACCTCGGCGTAGTGGCCGACGTTGCCACATTTGTAGCAGGCACGGCGAGAGAGGGAGGACATTGTGAGCGAATCGAAGACTGCATCCATGAAAATTGTCAGCAGCCGCATTCGACAGGCATCAATCACTCGGTGTTCAGTGCTGCGCTCCACGCCAAACGGTCGCAATGGCCTGCGCCTCCAAGGGAAAGATGACCGGTGGCAAATGTTGTCCAGTCCAAGTCAATCCGTCAAGCTCAAGTTGATAGCATAGTGGCGGGATGCGGGAGCGAGGCCCACATGTCCGGGCTGCATGCTGTGTGACATTCGATGCGCCATTCCAGAAGTTCGTGCCAAAGCAGATGAAAGGGTCTCGACCAGGAGATGGTTGCGCTCGACAGGCTCATTGGCGGCATGTCTCCAGTGACAAGGAGATGGAAGGAGTGTTGTCACAATGTATTGGCAGAAGAGCGAGAGGACGCCGAGGGATGGCCAAAGACGATGGATTCGAGAAGCATGGCTGGGATGGAGCGGGCCGAGGCAGCGAGTCGAGGGCAAGTCAGGCAACCGTGTCATTGACAACCGCTGTACGCCCAGGCACCGCCGCGCAACCGTCGTCGCCGGGGCAAGCTGCCGTGTGATGAAGCGTGCTGTTGCACAGGCCCGATCGGGTCGACGGCCGAGATGTCCAACGCTCCCACGAGGCAGTATTTGTCGTGATCGCAAATGACGTCGTCGCTTAGGTCGGCAGGACAGGGCGCATCGCAGCCAAAGCGCTTGGCGGGCAGAAGTCGGCTTCATTTGGCGACGGCGGTAGCAAGCGGCGCGGGCGCGCGCATCACGTCGAGGCCAAGCACGCCGGCACATGGAGAGGCGAGAAAGACGAAGGGGGATAGAGGCAGAAACGACGACGACGACAGAGCATGGCCTACATACCTGACTGGTCCTGCGGATCCGCGTAGCACCGAGAAGCGGTAGGGGAAGCGAGAAGGTAGGGTGCAACGAGGAGAGGGGAGAAGAGAAGGGAAAAAAGAAATCTCTCTTGACAGCAAGATTTTTAAATTCGTGGTTAGGCCTCGAAGCAGACTGCAGCGTCGTCGGCGGCCAACGATTCGAAGCGATAATTTCTGGCTTTACGAAAACGGGTTGAACTAGACAGGAAAAAAAGAAGGAAAAATTTTCCTTTCCTCTCACGAGAATAACTTCGCGGGAAGGGCAACGGACGGAGTCGGTGGAGGAGGGAGGGGAAAAGGAAGATGGGGGGCGGATAGTGGAGCGCCAGCAGCGACGAGAGCCTGGAGGTGGTGAGCTGGAGCCCCCTTGGCCGCTGCTAGTGGTCACTAAAACAGCGCCTAGCACGCCGGCCAGGGGTTATCCAGAGTGATGCCGCCCTGCTGTTCTAGTCGCCTCTGATCCAGTGGGACAGAGTCCCTAGGATACAGGACTGTAGTACTGTACTGTAGGTATTACTACCTAGTAAGTAAGAGTAGGCGTAGGTTTACCCCTGTTGCATCCCTTGTGGTGTTGATTCTTGACCTCGACTTGCTGGCCCGAGTACAATGACGCTTCGGGCACGCAGGTGCCTTTGGCCGTAGCCTGCACCCGAGTGTAATTACACAAAATCTCTGTCCACACAAGTATCCTTTTTGCCTCGGGCGCTGAGCCCTACTGGTAGTTAAGACCTCCACCTCCACCTTGAGCCGGAACAAAGCGGAGTGCGACTGAAAATCCTTGCTCCTTGCTGCAGGCCTCAGCTGCCCCTCGTCACATGAACTTGACTTGGACGACATGCCATCCGTCCCTTGAACTGCGCGCAGGTTGCTGGCGCCTCGCGCCCTCGAGAATGAACAAGCGCCGAGACTCGCGACACGTTTACTCCGTACACTAGGAGACAAAGGTCTAGGAGACAAGGACGCTCGTTCCGGCCATGGCAGCACTGGTGGTGGCTTGTTGCAGGGGCTTGGTGAAACAGCCGAGGCTCCTTGAACGAGGCGGGCCGAATGGATAGTTAACAGCGCTGCCCCGGATCTAGGTTGGCCTCAGTCTCCGATCCAACACCTAGGCGTAGAATATAACTTACAACCTTTCCCGGATCGACAAACAGCTTCAACGTTGAAGATGATGGACCCATGGAAAGAACATGCCGAGTTCGAACAAAAACCGCCGTAGAGTACTGCACATGACTACAACATGTAGGGGATGACGAACATTAGGTAGTCCCTCCCATTACCATGGTTCTGTTCCCGAATTGTACCGAGAGAGGAAAGACAAAAAATACCGCCCGACACCGTGCCTACCAGCATAATAATCGTAACCTTCGTTCCTCACCAGGCTGCAATGCAGACGGGAATGCTTGGTCCTCGTGCTTAGTGGTGCCGTTGCTGCTGGTGAGGCCCGCCAACATGGTTCGCCGGCCGATGCATCGACTCAAGCACGTCGGCCTGGTGGACGGTGCCGCGCGGCGGAAGCGTGGACCGGGGCCGCGCCTCCACCACGTATGTGATACCGTCCTCGGAGGCATACGACGGCGGTCGCGGGCCCGTCCGCAGCTCCGGCATTGCGGGGCTTTGGTTGCGCTGCCAGAACAGCCGGTTCGGGTCCACTCTCTGTTTTTTCCTCTCGTCAGTCTGCAAGTTAAACACTCCCACCATGTCTCGTCTTATGCTGCATGTTCGGACCAGACTTACCACGCTCTCGCGCCACAGGCCGTATGCCGGGGGCCTCGACTTGACCGCCTGGCTCTCGATGCCCGCGGCCTCTTCGTCGCGCGCCAGCACCACGGGAATCGGCTTGGGCGGCACCACGTAGCGGCTTGGGCCCATGATGTGGGCGCGGCGGCGGTTCTCGCGCTCCGGCCGGAAAACGGCCAGCCACAGCCGCACCGCGCTAAAGAAGAAGAAGGCCCCGGCCGCGAGGATGACGAGGGCAATCAAGATTGACAATTCGCCCTGCCGGAGGGTGTTGGACTGCGTGAGTCCGACGTCTGTCCATGGTTACCCATCGTGGTTAGCAACAAAGCGGGCGCGCTTCGTCGTGGTACACGTACAGATGGCTAGCAGCACGAGGGCAAAGATGCCCGAGATGAAGCAAGACACGGCTTGGGAGCGGACGTGCCGGGACTTGGGTCGGGGCAAGCAAAGGAGAAACGGCTTCGAGCTTCGGCTTGTGCCGCCCTCTTCGTCTGCCTCGTCCCGGCTCGAAACTCCATCCTGGCCGCCGGTGCCCGCGCCTGGTTGATGGGGCGCCGAGGGGTCGGAGGCGTACCGGACCGTGGTCATCTGCACCGAGGGAGTGGCCTCATGTCGGCCGCCGCGCGCGGATACGGCGACGGGTTCCGGAATCGTTGGCAGGTGTCCCCGGCGTGCGTGGGCGGTGACAGGGGACAGCCCGTTGAGGTCGACGACGGGCGAGGATGACATGTCGGGGGGCGCTGGGTCTCGCTTCTTGCGGCCCAAGGCTTTGGCGAGGGGATTGAACCTCGGTCGGTGGTGTCTTGCTCGCGTCTGGACCGAACTCTGTCGCGACGTCGGTTCGGCGGCCTGCCCGGTGACGGGATTGTCCGTCGGCCTGTCCATGTTGCGGTCCCCAAGTTCCATGTCTGCCCGCCGAGGGCTTCCGAGCCGAGCTGTAAGCATGCGTGGGCTACCGGGCCCTGTTCTCTGATATCAGACCAGCGAGGACATGGAAGTCCGAGGTTGTGGCTTCTCTATGGGAGTATCGTGTAAGAGCAAGCGAAGCGTTTGGCCAGCAGAGGACGCTGTGACAGTGGTGCGAGGGGAGGAGTGAGGAACGGTTGGGATTAGTATTGGCCTGGTCTAGGAGAGGAAGCGGGCGACGATCGACGTCTAAGATTGGAAACGGCGAAAGGGATAGAAGAAGAAGAAGAGACGGCCATTTCTGCGCCAGAGGTTTTGGCCCGCGCAGCTCTTCGGGGCCCGAGGCTAATTAGTCGTTTGCAGAAGGAGAACGACGGAACGGGAGAGAAATCAGAAACCACTGGTTCCCCGGCGCCGAGGCAGCGATAGTTGTTTGAGGATGCGGGAGCGGATAACGCGGAGGAGGAGCACAGACAATCAAGCATGCTCTCGTTGCTGTTCCTGGGCGAGACGAGGTTCCGGCGATGACGGAGGGCATCCCGGATGCGCCCCCCTGTGTCAAACACGGAGCGATGGCCAGAAACGCCCCAGGAGACATTGAGCTCGTCGGTCCAGACCGTGTCGGCGTGTGGGCGCATTGACGCAACGGAGGAGCCCCTGGGCTGATGCCTCCCAAGGCGAGGCGTGGATGCGACAACAGGGCTGCTGTTGAAACGAGGGCAAACGACTCAGGCACCCGCACAGGTACGGATAAAGCCCCCTCCCGGTACTCGGGGCCCGGATGGATCCACAGCGGATTCCTTGGCAGTTCCAAGGTACATTTCGGCCGCAGCCCAAGTACTCCTCTCACTTTCATCGTCGTCTTGGGCAGTGCAGCCGGCCATCATCGTCAAGCTTCCCCTCGAGATGCGCCACGAGTCTCCCCCCAGGAACCTTGCCTTTTCTAGGTGGTTCCCCGGTCCCCGTATCCCCGCTGCGGAGTGCCTGGGGAAAGTGGACACCACTTGTTTCAGCGCCCCTTTCGTCGCAGAACAGCCAGCCTTGACGGCGGGCCTCCAACAAGGCTATCGGCGGCCTGAGCCCTCGACAATCTTGGCTCCCAACTTGCCTTGGTGCCTAGGTAGGTAAGTCCCTTGGAGAGGGCGTCGACTTCGCCAATTTCAAATCGACAATCGCACGTGCAATCTAGCTCCATCGAGAGCATTAAAGCTACCGTTCATGGCTGTCCGGTAAGCGTTCCACCTCACCACTCTGGTTTCCTCCCGGGTTGAGCACCAGGTCAGCCTTGAACTGTCTTTCTAAACATCGCGCTCTGGATCTCTTCAAGCGGCTTCATCCATTGCAATTCACTCCCTGCTTTGGCTTGCCGCGGCCATCATTACTCGTAGACAGCTTGCTTCCTGTCGCCTCGATGACAAGCATGCCATCAGCTCCCGCCCCGCTGTCCATCGTCATCAGCCAAGCATCAGCCCCCCGGCATGCCTACCCACGGCGAGTTTCTTGGCCCTTGCTTGCAATCCTGTGCCAGCAAATACTGCCGGCCCGTTCTTCAACTTTCATCAGCACTCGCCCCATGACACACAACCAGAGACCGACACCGCCTGCACTGTCGTCGATATGGTGCCCCATCTCACTTCAGCTCCCCTAGGAGCATCGTGCGGTCAGATGATGCGGAAAGAACTGTGTGACCGTTAGCCTTGGGGCCTCATAGAGAACGTGTGCCATGAAGTGGGCGAGATGCTCACGTATCGGGTCCTTTCCAGGCGCAAACTCGGCGCAGTTCACCACCCCTCGGTGGCCGGGGAGCTTGTACAGGAGCTTGCCGCTCTCGCTGGACCAGACGACGACAGTCCCATCTCCAGAACCAGCCGCAATCTTCTTCCCATCCGGGTCCCACGATGCACCCATGAGGTTCTTTTCTATCCCCATGGCCGCGCCGTCAAGCGTGCGGATGTGCCTCTCAGTCGGGGCAAAGGCGCGAATGTCCCACGTTCGCACCGTCGAGTCCATGGCATATGAGACGAGCGACTGCGTATCCGGCGAAACTTTGAGAGACATGATGGTGTCGGTATGCCCCAGCATTGAATACACCACCGACTTTTTCCGGAGATCCCACACGCATATGTCGTTGTCGATGCCCCCCGAGAAGATCTCGTTGCCGGCCTGGGAGACGGCAAGCGCCGTGATGGGAAAGTCGGTTTCTATATAGTGGACGGCATTCTTAGACCTGGGGTCCCAGATCCCGATGGTCGAGTCGTCGCTGCCGCTGACCAGCAGTTCCTCACCCCGCCGGCTGATGTCCATTGTGTTGATGACTTCTTCATGCCCAACGTATCGGCGGATTCGCGTTCCCGAGGTGAGGTCCCAGCTGGCGAGGTGCATATCCGCCGATGCGGTATACAGTATTTCAGAGTCGCGCGACCACTGCAGGTCGAGAATCGCACCCTTGTGCCCATTCAGCAGCCCGTAGTTTTCGCAGTCGCCGTAGGTTCTCCAGAGCACTGGCGGCGGTCAGCAAGAGCGCGTTCCAGTGACCATCTTGGGCACCGTACTTATGCTCCTGTCCATCGAGCCCGAGGCGATCAAGTTTCCAGTCGGGTCAAACTTGGCCGTGAAGATCTCGCCCGTGTGTCCAGTCAACTCCATGACCGGCTCCTGCAATCCACTCCTTCGGGGACCCTGCAGACGGGGTTAGATCCTGGCGCCAGAGTGCAGGCCGGCTCACTCACGGCTTGGACAAGCGAGCTTCCGGAAGCATTGAGCCGGGCCAGCGCGCCATCTGACGAGCTCACGTTTTGCCTCTTAACGAGCGTCTGGGACGAGCCCGGGTCGTCGTCGGCAGGGCGCTTCTCGGCCGACATGGTGGTGATTGGGGCTGCAGCAGGAGGTTCAAAGCCCGATTATTGTCTTGGTGGTCTCGTACGGTAGGGGTTCGGAAGGGTTCACGCGTAGGCGTGTCGTGGCACTGCTGTTTACGTAGCTTGTCGGTCGCGTCGCGGGGACTTTTTGGAGAGAAGCATCTTGAGCTTCCCGTCCAACCCTGCTTGGTGGTTTCTCATTGGCTCTCGGACCGGGGGTTGTTCCTGAGGCCCCAGTTAGCACCAGCAAACCAGGTACCAGGGTACTTCTAAAGTTGCGACACTGGCATATCCGACTCAGGAAGCATCAGCTCCTCTCTGCTGCGACGCAATTCTGGCGAGGAACTCACATCAAGCCGGGACTTAAGAGGCACATACTCCTTCTCTAGTCGCGCTCCTGCTTTGCAACTAGCAAGCGTTCGCAGCGCAGCCGCAGCACTCTCAGCAGCCCGGCCTAAACTGCCCCCTCAACCCCCCCCCCTGATCCTATAGCCATGGCGGCCAGCAAAGCTTCTCGGGTTGGCGAAGAGTATGTCGCCGGCCTGTGCTTGAACATTCAGCGACTATCCCGACCGGGCTGACCGAGAAACAGGATCTGGAAGTGAGCTGGCTGCATCGTCTTCGAGTTGTGACCATCTCTAACGTCGAATGCAGAACCCGAATCGACAAAGTCAACGCCGAACTGGTGACTCTGACATACGGCACCATTGTCGCGCAATTGTGCAAGGACTTTGAGAGCGACTATGTCGAGGTAAACAAGCAGCTGGACAAGATGGGCTACAATATCGGGCTGCGACTCATCGAGGACTACCTTGCCAAGTCCAACACGATGAAGCGATGCTCCAACTTTCGAGAGACGGCCGACATGATAGCGCGAGTACGTGCACGCAGATGTTCCGTGGCGGGTGCGGCTCTTGCTGACTCGAGGCCAGGTCGGATTCAAGATATTCCTCAACGTCACGCCGCAAGTGACAAATTGGACGAATGACAACAATCAATTCTCTCTCGTCTTTGACGAGAATCCGTTTGCCGACTTTGTAGAGCTTCCGGACGACAATCATGCCCAGGACGAACTCTGGTACTCAAACATCCTGTGCGGAGTCTTGAGGGGCGCACTCGAGATGGTCCAGATGCAGGTCGAGGCTCACTTCATCAGTGACGTCTTGCGGGGCAACGACACGACAGAAATGAGGGTTTCTTTAATACGCTACATTGACGACGAACTGCCCCCAGATGATGATTGATGAATGGAGAGCATCGGCGTCACCCTACAGTCTGTTTCGCATAGGTGGTCGTGGCGGAGAGGCGGGTGGGGATGAGCGAGTCCGAGTCGAGGTGGACAATACCGAGGAGGCGCGTAACTTCAAACCTGGCAGTACAGCTGGTTTGTGGACTGCGATGCATCAGAGGCCCTTCTGGAACACACAAATCACTGTTGACGCAATTCAGGCGCTGGCTAGGTTGGTGAAGAAGTGCCAGAAGGCGGCAGTGTAGCTGGCCTTGGCCCTGCATTTGCAACAGAGGTGTATCCATAGCCAGTCTCGGCTTGGCTGAGAAGCGGAATCGAACTTGGAGCTCTATCAAAGAAGCCCAAGATTATCTTGGTTGCACGTGCATGTGCATACTGGGGACGCAAAGCTCCAGATGGTGCGAAGCGCCCAGGCCTTTGTTACCTACCCTAAAGCGGCACCGCGACGAGGAGCCGACAAGTCGATCCTTGGGCAAGATTTGGAGCAAACATCAGTCACGCTTTGACGACAAGCTCAGAGCTGGCCTCGGCGTGCATCAGGCCAGCTCTCAAGGTTGCAGGGTGGCAAGGTAAGCCGTCGGCGAATAACGGACAGCGAAATCATCTGATGGACGGCAACCCCCTCGCACACACGATGATGGCAAACTGTGGAGGGTCGAGCAGATCACCCCCTCCCTTTTGAACATGGGCGCGTGGTAGTGATTCGAGGGCAATAGGCAGAGTGGCGAGGGATGTGAATCATTGGACATGAATATTGTGTCATGCCAAGTGACAAGAAGGGGGATTGAATCTCTGAGCAAGCTGCCGGGCAATAAAGGACTCAACGTCTACTTGGAGGGGAAGGAGACTACCTACCTAGTTGCGCAAGGGAGCTCAGGGTCTTGGCTTATTCGTCTTCCCTTCCCTTTGCCAAATATTGACTCATGCCGTCTACGGATCACGCACATTGTACATTCAGGCGTGTGTATGTTGTACGTGGCGGCATCTACCTAGATAGGTAGGGAAGCATGCGCTGTAGATCGGGCATATCCACCTCGAGACAGATCAAACGGGGACTTGTGCGTACGACGCCGCGACTCATTGTAGCAGCTCAGTTACAGTATTTAATATGATGGGCAAGTCTTGGTCCGCAGCACAAACCATATTATTTTGCATCCCTCGGTCAGTAGGACGTTGGGGATGCAACCACCCATGGCCGCACGCGGAACCGAGCAAAAGCAGCCCAGGGAGATGGCGGCCGAACGCATCGTGGCTTAGAATGTTGTCATGAGGCGCGACCCCTGCAAACCCTAGAAGCCAAGCAATCCTCGTTCGGCTGCATTGACAACTTTACTGTAGATGCTGGGTGCGGTGCAGCAGCTGTCAAATGCACCTTGCAAGGCGGCCCTCGATTGCATGGTGCTAAAGCCGGCACTGCCTGAGGCAGGAATTGGATCCTATCGCGCGGGCCAAGAACTACGCGGCTGGTCTGAGGCTTACGCGCGCGCAGACCAACAGGGTGCTCGAGGTACCTGGAGGTTCCCCAAGCTCCCGGATGATTTGCTACAGTATGCGCACTGAGATGGAGGCGTCTGTTTCTCTTTGGCTGTGTTTCTGTTGACATGGCGGAAACTCTGGCTGGCCTCTAGACTTTTTGTTGGCGAAGTTTTCGCTGAAAATTCTGCACGTGGCTTGCTGGGCGCTCGCCAACGCCTCGCACTGTGACTTGACGCGTAGCAAGAAAAAAGCGTCAGCGGGCTGCGGCGCCCTCGCCTTTACACCGTGTGACGTATGCTTGCTGCACTCCGGACGGGATCCTTTGGCTTTCGCACTGTGCTGGCTTCGTTGCAGGCAGCCGAACCTTGTCTCGCCTCCAGTCTGTCTGTTGCTTCATCGCCTCCACAGCCTAATCCCAAGGTAATGCTCATCGCGACAAGGAGGCTCCACGGCCAGAGCTGACCAAAAGTCGACAAGAGGCTCGCGGGCTCGGCAATCAGCGACCAACGCGCGACACGACTGCAGGCACTTCGGTTGGGTCTCTTCTCTCGCATCCGTCCTTCCAGGCCTGCCGACCGCTGCACCTAGCGCTGAGGCAGCTCACTGAGACTGCAAAGTGTGCGCGCTGCGCTGTCCCAGCCCCCGGGCAGCTCTCCATTTGCATCCCCATCCCATTCTATCCGCCTTTCTCTCTCCCCATCTTCCCTCTCTTTTTATCAACCGCCCCAAACCTAAAAGCGCTCCCGACGCGGCGCCTTTTTTCCTTTCCTTTTTTCCCCTTCCCAACAGTCTGCGTCTCCCGCCTTTTATCATCCTCCGACTTTTCCACCGACTTCCCTTTGTTTCCCACCGACCCCGCGACGTCTGGTCCAATTCATCGTCGCCCCTCTAGCCACGGCCTGGACGGCTACGCACACACCTAGGCAGCCTTGCAGCGCCTTCTCTGCGTTGCTGGCACACACGGGCTCCCAACCCCCTGCCTTGCCTGGCTGCATTTCCGCCTCTCTCCACTGATCCACCGTCGTCGTCTCCGACACCCGCTGCCATGAACCCCAACGTGGGCGCGCCCAACATGAACCCCATGGGCGGGCCGGTGGGCGGTGGCGCGCCGATGCCCATGATGAACAATGTCGCCGGCAACCCCCAGGCCGCCGCGGCGGCCGCGGCGGCCGCGAGACAGCAACAGCTCAACGACAACCAGCGGGGGGTCCTCAACACGTACATCTACGAATACTTCATCCGCTACGGCATGTACGAATGTGCACGCTCGCTCCTCTCGAGCGACCAGCAGGTCAACGTCCTTAAGGAGGGCGCCAACCGTCGTCGCGACGATGGTGGCAATGCCGTCAACGGCACAGACGATCCCATGGATACCGACTCCAAGTCCGATCTCGACGGCAAGCTCCCCGACGACCTGCCACCCCCCAAGCTGCCCATGCCCGCCTCCGACACCTCCTTTCTCCACGAATGGTTCTGCCTTTTCTGGGACATCTACAACGCTCAACGCGCAAAGGGCGGCAACGGCACCGTCAACCAATACGTCTCTCATACCCAGGTACGACGAATCTATCCTCTTCCCCGCTGCCAGTGCCTTGTCCTGTGTCGCGTCCCCTCCCGAGAAGCTCTTGTGGACCTAGACTGACTGTCATCACCCCCACCCCCCTCCCACAGCAACAGTCTCGGCTGAAGCAGAATCATCAGCAGGAGTTGCTTCGCCAGATGCGCCCCGACCTCGCCGCGCAACAGCAGTATCAAGCTCACATGATGCGGAACCTGCAGAACGGAAACGTCAACATGGGCATGAAGCAGGGTAACCTTGCCCGTGCCGCCATGGCCAACAATCAGCAGTACGTCAAATTCGAGTTCTATGCCCTTCGTCCAGACGGCGGCCTGTGATGAGCCAATGCTGACTGGCCCCCTCTTCTTTAGCCCGCAGATGATGTTGCAGCAGGCCAAACAGAACCAGATGCAGCGCGACCCGTCCAACATGGATGCGAATCGCGAGCGCCCCTCGTCTCCCGCTTCGGGCGAGAATGCCCCCTCGCCTTCCAAACGGCCACGCATCGAAGGCGCACCCTTCAATCCGAACCAGCCAGGGGCCATGATGGCCAACGGAAGACCGGGACAGGGCATGCCCGGGCAGCAGATTGCCGGCAACCCGAACGCCGCCGCCGCTCACCAGATGCTCACCGCCAACGGCATCAACCCAAACACCCTAAACCCCCAACAGTTCCAGAACTTTGTCAACGCGCCTCCCGCGGCCCAGCAGAAATCGATTGCCACGTACTCGCAGAACCTTCAGCAGCACCACGGCACGCAAATGGGGGGCAAGCAGATGCCCAACGCCGCTGGACCCCAGAACCAAGGTTCCCCGATGATGCCGCAGGGTCCTGATGGATCCGCCCTCAATGCCTTCTACAATCCGGGTGAGATGACGGGCCCCGGTGGCATCCGACCCGGGCCTGGCGCACAGGCGGGCGCCGGCAGCAACCACGCCCTCCAGGATTACCAGATGCAGCTGATGCTCCTGGAACAGCAAAACAAAAAGAGGCTTATGATGGCTCGCCAGGAGCAGGACAACATGCCTGGCATGCCGCGAGAGCCGGGCGGTCCTGGCGGACCAGGAGGGGCCCAGGGCCCCAACGGCCAGCCGTTTCCTGAATCGTCCCCTCAGGCAATGCGCTCAGGAGCATCTCCCAACCCCTCCGACCAGATGAAGCGGGGCACACCGCAGATGAACAACTCCAGTGTCCCATCGCCTGTTCCCGAGGGTGGGCAATCCCGCGGCTCCCCCAATCCGACAATGAACTTCATGGGCAACCACGTGGACCCCAACATGGCACCTCACTTTTTCAAGGGAGTGGAGGGCAACATGGCTGCTGCGCAGGCGCAGATGAATGGTGGCATGCGACCCCCCAGCTCGCACCCCGGCCAACCGTTCAATGGCCAGATGAATCCGCAGCAGATGATGGCTGCTCGTCAACAGCAGCAGCAACAGCAGCAGCAGCAGCAACAGCAACAGCAACAGCAACAGCAACAGCAACAGCAGGGCCAGCAGCCGCAGCAAGGTCAGCAACAGGGAGGCCAGGGCACTCCGCAGCAGTGGCAGCAGGGGCCAAATGGCCAAATGGTGCCGCAGGGGATGCCACAGCAGAATCCGCAGATGCAAGGGACGCCACAGCAGCGTTCGATGCCTCCTCCATCGGCACCGGCCGCCGCTGGCAACAATGCTAACAACCGCACGACGGCATCTCCTCAACAGGCCTCTGCCGCGCCACCAACACCCAACCAGTCAAACAAGGCTGGCCCCAAGAAGAAGGAAACAAAGGCCAAAGACAAGGTATGTCTCACCTCCCCGGGTCGTTTTGTCTTGTAGACTAACCAATATTGACCAGCGTACCGCCGCTCAGAAGAAGGCAAGTCAGAACACAGGCAACGCCGGCGCCACCCCGGCCGGCGAATCGAGTGGCGAGCCCGATGGTCCCGCACCGGCCACGCCTATCACCCCGGTCAACCCAGGCTTCAACAAGAACGGGCAGAACGGCGCGGCAACAAGCGCTCAGGGCACGTCTGCTGCCCCCGTTCCCAGCGCTCCCGCTTCGGCGCCGGCTCCCCAAGCGGCGCCGGCAGCCTCGATGCCACAACAGGGTCAGGGTGATCCAAATCAAAACGGTTCCATGAGCATGGACAACTTTGGCAGCATGGTACGTACATTCGCCGTCCCGCGTCAACCGTCGCTCACGGCTTCCCAGGTCGATTTCGGAAGCATGGAGCTGGCCAATCCGCTGCAGTCGGGCGATGTCCTGAACGATTTCGACTTTGACTCGTTCCTGCACGAAGACAACAACGAGCCCTTCGACTTCAACGGGGCGTTCCCTGGGATGGAGGGCGGCGAAATCGGCGCCGAGTGAATCTGAAGACGGTCCAGCCACGGCGGGCTCTACTTTTTGTCACGGCGGAGCAACTTTTTAATCCGGCATCATTTGTCACGGCGTTCACCGGGGTCGATATCAAATGGTTTCATGAGGCGATCTAGGCGTGCGGGAGACCCAACCTCCCTGCGTGGTGGTCTGAAAGGAAAAGAGCTTGTCGTCAAATGTTCCTTTTGTCACGCTTTGTCATTTTCTCACGATGCCAATTGCGGCTGCGGTTGGAGGTGGAATATCAGGGGACTCGATAGGGACATGGTCTTGTTTTGGCAGTCTTCTTTTGTTTGGTCTACAATATGTTGACAGCGGTTCAAATATCACATACCACTTTGTATTGCCAGCGCAGGGCTAGATGTATGCTATGGTGCTTTGCCTACGCTTGACGGATGTCTCTTCGCAAGCATCAAGGTTACTGCTCACCTTGGCGAAGCTCACGTGTGACATATGCAGGCTGAGTTGCGCCTCGCAATGCCTCCGAGGGACATGAGCCATTACGGGGTCTCCACCACAAGATGCCATTGGCTGCCTGCAGTGGTATGCTCGATTCTCTCCAGCTCTCTTGCTGCAGCTGACTGAAAGTCTTCTCGGAGAATAGTAGTCGAAATTCTCGCAATGCCTGAGCATCCTCCACGTGGTAGCATCGAATTGAAGATTGTGAAGAACAAGCACATGTCAACACTGGGTCCTGGCGCTCGGGACGTTGGTCGATCTACCGCACAGGCGCCAGCGAGGCGGGCTAGCCGCTTGGCATCGCGAATAGGTGGGTGTCTGAAGTAAGCGGATTGCTGTATGCTCCAGCGTCTTTCGAGATTGTCTCTGGTTGGGGGATTGGAAATCTTGGAGTCTCCTTTGCTTACGGTAGCGCTGTAGTGGTAAACGGTGGGTTAAAAGGATTCTGCGTCTGTATGAGGGTGACGGTACTCAGGCTTAGAGGGAAGAGTAGGAAAGTAAAGATCTGCCATCTTGAACTGTGAACCGGAGTCTCCTGGCTTTCGATATAAGCTTGACCTTAACGTGCCTCGAGCGAGCGAGATAAGAGCACCAGTCTTGGCAATCCAGGTTGACCTTTACCTCTGGTCTTGAGGCTGATGGTTTCGCGAAATAGTCTGAAGTGACTGCTTGGTGGTTGCGCTCGTGGAGTGGAGCTCGTGTTGTTGGTGTCTGGTAGTGGCACTGGCTGCCTGAGTCGTCAACGCCGCCCACGAGCTCGGATATAGTAGTTAGTTGTCGTGTCCCCAGAACCGTCCCAGAGTCCATCAAATTGTGCCATGTAAAGGAGTTGAATGGCTGCGTGTAGGTGCTGAAGGCCTACCACTTACGACGGGCACGTCGTAATGCATCAACGCAGTCTTGCCATGTTGTCTTTCCATTCAGCTTTGTCGGTTATCTTGACTTTCTGCTTCATGACTGGCAGTCAAACCAGGTCGAAAGGCTCACAAAGATTCCCTTGTACTAAGAAATCAGTATCAATCGGTATCACTCTTCAACATGATCGCCAACAATTCTGATGCAAGGAATTCATTTAGGTTGATGGCTAATTTTTGATTGTGCCAGAAAGCTACCCCTTAGGCTCATTTTAGAGTGCTTCTGGCGCCGTGAGGCTTAGGAGGCACGGACCTACCTCCCAAGAAATGTCGTCACGGGGTAGCCAGACGCACCATAGCCTTATCATCCCTAGCAGCAGCGTTCGAACGTAGGATCAATAGCAAATTTAGCGCAGTTTCTCGGAAGTTTCAGGTAGGCTCTCACGGGCTTCCCTCCCGGGCTCATATCTGGTCAAGTTCACATATACCGCTTCATCAGGCAAAATAGGGACACCCCCGTAACGGGGGTATTTGGTAGGTGTTATAAGTCATGTTCCGTCTGACAACTCCAGATCAAGGCTGACACGGGGCAAGAGCACTACCTGCTCGGCGGTATCATGAGTTTGCAGAACCAAATCGCGTAGTCTTATGTTTCACTTCTTTTGTCAGAGCACAGATTCTTATACCGGGAATAGCAGTGCTTCGCGGTATAATTCATGTGCTCCTTGGGCAGCCGAAGTTGCTCGTCTGCTAGCCGCATGCAGGACAGGCACGATGAGGGCAAGAATGCCAAAACATGATTTTTTTTATTCGAGATCTTTGCAAGTATTTTGTGAGACCTTTCAAATCATTAGACGCATTGCTAATCACAGTCTCACGCTGCGTCCTGAATGGCAATTATGAACAGGTTTGTATCACAAGGCGTCTCAAAGTCGATACGCGATTTTAGCGCTTTCACTTCTGGCTTTTTATATCCTTCTCACTCTTGAGGCAAGACTTGCTAACCCATGGGTGTTGCTGGACTTTCTCCAATGGCATCCTCTTCTCAGCGTCGAGTACAAGTAGCTAGAATCACGTCAGTGTTGCGAAGCTATTACAGTCAAGGACCATAAAACTCACTTTCGGATGAGGTCTTTAGCCTCGGGGCTTACGAATCATGGAATCGTCATGTCGCCCTTCACGATCCTCCTTTGCGTCATGACAGGGTATCCTCGAATGGTGCTTCTCCGACCAGAAATTCGTACATCAGAACTCCCAGAGACCACAAAGTTTCTAGAGTTTTTAATCCACCTTTTCGTCATAGAACTTGTCGTGTCTCCTGAGGCCCACCATCTCGGGAGGTAAGTAGTCTAACATACCCGCATTGGGTGAGTCTGCGACTGTTTGGCGCATGTACGCTCCACCCAACCAAGATATTCCCAGGCTTAATATCTCGGTGGATGGTGTATTTTCGATGCAAGTGCTGCAAAGTACTGGCCATTTGCACGATATAATGCGCCGCCTTTTTAGATAACTCCAATGGAATATTGTAATAGCTAACTCTGAATCCTAAACTAGCCCTAATCCTAGTCTAAACGCTTAAGAGCTAAGATTCCTAACCAAGGCTCTTCGAGACTGTGTAAATAAGAGATATAAGTCCATATTTTTATGTATTGGATACAAACTGCTGGTATAGTGCATTTCCCTTTTGGATGCACTCTTTATTGTATGCCCCCTTTTCGTTGGCTAAATAGCCTGAGGGGATGGCCCGTTCCTGCCTTAGTGAGTTGTTTTGCCGTCCTAGCAATTGATAGCCCGGGACAGACAACCGTAATAGCAGATTGCGCAGAATTAGGTATTTTGCGATCCGGTCGGCCCGCGGCGTAATCAAGTTTCCTGGATGTCAATGCCTAACAGTGTCACGAAAAGTAGGGCCAAATAGGCATAAAGTTAGTATTTCAGAATCGTCCGGTGCTGCTCCATTTTTCCTTCTGTTCTCTGTGTCTGTTCCTTCCTTCCTCGCCCTTTTATTCCTGGCCACAATCTCGATCTTCTCCGTCTGCCTCACACCTCCGTCAATCGTCAGGGTGCGCCCCACTTTTTCCTAGGACACCGTCCTGACGGCCGGGCTGACTGTCTCAGCCGACGCATCAGAAAGCAGGCCTGACGTCCTGGCTGACTGTCTCAGCAGGAGCATCAGCAAGCAGGGAACCTCTAGAGGTCCTACGAGCGGCTTCGCAACACACCCTTAGTGACGGCCAACCAGGACGTTGCTAGAGATGCGGGAATGTCGTGCACGACTCATCTCTCGCCCTGGGCCTCTTTATGGCTATCACGGGATGTATCACATCTCGTAATTCTTCAAGCTTGGCCTCTACTCAATCGTTCCTTTATCTCCTCAAGCCCAACCATTCGTTGGAACTCGAGGAGCTTCTGCCTCGGCAATGCCTTCGTCAAGCCATCTGCTCGCATATGTGTCGTAGGCACCCAATTGACCCGAATTCGAGCATCTTGAACCTCTTGTCGTAGCCAATGCTGATGAATGTCTACGTGCCTCAGTCTCGTCGAGAGCTTCGTACTCTCCTCTTTGAGAAGTCTGATCGTCTGGGCATTGTCGCATTCCACTACCAACGGAGAGGGAATTCGGATGTCCAGGAATTCAACAGACGGCTCAGGAAGATCGCCTCCTTTGACGCCTCTGAGAGAGCAAGCAACTCAGCCTCCGTGCTTGACGTCGTGACTGTCGCTTGCTTTGACGCTCTCCACGCCACTGATCCTCCAAATAGGGTCATGACGTAGCCTTGTGAGCTCTTCCTGTCGACTGAATTGTCTGCGAACGATGCGTCACTCGAACAGAGGAACAGCTCCGCTTCCTTCGATCCTCCTCCGAGACGTAACGCGTACGATCTCGTTGCAAAGAGGAAGAGGATAACTCTGTCTGCTGCTTTCTGGTGCTTCTCATCGGGATTGTGGTTATGTCTTGCCAGTCGGGATACGGCAAACGCAATATCTGGTCGCGTTGAAATTGCTGAGAAGAGCACGGAACCAACCTTCTGGAGATACTGATGTTTTTCCCTTTCATTTGCTTGGCTTGTAGCTGGCAGGAGCTCTTCGTCAGAGATCATTGGCGTGTCTGGGAGCTTGAGAGACTCAGGGGCGTTGTCGTTGTTTAACAGGAACTTATACGCGATCTTGTCGATATAGGCGTCTTGCGTCAGCCAAAGCGTCTTCCTTTGACGATCGCGGAGGATACGAATCCCCAAGAACCAGCGAGGTTCTCCAAGCCGAGTTAGGTTGATCTTTTTCTGTAGTCCCCGAGTAGCTTCTTCGACGACCCCTTCGTCCTCCTTCCGGAATGCCCAGATGATGTCATCAACGTAGAAGAAGACGGTCACCGCTCCTTCATCATGACACACGGCTCCTGGGAACTTTTCTGAATCCCAGTTCCTCTAGAGACGACGTAAGCATCTGTTGCCAGAGGAGCGGCGAGCGGCGTAGTCCGTAGAGAGCTTTTCTCAGGCGTAGGACTTTCCCTCTTCTGGAACCCCGGTGGCATCCTCATGAAGATAACTTCTTCGTCGTCGAGGGGGGCATGAACAAAAGCATTGACTGCATCCATCTGTTCCAATTCGAGGTCGTGTTTCGCGGCAATGGCCATTAGCGTACGAAACGACATTCCTGCGAGGGTAGTCGCTCGAGTAGGCAGGTCCCCCTTTCTGCTGATTGCCACAGACAACGAGGCGAGCTTTGCACTTTTGGAGATTGCCGTGCTTATCAGTCTTATAGATGAATACCCACTTGCAACCGAGGACCTGCTTTCCAGCAGCCTTCGTCCAGAAGACCTCGTCAAACGAGCCCATTTCCGCATGTGAGGCCAGGTGGTCTCTCTGAGCCTGGGTGAATTCCTCTCTATACGGGTGTTTTTCTAGTTGCTTCTGCGTCTGTGGAGGCTCGGGTAGGTCTCTCTTGTGGACTTTTGCGCTTTTCGGTCTGAACAACCTTCCTGCTGTGAAGGCTCCGTGCACCCCGTCCTCAATTGGCACCGGGACGAAGTCGGCAAAACGGTCGATGTATGACTGATCCAGCTCTGGTTGATCAAATGGTTCCAGAGCTTTCAAACGCGATTCTTTCATCAGGCCTTCAAGGTCGGCTTGAAATGCCGCTCCTCCAAGAGAGCAACCCACCCTCAGGGTGAGCCTCCTCTTCAGGATCATCCTGAACACGGACTCTCTTCTGAGCTTGCAACGGCTCCAGATCGACTTGGAAAGGGGCTTTACCACCACCCCATTAGGGTCAGCGTATGGAAAGTGAACCGAAAAGACTCCATGTGGTTCTTCTTCCTCCGGGTCAGAAGCTGGTGGCGTTAGGTATGCATCTTCCAGCTCCCGCTCGCCCGTAGTCTTCTTTCCTGCTCTTCGCTTTGTTGTTGTCCCTGCTCCTCGACTTCGTTATCTTCAGCCATTCTGATGTCATCATCCTCGAGGTCCTCGATATCAGTGTCTTCATCGGTCTCTTCGTCAAGGATGGCCTGATTCGCCGTCTGGTCTTCCGGGATTTCAATCTGTTGGATCATCTCTCCGATGCTCGCAGGCAGCGGCATCCGCTCGCCTCCTCCTTCGAAGAACGTATACTCGTCAAAGACAACATCTCTCGTTGCAATGACCTTCTTCAAGAGAGGGATCCAAATTAGGAAAATATTTGTAGACTTATAACCGATGAGGTATCCGATGTGAGCTCTCGGGTCGAGCTTCCACCTCTTCCTCAATCCAAGCTGTGCATTTGCTGTCATTGCGTAGGCTCGGCAGCCGTACGCACGAAGATGTGAGAGCTGATTTTTCTTCCTGTGAACAAGTCAATGGGAGACTTCCAGTCGGCTTCTCCTTCGTTAGCGTTTTCAGCGGCGAATCGAGGCTCTCTTGGCGTTCGGTTTCGGAGGTAGCAGGCTGCTTCGATGATCTCTTTCCATAGTGAATGCGGTAGTCGAGAGGCAATCCTCATGACTCTCGCTCTCTCGGTAGAGATCCTCCTGACCTCTCGGCTCCACCATTCTGGTCCTGAGTGTTGGAAGCTGACATCGCCTTTGTCATCCCTTTCTTCCTCATCCAGGCTGAGATTTTCTTCGTGAAGAGCTCGCCGTCAGAGCGCACGACATTCGTCTTAAATCCAAAGCGAGCGAGCATAAAGGAGGAAAAGTCTTTCAAGACAGCTCCGTGTTCCTTTGCCTTGTAGGTCTTCATGAAGTAGGGAAAGACCATTCCAGAGAAGGCGTCTGTGATAAACATCACACGGACGTAGTTCTCGTGGTCTCTCGCAAGGTCGGTCCAGTCTATCCAGATCTCGTAGCACGGCTTGTCTCTTTCCTCGTCAGGTGGACGGCGGAGACTTGCCTTCTGACCTTCCCTGAGCACAGTACTCGCATTCGACGGTTTTCGGCCCTTAATCCGGACCCCTTTGTAGGCCTAGCTTGTGCAAAGCCATTGACCAGGGTGACCAAGACGGGCGTGCCAAAGCTTGCCGTCTCCTTGAGAGGCAGGTCGAGGATCTCTTGAGCCGGCTCTTCGAGCTTTCCTTGTCTCCTTCTTCGATGCCTGGAACGCACTGTTGAAATCCGGGAATTCGGTTTCCACGGGCTGGTATTCAACAACAAACTGCTGATATTTCCTCTCGGTGATCCCGATAGTCTGGCCCTTTCGGACTAGCCTCATAGGCTCAGACAGCGTATCCCAAAAGATCTGATCGTCGTCGATAAGAGTCTGCAAAGAAACCAGGCTCGATGAGAAACCGGGACAGTAGGCAACCTTCTCCCTCATCCTTGGTTGCTATTTCTGCATTTTCTTTCGAATATCTTCAATTCTCCTTTTCAGGACAGGATCGTCAGCGACTCTCTCTCGTGTCATCTTGAGATACCTTTCAGGGGGCGGATTATAGCCCTCTGGTCTGGCTTCTTCGATAACCTGCCAGCAACCCTCGAGCTCGTGTCCCTTGCGTCTGCAGGCAAGGCAGGGATCTCTTTTGGAATATGGCTCCCTTTCCAAGGGCTCTCTGTCCAGCTTCTTCTTCTTCGCTGGCGGTACTTCGTCCGCATCGTCTGCGTCTGCTGCTGCTTTGTCCGCATGAAATGCGCCTCCTCTTTTGATAGCACCTCGGGGTTTTTCTGCTTCTCTGCTTTCGGCCAGATGCTTCACATCTCGCACGACTCTCTCAACAGTCCATTGACTCTCCGTCGGAGCTTGGGCTGCAAGAACGGCGGCGACTGCGGCCGTTGCTGCAGCGGCCATCGCGGCTACTGCAGCTGCTGCCGGATTGTGAACAACGGGGTTAACAGGAGCAGCAGCAGGAGGACCATATCGGTCGAAGTCGAACAGTTTCCCTGGGTAGCCTCTGATTTTGCGTCGAGTATCCTGCTTCCTTGTTCGTACTGGTAGCCTAGGAGTTATCCAGAGGCCTAATCAATGTGGCAACGTCTCTAAGCCACTGGCCCGTTTGGGCCTCCATTAGCTTATACTTATCGGCGTCAGACATTATGTCTTCCCATTTGTCGATCCAGGAGTCTAGATCCTTTGCGTTAAATCTCTTTAGGTGGGTCGAATACTTGGTCCTTGTGAGATTCATCATATATCCCGCTTCAGGGGCCGTCGACGCTTCTAGACGTTTAAACCACTGACGAATTGGAAGGTCTTCGTCGAAGGCGTTCTGCTTCGAGGATACCACTGATTCCTGCATCGCTATGCGAGCGTTGGTAACCAGTTTAGTCTCATCTTTATACTCTTTCCTCCTGATATCATAGTCCCGCATCGCGTCGTTATAATCTCTTCTGAACGGCAGAGAGGTCAGCGAGTCTAACAGCATCAGGGCGTAGTGGCGGAATTCAGGTCGCTCAGGAGGTTCGAGGGGTCCTCGTTGGTAAAGATCAGGCTATGGATCGTCTTGTCAGTTCGATTCCTGAGCTCCTTCTCCATTTGTCCCAGTTGCTTGGTCCTGAGAGGATCGCTCGTGCAGGGGCGGCAGAAGACTTCGACATCTCGTTGATTTGAGAGTGGTTTTCGGTCGGAATGGAAGTTACAGGAACGTAGTTCCTCCCGGCTCATGACTGTCACGAAAAGTAGGGCCAAATAGGCATAAAGTTAGTATTTCAGAATCGTCCGGTGCTGCTCCATTTTTCCTTCTGTTCTCTGTGTCTGTTCCTTCCTTCCTCGCCCTTTATTCCTGGCCACAATCTCGATCTTCTCCGTCTGCCTCACACCTCCGTCAATCGGGGTGGCTGCGCCCCACTTTTCCTAGGACACCGTCCCTGACGGCCGGGCTGACTGTCTCAGCCGACGCATCAGAAAGCAGGCCTGACGTCCTGGCTGACTGTCTCAGCAGGAGCATCAGCAAGCAGGGAACCTCTAGAGGTCCTACGAGCGGCTTCGCAACAAACAGCGCTCACATTGAAAGAAGAGAACGGGAGATGAGAGAGTCGATGGGATCTCTCTTGCTCGTCACTTTTGTGTCCTTGTCGTGTTTTGCGTACCAGCACTTCGGTTACTTTTGCCTGGGCTTGTGTAGATATGATAACACGATTCCTAGTGTGCGAGGGACGAGAGGAGATACTGAGGAGGGAGAATGAGATAACTTCATATGTTCAGTCTTGTCACCCACTTCAAACTTTGGAGCGTGGCCATGTTAAGTAACGCAGGCAAGGCCTTGTGCATAATAGACGTTCGATTAGCCATCCACCAAGCCAGTTTCACCACTCCAATCCCCGTATCGTCTGTTTCCATCGTGTCTTTCCTCGGATGGACACCCGGGCCCTACTGGAGACACCCTCGAGATGTGCAAGATTCTGAGGCGCTTGGACGCTGGGTCGAAAAATGGTTGGGAAGCTCCTTTTTCATTTCGGGCAACTTTGCTTTCTCTTGAGGCCCTGGAGCCGGTCCAAAACACGACGTAGCCAAGGATGGGGGATGTTTCTGCTGCAGAACCGCCGGCCATGCTCGACCCTGGACTGGGATTCAAGGGTCAAAAGCAACGGCAGCAACGAGGGCTTGCCCCCCACCCCACCACTCCATCGGCCGGGGTCCGAGATGTTCGAGAGGTTTTTATGCATGCAGCACGTCAACTCCTCTGGTCGGTTCAACCTTGATCTTTCAGTGGCCCCCGCCCCCGCAAACCAGCACGTCGAGCTCTCCGAGAGGTCGAGGTGATGGGCACTTGCGAGTCAGCGGCGACCCGGCCAGCCCGCAGGGCCCGGGCGCACATCAGTCGAGTTGAGCTCCCCGTTGATGTCATGAGCCCGACGTGAGGATTCTCGGCCTGAACTAGATATCGACGTCATACAGGGGGCGGCGAGGACCTTTTGTGTTGGCTTATCAAGAGGGAGGGACTTTTCATGCTACGGGGGCACCAGAGACAGGGAGCTTCACATTGTCTCCCCTCATCATCGCGGCCTTGATTCTGCCCCTAAAAGGGCTAGTCCGCGGCGTCTCTACTGTTGTAACCGTCGACATTGTACGATGTCTGTATATACTCGGGGGCCCCATATACTCGAGCTGATGTATTGCTAGACTGTCGGAACGCTCTGATGTCCCCTGTGCCCCTACACTCAGTGAGTTCAGGACAAAATCCATTGACTGATTCTCCCCGAGGTAGCCCATGCCATCTCTCGGGCGGGCGGGGAATAAGATGGCCTTTGCATGTTGTACGAGCAGCTGCCAGGCTGGCAGGCCCAAGACATGCCGTGATCGTTCATAAGCTTATATCGCTTTGAGCGCCATAGATGGACCGGGGTCTGCGACGCTAGCGCTGCGCTTGTTGGCGTTGAAACTGAGCTTAATCCACCCGATCCGCTGGTCTGATTGTGAGGATGGCTGGACATCCCTCCGGCCGATGGCGGAGTTTGCGGCATCCCGGGCGATTAGCTGCCGAGGCAGAGAAGCGTACCCACCGAAGATATGCTATGCCCTCGGTTGCATTGCCGACGGCGATGGAGATGGCCCGGTCTGAACACCGCCGTGTAGGCGTTGCTGACTAGGAGGGTAGAGCGTTCATACGCGATGCCATCTGAACAGTGCTGACAATGCAGCGCATTTTCTGCAACCCCGTCTCTGATGTCATGATAATGCAATTCAAGGCGGCATAGTCGAGAGATGCCAAGATGTGAAACCAACCACGGGGTTCGACGAGGATCACCCTCGACTCTCGCGAATCAAGTTGGAACGCAGCCGGCGCGTCCGACGACCCAAACACGGCTTGCCCAAATTGTGCTGCACGCTGGGCACATGTAGTCGCAAAAAAACGAGCCTGTGTAACAAGAAAAGCTCCTGCCAAGGCCACAATCTTCAGGGGTCGTGGAAAAGCAAGGGATGATGCTGCGGGGATTTGCGCGGTGAACTGGTGAGGAAGATCTCCCGCAAAGGATCCTTCACCTCCATCACATCAAAGATGCAGGTGTCGAAGCGTGAGCCTCGCATTGGATATATGCAGCTCCTGCCAAGACTCGACAACGGCCATTCATGAAGCAACAACCTAAGAACCACTGCCCTGGGATGATAGGAGGCGCTAGCGAGTCGTTTACGAGTCGCCCGCGTCGTCGAGGCCGATGACAGAGGGGTCAGGAAAGGCGGGCTTACACTCAACTCTAGACAAACGAGGCCTGCAGCTCCCCCCTTTTCAACATGGCCCCTTGAAGCGACAGTGCCCTTGACAAGAAATCAAGGCCAGGCTCCCAGGTCGAAGCCTATTGGAAGATGCACGTGCGGTCCCGAAGCGCCCTGGTCGACTTAAGCGCCGACGGAGACGCTAACAAATGTCGGACGATGCTCAAACACTCTAGAAGACCTCTTGCGGCAACTATGCCAAATCGCTTTTCACCGAGAAGCGCCTGGTCGGCCGGGGTTGGATATGACTGATGGATGGGAGGCCCGGTCTACCAACCGACACTGACAAAAACCCTGGAAGCGACATATTCACTGATTGCAGTTTCTGCCCCCTAGATACGTGGGACGGTTCAGGACGTGAGTGTATTTCAAACCTGGCCTGGTACGGGGGCGAGCAAAAGCTCCTTGCTTCATGTACAACGCAGCCCTGTACATGCATGTACATGTTGATACCTGCTTTTTCCGGGCTCTCGCAGTTACACACAAGCAGTCTGAAGTTCACCCTTGCCATCCGCTTGGGCAAAGACCATACGGATTCCCCACCGCGGCGCCTATCGACCAAGGTCCTGTTTCACGGGCGAATCTCCTGGCACCATGTCCTTCCCATCGACTAGCTGGTGGCCTTCTCTACTCTGTCCCTGGCCAACGGACCCCCTGTCGGTCCAGGGAAATGAACGGGCGCTTCATTCGCAAGGCCTGTCCTGGGACGAGATCATCTCTCCTCCAGGGATTGTCCTCGAATCTCCCTCAAGCATAAAGCCCATGATTACAGTCGGCAATCCACATGGCTCGTGATAGTCCCGTTGAACCGTTGCGAGCCAGGTTTCCCATCCATATGAAGCTTGCCAGCGTCTTGGCTGCTGAAGAAGCTTGGCGGGGACATCCCGTCATGACACGACTTGGCCCTTGACTACACCGAGGCCGCGCGCTCGGGACATGTTGCCCTCATAGCCGCTTGCACCTCGCGTTTATAAAAGCACTCGGCAACCTCCTTGAGTCCAGAGAAGGGCTTGGAGTCATCAGCCAAAGAAGCAGACACATTCCTTTGACACTCCTTTCTGGCATCTTTGCATCTCGTCTGGACGAGTTTACCTTCTTTCTTCCCTTCATCACTTTCCTTGTCTTTGGTCCAACTTTCCAACCTTCACTTGACTCCATCATGATTACCCAGCCCCTTGTCGTTGCTGGCTTCATGGCCACGGCCACCATGGCCGGCGTCATCGAGCGCGGAGAGGACACGTCCATTTGCGGTGCTCCAAGCCCCAGCAACGAGCAGATGCAATCCTTCAAGTCCCTCATGGCCCGGTCTGCCGAAGGGGGGATCTTCAACCGCCAGGCCGGTGACGACCAGCCCCTCGAGATCGCCACTTTTATCCATGTCGTTGCTGAAGACAACACGCTGGAAGGAGGCATGCTCAGTGTACGTTATATCCAAGAACACGTATCCTATCTCCGTCACTGTGCAGTCCGGGCCAGACATGCCTCACCTACACGGAAGCTAATGCAGCACGTTCCATGTCTAGAACGAGTCCGTGAGCAAGTCCGTGGAGATTATGAACACGCTCTACGCCCCGGCCAAAATCTCGTTCAAGATTCAGGACGTGACGTTTACCGAAGACCGCAACTTGGCCACATACGGAGACGACCGCGGCATTGCTATGAAGCAGCAGCTCCGCCAGGGCGACTCGAGCGTGCTCAACCTCTACTACGTCCGGAACTTTGGCAGGCCCGGGCTCAAAGGAGAATGCACCTTTCCCACGGCTCCCGGAAGAGGAGACCCTATGGATGGGTGCGCTGTCGCCTCCGATTCTATCCCCGGGGGACCGACTGAGAGGCGCGGCCAGCGCCAGCCGAACTTCCCGAGCCGGCCCAACACCATGAACGGCCGGGAGGCGCGCAAAAACGACCCTAACGACTTTGGCATCACAAAGGTGGGCACCCACGAGGTCGGCCACTGGTTCGGCCTGCCGCATACCTTTTCCGAGGATGGCACCTGCAGAGCAATCGGCGACACGCCTCCCGAGTCGGGGCCGGCTATGATGTGCCGTACGGGGCAGAACCGGTGCGGCGTCACGCCGGCTCAGGAGGAGGAGCTGAACCAGAACATCATGAGCTACGCGTAAGTGTCTCTTGGGCCGGGAGTGGAAAGCAAGGGAGTGGGTGGATCAGTTGCTAATCAAAAGGTAATAACAGGGACTGCCCAAAGCAGGCATTCACTCAGGGTCAGATGCAGTATATGAGACAGAATTTCAGAGAGCGCCGCCAGACGGATGGAAACAGCCAGGGCAGCGCAGGACGGGGATCCGGAAGACCAAACGGACCCGGTGGACCCGGTGGCCCGGGCCCGAGACCGGGTCCTCGTCCTGGGCAGCCCATGCCGAATCCCGGACAACCCTTGCCAAATCCTGGCGAGCCAATGCCAAATCCCGGCCAGCCAATGCCAAATCCCGGCCGGCCCATGCCAAATCCCGGCTGGCCCATGCCAAGTCCCGGCCGGCCCATGCCGAATCCCGGATCACCCTTCCCGGGCGCCGAAGGCCCAGCCGGCAGACCCGGTGGCAGTCCGGCCATGCCTCCTTTCCCGGGCGTGTCTTCCGACGGTGGCCCGGCCCAACCACAGGAGCTTCCGGGCTTCCCCCCCTTTCCCGGCTTTGACCCCAACGAGCTTCCACCTCAAGACGGGGGGGCCATCATAGAGGCAGATGATTCCGCCCCCGTCGTCCAGGCTGCGCCGCCCCCGGGCCCCGACGGATTCCAAGACGATGGACTCGAGCCATTTGACGCTCCGATCCAAATCTACTACTGAGAGCACAATCTCTGTACTCCGGGTTAGTAGTAATTACTCTTGCATTCAGACAAGGATGCATCGGCCCTTTTCTTTTCTGTGGTGACAGGGGTTTGCTTGAGACATTCTGTTACATGTATTTTTACATTCAGTTCGAATATCTGGCTTCCTAAGCGCAGCGCCGCTTATTGAAGCCAGCTTAAGCGCTATGCGCAACGACCCAGGTTTGATATAGCTGCCTCTTAGCAAAGTGGGAGTGAATAGAGATCTATGAACAACATTGAAGGCAAACATGACAACTTAGAATGACCTGCCGAGCAATTATCCCTGTTCTGTGGCTCATTGCCTTTGTTTCGTAGTTGAAGAGGCACTAGAGCAGTCGTCGAGCATTTAACATCCAAAATAGGGCATGTTGTTGTTGGCGCTGTTTCCTCACAGCTTGATGGCTAGAGGGGGCGGTATAATGGCTAGAGCTATCACATTCCTTTTCTCTCAAGTCGAGAGAGCCTGACTATATGGAGACGGAGGTATTAAACGCCCTTACAAGCACTGCGCTGTCGTTATTATAGCTCAAGATGACTTTCATTAAGTCCCTGCACATAGAAATGGGCACCCCCCTGTTTTGGGCACCCAAGATGGGTGCCCAACCTAAACGGCTGCGTCAACTTCAACAGCAAATTTCACCGCGGAAACGCATCCAATCTGCTAAAAAATTGACGCATGTGTCTTCAAGCCACTACTGATGAAATATACAGAGTCTGACATTCACAGCGCCCTTGAGGCAATCGCCAATGGCGGATCCGCCAAGAAGGCTGCTCGCGATTGGGGCGTCCTGAGGGCAACTCTTTACAATCGCATGCATGGTCACGAATGCAGAAAGGATGCATTTTCTGCTCTTCAGAGGCTTTCTCAGACACAGGAAAAGCAACTTACCGAATGGATTCTCATTCAGGACGCCTTGGGCCTTCCTCCCACTCACTCGCAGATCAGGCAGTTCGCGCAGCGCATGCTCGCCGTCAAAGGAGACCACACACCGCTCGGAAAACACTGGATGCAAGCATTTTTAAGACGAAATCCTGCAGTTCGGACCCAGAAGTGCCATCACAGAGACTCTGCGCGTGTCAACGGCGCTTCTACCGAGGTAATTCGGCCTTGGTTCAACAATTTCTTCCTTCCCGAGATTCTGGCTATTAAGCCGGAGAACAGGTACAACATGGATGAAGCAGGCATCATGGAAGGACTTGGGGAGAATGGCCTGGTCGTTGGCAGTGCTGAAAAACGATCTGTACAAAAGAAGACGCCTGGTTCTCGGGTCTGGACGTCGTTCATCGAGTGCGTGTCCGCTGCCGGCACCTTCCTCCCTCCACTCGTCATTTTCAAGGGCAAATCGGTCCAGCAACAGTGGTTCCCAGAAGATCTCAGTACTTTTAGTGACTGGCAATTCACTGCGACAAAGAACGGCTGGACTTCGGACCAAACTGCGGTGGAGTGGCTCGAAAAGGTGTTCATTCCAAGAACCCAGCCACCCGACCCTTCGGAGCGAAGACTGCTAGTATTGGACGGCCACGGAAGTCACGAGACGGTTGACTTCATGTATCTATGCTACCAGCATCAGATTCACCTTCTTTTCTTACCTCCCCATACCTCTCATGTGCTGCAACCGCTCGATTTGTCTGTCTTCTCCGCTCTTAAGCACTACTACCGCAAACAGGTCGGATTTCTCAGCCTCCTGACCGATTCAAGCCCAGTCGGCAAGCAAAACTTTCTTTCCTGCTACCAGAAAGCACGCGAGCAAGCGCTCACTGTGTCAAACATCAAGGGTGGCTGGAAAGCGACGGGTTTGTGGCCGGTGTCGATGGCGAAGCCACTTTTGAGCCCTCTTCTGCTGGAGAACAGCAACAGACGCAAAAGAACGCGAAAAATGTGGCCAATGCATTCAATAGCCACTTACCCACCAGTGACTGGCAATCAGACACATCCCAGATTGCGTGGTCGACCCCGAGGCGCTCGCAAGATCTGAAGGTTCAGGTAGTTCAATTCAACCAGCTAGACGACGACGTGCCCACGAAGAGATTGCTGTTCAGGAAGATCACAAAGGGTTTGACGAGAAGGATGGCCTTTAGCAAAAGCTCAATTGCAGATTCAGGCACTGGAAACACAATTGGCGGCCGTCAAGCCGAAAAAAAGGAAGAGGGTGGTCACGAGCCCGAATTCGAGGTTCGCCAATATTGAGGCAATACGACGGGCGCAGGAGGAGGTGAACGCAGCTGAGAATGAAGAATCTGATGAAACCGAAGCTGAGGTTTCAGAAATAGGTGACGATTGTATCGTAGTGCACGGTGGTGGGCAGTGAGAAGGGATTGAATTAATGGTGTTGAAAATGGTCGTGATTTTTTTGGGGTGCCCAAAACAGGGGGGTGCCCATTTCTATGTGCAGGGACTTAATTGGTAAAGCTTCTCCTCTCGAAATCAAAGAGTCTCTATTGTCCGCCAATCAACTTTACCATGCCCGTGCTACCCGAGCATAAAATCTTCTCTCGAATTATAATCACAGGTTTCAACCCAGAGCGTTTAGCTTCAAAACCATATGTCCTCGACAGCAGCTCAAGCCTTGGTCGAGTTCAACCATCCCGGTAAGCCATCACTGGTGGATTCTCGAGTTCTGTCGCACTATAAGCTATACATGGAGTAAACAGCAAGCGGCCGCTACCTGTCCGCCATGAATACTGAAGTCGACACTGTACATTGTCGTTCGGGCTTCGGGCAGTGATTGGTGTGGAAATTTTCCCACGAACAGTTAAGTCCTCCCAGACTCCGCATAACTTGGCAAAAGTCCTCCCAAGTCTGGCCTGTCTACTAGAGCCCTAGACTTACCAGAGACTGCAGTAAATATCCGCTCTAGATGACAACGAGCGCCGCCAAGTAGTCTGTCTCCTAAACTTGGGTGTATGGGCAGGGTACCGTCTTGATCAAGTATCATTAGCATGTGAGGCTTGACTTTCTTCTAGCCTTGTCGGATTCGCTGTTATCAACTGCACCGTATCACGGACTGATACAGCGCCTCTCTTGGAGCCAGGGAGAACGAGTACGGCTTCCAGGCCAGTAGTCGATTGGGGTCAGTGTTTACATGTACGTTTCGTTGGTGGCGAGGGAGTCTCTCTCGCCGTGGTGTTAATTTCATTTGCGGAATATTAATCTTCTAGACGGCATGCTTTCGAGACCTCTAAAGCCACAAGATATATACTTTGGAGCAAATAATGTACATTTGCGGCGCCATTCCTTTCACTGAGCCTTGGTAGATCAACCTACGAAGTGCCTCGTTTAGGCCTCTCTGGAAGTTAAACTGCGTCTGCCCTGATTGCGTCGACTAGCGTCGAGTCGGACTCTAGAGAGTACTGATCAGTCCATGGGCTATGATCGGTAGGAATAATTAACGACGGCAGTTATGGATAGGTAATCAAGCTTATGCGATGGTGCGCCGGCGTTCGTTGGCGAAGTCGAGGGGCGAGTAGAACTAGGGGTTTATAATGGCTACCCGTGGCCAGCACATAGATGACGCGCAGCAGTGATGCTATTGTAAGAATTGGTTCGAGCCATCTCACCTCACGAAGTACTGCAGTGACTTGGCGAGTATTACATGAGATACGTGTTACTTCGCTTGTTTCTTCCGTCTGTTATTATATCCGTGAATACTGGCATGTCATGAGAAGAAATGCTCATAGTGTTGGTCCCTGTCTACTACTCTAAAGACCGTTTCCCGGAAGCACATGCAACTATGACCGAGAAGGGCCGGATGAATGCAACCCATGCTGCAATGGCGCAGATACTAGGCCGACTTATTGGCGGGCTAGAACAGATGAAACGCCAAAGCACGAGAGCAATGCACATTCTATCTGCAGCTTGTCAAAGCAAAGGAGCTCAAGTGAATAAAACTCTGATGAGCTAGAAAAAAGAAGCACACATTAACCGTGGTTGGATGGAGATAGGATCCCTGGAATATGGAGAGACAAGAGGCACAGCTGGATCGGGGAGATGGATCAGGATTCGAGAATGAATGCGGCCAGCACACGTCAACGTCGCCATTGATGCCAGGCCAGGGTCTCGGCACCCGTGATGCGACTCCGCTGTCGTTTTTGTCCAGAGGAGCCTTGTGAACAGCACCAATGGTGAGGTCATTCGAATACTAGTGCCAACAAAGCGCCTGGTCAGAGGCGCAACAAGAAGGTAGGATCGCGACCGGGGGCAGATCGACGCCGCCGAGGCTTCTCCGAACACAAAGGCCAAAAGGGGCCATCCAAGTTCTCCCATGGTAACGGCCTACATCCGATGACTTTGAGCGCTTTGAGACGTGCGGCAGCTATTCGGGTTTGACAGACGGCTCGTCGTTGTGGGCAGCGTCGGCTCAGGCTTCAACTTGGCAGCATCTGCTCATGTCGATTCATCAAGGGAGCTGTTTACATGTAGTCCGGGCCTGAAGAACACTGTATGCTCGAGGTGCGGATCCTCCTCTTCTAGGATGCCCCCGACATACCTTCCCCATGTGGCCTAGACGTAGTCGCATGAGGCCCAAAGCCATGCCTACCTTGCCTTGCCGTGCGTACATGTGTAGCTGCGGTAGTACATACGGACAAGGTGCCACGGCGCGAGTGCTGTTCCTCGTCCGGTCTTGAGTCGGTATTCATACATGGCCTCGTTTCTTGGCTTATATGGGTGTTTGAGGACTCCGATTGTCCTCTGTCTCTCGGCTCAATGTTTCGTCTCGGGTTCGCTCAAGCCACCGCCCAGATTGAATAATAACCATCTCCTCCTCGTCGTATTTGTTGTACGTGGCAACAATCACGGCCGTTCTACAGACGCAAGCTAGGCATTCTCACTCTCTATTGCCGCTCATCCGTGCCGTGGAAACAAAAAGCACTCGGGTCTCGATGCCGAGTACATACCTGGACGGCCTGGCCAAGACTCCCGTGCCCCCGGACACCACCTCCGCAGCTCAAGGCCGTATCCAATGACAGTGGACTTCGGACAAGTAATGGACCGAACAGGGGCATGGTGTTCCCTCCCTCTCGCCCCTGTAGCCGCTATTGAGCTGGCGTTGCAGGAGTCCCTCGCGCTAAGAAGAGGCGGTGGTTGAAGCGAGCCTCGGCTCCCCAACATTGGCGCTCTCTGGCGCCCAGCTTCTCTCTTCAACCACTTTCATGTGCCAGCCCTACCGATCGGATACCTATCCCAGCCCATCGCCATGTACCCCGCAATACTCCTGCTTGCTCCCCGCGTGGGGAAGCGGGGACTCGAACCTTGTGAGTTTCCCAAAGGAGCAACGCCCCTGTCGACCGACGGCCACGAGGTCATAGGACCGCTGGCCGGATGAGCCGCACGGCCGAGAGCCCGTAGTCCAACGACGCCATCTTTATTCCCGGATTGACGGTGACGGCAACATGTGTGTGTGTGTGAATATACGAGTGCGTGTGTTGTCTTGTCACGCTACATGTCCAGCCTCCCCAGCATAGGTGTCTTGGTTATGTGGGGTTTTTCTGAGCCGCTATGCGCGTAGGGAGTAGAGACGCCCTGGAAAGGGATCAGCATAAGATCCCCTGTTTCCCCGTTGCTTTTCCCTTTTCAATGAGGCTCTCCGTAGAGGGTTCGGTACGGAGTCTAGCGGATAGCGGCCGTCTTCATTCCAGTTTCCCTCGTTTCAGCCCCCTCCAATAACAAGAATAAACCAAGGCGTGCTGTGCCGGTCACCCTGTTAAGCGTGTCTTGTACTTCTCCCAACCGCTCCTCGACGTTTCAGCATGAAGTTTCTCATCATACAGGCGGCATTGGCTGCTTTGTTCGTCCCCTCGGCCGGGGCCGTCCCGACCTCGGAACCGACTCCAACTCCAGACTCGACTCCAGCACCTAAGGTGCAGGGCCCAGAGGTGCGGCCGCCATCTTTCCCGGACCCGGACGCGGCGCCGTTCCCTATCCCGGACCCTGAGGCGCCGCAGACACAACAACAGCGATTCGCCAAGGTCAATGTCGACGTCCCAACTGGAGAAGGCAAGATCACGGGCAAATCGCGTCTGGGAGTCGAGGTTTTCAACGGCATCCCGTTTGCCGATCCGCCCGTCGGGCCCCTGCGTCTTAAGCCACCTAGGAGACTCTCGAGAAAGCTGGGCAACGTCGATGCTACCGGCTTTGCCCCGGCCTGCCCACAAATGTTCGTCTCTTCCGAGGCAAGAGACGGACTTGGAAAGATTCTGTCTACTCTTCTCCAGCTTCCTCTGCTAAAACAGCTAAATGGCCAAGAAGACTGCCTAACGGTCGACGTCGCTAGACCGGAGGGCACCAAGGCCGGTGACAAGCTTCCCGTCCTCTTCTGGATCTATGGAGGAGGCTTCGAATTAGGAAGCACCAACTCCTACGACGCCACTAGTCTTCTGGCGACGGCCAGGAAGAACAAACAGCCTTTTGTATACGTGGCTGTCAATTACCGCGTTGCCGGCTTTGGCTTCATGCCCGGCAAGGAAATCCTGCGCGATGGCAGCTCCAACCTCGGCTTACTCGATCAACGCATGGGCCTCGAGTGGGTTGCCGATAACATCGAGGCCTTTGGCGGTGATCCGTCCAAGGTTACGATTTGGGGCGAGTCCGCCGGCGCCATTTCTGTCTACAACCAAATGCTCCTGTTCGGGGGCAACGCATCCTATCACGGCAAGCCGCTCTTCCGAGGTGCCATTATGAACTCGGGCAGCTCTGTTCCTGCCGACCCGGTCGACTGCCCCAAGGGCCAAGCTGTCTATGATTTCGTCGTCGAACAGGCGGGATGCTCGGGCGCGGAGGATACCCTGAAATGCCTGCGCGAGTTGCCCTACGAGACATTCCTCCGCGCCTCGACTGCGCCCCCCGGGATTCTGTCGTACACCTCTGTCGCCCTTTCCTACCTCCCCCGCCCCGACGGCAAAGTCTTGGAGGACAGTCCGGACAAGATGACAGAGAAGGGCAGGTATCACGCCGTGCCTTTCATCATCGGAGACCAGGAAGACGAAGGCACCATCTTCTCAATCTTCCAGACTAATGTAACCACAGCTGACAAGATGGCCGATTATCTTCACCAGTACCTTTTCCACAATGCCCCTAGGGACAAGTTGAAGGAGTACGTCGACCTCTACGAGCCCGCGCTACTGCAGGGGGGTCCTTTCCGGACAGGTATTCTCAACGAACTATACCCTGGCTTTAAGCGAGTCGCCGCGATCCTGGCCGATGTCAGCTTCCTCTCGACCCGGCGCACGGTGCTTAAGTCGATTGCCAAGGTCAAGCCAGACGTGCCTGCCTGGTCCTACCTCTCGTCCTATTTCTACGGCACGCCCGTTGTGGGAACCTTTCACGGGTCGGATATCCTTCATATCTTCTACGGCATCTTGCCCAGCCACGCCATGAAGAGCTGCCGCACGTACTACTTCAATTTTCTCTACAACCTGGACCCGAACAAGGGCGTGGGCGGCTATGCAGAGTGGCCGCAGTGGAAGGACAACAACGATCTCATGTGGTTCAAGTCGTTTTTCAATAATAAGATTATCAAGGATGACTTCCGTAGTGGTGCCTTGGGGTGGCTCGAGAAACATGGGGATATTCTGCGTATCTGACAGGCTGCTTTGAGCTGGAGGCATTATCATATTTTCCCTTTATGTTTTGAGCCAGGGGATAAGTTTGATTTCACATGAATGGTCCGCATGTATAACTTGCCTATCGAAGCCTGGCGCCGTTGCTGAGACACACTGAGGAAGTAACGAGGACTTTGCGACGATTGATGGAATGTCTTGGGCACCGACACGGGTCATTGTCTCACCCCTCTGCCGAGTGTATACCCGAAAAGTTTCAAAGCAAGCGAGAGACCCGTACAATGCGCGTGATCCAAATAGACCGAGCTCAGGAGGTATCCAGTGCGCAGGTGAGAGGGAGGCATCAACGTCTACATCCACAAGCACCGAGATGTATAGTCGTTAAGCAGCTCAGAAACACGCAGGTAGAGAAGAACTTGCCACTACCTCAGATCCCCAAGCCTAGGGGGTGTCCCAGCAGTATTTGCCATTCAGCATATGTACGCATCAGAACGAAGCTTCCTTTGCAAGTCGGACGATCAGTCTTGGCAATCGGCACGGTGGTTCGTCGTTGATGTCGAGTAACGCCGCGATGGAAGTGAAATTTGCGAGTCTTAAGGCTTACAAGTATCCAGTTTGTCGGAGAGCCAAATACAATTGGATAGCTTCTCAACATGTATGCAGCTGCCGTGAGGTGTTTCAAGAGCTAGACGGGAGCAGTGGCCATGGGAGATTTGTGGGTGAAAGTCGAGCCTCGTGTTCGCTTCGACACCTGGCCTCGAGGCTATCAAGTTCAGTACGACTGAAAACAAAAGGGGTGCCCCGTGGCGCCCTGATAAACGGGGCATCCATCGAAGTAAGTCCGCTTGTTTCCATGGGGACGAGTTTGCACATTCACGGCGGTATTGCGCCGACACCGGTCCTCTCTCCCGCCGCTAGTTGAATGGCCCGGTAGTGTTAGTCCGGGAAAGGGGAGGCTCCCATGTAAGAGAACGAAGGGTGTCACCAGACTGCCGCGAATTAATATGCGTAAATAGGGAGATAAGTTACACGTGAGTGATGATAAGACCGCCGCCGCCTGCAAACTCGGGCGTTTCGAGGCGGGCAGTTTAATCCTTGCTTATGAGCCAAGATCAGGGTGGTTTTCCATACATGGAAAGGCCTGCAATCGATAATCGGTATCGGCCCCACATTTATTGCAAGTATTGCAATACACCTTTCCATACTTGGTCCGTGCACGACGACAAAATGTCACTGAAGACACCTTCGACAAGATGGACAAATTCACACCATATGGTGAATTAAAAATACGAAGTAATTGATTGAGCTCAATGATAATGTCCAAAAGAGAGGGTAGGCAAATCTTACGTGTTTTGTTCCAAGACGAGGAGGGAAATCAGACGGGAATTTGCACGAATTCTCACGCCACGGTCACGCCACCGCCCCTTCCTCTTCAAGACATTGTTCTTCACCCAATGCTTCAACCAATTCTCCTTTTCAATTTGGTCCGCATCCAATTGTGCCCTTTCCCAGGAGATCGTACGACGAGCCCTGAAAACACCCGTTCCGGCTCGTCGCTCATCGCTGGCATTGATAGGATGTCTATTGCCATTCGTGATAACTTCGGCCGTCGGTTCCTATGTCGCTCTTGAAGCCACCATGATAAAGCAGTTGTTGGCGCAATCTCATATGGATCACCTGAGATGTAATCTTCATACTCGTCTTGACTTGTAGGTCGAGCACAATTCTGCAGATTTCTTGAAATACGATCAAATGCATCAAGGCCATTGTCTTCTTCTTCGTCCAGTACATGATACGAAATTGTACCGTCGTTTGTATTTCGGTAAGAGTAGCAAAGGTCTTTGACCCGTTTGAAAGCAGTTTTATGCCACTTCTTCTAATTTGAGTGGATGTACGTCGTGCGATAGCTTGGATGAAGGACCAAAGAAGCGGCGTAATAGGGCGAATTCTCTTTATTGATAATTTCTTGGTCAAGGTAGCCTTTGAAGACACGGCCCAGATCCCACGCTTGCCCGTAGAGTTGATCAAATCCTTCGATGATGGACGGTTGAAGAGGAGATAAATTCTCTGCGACGTTGATGACATACTTTCTTGCCCTCAGGGTGTTTTCGAAAGCTGGCTGTGACAGAAGTACTGTAGGGATCATTCTGGGGACAATAAAGATAATATATGAGGCGGTTCCTGCCTTTGAACTCCGCTTCCCCTAACCCTTTTACTACCGGTACACTACTGCCAGATGAGCATGTTTTCATGATCCAAAAGCAGGTTTTTCTCTTGTCTTGGGAGATATAGACGCGAATGAATCCGAAGCAATGGATTCAGAATCGAAGAAACATAACTAACACAGGCTCAGAATCCATTGTCGCCAGGTGATAATGGTATGCTGTGGGTTGGTGGTGAGGCTGATTTTGTGGATGTGCGGATTTGTAGCGGGGTTCCAGGCCCACAGCCCTGTAGGTAGCCCCCTGTAGGAACCCTTGTTAGTGGCGTGGTTCAGCCAATAGTATGGAAATACATGGATCCATATCCATACCTATTCCATGCCATTCATGGAAAGGGTATTTCCATATTTAGATATGGAAAACCACCCTGGCCAAGATCCTCTCCTTGTCCCATAGACAATGCAGCCCTGGTCTAGTTGTCGAACAGCTCGCCACTTGGGACATGCTTCTTCCTTGTCTTTCTTTTCTTCTTCTCTGCTTGGGACTCGGCCCCGGCGGATCCGGCCTTGGGGGCGAGATTGAAGACGGCTGGCGCTCTCCGCACACAACCTGCTAAAGTCCGGTCTGAGTCCGCGGACTCTGAAGGTGGTCCGTTTCCGCGGGAATCTTTCATGTTTCATAACAAGGAATATGTGCCTTGCGTCTTGTTCTTGATCTCGCATGCTCTGCAACGTCAAGGGTTCTGTTCTCAGTTACCGTCCGCTCGCCAGAGTCCCGAGTCTGGACCACACATGACGACGGGCAGAGGGACTGACAGTATAGAGGGATCATCGCCACCACTCTTATCATGATGGCAACGTCCCAAGACGACGCCGAGGGCCAGGCCAAGGGCGGAAGCAGCATCTCCGGCGGCGGCGGCGGCAGCGGCAGAATACCGTACTGGCGCCTGGTGGTTGATCAGGCCGGCATCACGCCCGAGGTGGCCAGGTTCCCCTATCCCGGGTCCGGCACGGCCGAGGACCCGTACCTGGTGCAGTGGATCCCCGACGACCCCCGGAACCCGATGCAGTTCAGCAGCGCGACCAAGTGGTTCATCACCATGACGGTTGCCATCGCCACGCTGGCCGTGACCCTCGTCTCGTCGGCCTACACGGGCGGCATCGTTCAGATCATGCACGACTTCTCCATCGGCCAGGAGGTGGCCACGCTGGGCGTCTCCCTCTTCGTCCTCGGCTTCGCCGTCGGGCCGTTGCTGTGGGCACCCCTGAGCGAGCTGTTCGGCCGCCAGGTCCTCTTCATCGCCACCTATGCCGCCCTCACAGCCTTCAACGCCGGCTGCGCGGGCGCCCGGAATGCCTGGACCCTCATGATCCTGCGCTTCTTGGCTGGCGCCTTTGGCTCCTCGCCCCTGACCAACGCCGGCGGCACCATCGCCGACATGTTCCCGGCCTCGCAGCGAGGGCTTGCCCTGGCCATCTTCGCCGCCGCCCCCTTTCTCGGCCCCGTCCTGGGCCCCGTCATCGGCGGCTTCCTCGGCATCACGGCCGGCTGGCGCTGGGTCATGGGCTTCCTCGCCGCCTTCTCCGGCGCCCTCTGGATCACGGGTTGCCTCTGCCTGCCGGAGACGTACTCGCCCGTCCTGCTCCGCAAGCGCGCCGCCGCCCTCTCCCGCGCCTCGGGCCGCTGCTACGTGAGCGCCGCCGACCACGCCCAGGGCAAGATTTCGCTGGGCGAGTCCATCAGGACGGCGCTGCTGCGGCCCTGGATCCTGCTCTTCCGCGAGCCCATTGTCCTGCTCCTGTCCATCTTCATGGCCATCATCTACGGCACCCTCTACATGCTCTTTGCCGCCTTCCCCATCGTCTACGTCAAGGGCCGCGGCTGGAACCAGGGCGTCGGCGGCCTCGCGTTCCTCGGCATCATGGTCGGCATGCTGTTTGCCATTGCCTACACCATCCCGGCCAACAAGCGCTACGTCCGCATCGAGCGCGAGCACGACGGGTTTGCGCCTCCCGAGGCCCGGCTCCCGGCCGCCATGATCGGCGCCGTGGCGCTCCCCATCGGCCTCTTCTGGTTTGCGTGGACCAACGACGCCTCGATCCACTGGATGGTCAGCATAGCGGCCGGCGTCCCCTTTGGCTTCGGCATGGTGCTCGTCTTCCTCAGCATCATGAACTATCTCATCGACGCCTACACCATCTTTGCCGCCTCCGTCCTCGCCGCAAACTCGGTCCTGCGCTCCTTGTTCGGCGCAGCCTTCCCCCTCTTCACTAGCTACATGTACGAAGGCCTGGGCATCCACTGGGCGTCGTCGATCCCGGCTTTTCTGGCTCTCGCGTGCGTGCCGTTCCCCTTTCTCTTTTACCATTACGGGCCGGCCATCCGCGCGCGATGCAAGTTCGCTGCCGAATCGGCCGCCTTTATGAGGAGGCTTCGAGAGGGCGCAGCCCAGTCGGAAGAGAAAGTGGTGGACGAAAAGGCGTCGAGCGAGAAGGACGAGGTGTCGAGCGGCGATGGTGAAGCCACGGAGAGCGAGGAGCTGCCGTTTGAGCCGGTCACGGGGACTCTCTCCCGTCCGTCCATCCGTACTATGGGATCCAGGACATACGAGGGTAACCCGTACGACATTGACCGGGTGAACAGTCGGCGTTCATTTGTCGCATGAGACATACAATACGACGAATGCTCTTCTTGTCCTACTCGGTGCCTATTCTTATTTCTTGTCAAGCATTGCACTCCGTACGTTCTCATGTCAGGGGACATTCTGTACATGACGCAAAAAACGAAGATGGAAACGAGACATGAATGCAATTGTGGGCGCGGGAGGATGTAGGTTGTCGAAGCACGATCCGGATCTCATCGTTCACGAAACGACGGGATGAATCTCTGAAACGAAGGTGTGCTTGAGTTGAAAAGTGTACATAATAACTTCGGGAACACGTAGCGATTTGGCTCTCAACAACATGGTCTGGGAATGTCGGGCATATATACAAGAGTCGAGCCCGGTGAAGCCCCCCTGTCGACTTCCGGCCCTCTTTGATGCTTTCCATGGCCATGAATAAGTACTCTGCATATGTGTGTATGCCGTTCGCTTGTGGGGGCGAGACCGGGGCCATGGAGAGACAACATGGCAGGGCAACAACTCGGCCTTCACCGAGACGCCGCTACCCGCAGCTCGAGCGCCAGCGTGGCCACGGGATAGGCTGCAGCTCGCCAATCTGACCGATTTCTTGGAGCCCCCTGCATCATTTTGGCCCGTCTCATCATTATGGCCCGCCCGTCTCATTGGCGTCGAGATGGCGTCAACCGGGCTGGGCGTTACATGTCCGTACGTGGCCTCGGCTCCGAATCTCGGCGGGCCGATTTTTTTCTCGTACGGTTGCCTGTGTCCTGAGACGAGCAGGGTTCGGAATAAGATCCGCTGAAAAGGACTGACTCGGACAGGCTCCACGGGAAGTCAGTCAGTCACATCACTACACCGGTATTGCTTTTCCAGACGGGAGAGATTTCAACTACAGTCTGTCTTACCCTGCGTAAGGGTATAGAATAATACGAATAGAGGAAGTGGCTGGTCAGTTGAAAGGCCTCGGATTGCAGGACTATTGGGCCATTACCCACTACGTTTATGGACAGCCCTCTCAGCTCCGAAACTCTCTAATGTTATACGGGTGGTAGATGGTGTAGTTTGTCCTGCGCACTTATAGGGGTATCGACGCCCTCTTTGGACATGGTTACCCACCCTTGATTTTCAAACAGGATACTCGGAGCTTGACGGCACAGCAATCGGGGCTACTGGACCCGGACGAGCCTATCCCGAGCTCGCCCATGTGTTTGCTCACGAGCGCTCGCAAAGCAGTCTTGTGATGGATTCACACGGAGCACATGTACATGCATGGCAGCCTATAACTCGAGGCAGAGTCAACCACGAGTAATGAATGACAGTGTAAGTGGGCCTGATGGTTCGCCTAAGTATCGCATTGACCACTCGGCAAACCCAAGGTGCCGGGGCCAAAGAACGGGGGTGGAGTGGAAACACGCGGGTCCCTGGCGTCCCCGAGCCATGTATGGGAGGGCTGCCATGGCATTGCAAAGCTGACAGTTTTAGGCTTGTCCTGTAATTAGTGGGCGTCGTATGTTTCCGCATGGCCTCTGGGTAGATGACACTCGTGAACCATGATAATAAAGGGCGTGGGCATGGCCTGCCTGCCAGCTTCGACCTCTCTTAGCTGGTGCCCAGTAAATTCCCATTCCTTCTTGCCTGTGGCCGACGCGGCCGGCTCGTCGAGATGCCCCGAACATACGTGCCTGTGCGGACGGGGTGGGCCTTTGGCGTCGTCGCCTTCTTCTTCGTCATCCTCATTCTTCACAATAGCCGACGCCTGGCTGCCTCCGGTTCGCTCCTGCAGTTTCCCACCAAAGTCAAAGCTCCAGAAACACAGGGCCAAGACCGTCTGCTTGACGACATCTACAACAGCACGCTCGGGGTGGGTCAAGAGAAAAGCATCTTGCTGCAGCAAGCTTCGCTTCAGCATGGCTAACGTCTCCGCCCTTCCCTTTTTCTAGTTCGAGAAGATCATGGTCGTCAGCTTGCCCTCGCGGACCGATCGCCGGGATGGCATGGTTCTCCAATCAGCCCTCACCCACATGTCCATCGACTTCATAGACGGGCTGTCAGGCTCAGCCGTCCCGGAAAAGGCCATCCCGAAGATAGAAAACATGGGGCACATTGTCGACGCCGAGCTGGGATCTTGGAGGGGACACATGAATGCGATTCAAGAGTAGGCCGTCCGACGAACCCCTGACTTGTCGCGCAACCGACACGAGATCAAAGTCGCTGAGACCCGGCTTTAGAGTCATCCGCCAAAACCTGTCATCGGCCTTGATCATGGAAGACGACGCCGACTGGGACATCAGACTCAAAGAACAGCTCCGCGGCGTCGCTCTCGCAACCCGAGCCCTCACGCAGCCGCTCATAGGATACCCGGACGCCTACGCTGATCCAACGTACCCCAAGCCGGCCAACAAGTCGGCATCCGTCGTTACCGAGATACCCTTCGAGAAACTTCCCAGGACGGAGCCTCCCAAAATCTCCCCATACGGCGACGACTGGGACGTCTTCTGGATCGGCCACTGCGGCCAGACCTTTCCACACAACGACAACCTGGAATTGCCCAAGGGTCGTGTGATTCGACACAAAGATGTCACGGTTCCGGAGAAGAAACATCTCGAGAGTCTCTACATTAAACCCTTTGTCCTCAAAAACGACTATCCCGATCACACCCGCGCCGTGCACCACTCCCAATGGGGTACCTGCACTCTCGGCTATGCAATCAGCCAGCGAGGAGCACGTAACATTCTGTTCCAGCTCGGCCTCAAGGGAGCCAATGCGCCATTTGATCTTATGCTTCGGGCATTTTGCGATGGAGAGCCGGGACGCGGGAAGAACAAGTGCCTGACCACGCAGCCGTCGCTGATGGAGCACTACCGACCCGTCGGTCCCTACAAAGACGAAAGCGACATCAAGAGCGGCGTGGAAGGCTTCAGAACCGAAGGCGAGACTAAAATGATTCGATGGAGTGTGAGGCTGAATACCGAGAAGCTGATCAAGGGCGAGCCTGATCTGATCGACAAATATCCCGATGCAGAGGAGAAGAAAGAATGATGACGGACTGCATTTGTAGATATTCATGGCAAAGAGTACGATGGACTGCATGTGTTGATACTTTGGAGTGTTTGGAGTTGGCGGACCGAGACGCGAGCTCGATGAATGAGTTACGGATCTTACATAGAGGAGGACAAAGAGGGACCCGAACGGAGACATCTTTTGCTCGCCCAAGTCCAGGTGGCCGAGATGGAGGATATATATTGAGAAGCCATGTACATGCTGCATATTGTTCTGAATACCATGTCAACAGATCGGCTTGACCTTGTGGCTTTGAGGCTGCAAAACGACGCTCACCAGGACTGTTTAGTATTTGCTCCGCTCCATTGTTCATTACAAAAAGATGCTTTTTGCGGTGCTAAGCCCACATATCCTTCTTCTTTTACCTGAAAGGGAACACGGACTGGAGCCAGCATTTCTGGGATCGTATTAGCCATCTTCCACACCGGCTGGTATGGGGATCGCCAGAGGGCCCTGGAACGGTTCGGTCCAGCTCAAGTTCTCGGCGCAAGTTCTGGTACTTACTACTCAGGGCTTGCCTATAGGTAGCGAACTGCTTGATGTAGTTGTATGTAGGCTAAAAATCTTGATGTCCGGACTCTCGTGTGCTACATCAGCTCGCCTATGACCTTCTAATGCTTGCCACGCGTTTAGCAAGTCTAGACTGAAGAAGACATATATAATTGCATGTTAGTTCGATAGCTGACGAGCTAATTCGGAAAGCGCTGGAACCGCGTGCTGACCATGGGCGAATCGTCCGCAAAGACACCACTGATAATGTTCCTTGGCTGATATTGATACCAGGAGTTCACGAAGAGTCGCCTTAAGAGCAGGCCTGAGAAGCCAGCAAAAGTAGAATATAAGTTATAGCAGCTGTGCTGCTGGAGGCGTAAGTATGCTGCCTGTTTGGCAGTCGCCACATGCATGTATTGAATTCCATCCAAGGAAGCGAATAACCCTAGACCTAAGTCCATCCATTCAAACAAGCTCATGGTTCAGACCGATGCAGCTCGCCCCTGATAATCCGACGCATAGTGCTTGCTGGTGTGGGTATGGGTTGAATGAGGACCACTCGTGCCCTTTCCTGCATAGACTGAACCAGTCATACCTCTGGGCCTCTCTTGCAGTCCAAAAGAGACGCGGCGGGGGTCAGAGGGGAGCAAATGTACTCACTCCGGGTCTTTGTAGGGAAGTGCTGGGCAGGTCCCCGGCGCGGGCAATGGCTGCTTCACGATGCCCCTGTCAATGACGGCCTTTCCTTCTTCCACGGCCTTGATTTGGTTCTTGGCGCATGTGGAAGACAGGGCTCGCGCGTGGCACGTTACTGCCGGCGCCGGCGGGATGTTGAGCGTCTTTGTCGACTTGAAGGTGCCGTTGGTGCCGTAGCTGTTGCTCAGCGGGACCTTTCCCGTCGCAATGTCCTTCCTGTGCATGGCCCGACGGAACATGTGATAGGCAGCCTTGGGTTGAGACGACGGCACCATGTGGCCAGAGTGATAGACGCGGACAAAGGAGAACAGGCCGTGCTGGCGGACTTGGCCCGGCGACTTGGCCCCGTCCAAGACGACGTCGGCGTACCCGGCGCGCCGGAAGGCGGCCGACTGGCCGTGTTCCACGCTCAGGCTGATCCGCTCGCCGCCGATCCAGTTGCAAGCAAAGTCGCTGTCGCCGTAGAGCAGGGTCACCTGGATGCCCGAGTCGAGCAGACTGGCAATGTCCTTGATGAAGCCCCGTCTGTTCCGCCGCGCATAGTCGCCCGTGCTGTTAAAGGCCGCCAACACGGCATTGGAGCTGTCGGTGTAGTTGACGGGCACGCCCAGCGCCTTGAGCACCTCTTCCTGTGCCAAGTACTCGAGATAGCGGTTGGACGGGAAGGGATCCAGGTAGCAGTGGGTGATGTCGTAGTAGCCGTACTTTTTTCGAAACACGTATCCGGATTCCACCTCGTTCTGGCAATAGTCGCTGGCATCCTTGCACGCCTTGTTGACCTTGGGCACGTTGCCGTACATGTCGGCGTCCGAGGTGCTTGCGAGGTGGAGGCAGTCGACGATCTTGTCCGTGCAGCCGCCCTTCCTGAAGTGCGCAACCAAGGCCTTGGCGTATTCCTCGCGCGTGATGCCTGCGATACCAAACGGGTTCCTGTCGTAGGCGTATTCGGGATACGACTGTTCCTGGACAAGCAGGTCGATGCAGCCGTTGACGATGCCGAGGTTGGTGAGGTTGAGCGTCTTTGCGCCACGCAGCGTCCCCTTTCGGACACGCGCATTCTGCTCCAGTATGTAGGCCGAGAAGCTGGGCCCGTATCTCCCGCCATACGACTCGGTGAACATGCTGATGGAGCCATCGTTGGGACGGTGCGCCAGGAAATCATGCGTCCACACCTGGAGAAAGTTCCAGTACAGCCGGGCCGCGTTCTCCGTAGTGTTGGCCGTCGACGCCGTGTTCTGGCTGCTGAAGACGCCGGGGAAGACGGTGCGGTCCGCCGGAGGACCCTCCGTCTCAGACTTGAGGGTGGTGATGCTGCCGTTCTTGGGGTGAAAGTTCCCCGGGGTAGGGAAGTCGTAGCTGAAGCCGGTGTGGAGCGGTTGGTCGACGTAGAGCATGTTGAACTCTCGGTTCCACGACCACTCTCTCGGGCTCGTCTTGAGATTGCCATCAACCTGGCACGGCCCGTGTTCGGTGAAGAGGCCAAACATGGACGACCCGCCGGGCCCGCCGTTGACCCAGAGGACCAGCGGCGAGTTCTGGGGGTCCTTCTGGGCCTCAAAGTACCAGAAGAAGGTGTGGACAGGGTAGTCGTGCTGAAACTCGCGCATGGTGTTTGGCGGAAAGTTGACATAGCCAGCATACGACTTTGCGGTGCCACATATCTCTGCCTACGTGGATGTACCCCGTGTCTCGAAGATTAGAAGCCGTCATTACCTGGAAAGGGCCTACTCGAGGACAGGACTGTTTTCATGGAGCGTACAGGAACTTCTTTGTAGGATACGTCGGCGCCCTTGAACAAGGTAGAGGGGATCTTCATGACGCCCTCCGGCTTTGGGGGCCGGTGCGTCACGGCCAGCCCGCCGAAACCCAGCAGCACTAGGCCCGATGTCAAACGCATGATGGACGTGTTTTCGAAGACTCGGCTTAGAAGATGTGGGCACAGTCGACAGAGGGCGTTGTGTGTCGATAGTCGAGAGCAGGATTGAGGCCCTTCTTGGAGTCGATGGCTGCGCACAACCCTTGGCCCAAGACTCTCTTCCGATGAGCCGAGAGAAAGTCAACGGCTATTGTTGGTGGATTCCGGTGGCTGGGCACCGAGTGAGGGGGAGGAGATGCACAATGGCGCCCAATGTCTTGCTTGCTTACCGCCTCGGCGGCCTATTTCATTCCAGGCCATGAAACTGGGCGCGCGATGCAGCTCCATGACGCCACTCAGCATTCTCCAGTTGCCCGCGTCCAGTCGCAAGTCGCCCTTTCTCTCCGCCCCTTCTCACCATCCCTTCATGTGAACCCTTGTGCGCCAACACAACAGTCGCCCCCATGCCGCTCCCACCCTGGAAGGGACTCGGCATGTGGCTGCGTGAGAAAGCACGGCGTCTGTGAGCCGGCGTAAGCAATTCCCGCATGCAGAGTAACCCAAGAAAGATGAATGTGCGGAGCAGATGAAGCGACTCGGCGCCTCGGTCACGGCTCATGGTAGGGACAACTTACAGCCATCGTGTAGACATGGATTGCCCGGCCTGGGGATCCATCAATGATTCAAGGTCAACATGCTGGATACGCCGGGCCAGCACTCCTCGGTATGGCTGGTCGAACAAGCAAGGCTGCGTGTTCACCCCGGCTGCGCAAGGTATCGCGGCGGACGTTGACCGTCGATGTGCAGCTTTTACCTGAGCACAAGTAACCGACGTTCGCAGACACGGCCTGCATGTAAGAGCCATGTGCATTATAGATCCCACACCCGCGCTGGGATGGGCGATCACCGCATGGCCCGTGAACGATTACTCGAAACGCTGTCAACCTTTCTTTCCGATCTTTGTGCGTATTTTGATGCCCTGAATATCAACCCATGCCACTGGCGTCTACTATCGACTTCAAGCCCCCTGCCCCGTTCTGTCATTGTGAAATCGAGATGAGCCTGTTATGGACTACGAGTTGGGCAGTCGAATCGGCGTGCATCGGTGGCTCAGGCGTCACACACAACTTCCGCACTTCGCACCTATATAACTAACAATGGGTTCTTGTACAAGCCAATTCCGTTAGGGGCGGCTTTTTTCCTAGGCCTTAATAGTATGGCATTGAACAGAGCCTTCGCCGTGTATGTTCGCCTTGCACGCCGCCGTAGAACCCCAATGTTTACCCTCTCCAGATCCAGCAGATGCTGTCCCACCTGAGTCGGGATATTTCAGCCCAATCAAGAACCGCGAGGCTCATCAACTCCTTCGCTATCCCCGACCAAAGCGCAAGCCTGACCACCGCTTCGTTTGAGTCTCGTTGCTGACGTTAACATTGCCAGGCAGCCCGCCGCCGGCGCCCATACGGCTCTCTTGAAGCTCGAATACTTGGTCCGCTCTCCCGGCATCGAGCTCATGACGCTCACTGGCCTCTAGTTCTGACCTGCCGTGTCTAGGATCGGGCCGGGCCACGCCATCCAGCTCCGGCTTGTTCCAGCCTGCAGCCGCCGCATCCGCCTCGTGACGTTTCCTCCGCCGATTCCAGAGCAAGGCGACGGCCACGCCCAGGAGTGCGATCAAGCCGACGGCGCCAACCGCGATGCCCGCAATCGCGCCTCCGTGAAGGACTGTGCCTCGGCCCTGCCCTGAATCCTGCGCACTTCCGCCCTGTGGATCACCGTTTTGTGTTCCTGTCGTCATCGTCGTCATCGTCAAGGAGGCTGGAACATCGTGGGGGCGGCGGTTTAGCTGGATTGTCGGCGCGTACAGCTTGACGGTCATGAATGAGACGGGCATTTTGCTCGTTCGCCCGTTCGCAGTAGAGGCGAGCGTGATGGCATAGCCGGCGTCGGTCCCGATCATCTCCTCGAGCATCGAGTTGCCCGAGCAGGACCATTGTTTGTGCATGGCATCGAACTTGCTGACGGCGGAGGTGCAGTAGACGACGGGAGGAGATGGAGGGATATTCACTATGTAGTCGAAGCCACTAACAGCAGGAATGCCAATTACTATGCGACCTGCAGCCAAGGACGGGCCTAGGCGTCCGGGAACTGCCCATGCCCGAGGAGTCGACCATACTTACATGGGACAGCATACATAGGCGCTCTCATCGGGCAGAAGCGTCGACACGATGATGCCGTTGACGTAGAGGTAGTTGCTCGATGTATTGGATGCCGTCGCGCTGGCCACCGTCTGCCAGCTCGTCGGACACTCGAGCCCCGGCGAGAAGAAGATGCCTCGGCCTTGGAATTTGCTATACCTACTATAGTGAGGCAAGCACGGGATGAAAGACGCCGACGGGCAGATGGAGTGGGCGCTCCTAAAGTCGGTGACAAAGATGCTCAAGTCCTTGGCATAGTCGAATCCTCCTTGGTCGAGCGTGGCGGACACGGCCGAGTCCAGCGTTCGGTCGAAGCATCGCGAGGGCGCATCAAAGGCCGTCGTCAGCGGGCCAGCGTTTTTGCGGGTTATCGTGGACCGACTTGTCTCGACCCTCGTCGATGTAGGCGTAGAAGTCGGCAGGACGGAGGCCATATTCTCGCAGCACGAGACGTCAAGCCGCCGGCATCCATGTAAAGAGATGTCGCCAGCTTCAGAAGCCTTCTTGCTTCTCCGGCCAGACCGACTCCTGCGTTTGGCTGCGCGCCTAATTGCCTTCCGCTGCAGCCTGCGACGGCCCAGGCCCAGGCCCAGGCCCAGCTGTGTGAGCAGCAGACTCAAGTAGGACGAGGCTGCAGGACAGCGGCGTGGTCGGGATGCTTATTGGCGGCCTGGGAAAGCCACGCCGGTAAGCAATGAATGTGAGATGCTCTCGCCCCCGCCTCGCGCCTCCCCCTCTCCTCCACGGCCTCTCTCCTTTCCACACATGTCCCGGTTTGGAAATACAACGCCGCCGGGGGGGACGGTATCGGCCCTGTTATCGACTTGAGGCTTGGAAGGAGTCGGGCCTTGGAGCTGGGCCAAGAGAAATCCCGTATACGGTATGTACTCTGCAAGTAGGCGGCTGATGTGAGAATCCAGCCCTCGGAGCAGTTAAGGCATAGGCACCGAGCTGTTCCTGCGCATCTGAGGAGGTTGGAGAGTGACTGGGCACAGGGGAGAGACCAAGTCGAACAAACATATCTCTGCTTCGCATTTCGTGCTTTGTACACAATGCCTATTCGTGCGTATTGGACGAATCCCATGTATTTGGTGCTCAAGCGCAGCTGAACTCATGTTGCCGCGGCTGAGGGGAACCGGACAGGCGCAGCAGAATAGGGTTGCGTCTGCCGAGAGATCCTAGAACACGGGCTGCCGAAACTGACGAATAGGGGAAAGGATGGATAAATCGATCAACATGCGAGGTCAGCGGGCCAGCTGACCGGGAGTGCGCGTGGACCTGCATCGGTGAGGGGAACGAAGGAGATGACTTCGGGGTATCAATCCTGCCAGGATCAGAAATGCACCCCGGCACTGGGAGCAAGGTGGCCCATCAAGAGGGTGCCCCGACCTGTCACAGCCCCTGATAATCTAGGGTCGGACGCAGCTTGTGGACGATCAAGACGGGGAGCTCACCCGCAAAGCGTCAAGGATAGTTCGGAATCTGAGCCTTACAGTTTGCTCCAAAAATGAAGAGCGCGTGTAGAGTATATACAGAATGTGTATCTATACGTAGGATCCGGGGCTGAAATGATGGCACAGAAGCAGCCAGCCGGGACAGGGCGGCGCTCGTGGGGGCCAAGGCTGGGCGTGCAGATATTATTGACCAAATGACCTGACATCCCTTAACATTGGACGGAAAATGCAACGCGCTGGACAGTGCTGGCCTCATACTAGCTCGTCAAAAGAAGCCATCGCGCCTACTTGGCCATCAGAAATGCCGCGTTGATCATCGCCTGCTGGGAGCACTGCGGGTACCAGGCTCCCGAACAGCCTACATACCGGGTTATAAGCTTCGGGGATCAATTGAAGCAGCAAGACATCCAAGACCTCGCCCCTGAATCCGGGCTTGACAGCGGTACACGATGTTGCCGTGAGGTATATCATACACCCAGGTCAGAGCTCAATGATGGTACATATAGTGACGAGCTTTAGAACTTTACTTATTTCGTATTAGGCAGAAGGATAGGAAAGGCTTTCTATTCAAGTGAGCCATGTCTAGTTCCGTCCAGTGCACCTACACGTATATCATCAACGTGAAGTCGCATGCTAAGGTCTTGGGTTGGGATCGGCCCCCATCGAGAAAGCCCACAGATATTACCGGTTATTCAAGGAGTGGCTCAGGGCCGGGGCATGTCAGTGCGCAGGAGCGGAGACTGGCCGAAGAATACTTCGCAGTGGAATCATGCACGCATTCAAATGCGAGTTCCTTCCTGCGCGCTTCCCGGGTTAAGAGCGAGAATATCCTGCAGATCAGCCGCCCATTCCAGAACGGCGTATGCTGTTGGGAAAGAATGCACAACATGGACGGCACATGCACGACGCAGGGAAGACCAGGTTTGAACATAGAAAAAGAATTTATTCGTTAATACATGAGATGTAAGATGAACTATTAAACGCCATGTTCAACTGCCGCGTCCGTTAAAGCACCTAAAATAGATCGCGGCCTAATTAATAATGGTATCACGTGCGTAGTCCAACCAGCCATTTAATCGGCAAAGAATCTCGGTCATTATGGTCGATGGCTTCTGGTCGAACTGCCCTTGTTGAAGAGAAAAGGGGAATGAACTCCATATCGTAGCGCCGCTTCGCTTACATGAAAAGGGCCATGGCAACAACGCCGGCAAGGACGTTGAAGGCAACGGTGACGCGGCCGGAGGCGCCGGCGACGGCGTTGGGGCGAGTGGAAGGGGCGGTGCCGTTGGCAGGGCGGCCCTGGTTCCCGGCCGGCGGCCGGAGGCGGGGGCAGCAGCGGAAGAGCCAGGGCAGCCAGCGAAGGGGCAGCTGCTTAGAAACCTAGACGGTGGCCTGGGCCTAGACGGCAAGGATAGCGTTAGGGGCAAGGGCCTACTTGGGAGCGGAAGCAGGGTCGGAGCTAGGGGCTTATATCAAACTAATAAGGCCAGTCGAGGGCATTAAGAAGAACAATAGCAAGTTAAATAGAAGGGAAAATAATGTCTTAGGAGGAAAAAGTGGTATAAGCATTTAAATAACTTTTCCTCCCCCTCCTATACATAGAATGCTATAGAGATACCTACCTAGCTAACTTAGCCGCGCGACGTATACCAGCGCTTACCCAGCTTACCTAAGGTCGCGCGATTGGCCGTCCGGGTCCCTGACCTCCGAGCTCCGTGGGCCCTCGGCTGACTCAGCGCAGTTTCGGACCTTGAGCACCTCTCGACACCATCCTCCCTTTCTGTCTTAGCCGGCCATTTAAATCCATCCTCGACCCGAGATCGCTTCCCCGTCCACAGCCGAAAACATCACCACGGTACATCGCGACAACCAATCTCTCAGCACCCATTCCCGCAAACAGAAGCCACCTCGCCGACCTCGCAGCTAAATCAGTCTTGAGACGCCATGTCGCGCGCCTCCAAACTCACCCTCGGCGCCACCTCCCTCTTCGCCCTCGGCACCATCGCCTTTGTCCACTTCCAGCAAAACGCCGAGCAAGCCGTACGCTCCCCTTGATGCTCCTCCTCTCTCCTCTCCTCCCGCCACAGCACGCGTCTAACGTATGACATGCCGTAAACCCATTCCCCAAATTCCAGGCCATGCACGAGGGCGTCGTCCGCGACATGGAGCAGCAGCGCGTCAAGCGTGAGCGCCAGCTCGACTTTGACATGCAAAGGGCCCTGGAGGACGAATACAAGCGCCACCAGACCGTCCACGACTCGGTTTCAGAAGCTGGCAACAAAGCACAACCGCCCCCGACATAAAAGCCTCAAGCCCGACGGCACCAAACCCACTCTCACCTCACCACATGCCCTGCTCAAGACCCGTATGCTCTCAGGGCGGCGCACTTGTTTGCATCGCCCTTGTATGATATCCTGATATTGGTACAATCCGCCGCCTGGGAAGCAGTGCAATATAGCCGTAAAACAACAGAATGGCCAGCCAGAGCCTACAGCCGTCCCCGCCCGTACGCCGTCTCTCCCGGGGCTAGGCTTCCTCGCGATTTCTCCGCCCCATATCCTTTCATCATTCCATTCACCCGAGCCGCCACGCCACCGCTCCTGCGTCTTATCTGATGGACGCGCCAGAACGGTTCGTGAACAGCCTCGCCGCAATGTTCATGGACTGCAGCTCCTGGAACAAGAGTTTAGCGGCATACGGGATGTGGATCTGGGCAATCTTGGTCTTGTTCTTGCAAGGCCGGCATTCAAACGATTGCTTGGAGAGGTTCCTGCAGGCAAATGTTAGCTCAGGAGCCCACGCACACGCAAAGAAAGGGTTAGACGTACGCTATCGGGGTCATGAGTCCGCAGATTTCGCAGACGTGGACTCGGAACGCATCCGACACCTCAAACAACCGCTCCTTCAAAAAGGCCGCTGCGCCGTGGGCAATCATGCAGTCTCTCTCCATTTCTCCGAACCGGAGACCGCCGTCACGCGCACGACCCTCGACGGGCTGTCTCGTCATGATCTGGACCGGGCCGCGGGCGCGGGCGTGGATCTTGTCGTCCACCATGTGACGAAGCCGCTGGTAGTATGTAGGCCCAAAAAAGACCTGCGCCCTCAGCTTGCGCCCCGTGTGTCCGTTGTACATGATCTCGAAGCCACGTGACTGGTACCCGTGCTTCCGCAGCAGCTCCGACACCGAATCGACCGTCACGTCGGTAAACGGCGTCGCATCACCCTCCATGCCCTCCAATGTGGAAACTTTACTAAGGAGACACTCGATCAAGTGAGCAATCGTCATTCGCGACGGAATGGCGTGAGGGTTGATGATGATGTCGGGCGTGAGACCCTCTCTCGTAAACGGCATGTCCTCTTGTCGGTACGTGACGCCAATGGTGCCCTTTTGTCCGTGGCGAGACGCAAACTTGTCGCCAATCTGGGGGATCTTGGTCGTCCGCACCCGCACCTTGACGTACTTGACATTGTCCGCGTTGACCGTGACCACGACCGAGTCGATGATGCCGTTTTCGGTGCTGCGCAGCGGGGTTGAGATGTCGCGCCTCTGGTGCACGCTCGTCCTCGTCCCCAAGTCTTGGCTCTCTTGGTCGATCGGCGCCGTCTTGCCAATGATGATGTCCTCTCCGGAGACGCGGACGCCAGGCGCGACAATGCCGTCCTCGTCAAGCTTGTCGTATGTGCCGTGCTTCATGCGGAGCGTGCTCTGGTGGAAGGGCTTCTCAAACACCTCGGTATAGTTGAGGCCAACCTTCTTCTCCTGGTCCGAGTACGACCGGAAGAAGAGGCTTCGGAAAAGACCTCGGTCAATGCTGCTTTGGTTCATGATGACGGAGTCTTCTTGGTTGTATCCAGAGTAGCAAGCAATGGCCACAATCGCATTCTGGCCAGCGGGCAGCTCCCGGAACTTGAGGAACTCCATGGACCTGGTCGTGGCGAGCGGCTTCTGGGGGTAGTAGAGGATGTTGGACATGGTGTCCATGCGGCGGGAGTAGTTGGTCAGGAAGAAGCCCATGGCCTGTTTACCCATGGCGGACTGATAGGTATTACGAGGTGACTGCACGCGACGTCAGTGACACTACGACTCCCCAAGCGAGGGTGCAGCAGACTTACCTGATTATGATCCGGGAATGGAATGATGCTGGCGCAAATGCCCAGGATCATGCTGGGATGAATCTCGCAGTGGGTGTACATGTGAGTTGTCGGGTTGGTCCTCGTCTTGAGTCGCTTGTTCAAATCGTCGCCGGGATCCTCGTCCAGCGCGACGCCGGCCTTTTGAAGGCGGTACAGCTCCAGGTCCTCGGGAGTCATGCAGATCATGGACGTCTCCTCCTCCTCGGCATCCAGATACTCTACCGCTCCGACGCGGATGAGACCCTCCCAGCCAATCTTCGAGGAGCGGTTAGCGGGCGGCTCCGACTGCTCCTTGGCCAGCCTATTGACCAGGTCTTTGGTCAGAACCAGATGGCCCTTCTCGATCCCGTTGTCGGGATCGTCTTCCTGCTGCACGGTAAAGGCCGGTCGCATGACTCGTCCGGCATCAGAGAAGATCTTAAACTCTTGATCCCTGATTTCTCTGATGAGGGACACCTCGAACTGCAGATACGACTTGCGCCGCGTGTCGAGCACTTGGCTGACCAGGTGCTTAGGGTCCTGGTGCACGCCCACCCAGGTTCCATTGACGAAAATCTTTGTGGCATGCGGGTATCGCAGGGGCTCGTATTCTTCCACCACCTCCATGCCCCGGTTGATCATGAACTCGATCAGAGGCTCCGAGGGAGAGCCGACACTGACATAGCACATCAACGACAAGTTCTTGACCAGGCCGCAGGCCTGCCCCTCGGGGGTTTCGGCCGGGCAGACGAGGCCCCAATGCGTGTTGTGCAGCTGGCGCGGCTTGGCGATTTTCCCGTCTCGGCCGATGGGGGTGTTGGTGCGCCGCAGATGCGACAAGGTCGAGGCAAAAGTGTAGCGGTTGAGCACCTGGGAGACACCGGCCGTCGAGCTCATGGCCTTTTTCTGGTCGCCCCAGTTGCCCGTTGCAAGCGAGTACTTCAGCCCATTAGACAGGGTGCCTGGCTTGATGCCCACTGCCAAATTGAAGTGCCTATTGCTCTCCACACAGCGTCTGAGGTAATTGGAGAGCTCCGTGTTCATCCGCCGAACGATGCCACGGAACAGCTTGGCCAGGAGGGGGCCCGCCAGGTCCAGACGCTTCTTGCCGAAATGATCACGGTCGTCTGGCTCTCGCCGTCCCAGCGCGCACTGTAGGAGCTTGTGAACCATGTAACCAAGGAAAAAGGCCTTCCGCGTCTCGCTGCCCTCGGACTGGGAGATGTGGGGAAGCGTCTCCTTTTGCAAGATGTCCTTGGCGACGCGCACTCGCTTCTCACGTCCCAGGCCAGCCTGGTCTCGATTGCCTCGCTTACCGATGAAGTCAAGGGCCACCTCTCGATCCTGGACACAGAAGGCCTCCTCAATACAAGGACGAAGCATTTCAAGCATCTGACTATCCTTGCGGTCGTAGCAGATGTGGTTCAAAATGTCCTCGTCGGAGACAACGCCCAGAGCCCGAAAGACGATGGCGACGGGCAGATCCGACTTGACAAAGGGAAGCGTCGTGTGGATAGTCTGGCCAAAGCCACCGCGAGCAGAATCGCCCTTGCCGTACAGCTTCAGCATGAGGCTGGAGATGAGCCGCGATCCCTTCTCGAGCGCACTTCGAATCTCGGCCGTGTAATTGAAGGGGCTGGGCTGGGCCTTCTTGAAGACCTGGACAATGTTGGCGGCCGACCGCTCCTGGGCGATGAGGACCTTTTCGCTGCCGTTGATGACAAAGTAGCCGCCTTGGTCGTAGGGGCACTCGTTGACCAGGAAGAGGTTCTCGTCCGACTCTTGGCTGAGATGGCAAATCTTGGACTTGACCATGATGGGAAGCTTGCCAACGAAGATCATGTTTTTCCAGTCTGCGGGCTTGTTCGTATCCTGGTCTTCGCCGCTATCTTCTTCCTCCCAAACCAGCTTGGTGGGGTTCTCGCCGGTGCGTTTGTATTCATCCTGTTGGGCATCGTCCATGTCGCGTAGGGCCACCTCCTTCTCAATGGCGGCCGAGACCTTTTTGGTGATGTTAATATAGAGAGGGCTCGCGTACGTCAAGTTGCGGTCTCGGCATTCGTACGGCAGGAGCGACGTGACAGTGCCGTCAGTCTCGGAGATTGTAGGGCGAGAAACCATGACAGTGCCGAACTTGATTTCATAGCGACGAAGAGCAATCTTGCGGCCTGGCTCCGAGGGCGGGTTGGGCTGATCGAGGGTGATGGTCGAGTACTCATTCACGAGATCCTGAATCGTCGTCTGCGTAAACTCGTCGAATGAGTCAGTCTGCTGGGAGACGAGGCCCTTTGTCTCGAAGAATGACGAGATGACGGTCCAACAGTCCTCGGGCGTGATGCCCTCCTCTTCCTCGCCGTAGTTTTCGTAGTCGTAGTCATCCTCGTAGTCGGCCATGGTGAAGATGGACTAGAGCTCAGCGTCGGGTGTCGGAACGCTAAGCCTCGAGCTGTTGAGCGCTATCCCTCGCGAAGCTGGCCCTGGCAGTCGGCTTGCTGGAGGTTGTGACGTTCAAGGAGCTGTGCTGGGGGCGCCCTTTCGGCTGAGAAATCCAGGGTTGGGTCAGTGCTGGACCGGGCGCCTGGGGCACCGCGATGGCATCGGCGAGCGCAACCTAGATGAAGGAGCGACGACGAGTGCGCGGTCGGGTGACTGGCGGACGGGCCAGCGATGGAGTCGGACTCGAAGACGTTTTGGTCGGATTTTTGTGTTTGTGACAGAGAGAAGCAAAGGCCAAACGGACGGGAAAGTGCTCTCGCTGTTTCGCGCGCTCTGCGGGAACCTCGAAGAGCTAGTCCTAAACTGGACTAGCACTTTGCCCCCCAGGTGGCGGGATTACCTAAGCTTCGCACCGAGCTCGCCCCTTATTGCCTTGAAGTTTACTCTGTAGCTGCTACTCCGTAGCCTCGATCCTCATGCATCGATGGCCTCAACGCGAACAGGACAGGATTACTCTACCAAGTCTTGCCGTGTGTACGAAACTTCACGAGAATATGCAGCTTCAGCTCAAGCCTTCGATGGAGATTCATCATTTGTCTTGCGCTAGACTCAAAACGCGGGATGCCGTCAACCGCATCGTCTCTTCATCACACTAGCTTCATCTAACCGTAACAGCTTCCTGTCTGGCCCACGCCAGAACCGTTTCCTCGCTGATGTCCTGACCGACTCGCATAATTGGCATCAACAAAACTGTAAGCCATCTGGCAGGTGATAGGTGCAGTGTTTCAGCTTCCTTCTCCACCAACTGTCAACCGTCAAAGTCGGTCGTTGGAAAAGAGCTCGACGCCGAATCCAGTGGATGAGCGAGTGCATCAGTAGCCTTCCTATTTATCTCCGCTCTTCTTTCCAATGCTGGGCCAAATGGATCGCATGGCCACTCAAGTCACCAGGCTTCGCAAGCGTCTTGCCGTCCGTCATCTGCGTCGGTTCCAGCAGTATCATGGGAGCAAACGACCCCAAGTTTCGTACTTGGAAATGGTTGGAGCCGTCTCTCTTCGACTGTTGCTAGAGCGGAGAAACTCGGCTTCTCGGGAGTACCAAAGTCTCATGGTCTGGAAACGACGAGAAGCCGTTGGGTCGATGGTGTCTCGGGTCTAGCCGTTGCCATGCTCCAATGCGCAAGCTTTGCCGCGCAAGTTCCAGATTTTCCATGCTCGCACCGGGCCACGATCTAGATGAGACAGATGCCGCCGATATCGTCGTCCACCGTCCACGACCAGGCCAGGCCCTTGACATCGACATTTTCCTTGTCCACGGCGGAGGGGCCGAGATGGTCACCGCCCATCTTGCGTTTCATGAAGCGGCGGGTCCATTCCTCGACGGCGGGCTCGCCCGTCTCGTCCCGGGCCTGCTTCAAAAAGGGGATCAGGGCGGTGCCGCCGGTTCCCTTTTGACTGCGGTCCCGTTTGGGGTTGCTGGACGCCGTGGCGAGGTTGAGGCGCTTGCGTGCGGCGGGTTCTCGGCTGCGGGATCTGCTGCGGGCGCGGGCTTCGCGAGACGGGTTGATGATGTAGCGGGTGACGATGGCGATGTGCTTGTCGCGAAAGGCGCTCAACATGGCCAGGCAGGCGTCGTAGGCCAGGCACAGGTCGCTGTCGTCGGGATGGCTCTCGACGTATTGGCGAATGTTGGCGACGCGCGAGACGTCGTCGAGGAAGCGCGCATGGGAGCCAGGCATGTATTTGCGCATGTCCTGGATGAAGTTGTGCCGCTGGTCGGCGGCGGCGTCGCGGGTGTCGCCGGTCGGGCGATGGTGGATGCCGAGGGCAATGTCAAAGAACTGGATCAGGCTGCTCTGGGCATTGCTGCCGCCGCTGTACTGGCGATGGGTCTGGGTGCCGGAACCGTCGTCGTACAAGACGCCCCGGGGCAGGCCGGCCTCGGCCATGTTCTTGGAGCCGGCAAGGAAGGGGCGGATGCGGTGGTAGAAGATGACGGGGTCGCAGCTCTCGTGCATGCGCTGCAGGAGCGTCGTCAGGTCCGTCAGGCGCTCGGCAAAGGCGCGGAGGCAGCGGGCGAGGACGGGCGAGTCGGCGCGGCGCGCGGCGGCCATGGCGGTCAGCAAGAGGGACAGGACGGGGGCGCCGCGGGCCTCGATGGCGACGGAGACGAGGTAGAACCACGACTCGTCGATGGAGCCGGTAAAGGTGTTGAGGGTGGCCAGGTTCTCGAGGTTGTCGATGGGCTCGTCGAGGAACAGGGGCTTGAAGTTCCACAGGCACACGGCGGCGTAGGTGGCGACGGGCGGCACCTGCAGCCGGCCGGCGATGGCGAGCAGCGGCACCGAGAGCGAGGGCGGCAGCCGGTCGGCGGGCTCGTCGCCGCCCCAGATGTAGGCGTGGGCGATGAAGCACAGCAGCGAGTATGCGCGGCGCCACTCGGCGTCGTGCTCGAGGCCGACGGTGGACAGGACGGGCAGGCCGTCGACGACGCCCCGGAGCCGCCGGCTGAGCACGGCGGCCTGCAGGTTGGCGGCGACGGCCTCCCACTTGTGGTAGTAGGGGTCGGGCAGCCGGGTCAAGGGCAGCGTCTCCGGCAGGAAGCCGTGCGTGGGCGAGAGCCCGTAGTCGTCGAGCGCGGGGATGGGCGGGAGCATGGCGGCGGGCCACGGACTTGGGCTGGACTTGAGCTGGACTTGGGCTGTATCGTCTGAGCTGCCTGGTTGGCGAGAGCCCTCTGACTGACTCTAAGACGGGGAGAGGAAAGTAAAATGGCCAAGCTCGCGAAATGGAGCAGATATGGTTGGAAAATAGGTTAAACGGAGATGGGAAGAGGCGGAACTTTCCCCATGTCCGGAGGTCAAAAAATGTTTTTTTAAGAAAAATCAGGCCATGAGGGCGTTTATGGGTCTGGAGGGGAAGTTAAATGAATGTAAAGTCTAGAAGTGTGGATAGGTTAACTGAGGCTCAGTTGGGTCTTTGATCGATGATCGTGTTGTTCTTGTTATTCTTCGCTATCTAGACCATGCTGTGAGGTTTGATAGGTTGTGCGCGTGTCGGGTAAACGTTGTTCCCTGCTGACGCACGTGATACCCTCCTGCGATGTGCGCTCTATCGTACAAATGATCAGACACTGGCATCTCTTTAAGAATCGAACAAAACGCACTAAACGTAACACCCAAACAACATGTAAAACGGGTATCTCAACACAAAGGAACAATCGATAGCAAGCTTAAATCAAAATCGTCAATCATGCGGTCATATCTTCCTTCCTTTGAACCCAGCCTTCGAGCCGGATCGTGATCTCGTTGTCGTTAACGAATCGGGTTAAGGCCCCGTTTGGAGATAGCTTCGTCATTGCATCGGCCGGGTTATCCGCTCCGTTGATCCAGCGGATGTTGGTGATTTCGCGTTGTTCGTAGGCCTGTCTCAACGCCATGATATCGATCATCAGACGTTTCTCCGTGGTGGTGCCAAGCTTCACTAGGCACTCGTACAGGCTGTACGAATCTGTACACACAACGAGCGGGATTTGCGGTAATCCAAGGCGGCTTGTAATCTGGTTGATCGTCCCTGCAACCACATATGCCAAATCGAAGCCTGAAGCTAATCCATATATCTCAGAAGCCAAGACGCTGCGGGTGACTCTCTTGCACTTCGTCGAGCTCCAATGGATCAGGTTTCCGTGGATCGTGAATGACTCATCTGACTTAGTCTCGGTTGCAATGATTATAACGAATCTGATCTGAGAGCTTAAGTCCTTGTTGTTGGCGAATGATCCGTCTGTGAAGACGAAGACCTTTGCTGCTTCTAGACCTATTGGGACGAATCGAAGGCCTCTTTGTGGATTGTCGATCTGCCATTGGATCCGTTTATTCAACGCCTGAAAATCCTCCGCGGTTGGATCTTGTGATTGTGCCGCGATTGAATAATCGAAGCTAGCCTCTGGTTGACAAATTGAGGCTATATAGGCGCCACGGGCACGTTGTTCCACGTATCGTTGGGCCCGATCTTCCGTGGATAGATCGATAATTTTGAGGTTGTTGACCTGACCTTTCTGCATGACTAGAAGATAGCCCTTCTCTAGAGCAATGAGGCTGCCGTTGAAATCACAGGTATCGCCTTCTCGTAGGGTCTTCTTTGGCTTGGCTTGGAAGCATAGCTCGCGGTCTTCACGTTGCAGGAATGTTGTTGTGCCTACCAATAACGTATCATCAGTCTGAAGCGCGGCAACGCCGAAGGCATTAACCTGAAGTGCGGTATCCGCGTTGGTCTCTGCGGTCGTGACGTTGATCTCTGCGGTCGTTATCATTAAACATGGATCAAACGTTGACGGCTCCATCTGTAGCTTGATGCGGTGATGCTCATGATACGTATTGAACCAATGAGCGCCTGCTTCAGCGATTCCGTACAATGGCTTGACCACACGAAGGATGGTTCCCCCTGGGTATCTCTCTTTTAATTCGTGTGGCAAAGAGATGAGGATAGTGCGATTCAAAGTGGTCGATGCCTGCGTATAGGCCATCGTAATGTCTCGGATAGCAAGAGACATCTTCAAAGAGCAAAGGAAAGGGGAAAGAGCGAGTACTACCCGCTGGGCAGGACGGGAGATTGTTGGAGCCTGCGTGAGGATCTCACGCTTCTCGTCGTCACCATATCCTTGTACCACAAGACGAGACTTCTCGTACGGTGTAGCAGTGTTCTTGCCTTTGACCTCCCGGACCATTCGTGACTTGAATAGCCTGTGTTTTCCATGCTTATTCATATCGTATCGTTCGGGCACGATGACGCCTGCGCCTAGCAGGTTCGTGATTTCGAGGTCATCAGAGGCTTCAAACGGTCGTCCGGCGGTAGTGATTTTCTTCTCTGCACGTAACTTTACGGCAAGGTCGAGGGCGGCGCACTCCTTATGCGATAGAAACATATTAGCGGGTGAAAATTGAGATCGAGGTAACGAAAAAAGGGCTAAGACTAAGGAAATAACTAGAAGGAACGAAGGTATCGTATTGCTGCTGATCTCGAGGGACTTTTCTTGGTCTGCCGCGTCTGCGTGGTCTCTCCGGCTCGGGATATTCGAATGGCTTAGGCACTTCGGTCTCAACGTTGATGCTATCAGCCTGATTGTCAGCAGTCTGATTGTCAGCGTGTGGCTGCTGTAGAACATTGTGACTTCGTTGCTGCTGCGAATCCGGGTGGCGAAAGTAGGGCTGGACAGCCGTGCTGCGAAATTTAGCTGGCCCGTTGTCTAGCTCAACTGTGACCTCTGTGTCTGTCACAGCTAGGACCTTGTATGGGCCTTTCCATCCTCCTTTCTCACGAAATACTCGAACTTCACTACCAAGCGGCAATGATAGTGGCATCTTCTCAATCGTGTTGGGCCCATTACGGGCATTGAGGGCGTCATTGACCTTCCTTTTAGCTACAAGCTTGCGTAGCTCTGCCATAGCTTTCGTCACGGCTTTCGCACGTGTGATCGCGGAAGCAGAAGGCGGCGAATCCATCGTTATCCGAGGGTAGGCACCAAAGACTAGTAGTGTGGGCACTAGACCGTCAGGTCCGGCGGTATCATTGACGGATTTGAAGGCCATTTGAAGCAACGACTCAGCTGATGCTGTTTTTAGCTCGGCTTTCAAGATCTCGTATGCCCTTCGAATCGGGGCGTGATATCTCTCCACCTTGCCAATTGACCAGTGGGCTTCGACGGGCACGGTGACAGGTTATTCCTAGCAGCTTCGCTTCTGCTTGGAACTCAGAGGAGGCAAAATTCGTACCAGCGTCGTGCGTGATAACATCTGGAGGGCCTAGGTATGTGTCAATCCAACACAATTTGAGTGCTTCCACGTCTCTTTAGCCGATATATTCTGAAGAAATCGTCCGGCTTGGAAAGAGGTTGCTAGGTCAACGGCATGAAGGACTGGCCGGCTGTCAAGATGCATTACATCGACGATCAATTCGTAGTTGAAATCGCAGTTATCCTTTAACGTGAATTTGAACCTGCGCGGTGCGTCTGCCTTGATCTGGCAAAAATGACAGAATTTTCGGATCATCGCGATTGCTTCGAATTCAACATCATGCCCAGCGCTTGTCAGTAGCTTATGTAGCTTGTGTACTGACGGGTGGCCAAAGCGAGTGTGTAGGCGCCGAAGCTCGGCTTCGGATAGGAAGGCAATAGCGGCTTCATCCTTCCGTAGGAAGAACCACGGATGACCCCATTTGCGTACGATCGGAATCCTCTTATCGCCGCAGATCAATTCGTTCGTGACGTTGTTGAGATAGGCACCGAGACGGTCCATATCCTTGAGGCATAGCAAGAAGGGCGTTGACATATTGATAACGTGGAAAACGACTTCTCCAATCGGGGTAATGACTGTTGTGATCCCGATCGTGTTCGTCGGCTCGTTTCCACCGAATCTGACCGTTGCGATCGTCGCATTCTTCCGTAGCTGGACCGTCGGCATCTCTCGTTGGAGCGCGCGGAATTGGTCGATCCCAGCTGTAGATATCTTCGCTGCACCCGTGTCAGGCAGGATCCCTTGGAAAGAGGTCCGGTTGTAGCGATCGAGCAAGAAATGCTGTGATTCCTCGCATATCGATTCTCCTCGACGGTGTGAATGCGGTGGCGAAAAGCTCTATTAGATAGGAAGGCGGCTGCAAAGCTATCGCTTTGATCGTCAGAGTCATCGTCAGCAGAATCAGAGGTCTGATCTTCATCTGGGTCCCCTTCGTAATCGGCAAGGAACGTAGTAAATGGACGGGAAGATGACTTCTGGCCGTGAAATCCTCGTTCTCGAAGATATCTTTCCTTGGCCCTCTTTCTCTCGTCATCCGGATGCTTCGTTGAAAAACAGCCTTCTTTGCCGCAGACGTAGCAGCGCTTCGTCCACTTCTTCCTTTTGTCAGCGGGGTGCTGATAGCGGCGGTCAGTAAAGAATGGTCTTGATCTTGAAGATATTGACTGGGCTGTCCGGGCTGTCTTTGGCTGACGGTTGTGGTGACGATCTTAGCTGTGAAGATAGTCCTCGAAGGTCTTAGCCGGCACGAAGAGGGCGAATTCTAATTCAGGCACGCCACGGCATGCTCGAATTGTCGTTGAAATTAGCTGGTCTTCGCCGCCATAGCTATTCCCAAGAGCTCTCTGGCATAGCTGCAATTTGTCAAGAAGAGCCTGGAGGATTTCACAGAGAGGCTTCTCGGAGATTCCTTCCGAAGCTGTGTGAAATTGATCGAGGTCCAGTCAGTGTGATACTGTTGCCTATTGACTTCCGTATCAAAGTGCTGCTTCATCTTCTGATACATCTCCGCGAACGTTGAATCGCGGCTGACTTGATGCACGAAGAAGTTCTTTGCTCTCTTCGTGAGGATATTTGAGAACAAAGCGTGGAATTGTGACGGTTTGATGCTAGCTGTGAGGCAGGCATCGAGAAAGTAACGGATCTTATCATCTAGGATATCGTAGGCGTCACCTGAATAGTTGAGCTTTCGATCCCATAGCTTAGAAAACTGGTTGGCGATGGCAGGATCGAGGTCTTCATTGGGGACCTGGACTGGGGGCACGGTCCGGTAAGCTTCGCGGTCGATAGCTGGTCTGATCATAAGTTCCTGCTGCTGTTGATTCGATCGTGACAGGGGTAGGGATTGGTCATTGGGGTCTTGCGGGAGGTTTAGATCGGGAGTGACTGGTGCTGGGGTTGGTGCTGGGGTTGGTGCTGGGGTTGTTGCTAGCGATGGCGATCGTCTGAGGAGTTCTTGTTGGCGTCGGTAGGCGGCCGTTTTCTCGTATAAGATGGCATCACGAAGATCGTCTTCATCCCACTCAGGAAGTCGGTCACGGTTCTTCAGATTTACTAGGAATGCCGTGATCTTTGCGTTCAGCTTTCCTGTATAGATTCCTCTGAACCTTAGGGTATTCCGTAGGACCTTACGGACCCTTGGATCGACCTTCTTGAAGTCGTCTTCCTCCCAATCCTCAAAGTCTTCTTGGAATGATCCAAGCAGCTCGAGACCTTGACATGTTGAGAGACTTTATAATCAACGATGCGGGCGAGAACGAAGGTATTATAGTGGATCTCATCGGAAGTCTCGTTGACTGGGGTGTTGAAGAGGTCCATGTTGAAGATTGTGGCGAGGCCACGGTTGAATTCAGCAATATCGAGGAATTCGTTGATGTCGAGCGTCGGTGCGTTCGCGTTCGCGCTGGTGCCGCTTGCGCTGCTGCTCATGATGTCGGATGGGGCTTGACAGGAAAATCTGCGAGGGAATAGGGCAAGAAGGTGTCAAGAGAGGTCAAATTGATCGAGTGATCAATGAAGCTGATAATCAAGCGGGATACCAGAGATTTGTATGTGCGATAGGGCACGCCTAAGAGGTCAGCGGCTGAGGCAAACAACTAGGCACGGTTGACTGAATAGAGTGGGCGCCGGTCGGGTCTTCGTAGTCAGTCTCGCGTTCTAGCAATCTTAACTTCGCAGGGCAATCTGATGCAGATGATGCTTAGAAAGACTCTCTTCTATCTTGCTGCTCTGAGGTTACCAGCCAGGTAACAACTGATCAGTGTGGATAGGTTAACTGAGGCTCAGTTGGGTCTTTGATCGATGATCGTGTTGTTCTTGTTATTCTTCGCTATCTAGACCATGCTGTGAGGTTTGATAGGTTGTGCGCGTGTCGGGTAAACGTTGTTCCCTGCTGACGCACGTGATACCCTCCTGCGATGTGCGCTCTATCGTACAAATGATCAGACAAGAAGCCGACTTGTCTATATAAACGGGCATTCAGTATGAGCGAAAACAGGAGAAACTCAACATGCCGGCGGAGGTTCCGGGAATAGTCATCGAATGAAAGGTCGCGCACGCAATTGGTCATGCACTAAAGAAAAGGCCATCCATTACCAATGCGAACGTCCGGCCCTCTACCGTAGGCTGCCTAGGGCGGTTTGAACCATGGAGCGGGAGAGACTTGAGGCCAGAACGGGGTGCCGATGGAATGGGTCGCATGATTCAGGGCCTTCCAAACAGCGACTACTTGCAGGCTTGCAGAGACACTGGATGCCGTACCTGCGTGGGGGAGGCCACTATTGTAGGGCGGTTTGGCCGTTGTCGGAGCGAATCCAAGCGCGGGTGGGAGGAGCCGAGGCCGAGTTTCATCAATGTAGAGGGAGCCATGTAACTTAGACGGAGTACGTCCGTCTGGGGTTGGTTACTGAACTGCTATACACAAAGTGGAAGCCATGGTAGACGAGAGTGGCATTTGTAACTCTGCTCGTTCAGCATCTGGCAAATAATCCACAGTACTCAAAGGGGAACCCTGCACGTATAATAGGCTGTGCCTCTCTGGTGCGTGCGTGCGACGAGTTCGGCGATCAAGGATTCCTCGTGCATGCATGCCATCGTCATGTGCTTCCATCGCGACGGCCAAGACTGTGTAGGGTAGCCAGAGTAAGCTGACGTACCCATGTTTGCATACCCGCGCCCGCGAAACCGTCATTTTGGTGCTTTGACACTGGGACAACAGGAGAGACTCACCTTTCCTCGACACACCTGCGGCTACACACGCATCAGAGGAGAGCTTGCAGCTATGGCAAGAATAAGGAAGCAGATGCGTGTGTAAACATGAATCTACCAAAGCAAATAGACGCAGAAAGAAACGCCATGTTCACAGTACGGGGCACCATGGGTAAACTCACCAAGACCCCCTTTGCTTCCAGAGGCTTTCCCATGCTATTTCCTTAAACGCAGACCACAGTTACAAGCCTTCGTCACCAATATCGACAATACGATGAAGAGCAGAGCTCCTTGATCCATCCGCAGAGCTTGAGCGCTTGGGTATCTAAACCATGTATCCGTACACGGTCAAAGGATGGGTAGTTAACTAATCCATATTCTGCGTACTGTACTGACTACCCGAGGCACCGCTTATTTTCTGCCTATCAGCATGTGTCTGGGACACATTTCAGATGTGCTTTCATATCAAAGATACGTACCTCCCCCCGCCCTCAACGCACTCCAACGGCGAGCTTGGAACTTCAACAAGCTTCACCTCCAACTTCTTCTTGTTCCTCCCTCCTCCAACCCATCTCGCCTCATCGCTGCTCCTCCGCCTCCCGCCACGTCGACGCTGAGCGCGTGCGCGCGCGCGCCACGTAGAGCTCCGCCGCTGCCTCTCTAGCGCCATGCCCGTTCAGCAGCATGTCCTGAACTGGCTCTACAGCGTCCTGACGAGCGTACGTCCCTCCGCCGCTCCCGTGGCCAGCCGCTCTCTTGCTAACACCGGACATGGGCTTCTGGCAGGAATACCACGATGTCAACCGCACCTACAACGACGTCGCCCGCGTCCTAAACGGCTTTCCAACCCTCACGCCCCGCACCGACGTGCACAGTACAGGCCCCCAATCTCTCCCTGCCCTCGCACATCACTTCTCCCCCCTTTCCATCTCGGAACCGCAGCTGTCGAGATGAACCGGCTAACACCTACTCCTTCTTTCGCAGCCTTCTCCAATGGCACCAACGCGCTCCTGCTGCACGTCTCGGGCACGATCCCCGTTGTCTTCCGCGGCAGCACCTATAGATTCCCCTTGTCGATATGGGTGCCACACACGTACCCGCGAGAGCCTCCGCTCGTCTACGTGACGCCGACTCAGACCATGGTGGTGCGTCCGGGCCAGCACGTCGACCCTCAGGGCCAGGTCTACCACCCCTACCTCGTAAGGTGGTCCGAATTCTGGGACGTGAGTTGCGCCAAGCCCCGGATGTCCATCATGTCCACGTCTACGCAGCTATAGACTGCGGTGCGTTTACAAAAGGTGAAAAGCTGACTCTAGACCCCCTCGCAGAAGTCAACGCTCGAAGACTTTCTCGCCGTCCTCACCGATGTCTTCGCCAAAGAACCCCCCGTCATCTCCAGGCAGGCCCCAAGGCCGATACAAAACACCCAGCCTGCTCCGACGCCACCTCCCGTGCCGCCTCTGCCTCCCGAGATGGCCTCGGGATCGCCCATCCTCCCACAGCGCACCTCGAGCGAGCCTCGGGCGCCTCCAACGCCCGCGAGACCCTCCGAAGATGGCCGTACAGCAGGCTCTGGGCTTCCGCCTCGCCTGGCAGCCTCTGGACCTGCACCTGCGCAACCCCCGATACCGTCGCGATATGATTCCGCACCGCCCTTACCACCAGAGGCTCAAGCCCTCGGACCCTCGCGTCAACACCATCCTCATACTCACCCTCAAGCTCATCCTGAATCGCATCTACCCCCTCAGCAGCACATGAACCACGATCCGACACCTTCTCAAATTGACCCTCGCATGGCTCATCAGCCACAACACCCGGCCCAGTGGCCCCACGATCCTACAGCGCATCCTCCACCTGGACGATGGCACCTCCAGGGGCCGCCCCATGCATGGAACGGGGCGGCAGCTCTGGAGCAGCAGCAGCAGCAGCAGCCGCCGCGGCCTCCTCAGGCGACACCCGCCCCGCCCAACATTCTCGACGAACCGCTCACCCTACAAGTGCCGGCGCAGTCGACTGTGACGGCGCCCCCGATCCCCCCGAACCCCGAAAAGGACGCGTTGTTGAGGCAGCTGGCCCAGACGCTGGCGTTGATGCGGCAGCGTAGCCGGCAGCAAAACGAGTCGAGCATGGCGGGCCTCAAGGCGCAAAGGATGGCGATGCAGGCGGCGGTGCCGGCTCTGCAGTCGGAGATGAGCCAGCTGACACAGCTGTCCAACCTGCTCGCGTCCAACACGCACATTCTCCACGAGGCGCTGCACAAGGCGGACGGGGTCATTGAGGGCTCCAAGGACCATCCGGCGCCCGACGTTGACGAGCTACTGGTGGCCCCGACGGTGGTGTCGAACCAGCTGTACACACTGGTGGCAGAGGAGCGGGCGCTGGGAGACGCCATCTTCATGCTGGGCAGGGCCGTTGAGCGAGGGCGGATCTCGCCAGCCGTGTTTGCCAAGATGACACGCTCGCTGGCGCGTGAGTGGTACCTGAAGAAGGCGCTGGTGAGGAAGATTGGCGTGGGCATGGGCATCAGCGTGGCGTGAGGGTCGGCGTGGCCAGCTGGGACGGATCCATGGGCATGTCTGTCGGCACATTACGAGCAAACAGCGATGGGTGTTTAGGTGGAAGGAATCAAATCAAGTCGCCGATGAGCGGCATTCGCCCATGTGGACAAGAAGATGCAAGTGACACGAGGCCTGGCAGGATGAGGCATGAAGCTGTTTTCCAAACACAAATCGAGTAGGCGTAGCTTGGCTGGTTGGATTAGCCGAGAGTCTAGTCGGACGCTGGAGGGCAAGTCAGAGAGGCTTGTCGTAGTATAGCGAGCGTTATAACGGTCGCATTCTCACAGGCGCCGTCGAAGCAACTGGGGGATGGCTCTCTCATTTCAACTTTCGCTATGCCGACGCGTGCTTGCATGGCTTTTGCGTCCACAGACAGTCGACGCAACCAACAACACATTGGGGATTCCAGGTTGGCTGCGTCTCCAACTCTGCGCCCGCCCTCCGATAGGCCCGCCGCGCCCCGCAGTGTCTCAAGAACAATACCAAGGCCCGGCGCCACGGGCCCACACGAACAATATCAAGGCCGGCCGCCGAGTGGGGGCGCTCCGTCCCGTCCGGCGACTAGCCGCCATGCCCGCCCCGGCGAGAGTGTGCGTGCCACCCCCCCCCCCCTTTCTCCTTGCCTTGCCTTCTCTTGTTTTACCCTCGTCAGACTCTTGCTCGAGGGAAAAGGCCTCGGCCAACATTGTCTCCCCTGCTTCTTCAGCATTCTTCAGCGATGGGGCGAGATGCCGCGTTCCCGCTTTCTTTTCTTGGTTGCCTGGTCTTTTCTTTTGGGTGTGGGCTCTTCCAGCACGGGTCTGCGGACTGTTGCCACGGTGTGTGTGCGTGCGTGCGTGTGTGATATGGGTATGGGTATGTGTATGTGCTAGACGTTGCTATTCTTCCTCGCCTGTCTGGTCTCTTGCTTCCCCGTCGACTTCTCGTTTTCCAGGGGCATCGTTTCAAGAGTTTGGCCTCCCCTTTGTTCTCTGCTTTGAATGATGACCCGGCCTGCAGGACTAGATGGCATCTCCCCCCCCCCCCCTTTCCCGTCGAGGAGCTTGCTGGGTGCGACAATCGGACCCCGTAGGCATTGTCTTGTCCACAGACGCCTCGCCCCGTGTAAGCGGGCCCCGGACTGTGGCCCTGTTGCGGCTTGCTCTGCTGCTCCTCGGGCTTGCTCGATCCCTGCCTTCTTTACTATCTTCCTTGTTTCCTGCCCCTTGATCAGCACCGCCATCTTCATCGTGACGCAGGTTTGGATGGAAACTTTGCCTTCGCCCTCGTCACCGACTTGATCTTTCTCTCGAGCTGCGGCTGCTTAGTTGGTTTGGTTTTCAACCGCTCCCCGTTCCTCGACATACAAGACGCTTTCGTGTCAACACGCCCTTCTCTGCTCGAGCGGCTTTGCCTTGGACAGCCGACCCTGACCACGGGTATTTCTCTCTCGGCTCACGACTTGGGGAAGAGAGTGGCAAGTCACCACGATCGAATCAACACCAGACCGGACCACGACAAGACGGAAGCACAGCGTATACACGAGACAACAAGAAAAGGGGAGCGAGCACAAGATGGACTCGATATCGCCACAACCACCCTCCTCGGTGCTGGACTCGCACCCACCCCCCGTCCCGGCCGGCGCGCCCTTCAACCCCTTGGACCAGCTCGTCACCTTCTACGGCCCAGACGGCCGCAGCGTGCTCGGCGTGCCCATGGCCGCCGTCGACGCCGTCAACCAGGAGAGCGTCAGCATGAGCGTCAACTACGGCGCGCAGCTCGGCGCCGCCCTCGTCATGCTGCTCGCCGTGCTGGCCCTCACGCCCGCGGCCAAGCTGCGCCGCCCGTCGGCCCTGCTGCACCTGACGGGCCTGGTCGTCTGCCTGGTGCGCACGGGCTTCCTGGTCGCGCCGCCGCTGTCGCCCGTCGGCTACTTTTACGTCTTCTGGGCCGGCGACTTCTCGACCGTGCCGCAGACGTACCTGTACGCCCTCGTCGCCGGCAACGTGGTTTCGTTTCTGTTCGTCGTCGTCGTCGAGCTCGCCCTCATGAACCAGGCCTGGACCATGGTGTCGCTGTGGCCGGATGCTGCGCGGTATAGCCTGGCTGCTGCCTCGGCCGTCGTGACCCTCACCACCATCGGGTTCCGCTTCGCCTTGACCGTCATGAGCTGCAAGGCGGCCGTCGGCTTGTCCTTTCCCATGGCCTTTTTCTGGCTCATGCAGGCGTCCCTCGTGACGAACGCTGCCTCCATCTTCTGGTTCTGTGCCCTGTTCAACTCCAAGCTGCTGCTGCACCTCGTCTCCAACCGCGGCATGCTCCCTTCGGCCGGGACCCTGAGCTCCATGGAGGTTCTCGTCATGACCAATGGCGTTCTCATGATTGTTCCAGGTTCGCCCCCTTCACCTTTGCCCCTTTTCTTCCTCGACGTCCTACGTCCCCCTACCACCACTTCACCCCCCCTGATGCTCATGCTGCCTCCATCGTCTTGGCCAACCAGCTAACTCGCGCCTCTCCAGTCATCTTCGCCGGCCTCGAATGGGGCCACTTCCAAAACTTCGAAGCCGCCTCCCTCACGCCCACCTCCGTCGCCATCATCCTGCCCCTGGGCACCCTCGCCGCCCAGCGCATGACCACCCGCCCCAACACCGCCGGCAACGGCGCCAACAACCTCGCCCGTCTCCCCCCGAGCGGCTCCTCGGGCGCCGCGGCCCACCCCAGCAGCGGCAACCACTGCTCGGCCACGCCCAAGGACTCGAGCCTCTCCACCAGCTGGAACTCGGAGGGATCCGGCAACCACTCGTCCTCGGTCCCCTCCAAGTGCTTGTGCGAGCGCGGGCCGGCGCCAGGCCAGGCCACATCCGCATCGGCGCGTCGCGGAGGAACCGTCGTGGATCACTTTGATCTTGAGCTGCGCCAGATTGACTCGACGAGCGCCCTGGCCGGCGACATGACCGAGCATTGTCTGGTGCAGCATGACAAGAGGATCTAGGTGTTCATCTGATTCCGCCTGGTTGGCTCGCAAAAGGACTCGCATAAAGCAGGCCATCATATCCATCTCTTTCTCGTTCTTCTCTTCTCTGTTTTGATTTTCTTCTTCTTTCCTCCGCTCCAGCCGGGGAGCTGCGCATTAAAATCGTTCATCAGGCGGATCAATGGTTTGTACGCGGTGGTGAAGAGGCACGGCATGAGCGTCTGCGGGTCGACTGTGCTCACTCAAGCTCATAGTTAGTGCAGTCATACGTTGAGCACGGTTTCAGAGAGCCATTCTTCTCAAACTGAAGCCTTTGCACCAATCAAATACTCACAGTCTACCTTGGAACCTGGCCGCCGTGTAGCCTGCCTTGCCACATCGCACTCCTTCTCGACAAGCGACAGTAATCTGCCACGCCCACGTTCCGTCATTGCGTGCCGAAACCTACCTAGTTACCACTTAAAAGTGTTTTTTCTCCTCCGGTGATACCTTGGAGTGGATTTGTGTCAAGGTTTCCCTTGGCAATCATCTTTTGCTGTCGATGAGTCCCCAAGACACCAGACAACTATACGCTCAAATTATATGCCTTGCGGTCCACTGCGATATGTCAATGCTATACATGCTGCCCGAACCCAAGTCTGCAAGAGAAAGACAAGGAGAAGAAAAATGGAAGAAGAGAGCAACAGGCCCCGGCATCCTCACTCTGACTGAACACGGCCCTTCCATCCCGTCGCCACCTTGTCTCGGCACAGGCTCACCAGCCGCTTCACCTCGTCGGCCCGCACCCTCACCGGCCTCGGATGCTCCAGCACACAATGCGCGCGCGTAACCAGCGTGCCGCTGCTGCGGGAGACGCGCCGCCGACTCGGCCGTCTGGGGCTGCAACGCGCTTCGTTGTGTGCTCCGGAGGGCAAGACACGTAGGCGAGTCGCACGCTCCACCTCCCCCTCCTCCCCCTCTGTGCCGCCGTGGCATGTTTGCTGATGCTGAAGATCATCTCGCTCGAGGGGGTCTCGGCTGACGCCGGCCGTATTCTCGTCGGGTGACACAGGAACGGTTGTGTTTCTGCCGCCTCGGTCGTCCCACGGTTTGGAGAGCGGACACGGGAGCGACTCGCTAAAGGGAGATAACGTGGAGCCAAAGAAAGCAGACTCGGCTTCGATCAAAGTGACGGGCACAGGGACTTGCGGGTCTGCGCCCAGGTTGTGCTCGCCTAGTGGCCCGCACGTTTCCTGTCTGTTGGTCAACGTGGACGGCATCTCGTTGCTCGCTCCTTTGCGAGCGAGAGTGTCTTTGTGCTCGATAGAACGCCGCTTGCTCATGGTCTTTGCTAGCCGAGTCTTGCTCCAGGAGCCAGATAGCTTTCGCAAGGTCGACCCGAAGCTGCTCATTTTCGTGACAGAAGCGCCCGCTTTACTCGTGCCTGCCTTGGTGCGCCTCTGACATGGCGAAGGAGGAGACATGTACGACAGGCCCTTGGGGTTTTCTTGGTGACAGCTTAATGACTCGTAGAGCCCAATCGTGTGTTGTAGCCGTGGCGCCCGGGGCAATGGAGGAGGGAGATGCGAAGTTGTGGGCTCTGGGAAAGAATGTTGCCCATTTATGTTTCCGCGATCCTTGCTCCCCCCTCTCGGCTCCGGCGAGCCAGTCATGAAAGCAGAAGGCGGGTTTGGTACTGGTGACCTGCGTTCTGGTTTCGGATGACAAGGCAGCGTTGTCGGGACACCCTGTCTCTTCTTCTAGACAGACAATTGCGGAGTCGTTGCGGCGATCGGCGGGGAGCCATCCTTTCGTGTTCTCGAGACACTGGAAGATGAAGTGACAACGTTGTCCAGCGTGGTGGCTGGTTCCCGATCGTAGCGGGACGTACGGGTAGTATCGGTGCTTGTCGAGGGCGAACACGCCGACTGCCCAGTCAGGCGGCACTTGGCCAGGTTGTTCGTTGGCGTTCTCATCTGACTTGGCTCGTCAATGAATTTTCGAAGGGGTGTTTTCGGTCTTCTTGTCAACTTGGCCGTAGCCGGCGGCGGCCAGAGGCATTTGTCGCGCATGTCCCTCGGCCTGCCCGCATGGTCCTCAGGAGATGTAGTCGTGGGCTCGAGGACAGAGTCCTCGTGGATGGTCCACTCGGGCGATTCTTGAGGCACGAGGCCATTGGAACTGAGGCAACGAGCTTCGACGAGTGACGGGCACGTCTGGGAAGGAGGTAGATATCTAGCTGTTCGTTTCGAGACCTGTAGAGTCGGTGGGCGCTCTCGGAGAACGGTCCGGGATGCCATGGAGCTCACCGATGGCGATTTGCCGAAGGGAGCTTGCCAGCTAGAGGCCAGCCGGGAATCACTGCTGCTGCTGCTGTCCAATTTGCGCTGAGAAGCAGACCTCGGCAAGTCTGGAGAGGTCAGATCAGCCATCTCGACGCCACGGCAGCTAACACATTGTTTGAAGCGCACCTGAGTTGCCGTGGGACGAATTGCTCTCGAAAAACCTCCTTCTCTCCGCAACTATCGAGTTGGATCTCGTGGCAGAAGTAGAGCTCCTGACGGGTGGGCTGCTGCTCAAGGATAATGGAGGCGGAACGTGTTTAGGTGACGTGTCGATCGATGCAGCTCGCATGTCGGTGATTACTGAAGACAAGGAGGCCGTCGATTGCGACAGCGGACCAGACGGCGACGACTCTGGTCGAACAGTGCCATTGCTCGCGACCACGTTGCTACGCGTTCGTGGGACTGGCGGCTGGGTCTCAAGAGCTGAGCTTCTATCAAAGCTTGACACGGCGCCGAGGGTCTCGAACTTGGTCACTAGATGGGCCAGTCGTCCTGCTTTGGCAGCAGAGCCGGCGGGGCGAGGGCTGAGAAGGCGACATGAAGTGGACGCGCTTTTCTCGCTCGCCCTCTGGGGCGGCAGGATGGCAGGCATCATGCGGCGAAGGCAGGCCTTGGGCACGAACGATATAAACGCAAGATGCACGTTGGTTCGATACGCCTTGGCTAATATTATAGCTGACGGTGTGACGCCGTCGCGCTTGGCTTCGGCCGAGGGGAACGAGGTTCGCGATGAAAAGATCCGCGTGAGAGAAAGGGGAGTCAAGAGGATGGCGCGCTGCTAGAGGACATATGTTGCCCCGTCGCAAAGGTGCGCCTTCCACCAACGCCAAGTCAGGAACAGCTTGCCGAATCCGGGCTGCCTCCTCCGGCGACCTAAACGACACTCTCGAGGCGCCTTCATTTCCCAACTGTCGCCTCCTGTCATAAGCATTAGTAGACGCCGTAGACTCGTCGACCATGTTGCGCAGCGGACGGGAGACGTAGTGCCGGAGCAGCGAGTTTGTAGGTATTTCGTCTAGATTCGAGGCCCTTGCCCATGCCAGGCCATCCGTGCTGCCAGCCATTGTCCACTTCCCGTCATTCCGTGGATGTCATCGACTTTTCGTGGGCCGACTTGCTTCCCCCTTGCGTAAAGATACAATCGCTGCAGCTAGTATACAGACTCGCGCGGTCGACAAGACCCCATCCGCCCAGAAGAGACTCTATTTTGTGTTGTTTGTTCGTTTCGGGACTCGGGAAGATGGGCTACTGCCTGTTGAGCAAGTCAAGGTCAGCATAAATGCTCCACGGGTTGCGCTTCGGCTCAACGTACGGAGGCAGCAGCATCTCGCCCCAAGGGCTTGCGAGAAAGGCAACGGCAGCCTGCATTCGAGCGTCAGCATCAGACTCGCAGTCACAGGATGCCACAGCAGCAACACTGCTCCTCACCCCAAAGATGGCGATGCTCCGGACGGCGGCGGCGTTCTCGGACGAGGTTAGGGTCTCGTAGGTGGAGCCGAGGAAGCCCTTGGGGGCGCGGCGCGAGCCCGGGCCGTTGATGTACATGCGCTTGGAGTTGGGGGGCATTTTGGAGTGGGTGGCAGTGGTCGTGGCAAGCGGATCGGGGGGATGAGGTTGGTGGATGAAGCGCGGCGGATCAAACGCTCGGGTTCAGAAAATTTCGAGAGCTATCGCTGGAGGACGGATGCACTACCAGACCTGCATACATGTCACTGCGCGCGGGAGTTAGCGGCTGTTTAGCTCTGCTAGCGGCGCTGAGCTCACCCGCTGTCGCCCACGACGTCACTCTCCATGCCTCCCCAAGGCCCGCTTCAAGGAGATGAGCAGCCTCGTGGAAGAGCACCGTCATCGCCTGAGATGGCATGCACTCTCCTGAAGAGGAGCGCGATCTACCTTGTTCATTCCCCCAACCTTGAATATTGATTGCAGCGCTTGCTTTCAACTCCAGCGACATCCAACTTGACCCCATCGGACTCCCCAGCCTCTCTTGCGACCCTTTCCTCTCCCCGCGCAAAGAGAAGGCCATGGCCAATCCATCCGCGTATCAGCAATCAGGTGGCTTCTTCCCATCGGCAGGACTGCCGTCGCCCGCGCCGTCTGCATCCTCGACCCGCTCGACCGCGGGCCTACCTCATCCGAGACACAACGCCCTGCGGCCGGGATCCAACAAGGAGGCGCTGGTGAGGCGCTACGTCGAGGAGCGGCTGCTAAACACGTCGCGCCGCTACGTCAAGAAATTCGGAACCCCAGACCCGGCGGACGACGTGATTGGCTTTACCAACTTTGGCGAAGTATGCCGTGAGCTCGACGGCATCGTCAACGTCCTTTGGCTTTCGGGCACGCGTACGTCTCTCTTGGACCATGAAAAAAAATTGCAGAGTATACTGACGTCGGGACCCAGCTAGCCTGCAGATTCCCTTCCTTCTGAAGCTGGCCAGCGACTTTACGCAATACGTCCGCTCATTCCCGCCGGCTCCGAGGACGACGTTTGCGCTGCTGGGCAAGCTTGACCACTGCTTCGCCAGCCTCCTCTCCGGCCAGGATGCCGACTCCCAGGAGCCTCTGCCAGGATTCGAGAATGGCCTGCGCGCCGGCATGACAGTGACTGATATGGTCCGCTGTCGCAGCCTGGTGGAGCAGACACGGGTCCTCATGGTCGAGGTCTTGAGCGGCGAGGTGGACGAGGACGACGAAGACGACGAAGACGACGAGGATGACGATGACGACGACATGGACGATGGCGAGGGCGGCCTGGGCGCAGCCACGATGACGACCAAAGTTGACGGCGATCAAACGCCCATACCGTCCTGGGACATTGATGAGGAGAGGCTCCACATGGACGCGGCCCGGATCTACGAAAACACCATCGTCCAGCTGGGGACCAGACTGGGGGATCCGCTGACGAGCGACAACGTGCCAGACAACGACGTCGTGTGCTCGCCAATGGAGGATTGATGCCGGCCGCCCGACAAAATGTCCGATCCTGCATGTGGCGGGCAGTCGGGCGACTGCGTTGACGTGAAACGGCTCCACGCACGCCGCCGACCAAATCCACGGCGCATGGGGAAATTTTCCCACACAAACAGCTTTAAGCCGCCCGCACAAATCTTCCCGTTCAGCCTTGTTCTCGGGGATTATATCTCGAGGGCAGGGACCGGCCGTGGATAGTCTGGGTATGAAGCCTTGAGGCTTGTGGGACAGGCATCAAGCCAGACGTTTGCATAAACGACGTGTGGCTCGTGAAACATACGGCGTCTCGAGACAGCGGGTAGAGTGAGCTTATGTTACGTCTGCCATTTCAAGGCAGCGAACTGGACAATGACTCTGGGGATGAGTATCGACAAGTATCGACCTTTGGGGCTACCCTATACTCATGTTGTTGTCATTGTGAGGCTGCCCCAAATCACGTACAAACCATACATCAGTTAAAAAACCATATCACGAAATTGAAATTATATACATCAAAATCCGTGACCTTTTTTTACCGGAAGAAGTCCTCTAGGTAGAGTTTAGCAGAGTTGTGCGATGGCTTGTGAGTTATCGCAGCTTCATGTACAAAGTTGACATCCAGCTACGACAAATGACAAATAACAGGGTCTCAACACGAAAGCGAATGTTGCCATGTACCACTAATCAAGGGCTACAAGTCGATTCTGATGATAACTCTGGGAACGCTACGTGTGTTCTTTGGCGACCTGGGAGCACTTGACAACGCGCTGAAGGCAACAGCTAATCTGCCCTTTGCGGTACCGATGCCAGTGTCTACGTTTGAAATAAGCGAAGCCGACATCGTCAATCGATGTAAAAGTCAAGTGAGAGAAAATCAAGATGACGTCAAACTCTCTGGGGAATTACAAGTCAAAGACCAAGTTAGTGGGTGGTAGATCACGCGTTGCTTGCAAGCATAAGTGATGGCAAAGAGGGAGGGCGACTAAGACGAGGAAGAGTGAGGATACCAGGCAAAACCAGTGGAAATTGCAGACAACAATTCAGGCTAGGCAAACAAGACCAAGCATACCTAGTCTATGGCTTGCGACTATATCCATTGAAGAAACGGCTGGACCTGGCGGCCTCACGTCCGCGAGTCGTTACCCGTCAGCCTCGGCGGAGATGCGGAGCAGGCCAGCACGTATTCGAAAACTAATTGCCGCTCGGCAGTAGAAGCAAGGCATTTGCCTGGGCACGCATGGCCGGCGCCGCCAAGAGCCGTTGACGAATTAGAGCGTGAGGATGGCGATAGTCCTCTAGAGGGCATGACAAATCTACCCTGATGCCTGCGCGCATGAATCCAGGTGTCCAGGGTGTAGTGGCAAGACTCCAGTGTGCATGAGGGATATAACAGATGGGGACTAGTACTTTTCTTGTCTGTGGTGACTTTATTATCCCTCACGCCTGTCAATGCATGGATATGCCTCTCGCTTTCTTCGCGTGCCGTGCCTGATGGGGTGATTTCACGACCCTCGCGAGGCATGGTGAGCTGGATCCCCACCATGATGATCGCTGGAAGGGACCACTTGCAGTTGGGCCGAAGAACCCACAGTGACGCGGGGAGGGGAAAGAGTCAATTTCGTGGTAGCCAAGTGGAATGCTGGGGAAGTCGATCTCGAGAGAGCCACGGCCGCGTCTAAAGTCGGGCGCGGCGCAAGGAAAACACACGAGAAGGCCGCGAATCTCTAGTACGCGTCGCTTAAACGTCGTCACCACCTTGCAAACCGACATCAGATAACTTTGTAGAGCCATGCTGGTACCCATGGTTGAAATTCTCGCCCCCTATCCGCCACGAGACTCAGCATTGGTTGCGGCCCCGCCCGGCATCCCGCACCGCCGAGGAGGGGGCCCCTACTGTAAAGATGGACGCACGTTTATATCGATCGAAGAGGGCATTTGGCGGGGCAGACCAACTACCTATTGTATGTACCTACCTCATCTCGGCCGGGCAGCAATCTTGATCAGAGGACTTGGGTAAGCCGATGGGGTGGGATAGCGACTGCGACTGCCTACCAATATCGATAGATATGCAGGCACATGAACGGAGAGTCGAAGCGATTTGCGAGACATCGATCTTGCCGCTGCTTTGCATCTACTCGGCGGTGCTAACTGTATGCAGACGTTGCTGGTATTCAGTTGCTTCACGGCTGTGACACTGCAGACACTGCAGCTGGACCACAGACTTGTTGCGGTAGGCTAGCATAGGCCCTAATGCATCCTGCAAGACGGGGGAATGCAAAGCTCTCATGTCCAAGAGTCGTCCGGTCTCGGCTCCTTGACTCGACACACAGCAAACAAGACCACGCCTCCCCTGTCGCTGACTCGCCCATCCCATCATTTTCTGCACCTATTGAATCAATGCGCCCATCAGTGCCATCTGCCGTGCGTCCACTCTGCCCAGACTAGCGGTAACTTGTAAGTGGAGAGAGAGAGTCTCCACAACGGACAGCGCCGTTATAGGGGCACAATAACGGCGCAGCGCATAGACGATTATGTCTACGCTCAACGAACGCTGCCCCCATCCATTGTCTTCACTCAATCACGGCGTACCGTGGAATGAAACCAACGGGCAAGGCATTGGCCTCCCATCACAGATTCGGGCCGCGTCATGGGAACGGACGAGTTTGTCAGCTCTAGCTCTCTTTTTTCAAACGCATATGGACAGACTTGTTTATCCATAGTCTGTGCCATGATCGGGCATACGTGCGGAGAGCATGCTTGCCTTGCCTGGTTTACGCTGCGGGCTGAGAAGCAAAGCTTTGGAAGACTGAGACTGGTTGCGACGCATGATAACACGCTGGCGAGTACTGTATTTATATCCATATACGCTCCAAGTTAATAAGATGACAAATAAGATGCGGCGGTCTAGGTATAGCGAGATGAATAGTATAACGGCGTCCTGTCCTTACATGGCCCGATGTTGTCTTTATATACGGGGGAGGCAAGGAGTGCCTAGCTTGGAGCTAATAAACTAGGAGCTAAGTTAGTAGCGAATAAATACATAGAGGGCAGCGTGTAAGTCGGGCCCGGCATGTCAGCCTTGGAGCCCTCCGGACCAACATTGGCCGAACCAATACTCTGGCATGCGTGGCCCAAGGCTCATCCTCGGCCTGCCAACCGACGTGTGATAACCACGTGTCTATGTACGCTCGTATCCGTGGTTGGAAAACCCCCTCCTCCCCCCCACCGTCAGCCACGAGACCCGGGTATCTGCGGTCCCACTGGCATCCCACACTGCATAGCAGGGGACTCTGGTCCCTCACTGTACATCGATCAATGGGGGAATTTGGCGGGGCAGACCAGGTACTACATCTGCCTCTCGCATCTCGGCCGGGCAGCATCTTGATCAGAGAGGACTTGGGCAGGCCGAGGGGGTGGGAGAGCGAACCGACCACCTACGTGCCCGCTTGCAAGACTGTGGCTCACTGGCGATAGACGTGCAGACACATGGATGGGTGGCATGCGAGGCGTCCGTCTTGTTGATGACTCCAAGGGTGGCATCTGAATGCAGACGCCTGGCGGTTGGGATTCGGTTGCATCACGGCAGGGCACGACAGACATCCCGGCCACCTGGCCTTGCCAGAGACACTTGCTGTGCAGCCGGCCAGTGCACAAGTCTCGATATGGCCTGGAAGTGACAGTAGATGGCTAGATGCCAGGCGGCGGGCGGGCAAGAGTCATCCGGTCTCGGGCCTCTTGACTCGACCAGCAACAAAGACAAGACGGCGCTTCCCTGTCGCTGACTCGCCCACGACTTATTTCTCTGCACCTCGTCGAATCAATGCGCCCATCAATGCCATCCCATCCCCGGCCTGCCGCGCACCCACTTCGCTCAGCTAATGCAAAGTGTGGAGCGTGCCCACAACGGCCAAGAGCCGCTTATAGGGATAGGGGCCTGTGATGGCGCAGCGCATGGACGATTTTGACTGTGCTCAACAGAGTCTTTACGCGTTCACAGAGTACCGTGGAAGGATGTCAGCCGGTCAAGACATTCCTCTTCCACCGTAGGCCCGGAACGCGTCGTGTGAACGGACGAGTTTGGCAGCGTTGGCTCTCCAATTTCAAACGCATCTTGGTAGGCTCCAAGGATGCAAACCACTCAACCCACTCAATATTTTGCCTTAGTGGCGTTGAGTTGACCAGTTCAACGCGAATCCTCCGTTGAGTTGATTAATTAGAGGTCAGATTGGATACTGGTTAAATAAATCTATCCCAGCACGACTATTCCCAATCTAGAAGAGGCCTCTCTTATACCGTTTCTTCCGAGGTCCTAGATATCTATGATCTCTCGCCTAGCTCTTTAACGTCGCTAGTTTCGTCGATAGGAAGAGGCATTACATCTAGGTTATCAAGCACTCTAGCCCTAAGCTATCATAGCAAGACCTAGGACATCCCAATGATCTTAGCGTTAAGCTGGCTGCGCAGAAGAGTTCCTATGCGGCCTGCTGCTATAAATAGCTACTTATATTCTGCTAATATCGGCTAAATCGTGAGGATGTCAAGAGCTATCCGGAATAAACGAGGATATCATCGCCTGCGCTTATATCAGTTTGAGATTAGGTTCCTAGCGTTGCTGTCCCTATCTTCCGGAGAGGACTGCCACACTTCGAGCTCGTCGGTATCCTCGTCAAACCGATTAGGCATAGAATCGTCATCCTTTACTATTATACTGCTCTAAGGGAGAGATCGGCTGCGCTTATAGAATGCCTCGAACGGGTTATAATACCTTTTCTACCGCTTAGTCGTTTCTTCCGGTTAAGCGCGAGGTGCAATCGTCGTAAGGGAGCGTAATAAAGGTGTTAGAGGAGTGCGAGTGCCTATCTCGCATTCGTTCCGTACGTAGGGAGCCCGCAGTGGAGTCTATCGCGTCTACCCTAGATTTTGGGTCTTATAGGTAGATTGGTGGCGGTTTGGCCGCGAAGACTAGAATGCAAACGCGTTTGTCTTGGACAGGGGCGATAATCTCACCTTTATCCAGTCCATGCTAGGTTTGGCTTACGGCACGGGGAAGATTCCGAATCTATAGGCAGCTCGATCTAATGCACTCGCATCTCATAAAGAGAAATACTACCCTAGACTGCACGGCTTTAATGTTTGTAATACACTTAAGTAAACTTCAAACTGATTGATGATGACTTATATAATTAGAGCTAGTATTGATTGAGTTGAATCGACGATTTTATCCATTTGCTTAACCGGGTTGAACAAACAATTGAGTGGTTTGCTTTCTCGGTAGGCTCTGTTGATCCACAGTCTGTCGAGACATCGAACGTGTACTGGAGTCAGTCGGAAAGTGGTTTAATGTCTGATGGCGCCGCGAGCTGAGGAGCAGGCCTGCAGCGTTGAGACCGGTTGCTCCGCATGCGCCCTGGCAGACAAGTACTGTATTTATACGTATACGGCTATACGCAAACCGCGCTTCCTGGCAGTATGCGCTTCATGGCAATGTGATCAATGGCAAACGCCACGCGGCGGTCTAAGGCACATGTATGGCGAGATGGATGGTACGATGGTGTCGTGTCCCTGCATGGGTCGGATCTGTGCACCCCCACAGGAGGCAGGGATTTGGCAGGCGGCAGTGAGGTCCTACTTGGAGGCCAGCTGAGGTTGAGTGCCGAGATAGGAGCCCAGCAAGTAGGAGCTGCTTGGCGGCCACCAAGAAACAAACAAAGACGGCCTCCCTTGCATGGACACATGTCCCTTGTTGCCACCATACCTTTCGGCCATTGCCGCGAAGGAATGGGTGTGACTTCCGGAAAACCATGTCCAGCCCTACTACGGCCATGGACGCATGATGAGCCGGCGTGGCTGTTTGTTGCGTGGGTAACGAATTTGCATGGGCATCGAATTTGCATGGGCATTTGGAGGCAGGAGGATACACGACTCAAAACCCCCGAGGAGGGCTGGCAATACCGAGGCTAGTAATGAATGCGTGCGAGGGTAGCAGAGCGTGTCATCTCCTGGCATATTCAATCACAATGGATGACTGTTGGGAGAGTGGGCAGGGCTGGAATATACGAGTAGGCCGGTGAGCGCCTGTATCGGCACGTCATTCGCCCAGGATCTGGCTCGGCAAGAACCGAATGATGGACCTGCATAAGCCCAGTTGCCCGTGGCCGCAGGGACGCCCCCGGCCGGCCCCTGGACCAGCAATCTCTATTCTCCAAGCTGATCCGTTTCCACAAGATATGTGGCATAGGTAGGTAATTACGAAGACGGCGGAAAGCATGGCAATATGCCAAAAAAAGCAACAACAGTGGCCAAGCTTGGCAAACAGCTTGATTGGGCTCTGCTAGCCAGGAGCAGTAGAACGGATAGGCTTCATCCTTACCAGGTATATTCGGACCCTCCCTCACCGCGTGCAGATGGCGCCCAACCGGCGGAGGCGCACGCAGAGGTCGGAACGGACAAGGGGGCTGCCCGTGAAATCAGAGGCGCATTGAATTGACGGCAAATGGGGGAAATACGATATTCCCAGCTCCTCCGTGGTGGGCCGCGGCCCTGCCAGCCGGCAGTGCACGTTGCGGGCCACTCAGCATGACGAATGGGTTGCAGGGATGGCCAAGATTTGCACGCGCGCTTGAACACTTGGGATGGAGGCCATGGGACGAACAGACCAGGCAGGGGTGTTGTTTATCGCCGGGCCTGGAGGTTCAGGGGTCGACGACCGGGCCCTGAGGAAGGCAACTTATGCGCAGGCATCTTCCCTGCTGCTGGCATGAAGGAATCATACGACGGAAATAGGCTTCGTGTGTAATCACACTGGCAGCTGCGGACGAGGTGATTGAACGACGGTGCATTGAGGGCAATAACAAAAAAAAAGGCGAGTCTCGGGCTCGAGGCCAACAACCATTATATATCCCCCTCTCCCGTCGGTCAAGTCCAATCCCATCCAACCCAAGGCCGGTGTCACTCAACCGTCGTCCCTCGTTTAGTTTCATTTTTGCTCTTTTTTCTCGCCCTGTGTTTTGCACCCAGAGACTTTACCTCCCAGTCTTCAATAATAATCGACAATGAAGAGCAACGCTTTGCTTGGCGTCACGGCGCTGCTCGGCGCCGCGTCTGCCACTCCGCACCCTGCGTTGTCGTCGCGGACAGACTCGGCTAGCACGGGGAATGGTTTCTTCAACGTCCCGCAAGCATTTCCGAAACTTCGAGATTCAGGATGGGCTTATCATGATCTTGATGGCTGTTACGAACCCGTGTTTAAAAAGGTCCACTATCAAAACAAACCGAAAATGCACCAATTCTGCCAGGGCGTACTCAGCACGGGCGACAACAATAAAGGAGACATGAGCTTCCTGGAACAGGACCACAGCGACCCAAACAAACAACCGGATCTCCGCGACGAGTACGAAAAGAGGTGCGCCAAGTACTCATTGACCGTTGCCCGAGTGTGCCGAAACATTCTTAATATGGATGGCGTGAAGAGCTCAAACTCGAAATGTTTGGCTGCTCTTCAGGAGAACAAGGACGCCCACAGGATCTGCGTCAGAGTCGGCATTGAAAATAATTTCGAGGGGACCGGCGACATGCTCGTAAAGGATTGTTTTGACAACAAATTCGAACTCTATGCTGCCTGCCGGGAGCTCCCAGGCACTCCCCAGATCACGATACCTAAGAGTTGCACCCATACACCTTGCTACGATGCCGCCGCGCGAATCTTTGGCGACAACTTGTGCAAAACTAAGCCGCAGCCGGGAGACCTCTTCGTCAAGTCCGCAACCGCCCTTTGCGGCGCTTTGGACATGGACCGGGTCTGTGAATGCCACAAACCTGAGAAGCCCTTCGACGCGTGCGAGCGCATCGGCTGTTACCCTGAACTCCGGAAGGCCACCGCCGATGTGACCCTCTGGTGCCAGGATGCCGTCAAGAAGGGCGAGGTGCAGAAAGCCACAGAGGCGACTAACTATGGCCTCGGCCAGTGTGAAGCGAAAAACAGAGAAAGCTGGAGGTCAGATGTGATTGCAGCTTGCGCCTGCGTCCTGCCCACAGAAGACAAGCCGGCGGGCGTCCCCCAATCCAACACCCCAAGCAGCTCTTCAACCGCCGGGCCCCTGACGTCTTCCACCCCCGTCTCCAAGGGCTCCTCCAGCGCCGACGCAAAGACCACCGACCAAGTCTCCAAGAACTCCGCCACCGACACTCAGACCTCGGGCAGTACCATTCACACAACCGCGTCTCCATCGGGCAGCCCCAGCAGCACGGCGTTCCCCTCATCTGCCTCGCAGAGCCCGAGCCCCGTTACCTCTGCCATCACCAGCACCTCCGACAAGTCCACCGCCAGCGACAAGCACACTGACGCACAGAGCACTCATATCTCTGGCACCGCGGCCGGTGGCCACGGCGGAGCTGACGCGTCCAAGTCGGTCTCGCAGGGCACATCTCACTTCGCAACGGCCAGTGTCGCTTTCGCCACTCCCGTTGCTGGGGGTAAGAGCGTTGACGCCCATGCCTCTGCCGGGGCCTCCGCTGGTGGCCATGGCGGTGTAGACGCTTCCAAGTCTGTCTCGCAGGGCACATCTCAGACCGGGTCTGCCATTGTCGCGTCCTCCACCGCCATTGCGGAGGGTAAGCCGGTTTCCAAGGGTGATGTCGAGGAATTGCTCCACTTCCTCAACAAGAAGCTGAAGTTCAAGATCATCGCCGGCTTTTTCGTCATCGACGATCTGGACAGCATTCCCGAGAATATCCGAGCTGTCTATGTCACTGTTAGCGTGCGTCTCATCCTGCACATCAACAAGGGACCCGACAAGTTTTCCTTCGAGATCTGCGAGCCGCAGGAGCAGGGCCGTGTCATCACCAAGTACGAGACCCATCTGATCTATGGTGTCGGCATCTGGGTCGCCCCCGCTGGCCTTATTTCTGGACACGATGCCTCATCCGGGTCCCCTGTCATCGGTGCCGACTCGGTTTCTGGTCCGGCCTCCTCCGCCATCGACTCCGGCACCTTCGAGCTGTTGTGCAACAATGGCGGCTTCTACACTGTCGTGAGGTTCGAGCAGAAGAAGATGCTTCCGTCCGTGCCCGCCAGTCAGCAGCTCGAAATCGCGCATGCTGGCGTTGTCATCAAGTGCGACAAGGAATGCAAGCAGACCAAGTGCCAGGGCGAAGAGTGCCAATCCAACCTCGTCATCACCACTCACCCCAAGGGGTCCGTTGCCAAGCCTGTGGACGGTTCCAAGCCCAAGCCTGCCGACGGTTCCAAGCCCAAGCCTGCGGAGAATGGCAAAGGCCCCGTCGCTTCCACCGGCAGCGTCTCTGTTTCCACCGAAATCTCCGTCACAATCACCTTCGCTCGTTGCGAGTCTGCTGAACAGTGCCACTGCATCCGCACCTGCACTGACAACAACTGCGTCACTCAGCAGCCGACCCAGGGCAAGGCTCAGCCGGCTGTTCCCAACGACAAGGTCACCGCTCTGACAATCGAGGCCGTTTCTCGCAAAGCCGTTCCCATGAACATTGGGGGACAACAAGGCCCGACAGGTGAAACCAGCCAGGTGCAGCAGCCCAATGTAGGCAATGAAGCGCCTGCCTCAGCCCAGCCATTCACGCCCGTCAAGGCCCAGCCCGCCGCCGGCAAGCCGTCATGCATCCCTCGCCCTTCGTCTGGCCCTGCCGCTGTCGTTGGCTCTGGCCCTGCCCCTGGTGCTCCTCAGCGGGCTGCCCCGATCGCCGCTCCCCAACCGGCTGTTCCCAACGCCGCTCCTCAGCCTGCTGCTCCCAACAGAGGCAATGACGCGCCTGCCACAGCCCAGCCATTCACGCCCGTCAAGGCCCAGCCCGCCGCTGGCAAGCCGTCGTGCACCCCTCGCCCTTCGTCTGGCCCTGCCGCTGTCGTTGGCTCTGGCCCTGCCCCTGCCCCTGGTGCCCCTGGTGCTGCTCCTCAGCCGGCTGCCCCGATCGCCGCTCCCCAACCGGCTGCTCTCAAATCCGCGCCTCAGCCAGCTGCTCTCGACGCCGCTCCTCTGTCTGCCCCCGTTGCCGCTGCTCATGTTGGTTCCCCCGCCCCTGCTCAAGAGCAGCAAGGCAACGTTCGCCCTGCATCAAGCTCGATACCCAGCACAAACCAGGCCCCGGTCTCCACCAAAGCCCAGCCCGCTGCTCCTGGCCCCAACAAGGTCGACGGCAGCGTTCAGACTCAGTCCCTTGTCAAGGTCCCCAAGGGCGCCAACAACACCAATTCCGCTACTCCCAACGGCTCTGGCTCTTCCCCGGCTGTCCCCGGCCGTTCCGGCTCTGCCCCTGCCGCCGGCGCTTCCGTCGTCTCGCCACCTGTCTCCGGCGGCTCGGCTTCGGCGCCTGCCAGCGGCAGCCGACCTATCAACGGCAGTGCCTCCCCCGTCCCCGCCGGCAGCGGTGCCTCCGGTCACGTTGTCGTTGCATTCAACGTCCTTGTCGGTGTTGTCGGCATGGCACTCTTCCTTTAAGCGAAGTGGCGCTATCATTCGGAGTTATTCCCCTTCTTTTCAGTAAGGGCAGTTCAACCAGGAACCCCTCGCCCTCACCAACCATGCTCGGGACCATTCTGGCACTCTTGGACACTTGGGACCCGGGTGTGAATACCCATAATTCGGGCCGCGGCCCCTTTGGTTTGCTTTGTCGGACGCGGCTGTATTGAACATATATTTTAAGACGTAATCCCATAACTCATATAAACGAATAAATTCCTTTCTTTTGTTCCAATCCATGGCATCTGCCGTCTTGAGTGTGCTGCTTCCCGCAACTTAGCATCGTCAAAGTCGTCTCTGTGCCTAATGCTGAGGTTGATACATGCATGTCCTGCATTGTTTACCACTGCATCGTGACCTGATATTTGCAGTGCGCGTCACCCGGGTACCCCTGGGAGCTGCTCATCAATCGCCAACGCCTCCACCGGCTACGTGCCCATGAAGTGGCCCATCGAATGCTCCTGCAGGGGGGGACAATCGCCACACACCTCTTCCACCGCTGGAAGGATGAGGATATGCGCGGTTCCTCGGCCTGGTGATGGAGGCTGAGTTTATTGATCGGATCTGCCACCACCATTAATTAGCTTGGGGCAACCCCAACATACACTCTCTGTTTTCTTCGTTTCTGGCCCCGTAGGCCCTCGAGGGGGCTTGCGGCCGGCTCAGCTGACTGCGTGGGCTTTCTCAGTTACCCGGCCACAACCGACGACTGACTATTGCGGCTTCGCTGTCGTGCCTGGAACCCGATGATGACCCCGAATATCCGACCGGCCTCTCAGAATTGCTAGATGGAGTGGTTGTTTACTACACACGGTCCTGGGTCCAGGTACTCGTGATATTCTATGTATATATTCTATGTATCTAGTCATCTCCAGCCTAGCACGTCTTTTGCCCTTATAGAGTCCCATACACCACGTTTGTTGCCACGTCGTGCCGCCCTAAGGCCAAATTTCCATCGCGATGGATGTATTCGTCCTAGGCAAGAAATTCCACCGCCGCCCCCGTCGCCCACTTTTGACTCTAATTGACGAGCTATACGACTTCCTCCAAGCCTTTCATCACGAGAACGGCGCTGCCATCGTTAGGCAGTCAAGCAACAACTCACCTGAGGTCAGCGGGCGCGCCATCCCCACCTTCGTGGTGTTTATCTGCGACCGCGGCCCGCGCCGCCCGTCCGAGAGCACCGGACTTCGTCGAGCCTCTACGCGAAAGCTGGACTGCCAGGTCAGAATCACGGCCTCAACCTCGAAGCACGCGAAATAGAAGTGGAAATATTGGGTCACCGAATGGCGTTATAAGTTATAACCATTAACCACGCCTAATCTCTCGATCCTGCAGCTCACGATATTCGCCGCCGTCGTACCAACGCCCAGAAAGAGCTCGAGAGGCACCTATCAAAGCATAAGGCACTGCCGGCCCGAGAATTTGACTCCGTTGTTGTCACGGGGTTAGGCCCTTGGTTGGTTGTGTGGTTCTAGACCAAACGTTCTTATGTGTGGTCAATTGACGAAGCTGTCACTTAGTTAATTCCGTTCCCTTTTGCCGCACTAAACTTTTGCCCTTCTCGGCCAAGACCCTTATACTAGAATTACTAATTTAAAATATAATAGTAGGTTAAAGCATTAGAGCCGTTTATAGTAATTATATATAAATATATAGTGTGAGAGTCTAGGCGTTGCCTAGACAGTTGATAAGTGTGGTCAATTGACAAGCCGGGCAGCTTAGTCAATTCGTTACCTTTTGTCGCGTGGCAGAGGGGGGTAGTGGCGCGACCACAGCCTGTGCCCTGTCGGGTCTACTCCATGACATATAGCTCTAAAAACGCTCTAGGCTAAGTCTTCTCTTTATTATAGTAATAGCTCTATATTTTCTTCATTAATGCTAACGTTTTGTGAGGTAGAAAGGAAATAAATCTTTTAATAAATCTAATAATATCGATATTTAAGATTAAGAGCCAGTTTCTAATAGTCTAACTACTTAAGAAGCTATAAAAAGAAGCAAATAAAAGCATTATAAGTATTACTGCGGTTAAGTAGCCCAATAGGTTCGCGGTCTATTAATAATATAACTTCTATGAGTCCATGCCTTAATTAGCAGCACTAGCCCTACCTCGCTTGAAGTAGACTTAGCGTGCGCCGTTTTGTTCCCATATAGCTAGGGGAAGACGAGACCCACCACGGGGCATTATTACCTCATCAACCCACGACGGCAGAGACGGGCGTCACTCCGTAGCGGACCTGCACTGACCTCAACTGTACATACGGCACCTCTCCCGACCCTTACGCAAGCCTCATCGACGACAACCACGCTCGACACCAGCCCACCCTCCTCAGAAACGGCCCGCCACGAGATACACCCACACACAGCAACACCAACCTCTGCGCCGTCCACCCCCTCCCCCCTCCCCCCCCAATCTCCCCGCGCGGCTTGTCGCTTCGCCTCGGTGCCTTGTTCCCAACCCGCGCGCGTCTTCCACCATGGTTAGTTGGGCGGTGTCTTGCCACGCCGGGCTGGCTGGTCGTTGTCGTCGTCGTCGAGGGCTAACGTTGCGCGATGCAGTCGGCTCAGAACTCTGCGGGGATCCAGACGCTTCTCGATGTGCGTTGCCACCATTTCGCCCCTTGGTCTCCACACGCCCGCTTGCTCCATGCTGACTGTCGCTACTCTTTGATCAGGCCGAGCGGGAAGCGTCCAAGATTGTCCAGAAAGGTCAGTGGCGCCTCGTCTTCATCTCCGTGGCGAACCGTGCAACTAACCGTCCGCAGCCCGCGAATGTGAGTCCCCCCTCCTACCGACGCCCCTCTCAGCGCCCGTCCCGATACCCACGCTCCCGTCCCTCCGAAGCGAACAACCAAGCCAACCGTCATCCCGCCACTATAGTCCGCACAAAGCGCGTCAAGGAGGCCCGTGACGAGGCCAAGAAAGAGATAGCCGACTACAAGGCCAAGAAGGACGGCGAGTTTAAGAAGTTTGAGGCCGAGGTACGTCTTTCCCGTCCGCCCTCGCACCAGGCCTCTCGCCGTCCGATCCACAAACAAACGCAGAGGGAGGGGCCTATTTGTGCAAGTGGAAATCATGCGCCGCTACTGACGGATCACCCGGACATGTGCAGCACAGCAAGGGCGACAAGGAGGCCGAGGCCGAGGCCGCCAAGGACGCAGAGAAGCAGATCAAAACCATCAAGGAGGCGGGCCAGAAGAACAAGAACGCCGTGGTTAAGAACCTCATGAGCGCCGTCTTCGACGTCAAGCCCGTGGCGCCATCGGCGGCTTGAGGGGCTCGCGTGAAAGGAAGCCAAGGTTGGTGCCGGCTACAAGGCGACGGGACAGCATGTAGGGAGAGGCGGAAGAAGGGCATCGTCATGCCACACGACGCAACGTGCTTTGCAGCGAGGCGCGCTCGGGATTAGAAGAGCGGGTGCCGCGGCCGCTGCTGCTTGGACTTGCTACGCGGTTTTGAAACAAGGGCAGCAAGCTCCGTGTTCGAGGGCCTATCGCAGGAACTCCAATAGTGTACCCAACATGTCGCTTACATCCCGGTTCTCCTCGTCGGTGGTATCCAGCGCCCCCAGCTGCTCCTTGATGGTGGCGGCGACGGTGCCCAGGTCCTCGTCCCGCTCCGCCAGCAGCTGCTTGATGCGCCTGCGCGCCCCGCCGTCCTCGGCCACCAGCCACGCCAGCGACACGTCCAGCTGCTGCAGCGTAAATAGCCCCGCGTCGAGCCGCCGCGCCAGCAGCTCCATCTCTGCCTCGTCCGGGTCCTCGGCGCCCCCCGCGGCCCCGCCCGCGGCGCGGTATTCGTCCTCGGCGCGCCCGACGCGCGCGGCGCAGTCGCGGCGGAGCTGCACCAGCTTGGCCGTCTTGCCGTAGTCCCTCTCCACAAACTTGGCCAGCGTGCGGATCCGCTCAGGGGAGTCGGCCGGCAGCAGCCGCAGCATCGAGGCCATGATGCCGACGAGGTGTGTCAGCAGCCGGTGGTCCTGCGTCTTGGCGAAGAGGGTGAAGAGCGCCTTGAGCCCGCCCGCCGCGACGAGCCTGACGCAGACGTCGGCGCCGCCGCTGCTGCTACCCGTCGTGGCGTGGTCCACGAGCCGCAGCGCGGGCGCCTTGCTCTTCTTGCCCTCCTTGAACATGATGAGGCACAGCTCGACGCCCTCAGCCTCGACAAACTTGGCCTTGCCCGCCGCCTCGTCCACCAGGCACGTGAGCGCCTCGAACACGTTCTCCATGTACTCCTCCTCCTCGCCGCTCTTGTCCGGGTCGAGCTTCCGGTAGGGCGCAATCAGCTGCAGCATGCCGTCGACGGCGTCGTGGCCCACGATGCGCCGCCGCGTCTCGGGCGTCGACTGGCACAGGATGGCGAGCACCTCGGCGGCGTACTGCTTGTTCTGCGACACGGAGGGTTCCTTGCGCCGCATGCGCTGCAGCAGCCACTTGAGCAGGCCGTCCTCTTGGCCGACGCGGGCTGCCGTGGCGGGCCGGGAGCAGAGGTTTTCTACTATCCCCAGCGCGTAGTAAACGCCGTTGCGGTCCGTCTCATCGTCCTCGTTGAGGCGGGCAAAGTTGGAAACGAGGAGGCCGACGAGGTCGACGTCCATGAGGGCGTCGATGAGCATGTTCCACTGGTCGTCGGCGGCGGCCACGTCCTCGTCCGTCAGCTCGCCAATGATTTCGATGGCGCCAATGGCAATGTCTGTGTTTTCGTGCGCGAGGAGGCCGACCAGGTTGCCGGCGCAGCCAAGCTTGACAAACTCTGGGTACAGCTCGGGGTGTTCCGACAGTATTGACAGTGCCTTGACGTCGGCGTCGAGGTCGGCCTCGCTGCTGATGAACTTTTGCGGCTCGCTCTCGTGCTTGGCGCGCAGCTCTGCGTTTTTGGTGATGCGCTTCTCGAAGTTCTGGGCCGTCTTGCGCATCCAGCCGACGTCGATCTTTGCGGGGTCCTCGTTTGCCTCGCCGGCGCCCTCTACGTAGTCGAGGACCTCAGACTCTTTCGCGGTAATACCTCCGCCAAAGAAGCGGCCCTCGTCGTCCTCGCCCTCGTCGGGTGCGTCATCGCCATCTTGTTGTGGGGGCGGCGCGAGGCCGGCTTCGTCGTCTTGGTCAGCGCCGCCGTTGCTGTCGGCATCGCCTGCGTCGGTGACGTGGGCTCGGCGGCTGCTGGAGCCGTTTGTGCTGAGCTTGCTGGACTTGTATATCTCGTCTGCGGGGCGTCTATCAGAGAAAGGGCAGAGCGAGAGGGCGGAGTATGCAGGAGATGGCGGAGCACAAACTTGGATCTTTGATGGCTTCTAACTTGCGTTTGCTGGGCACGCCGACATTCTGTTGAGCCAGGGTGAGCAGAGCACGGGAACCGCGCGCGAGCCTCGGGGGACCGACCTTGAAGATGTCGTCGATGCTCGCCATGGTCGTGAGGAGGGCATGTGTGATGCAGCAGCGAGATGAAGCTTTGGGCCTCTCCTGCGCGGTACAGGAAAGCAGAAAGTGATGCGACGCGATGCCGTGTGCTGTGCTGTGATGTGCCGTGCCGTGCTGTGCTGCGATGTGATGTGATTCGAGGGCGTGAGGGGCGGTGCGAATATGCAGATGTCGGGTGAATATATTGGGGGAACTAGACGGGTTTTTTTGCCCCGAATGTTAAGTAACGGGTGTGGGGGGGGCTTGTCCATTTACCGGTGCCGATCTAGCCCGTTTGTGGCAGTACCCCGAAACCAAGGACACTTCTGCCGAACGGGACGGCAATAAGGTAAGGGGATTTTAGCCGCGTCGTAAGTTGCGCAAATCCAGACAGGCCAGATGGGTCGAAGGCACAGTAGGCAGGGTGAGGATGGCGGCGTTCTTGGCGCCGACGGCCCTGCGCTTTGTCCGCCCTCGCAGATTGTGTACACCAACTTGGCAATAATCCTTTGTCGCTACTGTACAAAGAGGTAATATAGAGGTAGGTACCAGTACTCCGTACAGTAGGTACTCGGCAAACCACGAGTCCACAGGAAGGGTTCCCTCATCCGCAGGCGTGGGGCACCGGTTCGGCGCTATACTGCTTTCAAGACGCTGCCTGTCACCCTAAACAAGACGCTGGCTGACAACGAGTGTCAAAGGTCAGGGGACGGAAAAGGGGGGCCCCTTCTGTACTTGCAGAAGCCGAAGCCCCCTCCAGGGCTAGGGCCCCCCCGCTGCCGACAGGGGGATCCCAGCAGAATCAATGGTCAGGTCAGGGCTTCCCCCCCCGCGCAGCAGCAGGCCGTCGGAGGCGCCGTCGTCTTTGCCTACCCAAGGTACGGTAGTCTCTCGCTCCCTCTCTCCCTCTCCTCCACCAACACACCAACCCACCAACAAGTACACGACGAGCCTTTCCGCCACTTGTACGCGCCTAGCACGACCTTGACATTGTCTGTCTGCACCTACTTACACACATACGGCAATCTGCATGCGGCCAGGCCAGCGACTCGGTGGCATCATGCTGTCGGAAACGGCATAGGCTTTCACCAGCTGCTAAATCTTGGCTTTTCTAGCGCCCGTCGCCTCGATACGGGTCATCGATCCCGTCACACCTCGTCTCGTTGTTGGTCATGGACGCGCTGGCACATGAACACGACCCCCGCTGAATGCCAGCCAGCAAGTCTATCCGCATCGAGCCCGGCATTCGAGTGCAGCGACGCGGTGCTCAGCCGAGAGACCGAGCCAGAGGGCCCCGGGATCAAGCATAGTATGACCCAGCCGCTTCTGCCAGACAACTGCTCCTCGCCATCTGTCGTCGATATTCTCTCCCCACGATCCGAGACCCGCCCTTGCGGCCACTTCCTCCGCCTTAGCGCCTGGTCCTCGCCTGCCGCGCACGTCGTCGCTGCTGCCGCCACCTCGCGACGTCACACCAGCCGTAGCCACAGCCGAAGCACTCCCACATCCCATCTTCCAACCGACGGCGTCTCTGCATACCGCTCCTCCCGCTCGACTCACTCTCACGTTCCTCCGCCAGAGCAGCGCCGACCCTGAAACTTGAGGCTCCGTTGTCCTTGACCGGCCGCCGCCGCTGGACGAGGCCCCCGCCTCTCATCTCGGCCCGAAAGAGGCGGCGTGAGCGTTCAGCACCTGTTTGGCCCGTCGCGGAACCCGGGACGCCCGGAACCTTCTGCCCGGAGGCCCGACATGTCGTTTGACCAAGGGCGGGATGCCCTTCGCTCCCGCGGTCACTCGCGGAGTCGAAGCGGCAAGGGGAGCGCCGACCTCACCAAATCTAAAGCTCCCTCACAAAAGGCAATGCTTTCTCGCGCATTGGAAAAGGCGAACACCGCCGTACAGCTCGACAATGCCCAGAACCTCGAAGGCGCCAGGCTAGCCTACTCCGAGGCCTGCGAGTTGCTGCAGCAGGTCCTCCAAAGGACCACCGGCGATGAGGATAAGCAGAAACTAGAAGCCATTGTCCGTCTGCACCCGTCGTCGTGCAATATGCCCCCTTGCTGACCTTTACTCTTCTCGCAGCGGCGCACCTACTCGAGTCGCATAGAAGAGTTGGACAAGATGGGTCCTTGGGACGTTGATAGCAATAAGGCCCTGCCGGCCCGTCCGGGAAGCGCCGAGTATCAGCGGAGTTTTAGTCTTGACGAAGAAGGCCTCGCAGGAGATGGGCCGACAAACGGGACGGCAAACACGGCGGGTCATGCTAACCCAGGGTCTCGCCGTCCTCGATCATCGCGAGACACATCTCCACAAACAAGGCATCAGGAAGAGCGACATCCCCGAAATGGCATGGAGGAGGGTTCTCGGCCCTCCGGTGCTCCGCAAAAGCCTCTACGATCCAGCTTCTCTCGACCGCCGCCGCCTCGCTCGCGTCTCGGGGACGAGAGCCAGAGCAACGGCGCGCACATGCCACCGCTTTTGACAACCATTCGACCTTTATCACCGACCAAACTGCCACCCCAAGACTCTGGCAATGTGCAAACACGGCAGCGGTCTCTCACGACAGACTCCTGGGATGAGCCGAAAGAGTCAGCAGGCCATCTCCGAGACGGCAGCCAGAACTCATGGCTTGACCCAATCGACGAATCCGGCGGCTCCACCCGCTCCTCGGTTCACTCACGTATATCATCTATAGGCTTCCGAAAGAGACATCTACGTAACACCAGTACAAACACGGAAGCCGAGTTCGACACGGCGCTGGACGCGGCCATCGATGCTGCCTACGACGACGGGTACGAACCTACGGGGGCAAACGGCCACGGCCCAGACGAGGCAAACGAGGAGGTTGTCAAGAGGGTTCTACGGAGAGTGGAAATGGCGCGCGAGCGGGTACGACAAACGAAACAAGAGGTGTATGACAGCGAGATGCACCGACGCCAGCAGCAGCAGCGGCGGCAACGGATTGCGCGCCAGAATGCAACCGAGGGATTCTACGATGACGACTCATCCGAGGAGGAGGAGCGGATGCTGGAGGAGATGGCGCGCGGCTACGGTATAGACCACTTCATCGTCGACCAGGAACGCAGACCATCGGTGTCCCGACCAGCGTCCAGGGGCGTACCCGGCGGCTCATCGCAGCCCCCTTTGATGCCGAGCTCTGCCCCTGAGACAAAAGGGTTCTCTGGCATGAACGGCAGACCAGCTCAGCGGAAGCCCGTGTCCAAGAATTTGGAGCCATCCGCGCCGCCGCCGACGCAGTCCTTGCCAGAGCTGCCGGCGCAGCGATCGACATCTGCACAAAGCGTGCGAAACCGCCGACTGTCGGGCCAAAATCCAAAGCAGCTGAAAATCGATACGAGCGAACGTCGACCGCCGCCGCCCACGACTTTCGACGACTTGGCGGGACCCATGCCGAAATCTGCGCCCCCTACTGATCAGAATCCAGAACCCCAAGCCGGCGATGCTGCTCGGTTGGCGAAGCGAAGAGAATCACCGCGGACCGCCCAGATTCCGACAAGCGAGTCCATGTTTCTTGAATCACCTCCGAACAGTAAGGGTCCGATTGAAGAGGACGAAACGGCGACACGGCGCTCCGGTTCACCATCGACCAAGAAGCTGCGCAAGAACTTTTCATCCTCCAGTCTGAGGAGCATGAAGAGCCGCAACGTGTCGCTCTCCAACGCCGACGACGGCATGGACATGTCGCCCGGTACGCCCTCGAGCAGCAATCAGCTTGGCAGCGCCAGGACCGCCGTCATGCCGACGCTCCCGACCCCGCTCTCGGCGGCATTCCGAGAGAACACGGACGGGTCTGGCACAGGAGGTCTCCAGCTTTTCGAGGACAACTTCCACCTGCCCGGCAGCCCGAACACGGCCAGCGCCACGTCGCTTGACGGGCCCGTTCCGCTCGAACCCTGCCCCAACGACTTCATGCTGCGGCCGTTCTGGTTGATGCGGTGCCTCTACCAGACTCTTGTCCACCCCCGGGGGGGGTACCTGAGCACGAAGCTGTTCGTGCCTCGGGACGTGTGGAAAGTCAAGGGCGTGAAGCTGAAAAATGTTGAGGACAAGATTGCAAGCTGCGACTTTCTCACGGCTGCGTTGCTCAAATTTGCCAAGGTCGACACCTGCGACGCCGACGCAGTGCTCGACGAAATGCAGGCACTCGAGGGCGCACTGGAACAAATCCAGGCCACGTTGAGCCGCAAGCTTGGGAACGAGGTTGGGGTGCATAGCTCGGGCATACTCTTCAAAGAGGCATCCAACGTGGTGGACGGAGACGGGGCGTCTGCCGTACCCCGAGCAACCAGCATTTCCAGCAAATCGTCGTCGTTCTCCTGGCGGCGACTTCGGTCCAAGAACTCGGCTATCGGGCTGGCTGGCACATACAGCAACAGGCCTGGGGGTGCGGACGGCCCCAAGGAAATTGCCACGATGCCCACGCTCCCTATGACGACACAGCCAACCAACCGTCCTGCGAAACGCGATGTCGGACAGGCTCAGTTCCTCGGACCCAATACGCACTATATGAGCTCGCTCGCACGCTTGTTTGACGCGGCTCAAGCGGTTGGTAAGTACACGCTCCTTGCGCGGGAAATTAAGGGCTGGCTACTGACGATGTTCACATGGCAGACCAAATCGCCCGCCAGGTAGAGGATCCCGGTCTCCGACACGCGGATAAGACACAGGTGGGCCTGGAGCTCTGTACGCGGCACGCGGCCGAGTTCTTTGGGTTCTACATTTGCAGGTTTGTGCTGACGGATCTCGGGTTGCTACTTGACAAGTTCATCAAGAGAGGGAGCGAGTGGGTGTTGGCCTGAACAGGGCCTTGGATGGGAGGAGTTTTCGGGAACAGAGGCTGCCGGGAGTTGTGTGACGATTAGTTTTGGCGTTGAACTGTCCTGTCGAACGTGACGAATTCGGCTTTTTTGAGAGTCTACGAAGAAATGTTTGGAACGAGATATCAGCATGGGTAGAGTCGACGGATGATGAGACGACCTTGATCAGGCATTGCAGGGAATACCACGAACGGGACACGTGTCTCGCGAGCTACGAGGCTGTCTTCTTGGGAAGGACGGGGGATTTGTCAAAGAAATACAAGATTAGACAATCTTCTGACGATTGGACATGTATCGCATTGATACTGTAGACGTCGAGGGAGAAGCTTAAACGCGGCGTAGACATTCGCGGTGGATGATTAAGTAAGCAGCCTTTGGGAGAGCTCCCCGATCCGACCCCGTCAGAGTCTTCCGTGTCCGTCTCATACGAACTCGACATCTTCGATCCTTGCCAATGCGCCTGCAGCTGTTTCTGCCTAGATGAGCTGGGCTTGGAAGGCTGGAAGAGCCTGGAGTCGACGATGCCTGGCCCCAGGGCTCGCTCGCCTGGAGGATCCGCGCTTCTCCCGCCGGGCCTTTGCGTCGCAGGCGGCCAAGCTGACGGCCAAGGAGCTCGAAGCGCGCATCGCGGCCATACCAATCGAGCGGTATAGGAACTTTTGCATCGTCGCGCATATCGACCATGGCAAAAGCACCTTGAGCGACAGGCTACTGGAGCTGACGGGGACGATTTCAAAGAGCGATGCGAACAAGCAGATTCTTGTACGTCAGCCAGTGCCTCGTGGACAAAGGGACAAAAGACGCAAGAAGAGAACATAGATCATGACAGTTGAGCGACTGACCTCAAGGGAAAACTGTATAGGATAAGCTCGATGTGGAGCGCGAGCGCGGCATCACTGTCAAGGCGCAGACGTGCACCATGATTCACAGGCACCGCGACAAGGATTACCTGCTGCATCTCGTCGACACGCCGGGCCACGTCGACTTCCGCGCCGAGGTCACGCGCTCCTACGCCAGCTGCGGCGGCGCCCTGCTGCTCATCGACGCCAGCCAGGGCATCCAGGCCCAGACCGTGTCCAACTTCCACCTCGCCTTTGCCCAGGACCTGGCCCTCGTGCCCGTCATCAACAAGATCGACATGGAATCGGCAGACGTACCCAGGGTGCTGGATCAGATGGAGAGCAGCCTGGAACTGTCGGCCAAGGACGCGCTCCTCGTCAGCGCAAAAACGGGCAGAGGCGTCGGCGACCTCTTGCCAGCCGTCGTCGAGAGGATTCCGCACCCGATCGGAGACGAGAAGAAGCCGCTCAAGTTCCTGCTCGTCGACTCTTGGTACGACAACTTCCGGGGCGTCGTGCTGCTGGTGCGCGTCTTTGACGGCGTCGTTCGAGCGGGGGATAGTGTCGTCTCGCTGGGCACGGGCATGAAGTACACGATCGGCCAAGTCGGCATCCAGTACCCAAACGCGACGCCCCAGAGCGTCCTGCGCGCGGGCCAGGTGGGATACGTCTACTTCAACCCGGGCATGAAGAAGATTCAGGACGCCAAGCTGGGCGACACGTTCACCACAGTAGGGAGCGAGGACATCGTTGAGCCGTGTCCGGGCTTCGAAGAGCCCAAGCCCATGGTGTTTGCCGCCGCGTTCCCCACCGACCAGAGCGACTATGGTCGGCTTGCCGACAGCATCACCCAGCTCGTCCTCAACGACCGCAGCGTCACGCTGCAAAAAGACTTTTCAGAGGCGTTGGGTGCCGGATGGCGACTCGGCTTTCTTGGCAGCCTCCACTGCTCCGTGTTCCAGGACCGTCTGAAGCAGGAACACGGCCGGAGTGTCATCATCACGGAGCCGACGGTGCCTACCAAGATTGTCTGGGCCGATGGGTCCGACGAGGTCGTGCAGAACCCGGCCCTGTTTCCAGACGCTTCGAATCACCGGATTCGCAGTGCCGGGCTGTTCGAGCCGTAAGCCCTTTCCCCCAAGGGTCTCCCCACAGCCTTGGACAAGAGCCACGCATCTGACTGCTCAGTAGCTTTGTCAGGGCCACCGTTACCGTGCCGAACGAGTATCTCGGACGAGTCATCGAGCTGTGCGAAGCCAACCGCGGAGAGCAGAAGAGTCTTGAGTTCTTCGACGCGCAGCAGGTCATCCTGGTATACGACATCCCGGCCGCGCAGCTAGTGGAAGACTTGTTTGGCAAGCTCAAGGGTGCTACGTAAGTTGGACGCCTCGATTACGCAGATGTGAGTGGAGAGGCGCGATGCTGACGCCTCCGCAGCAAGGGCTATGCGACGATGGACTACGAGGATGCCGGATGGCGCGAGAGCAAGCTCGTCAAGATTCAGCTGCTCGTCAACAAGCAGCCGGTGGACGCCATCTGCCGAGTCGTCCACGCTTCGCAGGCGGAGCGCATCGGTCGCCTATGGGTCACCAAGTTTAAAGAACACGTCGATCGACAGATGTTTGGTGCGTTGCTCCCCTACTACCCCCCCGTCTCTAGTAACGCATGCACCTGTTGCATGTATTTACAGTCGGCTAATCTGTTGGTGTTGGGGGGTGCAGAGGTCGTCATCCAAGCCGTCGTCGGCAACAAGATTGTGGCGCGCGAGACCATCAAGCCGTTCCGCAAGGATGTGCTAGCCAAGTTGCACGCGAGCGACATCACGCGACGGCAGAAGTTGCTGGAGAAGCAAAAGGCGGGAAGAAAGCGACTCAAGGCCGTGGGCAACGTCGTCATTGACCAGTCGGCGTTTCAGAGTTTTCTGTCTAGATGATTTGGCCCCTTGGGCGGCACGATACCCTTGTCTGACTCTGGGACGTTGCTGGGCGGGGGCTTTGTGCAAGTCGCCCCGTTTATATGTAGAAAGACACTCTTGTGTAATATGAAATTGCGAATCGTGGGAATGAATGCGATGTCGAGGCAGTTCGGAAGCATCAAAGCCGATTACTAGATGACCAAGTCCTCCTCAGGAACCTCGTCCTCCCCCGGCAGCTCGGAACCTAGCTCGACCGGAAACGCGTGCGACAAGCCTAGGCCGCCTGCGAGCGTAGTCTCATCCTGACACAACACCTGTCTCGTCGTCATCGCCTGCTGAGGATCGCCGGCGCCCTTGCTGGCCTCGTCGGCGGCCGACGTCGCCTCGCCGAAGCGAAAGATGCGATAGTCGGCGTTGAAGAACCACCAGCCCACGACGCCGGAGCGTAGAAAGCCTGAGTGGGAGACGACGAAGATGAGGTCCTCGGGCCGGTGGTGGAGAGCGTCGAGGGCGTCGGCGCCGCGGGCGAGGATGGCGGCGCGCGAGTGGGCGTAGCGGCGGGAGTCAGGGGACGTCTTGTCGGGCCAGACGGGGTCGAGGCGGCTGAAGTCGACGTGGGGGAAGGAGGGCGAGACGGAGGCGGCGGGGGAGCCTGTGTCGCACGGCTTTGTTGAGTTTTCTGTCGGGGGCGAGCTTAGCAGGGACGAGGTCGAGATGGGTATCGGAGGAGGTACGGGGTGCCGGAGCGGGAGGCCGGGAGCGGGAGGGAATCCGCAGCGGCGCCGGGATACCCGAAAGTGGGGACGCGGCAACAAGCCGGGCCCGAGGGGACGGAAAAAGGTACGTCATTGGGGATGGTGACGGTGGGCGGTGGTGGTGGTGGGTGGTAGGTGGTTGGTGGAACAAGGTGACGTGCATACATACCTTGCCAATCGGCACTGGCCTCAAAGACGACGCCCCGCCGGATAAGCCAGTCGAGGGCGAGAGTGGCTGTCTGCAAGGTGCGCAGCATAGGGCTGACGATGACGGCGACGGAGCCGGGGGCGGATTCGAAGCGCTCCTTGAGGTTGGCGCGCAGGGCGGCGCACTGCTCGATGCCGAGGTCGGTAAGAGGAGGGTCGGGGATGGAGTAGTTCTGTGCGGGAGGGGGAAGGGGAAAGAGTTAGCTCGTTGCGTGGCCGGATAATGAATGGGTGTGGACTACGGAAGAATGATGGATGTCTCTATATATATACGGAGTATGATATATGAACTACATCATGGATATAGGCCTGCTGGTGTATGGATGAAGGGGCTGACAGTGACGGGGAGATGGGGGGAGGACGTATTAGTAACGTTGTGGAGGGCTTCGGCGTGCCGGATGAGGACGATTTGAGGAGACATGGCTGCGTGGTGGTCCTTGGGTCGTGGGGCGAAAGACGACGACGGCGGTTGAGGTGTTCTTCTCTTCTGTCGTCGTGGTTGTTGCTCTTGGTGAGGCGAGGTCCGGTTTCGGAGTCGTGGGAGACAAAGTTCGCTTGGTTAAGAGCGAACGAAACAGCCGGGGAGATTGTCTTTTAGGAAGAGGGACGAGAGGGAGAAAGGAGAAAGGATTTGAATTGAGAGGTGAAGCAGGTGTCGGAGAAATTAGGTAATCTTGGACGGCTTCAGGGCTGTTGGCCGGTTCTCTGGCAGGAGCTTGCTGGCCAGCCGAGCAGTGCTCGGGACCGTGGCCTGTTCACTGGACGCGAGATACTAACTTATTACACGGCAGTTGGATGCAGCAGCTGTGGCGCGACTCGACCATGCTGTGACCATCGATCGAGCTTAAGTGGCGGCACGTGACCTCGCGCAACCGTCGGCTGATGACGAAGCTCTTCCTGCGCGTATCCAGTATCCAGCCGCAACTCGTCATACGGCGCCTCCCTGGCTGACTGAGCGACGGACTTGACGACATAGCCAACATGTGCGGCAGATACGCGCTGGCACTGGTACGCCAACCCCGGCGGCTCCCACCGGCCCCCATCTCGACTGCACATGCTCACTCGCCATTCATAGGGTGCCTCCCAGGTGCGGCAGATGCTCGAGGACGACGACATGCCCGTGGCTGACGCGCCCGACGACGACGGCGCCGGCGCACCCCGCAACTCGTACAACTTTGCTCCCGGATATCATGGCATCGTCTACCGCGCCGCCACGCCCGACTGGGGCGCCGGGCCGAGACCCCACGCCGGCCACGACGACAACGACGACAACGAGAAGCCTCCGCTGCCGGCAGACGTCGTCACCTATAGGCTGCAGGCTATGAAGTGGGGGCTGATACCCTTCTGGACCAAGCGCAACCCTGACTACTCGTCCGTTATGAGGACCATCAACTGTAGGGACGACTCGCTTAGCACCCCGGGCGGCATGTGGGCCACTATGAAGGCTCGCAAGCGCTGCATCGTCGTCGCCCAGGGCTTCTATGAGTGGCTTAAGACCGGGCCTAGGGATAAGCTTCCGCACTACGTCAAGAGAAAGGACGGGCGTCTTATGTGTTTCGCGGGCCTATGGGACTGCGTCCAGTACGAGGGTAAGCCGTCTGTTGATCCTCCGCCGTCGACATTGATTCTAGCTTGCTCACCACCTCGCCAGGCTCCGAGGAAAAGACGTATACTTACACCATCATCACCACCGACTCGAATAAACAGCTTAAGTTCCTCCACGACCGTATGCCCGTTATTCTAGATCCGGGCTCCGATAAGATCAAGGCGTGGCTAGACCCGACGCAGCACGAGTGGACCCGTGGGCTGCAGTCCCTACTCCGCCCCTTTGACGGCGCCCTCGACGTCTACCCCGTGAGCAAGGACGTCGGCAAGGTCGGCAATAACTCACCCTCGTTCATCATCCCGCTCGACAGCAAGGAGAACAAGTGCAACATTGCAAACTTCTTCTCCAACGCGCAGCAGAAGAAGGAGGCCAAGGTGAAGGAGACTGAAACTCAGGGACCCTTTACGGCTATCAAGGAAGAGGGCTATAGGGATGGGGACCACGGAGATGTTTCAAAAGAGAAACGAAAAGCTGCACCGACTGGTGGAGACAGTCCTCCGCTGAAGAAGTTCGCAGTTGACAAGAAGAAAATTAGCTCGACAAAGAACGAGCACAGAAGCCCCGTCAAGTCCAAGGACCCCCGTTCTCAGAAGATCACAAAGTTTTTCGGCAACAGCGCGTAGGAACAAGGGAGATTCCAACCCGAGTTTCGAGGTTGAACGGACGACAAGCCACATGGGATCTGACACGCCTTCAAGCGTCGAGTCGTCTAGCAATCACTTTGCCTGCAAAGTATTCGACAAGCCCAGCATGATCCGTGGGCGGGGCCACGGTTTCGTCACTCGGCTGCGAAGCATCAACAGTTGTCGTATCTGATGCCATAGCTGGTGTTGGTCACGAGCAGAACACGCGAAAAAATACGCCGATACGCATATATCGATGACCCAGCTATTGGCCATGATGATTGGCAGCATCTTCGTGGCTACTGCCGGCCCAGCGTTTAGCTTCGAGTGTCCTGTCGGGCAGCAGGATCTTGCCCTACGATGTTGACGTGCGACATGCGTTTACAGAGCCTCGAAACTATAACGTCTCGAGACTGCCGGGTGTCCTATTTACATGTACGACTCATCGAATCGGCCGCCTTTGGTAGAACTACGTCATTGCAACCATGGCAATCGATACCACGTGCCGGCCGATCTAAGAACAAGTTGATTCCTTTAGGCGTCTTACTCAGCTCCAGAGATTGCGCAGGACACTCCCGCAGCCAGATCTGCCTACGCTGATATGCGTGTCCTTGCATCGGCTGTCGGCTTAGGGCCCTATTGGATCCGGTCACGCTGAGACGCATGGGTACTGCGCCGGCACGATAGAGGCAGAGAAAACCGCCCCGGCCTGCTCCTTCCGAGATCGTCGGGAACCACGGAGATATTTAGATCGGGCCCGGCTGGATCCCTGAACTCTACAATCACCGTGCTCTCACGATGACCCACACGAAATTTCTTGTGCCGCGTCGTCGTTTGCTCGGTATCCTCGGGGTCGGGCCGGACTTAACTAGTGTAAGCCCGGGATGCGCCGTTTGACACGGCCACCCTCGGCCGCACCGGGGCCGAGAGCCCTGGCGGACTTACTACCCCGGATTTAAGACCCCCAGAGGTGCGTTCCGGCAGCAGCTATTCGTCCCCAGCGCCAAACCCTCCGGCGCGGCTCACTGGTCACATAAATTCCGGACGTTCGGTCAACGGCGGCTCCGTGAAACCGTGTGCTGTTGCGCGCTAGCTGAAGTTTAGGCTCTCGACAGGACATCGGGTTGCGTCTTTTCTCCGCTCTGGCTAGCTGGTGATTTGTACTATTCCATGGCACGCTTGCGGAAAAGGTAGAGAGATATATAGAGTGCTATTTTTTTCCTTTCCCATTCCCTCGGCCTCTACTGTACGGTCTCGCCAAAGAACAGACCCAATCCGCACCCCATCGCACAAACACCGAACCAAAGAACACTCAATTTCTCCATCATGACCACAATCGTAGGCAAGAAAGTCGGACCCATCGGCTACGGCCTCATGGGTATGGACCCTCAGTCGTCGCCACCCCTTCCTTGCCTGTTGAACCGCCATATTTGATCTAACACACGCCGCACAGGCCTGACCATCAACGAAGATCTTTCCGACGAGGTTTGCTTCGCTGCCATCAAGGCCGCCCTCGACGCTGGGTGCAATTACTTGAACGGCGGAGAGTTCTACGGCACCCCTGAGCGCAACTCGCTCACCCTCCTGCGCAGTTACTTTGAAAAGTATCCCGAGGACGCGGATCGGGCCGTCGTCAACATCAAGGGCGCACTGGGCCCCGGGCGTCGCCCCGCGGGCACAAGGGAGTCCGTCACAGCCAGCATCGAAAACGTGATGGGCACGCTGGGTCCGGTCAAGCGCATCGACCAGTTTGAGGTGGCGCGGAAGGACGCCAAGTGCGACTACGAAAAGGAGACGCTGGCCACTGTGGACGGGTACGTAGCATCGGGCAAGATTGGGGGGCTGGCGTGCAGCGAGATCGACGCGTACACGATCCGCAGCGTGGCCAAGAGCTTCAAGCTCACGGCCGTGGAGCTGGAGCTGTCGCTATTTACTACAGAGCCCCTAACCAACGGCATCTTGGAAGCCTGCGGGGAACTGGATATTCCCGTCTTGGCATACTGTAAGAAGCTGCGAGTTCCTCTGCTCTCTGCAAGATGAGTCTAACCAAACTTCTCAGCACCCCTGGGCAAAGGCCTTCTCAGCGGCCAACTCAAATCCATGGACGACATCCCCGAGGGCGACTACAAGAGGATGATGCCGCGCTTCCAGGGGGAAAACTTTGCCAAGAACCTCGAGCTCGTGGCGCACGTCGAGGCACTGGCCAAGAGTAAGGGCTGCACGCCGGGCCAAGTGGCCATCAACTGGTTGCTGTCGCTGTCCAAGCGGCCCGGCATGCCGGTCATTATCCCGATCCCGGGGTCGACCAAGCCGGAGCGGATCCGCGAGAACGCCACCGTTGTGGACCTGACGGCGCAGGACCTTGCCGAGATTGACAAGATTTTGGCGTCGTTTGTCACGGCTGGCCAAAGGTACCCTGCCGCCCTGATGGGTGATGTTGTGTCGTGAACACGGCCAAAGCGCCTCGGCGTGGGGCATGGATCTAGATAGATGTTGCTCTAGACGACGATGATTAATTATGTAATGATTGATTAGCGCGATGATTCCATTCCGGTCCTGTTCCGACGATTTGCTGTATCCCAGCTCTTGATGCTGGTATTTGGCCGCGGACCGACACCTGAGACATGCCCGGAGAGCATCGGCAAAAGGTGGAGATAGCGGCAGGCCGGGACGCGGTCAGAGCGCCGTGACACGTGAATGAGGCTGGTTTCTAACCAAGTGCGTTGTATACGAGGCCACGTGATGCTTTGGACTTATCTAATGCTTCATCAGCCAATGAGCAGTCCCATAATACCTGTCAACCGGTGCAGTACCCAAGTACCCGAGTATCTGCTCAAGTGCCTACCCGTACCCATGGCTGTGGTGGGGTTTGTCGTACCCCACCAAACAATGCCGCAGATTCTGGCTCATCGCTTGCCATGCAAATTTCATGAGCAACAGGACAGAGGCTCCTCTCCCACCATCTTCGTACCCCAACGACCCAGCCAGCGACTCCTCTCCAGTATCGAATCTCCATCCGCCATCGCCATCACTGCCATTGCGCGCAAGCTTTTGTCGCCTCTCGCCCCCCTCGATCGAGAGCTTCCCGCATTCTGTCATGTTGGCCGACTCTGCCGCTCAAGCATCGCGACGACCAGCGCGTTTCCGCCTCTTATGATCTCGACCCCGACGTCACAGTAGCGGCCCTGTCTCTTGTCTCGTGCGGCCCGACGGCAGCAGATAGCCATGGCCAACTCGGCCGAAGACCCGGTCAAGCAGCAGCTTGTCGATAAGCTGCCCAAGCGCTTTAGAGGCATCAAGTTTGGAATCCAGTCAGTCCATCGCCCTGCCCGCTTCCCCTCCTCAAGCCGCTGACTTTGGGCTTCCTCGCTTGCCAGGTCCAATCAAGACATCGCCAACCAGGCCGTCCTCGAGGTCTCTGACCGGCTGCTCTACGACATTGAAAACAACCGCGCTCCTTATCGCCATGGCCCGCTCGATCCCCGACTGGTGAGAACAGCCAATGCTGCCTGCCTCTCCCAGCCAGCCGACTGACCGCTCGGCAGGGTACCTCGAGCAAGTCTGGCAAATGCGCCACCTGCCTGGATGCTCTTCAAGACTGCACCGGCCACTTTGGCCATGTCAGGCTTCCCCTGCCGGCCTTTCACATCGGCTATCTCCGATTCGTCATGTCCATTCTGCAGGAAATCTGCAAGGCACGCTGCACCGGCCCTCATTTTATGGCCCTCATTCCTTGCTGACGAACGTCTAGGACTGTGGCCGAGTCCTGCTTGAGGAGCCCGATCGACGATCCTTCTTAAAGGAGCTGAGGCGCCCCTTTCTCGACAACCTCCGCCGAACACAGATATGTAAGCGCATCAACGAGCAATGCCGCAAAACAAAGACCTGCCCCTATTGCGGCTCCATCAACGGCCAGATTCGCAAGGTTGGCGTTCTCAAGCTTGCCCACGACAAGTTTGTTACCTACAACAAGTCTACTGCCATGAAAAAGGTGCCTCCGGAGAGCAAAATCAAATTCGATGACTCTTTCAACCACGCCAAGCGCGAAAACCCCGAGCTCGAGAAGCATCTCCGAAAGGCCCTCGAAGATCTCAATCCCTTGCGGGTTCTCAACCTCTTCAAGATGATCACCCCTACCGACTGCGAGCTACTGGGCCTCGATCCAGCAGAGGGCCGCCCGGAAATGTTCATCTGGCAGTTCGTGCCCGCTCCTCCCATCTGCATCAGGCCATCGGTCGCGCAGGATAACGCCAGTACCGAGGACGACATTACCACCAAGCTCGCCGACATCGTCTGGGTCAGTGGAATGATCCGCTCGGCTTTGCAAAAGGGCTCTCCCGTCCAGACCATCATGGAGCAGTGGGAATATCTCCAAACCCAGATTGCCATGTATGTCAATAGCGACGTCCCGGGCCTCCAACAGCCCGGGTTCGGTAAGCCATCTAGAGGCTTCTGCCAGCGGCTTAAGGGCAAGCAAGGTCGCTTCCGAGGCAATCTCTCAGGCAAGCGAGTCGACTTCTCCGGCCGCACCGTCATTTCCCCCGACCCCAACCTAGGAATCGACCAAGTCGCCGTCCCCCAGCTCGTGGCCAAAAACATGACGTACCCTGAACGGGTCAACCGTCAAAACCTCGAAAAGCTTCGCCAGTGCGTCAGGAACGGCTGCGACGTCTGGCCCGGTGCACAGGCCGTGCTAAAAAGGGAGGACGGCGGCCATCACAGGTATAACCTCAAGTTCGGCGACCGGAACTTTGTTGCGCGCGCACTGGCTGTGGGTGACATTGTTGAGCGGCATCTCGAAGACGGCGACGTTGTTCTCTTTAACCGTCAGCCTTCCCTCCACAAGCTTAGCATCATGAGCCATCTCGTCAAGGTCCGGCCGTGGAGGACGTTTAGGTTAAACGAATGTGTGTGCAACCCATACAATGCCGACTTTGACGGCGACGAGATGAACCTCCACGTCCCGCAGACCGAGGAGGCCAGAGCAGAGGCCATCAACCTCATGGGCGTCAAGTACAACCTCGCGACTCCCAAGAACGGCGAGCCAATCATTGCCGCGACGCAGGACTTCATTACCGCCGCCTTCCTACTCAGCGGCAAGGACCGCTTCTTTGACCGCAAAACCTTCACCTTCATTTGCATGCATATGATGGACGGCAAGACGCCCCTGGACATGCCGCCGCCGGCCATCATCGCCCCGCAGTGCCTATGGACCGGGAAACAAGTCTTTAGCGTGATGATGCGCCCGAACAAGCAGTCGCCCGTTAAGATTAACCTCGACGCCAAGTGCCGTGCGTACAAGGCACGCCCGGGCCAGTGTCCCGATATGGACCCTAATGATGGCTGGCTTGTCGTCCGGAACTCGGAGGTCATGTGCGGCCGCATGGACAAGTCAACAGTTGGATCTGGCAAGAAGGACTCTATCTTCTATATCATCATGCGTGACTTTGGCCCGGACGAGGCCGTCATCGCCATGAACCGGCTGGCCAAGCTGTGCGCTAGACAGCTTGCAAACAGGGGCTTCTCCATTGGCGTTGGTGACGTTTTCCCCACGGATTCCCTCAAGGCCGAAAAGGAGAACCTCGTCTCGGTCGCGTACAAACAGTGCGATGATCTCATTGAGACCTTTAAGCAGGGAAAGCTCGACAAGGCCCCAGGCTGCAACATGGAGGAGACGCTCGAGAACTTGATATCCGGTATCCTGAGCAAGGTTCGACAACAGGCTGGAACATACTGTATCGACACCCTCAGCCGCGAAAATGCCCCCCTGATCATGGCCAAGTCTGGGTCAAAGGGCTCAGACATCAACGTTGCTCAGATGGTTGCCGTCGTCGGACAGCAGATTATCGGCGGGCAACGTGTGCCTGATGGGTTCCAGGACCGAAGTCTGCCGCACTTCCACAAGAACGCCCGCCAGCCCCCTTCTAAGGGTTTCGTCAAAAATAGCTTCTATACTGGTCTTTTGCCGACCGAGTTCCTGTTCCACGCCATCTCGGGCCGAGAAGGTCTGGTCGATACGGCCGTCAAGACGGCCGAGACCGGGTACATGTCACGAAGATTGATGAAGTCTCTGGAGGACTTGTCGACACAGTACGACGACACGGTCAGAACTTCCGGCGGCGGTATCGTGCAGTTCCAGTTCGGTGCAGACAAGCTCGATCCCGTGGACATGGAGGGCTCCGCGGAGCCAGTGCATTTCCAGCGGACGTGGACTCACGCCGAGACTCTCACGTGGGACAATGAAGAGCCTGCCATGACGCCGGATGAGATTCGATCGTTTTGCGAATCCATGCTTGCGGTTGAGCGCAAGCGATTCCCGCGCCGGGGTCTGCTCCATGGCGAGGCTCTGGAATATGACGACGGGAGCGACTACGCCATCGACGAGCACGAAAGCGCGCGGCGATTCCTCACGACCATTGAGAGCCACGTCGAGGGCCTGGCGTCGAAGCTTGAGCGTGTGCGGAAGCTGGCCGGCTTCGAGGGCGGCAAGGCGCTCCGGCCAACGGCGCAAGCCCATGCGGATCGGACCGCCAAGGTGACGGCCACCACCCTCCGGCTGTTCATCAAGATGTGCCTCGAGAAACACAAGAAGGCGCACGTGGAGCCGGGCCACGCCGTCGGGGCTGTCGGAGCCCAGTCCATCGGCGAGCCGGGCACGCAGATGACGCTCAAAACGTTCCATTTTGCCGGTGTGGCCGGCATGAGCATCACGCAGGGTGTCCCGCGAATTAAGGAAATCATCAACGCCTCCAAGAAGATCAGCACGCCCGTCATCACCTGCCCGCTACTGAACGACGAGCAGATCGAGGCGGCCAGGGTGGTCAAGGGGCGGATCGAGAAGACGTACGTGTCGGACGTGCTGCACTTCATCGAGGACGAGTGGCGGGTCGACGGCGGAACCGTGGTCCTTCAGATCGACAAGGGCGCCCTCGCGGACATGCACCTGGGCATCGGGGTCCGGGACATCGCCGAGGCGATATGCAAGCAGCGCAAGCTGAAGCTGTCGCACGAGGACCTGCAGCTCGAAGAAGATAGAATCCTCATCCGGGTGCGCGACTCGAGCGAGATGGCGGGCAAGCGGATGAGCAGGAGCAAGGCGGCGGCCGACGAGGGCGGAGACATGCTGCTGCGGGCCAACTTTCTGCGGCGCGGGCTGCCCCTGGTGCCCATCTCGGGGTACCAGGACGCGACGCGAGCCATCATCCAGACGTCGGAGCAGAGCACGCATAAGGTGCTGGTGGAAGGGTACGGGCTGCGCGAGTGCATGACGACCGAGGGCGTCATCGGGACCCAGACGCGGTCCAACAACGTCATGGAGTGCCGCGACATCCTGGGCATCGAGGCGGCGCGCACCACCATCGCCGACGAGATCGGCGAGGTCATGGGCGACATGAACATCGACCCGCGGCACATGCAGCTGCTGGCCGACGTCATGACGTACAAGGGCGAGGTGCTGGGCATCACGCGCTTCGGCCTGTCCAAGATGCGCGACAGCGTCCTCCAGCTGGCCTCGTTTGAGAAGACGCCCGACCACCTCTTCGACGCCGCCGCCGGCATGAAGACGGACCAGATCGAGGGCGTTAGCGAGTGCATCATCATGGGCCAGACGATGCGCGTCGGCACCGGCGCCTTCCAGATCGTCCGCCGCCTCGGCGTCCGCCTCGCCGACTTGGCCTGCAAGAAGACGCTTTTTGAGGACGCGTGGGTGGACGAGGTGGCGCGCAAGAGGAAGGCGAGGCGGAGGGTGTAGGGGAGGCAGTTGAACGATATCCATGGCAAGGCGATGGGGGGCTCGTCAGATGAGGACGACATGGTTCATTCTTTCCTCGCGCGGCATGCTCTTCTTTGTTCCAGTGCGTGTTTGCGAGCCCATGGTTTAGGGGGAAAAGACCAAAATATGGGCTTGGGGAGTCTGCATTACTCTAGCCTGGGACACGGCCGCGATATTCGAAAATTACATGTCTAATGAAGAAAGTCCCCGTACGCCGGCAAAAAGCACTCTACCTCGTCACCACATGTCCCGATCCATGGTCCGCCTGCCAGTCCGGCGCCATCAACTAACTCCCTCCCGGCCCCTTGTCAGGCGCTCGCGATCGGCTCGACAGCAGCTGCGAGAGGACAAAGTGGTTGACGTCCTCGTCGGCCCAGTAGCCCATGTGCGACGCAATCGTGTTGATGGGGTTAAAGTCGAGGGCGCTCCTGTGCGCAAAAGCTCCGTCAGTCGACACCGAGTCACACCAAGCACACATACACTGTCCTCGTCTCTCTTCACTTACTCCTGGATGCTGTAGTCCACCCTCCCGTTGCGGTTGAGCGCGCGCACCTTGACTTCTTCGGCACGCAGCTTGCGCGCCCTGCGGCTCTCGGCGTTGGCCCTGGCGGCGTCGCCGCCGCCCGACACCGCCGTCCTGCTGCGCTGAAACGTCGAAAAGAGCGTCTCGATCTCGTCGTCGATGAGCGTCGCGCTCTGCTGCCGCCCCGCCGTCGCCAAGTCGGCGAGCTGCCGCTTGCGCTCGTCCGTCCGCCCCTCGGCCTCGAGACCTCCGGCCCTGGGTTCCTCTGCGCCTGGCTGCCGCCGTCGGGCCGCATCGTCGGCCTCCATGCGCGTCACTTCCTCGTTGGTCAGTCCGAGGCTGCGGTTCAGCAGGTTGCTCGCGATGCCTGCGCTGAGGCTCGACCACAGGCCGCTCACGCTCTGGCCGACTCTTGCTCCGATTCCCGTCAGGCCCTGCGGCGCCACGTTGCCAAAGATGCCCTTCTTTGTGTAGGGCAGCAGCTGTGGCTTCAACGCCGCCATTGCCGGCGAGATCAGGGGCTCCAGGCGATAGCTGACGGGGTCAGAGGGATGGAAAATGTTGAAGAGCTGTTTGACTTTGGGCGACGAAACCAAGGGCGAAAGCCCGTCGGTGGAGGAGACGTCGTCGCCAGTCGAGGCTGCTGGCGCGGCGAGAAAAGGGTCTCCCGCTTCTCTAGGATGCAGCGGGCTCCCAGTCGGTAGGCCGTCAGATGAATGCCGAGCGGCAATGGTCCTGCGGCCATCATTCTGTCAGCGGCTGGGCGACGTACGCGAGCAAGCCGAGAAATGTCCGTACCGTCCTTTGAGCATCTGAAATAATCCAACCGGAGATCCAAGACAAAAGTAATCGTGCACCTCGAAATCAAACTGCAGCTCATTTTCCTTCGTCTTGGTCTTCGGGCGTCCCTGCTGAGGCCAAATGCGTAGCGGGTGTCTCTGTTCCTGTGACTGTGCCCTCTGGCGGCACAACACATCAAAGTATATAGCAGAGCCCAGCGAGTGGCCCATGAGATGCACCTTGCCTTTAAACTCGGGGTTCTGCTCTCGGAAGAGTCTCAGTATGCGGTTCGTTTCAGCAACAACAACCCTCGAGATTTCCTCGCGATATGAGCTTTGGTATAGCAACACATCCAGAGCTAGATCCGAAATCAGCGACCTGGCAAAGGCAACCCCTTCTATGGTGATGTCTTCAAGAGACGGGTCTGCGGACGAGTGAGCAATGGCAATTCGGCGCAGTCAAGGATGGCTTACATCTATCTTCTTCCCCGTCGATATCTCCGAGGTCACGTTCACCCTTCCTTTGGCGCTGCTTTGGAAATTCAATCAGATGCCTCCAGCAGACTGGCAGTACCTGCACTCGGCAGTTCCCAGGTCCAGCATCAAACTCCGAGTTCAGAGCTTTCAAGTCTGCGGAGCCTGTGTAAACCGACTTGAGCGTCTTGCGCAGCACATTGACGTCGTGAACAAAGTTGACGCTCTCCATCCTGGCAATAGGTCAGCCGTGTCCAGTCCGAGAAAAAACCAAGGGATAGAAGAGCTTCCCCATACCGGAGACCGAGACGCTGTCCGATGCCGTGCGTAACCAGCACCAGATGCTCAATCTCGCGACCCTGGGTCTCGCCCGCCTGCGCGTTGTAGTCGTCCTGGATTTCTAGCTCGTCGCGTTTCCTGATTTGCTCCTCCGTCTCAGCCGAGCTTTTGCCTTCATTTTCGATGAGGGACGAGAGCTCCCGCTCCAGTTTCGTTTGCCGGTTTCCCACATTGTTTGATGCCGACCGGCGGCGCTGCCGTGGGTCGTCGCTAGGATCCCTGCTTGCGGGAGGTGCGGACTTTCGTTTCCGGGTCCTCTCCTCGCGCTCGTCCAGGCCAGACAGGTCTTGAGCCGATGGATCCTGGAGCTTGTCCTCTTTTTCCTTGGTCTTGTTGGGTTCTGTATACCCTCGGATCAACTTGACGCCGCTCATGTAACCGCCGCCGGCGAATCTCTCGTAAACCGACGTCGTAACCCAGGACAAGACACCATCGGTTGAGAGCCAAGCGGTGTTGGCGTCTTGGTAGGTGGCCACGTTGCTCATGTAGGCACCAAACAGCCGATAGGGCTGTGGTTGGGGGGCAAGTTGCGAGGGCGCCGACGCGTCAGACGTCGTCTCAGAGCTCGGTTTTGAGGAGTCTTCCTCGGCAGCCACAGGACCAGAGTCTTTCGGGTCGGTCTGGGTTCGCGGTAGAACTGAAGTTTGTCTCAGCGGCAATGCTTCAGCGGGGCATATCGGGCACACCAACCTGGAAGAAGCCACGGTTTCGTTTTCAGATAGCCCTATGTAGTACGTGAGCAAAGGTTGAGGACTTGCCCGCTCTGGGGCGAAGCCTTACCTCCTCCAGCTGAGCCGCAAGATTCTCTTCACATGGTCTTAGGGTCGAGCCCTCCTGGAAGAACCAGGTCCCACGGCGGGCTGGGTCGAGAATCAGCGAGCGCACGGCGACTCCCGGCCTGGAATCTCACGTACCTTCGTATACAGGACCCAGCCAGTAGACTGGAGCCAGTTCTCGCTCCTCGATGTCGACATGGAACAGGAAATCCTCGTTTACCGGCACATGTATGCCACTATTGGCCGCAGATGCAGTCTGTCTTGTCTTTGGGCTCCGATTCGACTTGACCGCATCCGAGGGTCCTGGCTGCGCGGTTCGAGAGCCAGAGTCTTTGAATGGAGATGCGTGGCTATCCTCTGCAGCCTCGAGGAGCTTCTGGTAGCGAGCCTCTAATCTCTTCGAATCGGAGGGTGAGAAGGCGGTGAACTTTTTGGGACGCGGCGGGGGCTTGATGTCCTTCTGGGGAGGTAGGGCGGTTTTGATGAGCCGGGGTTTTCGCTTGGGCACCTAGAGGGTCGTAAACGGGATGAGCAAGGCATCGGGAACAGCAGCGGCAAAGAGTCAGGCATACATCAACGGCGTGGAACCATTGGACGTCCAAGGGCGGACAGTCCTTGGGGTATGTGCGCAAGCTCTGCCCGTACAGAGGGGTTGTGCTATGGTCTCCGGAAGCTCCCGCAGGTGCCGGAGGCTCGTGGGGTTTGTTGTCTGGAGTTGGCGTCGTTGTTCGGCTGCTGGCCCATGGATTGATGGACTCGACGGCCGATGTCAGGTACGACTTTTCAGGCTTCTTGTCGGCTGAGTCGGGGGGCATTTTGCGCGAGCCAAGGGACATGGATGCGAGTGTCGATGTCTTTCCGAGGCGATGCGCCGACGTGGAGAATGGCTGCCTGAGCCGATGGCCTTTGTTACTCGAACTAGGCGACAACGTGGGTGCTTTTGTGCCCTTGGAGAAGTCGAGAACGAGGGAGCATGTTGGCGCAAGGGGTCAGTTGCAAGCGTGCGATGTGGGAAAGGAGTTGCGCATACGCCCTGCTTGTCTAGTAGTTGAATGTCGAGCGGATGGAAGCACGTCACTCGTTTGCATGGCGATGCAGGGCATTTACTGTAGGTACCCATGGTGGGGTTCCGCTGAGGTCCAGAGGATGCCAGCCTATCGAGACAGCTGGAGCTACCTCCCACCATGGAGCCTTGCTAGGCGACTCGGCGCCAACGGGACATGGATCAAGCCACGCCTTGGTACGAAGTACCTTGACTTTGATCACCACGGCGCCTCGACACTTTCACGAGGAGTAGAACCATCATCCTCTCCCGCTTCTACGCCATTTTCTTTTGAAGCCTGAGTGACTGCCTAGCACATGGGGGTATGCCTTACAAGGCTGTCGGGTTTCAAGCCTGGCTTGTGTCATGAAAAGCCCCGTCTTACCGCTTACACGCAATGTCAAGGTGATAATGCCCCGACCTGGAGAATTGCGGACCACGACCCGGGCCTCTCTTGGGCAATGTGCTCGGCCGTGCGACCCCGGCCGTCCTGCAGGCCGCGGATATCGCCGTCAGACTGGACACTCAGACGTCCGAGCCCCATGGACTCGGCGGCGTTGCGAGCCGGCATGGGGAATGACTCGGTTGCCATCGTTGATGACAGCCAGAGGAGGAGCCATACAACTTCCTCGTGCCCCTTCTCCACGGCAAGATGAAGCCCGCTCTTCATCTCGGCCAGCGGATCCTGGTAGCGCACCAGGGAGGCCACGTCGCTCACTTGGTCCTGCGTACGTTGCAGGAGCTCGACAACGCCGTTCACGTCACCCTCGGAGCACATGATGTGGAGCGCCCGCGCAGGCCGTGCTTCCGGGTTGTTCTGAAGATACGCCTCCTCCGTAATGGAAGGGAAAATGTCGAGCTGCTCCTGGACGCCGCCCTCGTTGTTGTATCGCGCCAGAATGGGCGTGCCAGAGGCCGACTGCAGGAACGGGTTGGTGGATGATGGCCCTGCCCGGTTGACGGCCAGGAAGGACTCGCAGCTGGGGCATTTGAGCGACAGAGCAACAGCCGAGGCCTCTTCCATCAGGCATTCCCTGGTTTCAACATCAGCAGCCTGGTCAGCCGCGACGATGCGAAGCGTACCAGTGAAAGTGACACCCGCAGCCGAGTTGCAGGTCGTCGGGCACCGTGTCTGGCGAGGCGTCGTCACCTTGATCGTCATCGACGCCTAGGACCAAAGGCTCGTCGCAAGCCTTGCAGCGAGACATTGCGCTAGCTAGTAAGAAGTCTGTGAGTCGGTCAGGGTCAGGCTGCGTGCCAGTCCAAACACACATGTGTACTAAAATTAGGTTGCGATGGGATGGAAGCAAGGCCCAAACGAGGACGAAGATCGAGAGCCAGGTAATTGTGACTCGCCCGTGTGCGCGACTGACAGGCGGCTAAATTTTTCCGTGCCTTCATGGCGCAGACTCACAGAGATGGATGGCCGAGCTGTACCCGCAAGTACCTCGCTACAGTGCTCGAGGCCGGTAAAATGCCCAAGCAAGGCTGTCATGCAGGGCCCCGCCAGCTTGGACATGCTACGTCATCCCCTAAAGTAGGTACGTACAGAACGTACAAAGGGTCCATGGAAGTCGTGGACATTCGTGGCTTGGCTGTATCTCGGTACTCGGTACCTTGATCCTCGCGCTCCGAGGGCCGACGGATGCCGTTGGCCGCGCATGTGCGGATGCAAATGCAACACCGGCAATTTCTTTGCCACTGAGGTTCCATTGCTCCCTTTTGAGATACATCCGGTGCGATCTCTCATGACTCTGACATTTTAAAGCTCACAATCTTCATGGGCGTAGAGGCATCCATACCTACTTACCTACCTGCCTAAGGTACCTACCTACCTAGGTAAACTTGATGCTGCTAGCCAAATTGCCAACGAACGAGTCAAGTACCCGATACCTTATCCGTGAGCAGCAGTGTGGCTGTAACGCCTGGCCTCCCCCTCGCGGTGGGGGGGGGACCTGACAAGCATGTACCCAAAGTCCCCCCAGGTTCCTTTGTCGTCAGTCGGCTCCTTCTCCTCGTGCCTGGTCAGGCAGGTCGCAAGTCCCTTCTCCGTCATCACCACCTACCTACCTATCCATCTTACTGCGCATGCCCTCCTCTCCTTTTCCTTGTCGCCATTTCTCCCAGGCCTCGTCATTCAACCTCAGGCCATCGTCTGCCCTCCGCCTCTTCAGGCCATTTGCTACCCCTCCTCGTCTGTAGCTGGCGATCGTTTTTGACCCCTCAACCCCACCATGAATGTCCTCAAATTGCAGAGGTACGCGGCCTTCCCGAGCACCATGACCCTCTGCGCCAAGCTGACACGCGCCCCTCTAGGAAGTTTCCCCAGTTCCAGCAGAATGAAATCTTCACTCTGTCCGACGCTTTTCAGCGGCTCGACGTCGACGACAAGGGCTATTTAGACGAAGCCACCGCAATCAAGGCTACCCAGCAAAGCGAGAGTCAGCCCTACGATGTCGTCCGCCAGGCCCTCAAGGAAGTCGAGCTCGACTCGTCGCGTCGTGTCGAGCTCGAGGACTACGTCGGCGTCAGCATCCCCAGCGCACACTCGTCCGCCCCCGCTAACTCGGTCACCAGCTCATTGCCAGAGTCCGCGATGCCTCGCCCGCCCAGAAGCGTCTCTCGACAGGACCGGTCTCTCCCAGCACCGCCGGCGTCGTCGCCCAACGGACCGGCCACGTTTCAAAGGGCAGCGTAACCGGCAGGATTCAGGTCCAGGGCTCCAGCGCCAACATCACCCACACCATCAACGAGGACGAGCGAACAGAGTTCACGCGCCATATCAATGCCGTGCTCGCCGGCGACTCCGACGTTGGAAACCGCCTCCCTTTCCCGACGGATACCTTTCAGATGTTTGATGAGTGCAAGGACGGCTTGGTCTTGGCCAAGCTCATCAACGACAGCGTCCCAGACACCATTGATGAGCGTGTCCTCAACCTGCCGGGCAAAAAGACCAAGAACCTCAATGCTTTCCAGATGACAGAAAACAACAACATCGTCATCGAGTCCGCCAAGGGCATCGGCTGCTCTGTCGTCAACATTGGCGCCGGCGACATTATCGAAGTCCGCGAACATCTCATCCTTGGCCTCATCTGGCAAGTTATCCGACGCGGCCTCCTGGGTAAAATTGACATCAAGCTTCACCCAGAGCTATATCGGCTGCTGGATGAGGACGAGACCCTGGAGCAGTTTCTGCGACTGCCCCCGGAGCAGATTCTGCTTCGCTGGTTCAACTACCATCTCAAGGCCGCCAACTGGCCCCGGAGGTTTGTTTTCTAACACTTGGGCGCGAGTTTCGAAACGGTTCAGGGCTAACTTTCCCAAAGGGTCAACAACTTTTCCAACGATGTCAAAGACGGCGAGAACTACGCCGTCCTCATGGCGCAAATAGGACCCGAGTACGGCTGCACACGAAAGCCGCTGCAGACAAGAGATCTCCTCCAGAGGGCAGAAGAGGTTCTCCAAGAGTCGGAGAAGCTCGACTGCCGCAAGTTCCTGACGCCCAAGTCCCTGGTCGCAGGGAACCCCAAGCTCAACCTTGCCTTTGTTGCCAACCTGTTCAACAACCATCCTGCCTTGGACCCAATCACAGAGGAGGAGAAGCTCGAAGTGGAGGACTTTGACGCCGAGGGCGAGCGCGAGGCTAGAGTGTTTACGCTCTGGCTCAACAGCCTGGACGTTCAGCCCCCGGTTGTGTCGTTCTTCGACGACCTGAGAGATGGCACCATCCTCCTACAAGCGTACGACAAGGTCATCAAGGGCTCTGTCAACTGGAGACATGTGAACAAAGCCCCGGCTCATGGCGGCGAAATGTCCAAGTTCAAGGCGGTCGAAAACACAAACTACGCCATTGAGCTTGGCAAACAGAACGGCTTCTCACTCGTCGGAATCCAGGGGGCAGACATCACTGATGGACAAAGGACTCTGACGCTCGGCTTGGTCTGGCAGCTTATGCGCAAGGACATCACTCTGACACTGTCTTCTCTGGCTCAAAAGCTTGGAAAGAGGGAGATTACAGATTCCGAGATGGTCAGGTGGGCCAACGACATGTCGCGAAAGGGGGGCCGGAACTCGAGCATCCGCTCCTTCAAGGACCCGGCCATTGCTTCTGGCGTTTTCCTGCTCGATGTTTTGAACGGGATGAAGAGCAGCTACGTCGATTACGATCTCGTCACGCCGGGCAAGAGCGACGAGGACGCCTACCTGAACGCCAAGCTCAGCATCAGCATTGCCCGGAAGCTGGGCGCTACCATTTGGCTGGTGCCCGAGGATATCTGCCAAGTCCGCAGCCGCCTGGTCACGACCTTTATCGGTTAGTCTTTGATTGACTCAGTTATGAAGCCCAACGTTTTGCTAACTTGCGACAACCAGGATCACTCATGGCCACGCACGAAAAGATGTAAGCTTGCTTGGGGAGATGTGGGGCTATCTTTTCACGCTGTCTGTACTTGAACCGGTAGCTGGTGTCTCGCGGGGGCTTGATCAAAATCACAACTTGAAAGCACGTCGCGTCTTCCACAAGGTGTGAACCACGCGTATTGGTGGTACTGTCCGTTTGGAGTTGCAAGAAGATTGTAGATGCTGGAAAGGAGTGGAGGTCCTCCGCGATTTCTGTCCTTTTGACTCATGGCGCGAATTGATCCAACCACACAACCTACATGCCCTTTTATCCTTTTGAAGTTTTTTTCTTTCCTCCTCTCATGTCTAAATCCTGCTGCTTCTCGTTCCCCTTCTCCTCCTTCGTCAAAGAACAAGGTACAAGCTGCACAAAAGACTTGGACAAGTAAAGATGCCTAGCCAAAACATGAAATTGCCCAGCGTCTTGCGGCCCTTGAGCCACTTGGTGCGGCTAAGCCTTACAAGCTACGGGTTGGGGGGATCACGTCAGTCGCTGCGTTTCCCGAGCCGCTGTGTTCAAAGGTAGAGAAGGACGGGGGTGAAGAGGGTCGCTGGTACGCAGTGAAGAAGAGCGAACAGGCACATACCGGCAGCTGGCACATCTGCAGGATGAGCAGGTAGCCCCTGAGCTTCCTGAAGAGGCACAGCATGATGAGCTCGTGGACGCAGGCGGAGAAGAAGAAGGTGATGAGGGTGGCGGCATGCTTGTTGACTTTCATGGAGGAGATGGAGCTGTGGTAGACGTGGCGGAGGAGGAAGATGTGGACGGGGCGATTCCAGTCGCGGGCGAACTGGTCCCAGGACACTGGAGAAGGGAGATTTGTGTGTTTAGTAAACGTTGCGTCTTCGTGGCTTTGGCTGGGCGTTGCCGGGTTTTGGACTGAATAAAATTTATGAAAAAGAGGGGAGACTCACCGCTGTTCCACCAGGGGCCGTAGAAGCTTCGGTCGGCAAAGTAGGTCAGTTCGGCGAGGATGTTAAGGATGGTCTCCCAGATGAGATACCACACGAGCTGAGGAGTTGGAGTTGATTTTGGTCAGCCTGCGCTTCCGATGAGGCGACGAGGCGCGTGCCAAGAGACTGCTTACCAGATACTCTATCATAAAGGGAAAGATGAGGTCGCTCAGCAGCCAGGGGAACTCTCTGACTCTGCCAGAGAGCGGTACGCCGGCTTCCTTCATCTCGACGGTTTTCATCACGACGGGGTCTGCGGCGGAGAAGGGTCAGAGACGGCTCGACGTTTGCCCTGATTTGATTTCTTTTCTCTTGCCCCTGTCCCCTTTTTTTGTTTCCCCCCTTGATTCTTGATTCTGAAAGGAGAATAGGCTAGGCTTTGGGGCTGGCTCACAGATGGAATACTGAGAAACCTGAATCATGACAAATATGATGCCCACCATGGCGACGACCTTCTCGGCCACGTAGGCCCAGCTAATCGACTCGGACTGCGGGTACTCAAGCTCGTACACGACAGTCGGCAGAGGAATCCACCGGTAGTGGCTCACGAAGCCGAGATTGTTGGGATACGCCCTCAACGCATCGGCAGCGGTGCCGCGCAGCTCGTCGGCCAGGGCGTCTACTTCCCTCCGGATGGCGCGGCCAAAGAGTCGGATCCGCTCATCGTCGAGCGGCTGCCTCGAGGCCACGGCCTGCGCAATCTGGTCAATGTCGGCCTCGTAGGCCTCGTGCTGCTGCTGCTGCGGCTGCGAGGCGGAGAGCCGCCGACGCCGACGCTGCTGCGCCGCTGCCGACGAGGGGGCCTCGTCGAGGTGCGACGTATCAACGGCCGAGGCCGAGGGTGCCGTCGCGCTGGGGTTGCTGGCCGGGTCGACGAGGTCAAGCCGCTTGAGCTGGGAGAGCAGAAAGAGGCGCCTGTCGTGGACGGTGGAGAGGTAGCCGTTGTAAAAGGCGTACGAGTGCTGTTTCATGAGCATGACGAGGCCGTGCAGGACGAAGAAGACGGTGTGCGTCCACGGCCAGCCGCGCACGAGGGTCCAGCTCACAACGCCGGCGATGAATGCCGTCTGCCATATCTGACCTCCACTCGTTGGTTCAGCACGAGACGGAGCTGTTTCGCCAATCCGGGGGAAGAGAGGTGCTTGCTCACGTTTTGGATGATCCATCCTCCACTGTCCCAGTGCAGATAGCCGTAGAATACGAACTTCTGAATCACCCAGCTGACTCCCGTCAGGGCGCACATAATTCCGTCGGAGACGAGCAGGACGACGACTGGGCTCAGCCGTCAGCAAGGCAAATCAACCAAAGGTAACAAGTCGGCAGCTTACCGTCGCGGCGGAACATGGTCTTCATAATGTCGCTCGACCCCAGAGGCGTGCCGTGCTGCCTCCAGTTGTCGGCCGAGATCTTAAAGACAAAGAGAGCGACGGCCAGCCAAAACAAGACGTAGAAGCCGTGAAAGGGGCTATTTGCCGCCGCCACGTTTTGAGGGTCAAAAGCCGAGAACTGCTGCGTAAAGACGAGCCCGCTGAACCTGCCCCTGGACCTGGCCGCCTGCGGATCCTTGGCGCGCTGGGAGCTCTTGCGGAGGAGGTCCTGGATGTCCCTCTCATTCGCGGGCAGGATATGGACGCCGGCGCTGTCCCGGACGACGGCGGCGCGGACATGGTGCGTCGGCGACGACGGCTGGTCGGCCGCTGCGAGGGAGAGGCCATGGCGGGCGCGCGGCGATTGCTGGCGGTCGTGGAGGAGGTGGGCGCCGGTCGCGTAGGCGGGGCGGACGTTTTCGTCGTAGTCCTCCTCGCTGGGCGTCTCGGACCCGGGTTGCGATGCGTTGAGGGTCACGCCGGCCTCGCGGAGAGCGCTGGCCAGCGACCTGGTCGGCGGCGAGGGGCGTCGATCTCGGAGCCCGCCATTTTCGGCTTCAGGGCCAGGACGCGGGGTGTTCGGGGACCTGGGTTCCGGCGTCAAGCGCTCGGCGGTCATTTCTGGGTGTGGGCGGAGGATCGAGGGGCAGGGCGTGCTTGAATTCGATTGGTGTACTGTCGCACTTGGGAGCAAGGGAGCCCTTCCACGTGTCTCTGTTCCTCAAAGTGTGAGGGTTTCAGCGACTCGAAATTAGGTTTATCATGTGAGACAGAAGCCAGAGAAAGCAAGAAGGCGTCGATGCCCGACAAGAAGGAGACGAGACGAGAGAGAAGGACCTGGAAGGGGAGAGCGCGGGTCAAGATGGAGAGGCCCGGCGGGAACGTTTCATGTCTTCGACGCGGCTGTCGAGCAGGGCTATCGGGCAGGACGGGGAGTCCGAACTGCGATCTACTCGGTTCGACAGGATCTGCGGCAGCCCATGTCCGGGAAGGATGGAGGTCGGTTTGACGAGAGTGGCGGGCGTCAGGCAGAGGGCGAAGTCGACAGATGGACAGATGTCCGTCGGAGAACATGGTCGCCCGAAGCTCCTTTTGACTGCTGACTGTATATATTAGTAGGCACTGTACCGTTTCCGGATACGGAGGATACCCTGAAAGACAAGACAGACGGCTGCTATTCCCGAGATTACAAGTTAGGCAGTCTAGGTAAATAAGACACCGCCAGGCTTTGTCCGTTTGCTGGTCTAAAGTCAGAGAGTGCCGATGCCGGATTAGCCTAAAGACGGGAGCCACAGTGGCAGTGGGTGCACGCAGCCACTGAAGATTCGGTACTTTGCATTCGCGAGATGACTAAGGCGCTGATGTCACCGGAGGGCGTTTCGGTGCGTACCTGAACCTTTTGGAGCTGTGCTGTGGGGACGCAGGCTGAAGCAACTGCGCATAAATCGTCCCAGGCTGCCAGTCGACGGCGCGAAGCTGCTGGGTGGGTGTTGAGTCGCTGCCGCAAGCAAATGTGCATTCTGAGTCGACAGTCCCAGCCAGGTCTCGTATTCGGGACGTCAAAGGTGTGGATGGATGGCTTATTTTAGCTCGCATTCAGTTAGCGCATCGAATGCACAAAAGGCGGTGGTGGTGCCGTGACGAAGCGCGTCTCTGACCGCCATTACGTCAGCAGGCAAAAAGATTCTGCGGCCTTCTTCGCGTTGGAGCTATCACCCCTACCAACCGCCTCTTTTCGCAACCTCAAGCCTGCATTGCAGACCAACCGCAAGCAAAAACGAGGCTACCACCATCTCAACCCACCCCCTCCCCGTTTGACAGGACTGCTACATCGGTCCCTCGTCGCCGTCTTGGCCGTCAGCCTCACCACTCACGCGTTGTCGTGTGTTTTTCCTGCACTTGATCGTCATCCCCGACCACCATTATCATGTCTCGCGGCGGCACCACGCTCTACGTGACCGGCTTCAGCCACGGCACCCGCGCCCGCGATCTCGCCTACGAGTTCGAACGGTATGTCAACTGCGCCTCCGCTCGCGCCATTTCGTATTCGCCCTCGTCTCGTCCTCGTCGCCTCCCGAGCCCTCCCACGTCCCCGACGATGAGAGTTGTCTCCACCTCTCGCGGCATCTCGATCGTTTTTTGACACCTGATGTCGTCCACCTCGTCCGAGCCCGACCCCGACCCCGAGCCCTCGTCGTCGTCCACGTCCTCGCCCACGTCCTCGCCCTCGCCCTCGCACCCCGCCTTCAAAATTTCTTCTTCTCTCCTCCAGCCCGTTTCCTTTTCTTCTGTCAAAGCGGTCGATGCGTCTGCTGGCTCGCGTGCGGTCGCGGCCCGGTCGAGGAGAAACTAGCTTTGCACGTCTCGTGCGTGCGAGTGCTCATGAGCAATCATGCTTGAAGGGGGAAACGTCTTTATTTCCTTTCTCTCAAGCCCAGAACCCTTCCTTCTTTTGTCCTGCTATGTTTTTATGCCCGCTTGTTTTCCAACCGCTGCACCTTGCGCACCCCTTCCCACTCTTCAGGTCCCTGTCTATCGTTCGTCGTTTTCTACTGATGCTAACACTATACGCAACAGTTACGGGCGTCTCGTTCGTTGCGATATCCCGGCCCCTCGCTCGTCGTCCAGCCGACTGTAAGTTTCCCAAAGGCTCAAACCCTTCTCCACTGCGGCCTCCAACGCTGACATGTAATAGCTTCGCCTTTGTCGAGTACGAGGATCGACGTGACGCCGACGACGCCTACTATGAGATGCATAACAAGCGCATGGGCCGCGACGACGTCCTGAAGATCGAGGTCAGTGCCTCAGCTTACCTTTGGCCAGGATATGACTTGCTGACTTTATACGCATAGTGGGCGCGAACCCCTCCCTCGGCATCGTGGCGATTCGAATCTGGCCGCGACCGCGACCGCCGTGGAGGCCCCCGCTCTCCTCGCCGCGGCCGATCTCCCTCGCCCCGTCGCAGCACTCGCGAGTACTCTCCTCGCAAGGACGATCGTCGTGACCGCGACCGCGATCGTGATCGCGATTACGATCGGGAGAGCCGTCGGGACCGTGACCGCTCCCGCAGCCCCGATCCTCGGTATGCTCCCCTCGGCATATGATGTTGCAAGACTTTGGCTGACTTGGCTCGCAGCGACCGTGACCGTGATGTCAAGGAAGAGCGCGATGACCGCGACCGCCGCGAGAATGGTGCCAACGGCGAGGACCGCAAGGGTATGCATGACCCGTTCCAGTACTACTCGGTACAGGTTTAAAGGGACAAGTACAGGTCTAACGGAAGAGGACGACAGGCGAAGCCCTTGACAGCCCTCCTCCCGCAGCTCATGACGACCTTGACGTTGCCGAGTGATGAGTCGACACAACTTTTAACTCGCTTGGGCTCAAGGCCGCGGGTCGGGTAACTCGAGCCAAACGGGACAGTGTCCTGGTATGTCGTTCATCGAGCGGCCTCGCCCATTTTCCGTACTTGCTCTAGTTTCCTACCGGTCAGTCGCGATGGGGTATAACGGCGTAGAAGTTTACGATTCCCTTGGCATACTGGACATGCCCAGCCCACTGCATTTGTTGTTGACCAAGTCGGATGGGACGACGCACTGCAAGGCCCGTTTACACCTCGGGGTGGCTCAATGGTTGCCTGTACTGCCGAGTTTCGTTTGGTTTGCCTTTTTAATTGAGGAAAAAGAAAAGTTTAGGCTCTGGCTGTTTGCGTGCCGGTGCGCGACTAGTTAGTTACATTTTGGCACTTGAGCCTCTTTGACGGCCCTGGTGATCATCAACAGGCAGCTGACACGTGTCGAGGAAGTGTAAAGATGAGATGAGGATCCCGGTCATGGTCACGGCCACGGTCACGTTTGAGTTGGGGTGGCTGCGCTGTCACGAGATGGTGGAATGGAGACGTGCCAGCCACGGGTTCAGATATTGGCCCGGCTCTGGTACCTTGGCGTGAGGCTCCCGGGTACCCCTGCACGTGCAAGCAGATGCAGAGCCGCAGCGCCTCGGGAGAAGCCTCATTCAACAAATGGCTGGAGCCTGTTCTCTGCAGTGCTTGCTAAGAAAGGCCTGGCCAGTTGGGCATCGGAGCAAGATGTACTGTAATCCGTCCCTGATGGAAGGATGACAATAAGCCTCATCTTTCAGCTTCATAGGCAGTCGTGTCACATACGGAAAAGGGGCGCGGTTTATCTTTGTCCGATAGCCAACCGCTTCTCTCCAATCCACCAAGTCAGGGCCGCAGCTTGCAGAGGAAGATGAGGGGTGGGTGAGACAAGAGAGCTCATTAGGCGATCGATTCGCCGGCCGACGATAAGCCGGCTCGCCTGCCAAGGGGCGGCAGAGAAAAAAAAAGTCACCTCCCGCCATCGGTTTTATTTGGCCGGGTTTGACGGCCCTCCCCCCTCCTCGTCCTCGTTCTCGTCCTCGTCTACGCCGCCCTCGAATCCTCTCCGCCGCCGCCTCAGGTTGCATCGTCCTCGAACGCTTCTGTCCTACGTATCCTGCACCTGGACTGTCGTTGCCGTCGCCGTCAATCCACTATTTCGACCGGATCTTGCCGCCCTCTCCAACCCCGGGGACCCCGGCAATCGACCCTTTACCTACCACGTCGCGCATCTCTGCTCCCCCACAACCTCGAACGCGTCTGCGTACAACAAACCTGCGCGCAACTGAGCATGCCATCGCCGTCGTCCTTGTCATAACCGCGTTTCCCACCCCGAGGCCAGTGCGTGCTTGCAAAGACCAAGCCCCTCGCATCGCCGACCCGCGTCCCCTCTTCGGCCCCGTGGACCAGGGCAACCCGCATCGAAGCCTTGTCCTCTCCCCCCCCCCACCGAGCACGGCATTTAAATGATACTCGAGCGGGTAGCTGTGATATCCAGGCCCAGCGAACTGGGGAAGCGCTCGTCAGACCCAATTGAGCCAGCGTCGATATCCTAGTGCTGCCATGTCCGCCGTGCGCGGTCCACAGCTGCAGACACCCTCGTCACCCGCCGCCAACAACGCCATGCCTGCCCCCAAGCCAGACCTGGCCAGCCCGCCCTCGGACTCCTTCGTCGCGCTGCGCGAAAAGGTCTCCCAGCCCGTCATCGCCGCCTTTTGCGCAGGCGGTGTCGCCGGCGCAGTCTCCCGCACCGTCGTCTCGCCCCTCGAGCGGTTAAAGATCCTCATGCAGGTGCAGAGCGCCGGCCGCGAAGCATACAAACTGTCCGTCGGCCAGGCCTTGGCCAAGATGTGGCGGGAAGAGGGCTGGAGGGGCTTCATGCGCGGCAACGGCACAAACTGCATCCGCATCGTCCCCTACTCTGCTGTCCAGTTCAGCAGTTACAACTTTTACAAGAGAGTACGGTCCAGCTGCCACACACGCCTGCCACCGCGCATTGACGTTGAAGGCGAGTTGCCGCTGACGTTTCCCTCAGAACATCTTTGCGTCCCATCCAGGCGCCGAGCTGGCTCCCGTCACTCGCCTCATCTGTGGCGGCGCCGCGGGTATCACCTCCGTCTTCCTCACATATCCCCTCGACATTGTTCGCACGCGCTTGTCGATCCAATCAGCCAGCTTTGCAGAGTTGGGCAAGAAGCCTCAGCAGCTGCCCGGCATGTGGGCGACCCTGGTGCACATGTTCAAGACAGAGGGCGGCGTCTCGGCTCTGTACCGGGGCATCATCCCTACCGTAGCCGGCGTCGCGCCCTATGTATGTGGTCCAGCCGGGGTTGACGCAAGTCTTGCATCTCGTGTGCTGACTTTATCGCACAGGTTGGCCTCAACTTCATGGTGTACGAGTCTGTCCGCCAGTACTTGACCCCTGACGGTGATAAAAACCCAAGCGCGGGGCGCAAGCTGCTCGCTGGCGCCATTTCAGGAGCTGTTGCGCAAACTTGCACCTACCCCTTGTGAGTGCCTCGCGGATCGTCTCCATTCTCCAAGGGCATACCCGTGCTGACAACCTCGGTCAGCGATGTGCTGCGTCGACGATTCCAGATCAACACCATGTCCGGCATGGGATACCAGTACAAGTCCATCACGGATGCCGTCCGGGTCATTGTCACACACGAAGGCGTCAGAGGTCTTTACAAGGGCATCGTGCCCAATCTACTCAAAGTCGCACCAAGCATGGCCTCGAGCTGGCTGAGCTTTGAAATGACACGCGACTTCCTGGCGGGCCTCAAGCCCGAAGGGGACGCCGAATCTCTGTGACGTGTATCAAAAGGCAGCATTTGTTGATGAGGCATGCTCGCAGGGGTTGGTGGCATTTCGCATCGTCTAGCCCTCTTGCCTGTCTGCTCTTTTTTTTTGTTTCTGTTTCCTTGACCCATTCTCATTTGTTGTCAACTGGCATTGGGTGGCGGTTGGTTACTCACTAGAACAAAAAGCAGTTGAAGCATGCAGCAGAAGACAGTAGTCGTCCTAGAGACTATTAGACCTAGCACGATCTCGCACGGATTTACGGGCTTTTGAGAGAAAACAGCGGAGGGGATCAGGACCGCCGCTGGATGGTTGGGGGAGGGGCAGAGCAGAGGCCGTAGCTGAATGAATAGACGAGCGGTGGTTCAACGGGCGGCTTTGATGTATGCTGTCTACGCCTCCATCTGAATAGAGCTTGGTGAAGTGGGATGAATAAATGACGACAGGTTGAGCAATTGCACCGATGATTCAAGTCTCCTTGTCAGAACAGCGATCATGCTTGCAGTCGGCTTCTCGGTAATTCTCAATCCGGCTTGGTCGGTCCGATAGTCCGCACCGGAGAGCGCAAAGGGACTCGTAGCCTCCATGGGAGGGCCCACGTGACTCTACCGCCAATCCAACCCACCCATACCCTAACTGCCATCTCCGACCGCCCTGATGCGGGGCATCCCCAACCAATCAGAATCCCGAGTCCGCTAAACCCTGAATTTTCTCCCAATACCTCTCTGCACCACCGCCATCACGCAGAGAAGGAAGAAGATCGCATCGCCAACCGCCTCTCATCCGCGACGACAACCACCGACGCCATGGGTACGTGACGCCAACCGCCTTCAGCCTGCGTGTGCGAGTGAGGAAAGGGAAGAATGGGGAGGGACCAGTTTCCCCCCGTTCTTCGCCTCTTCTTGCGTTCTTGGGCGCCGTCTTGCCTTTGCGAGATCTGAGCTGCCGTATCTTGAGCATGCATGAACCCCAAAGGGCTGACGATGGTTTCCCCGTCCAGGTATCGATCTCAACAGCCACCACGTCAGGGGCACGCACCGCAAGGCCCCCAAGAGCGACAATGTCTACCTCAAGCTCTTGGTGAAGCTCTACCGCTTCCTGGCCCGTACGTCGCAAATATGCCCTCTTCGCTTTGTTCTCTATCGGCATCAACGAGCATACCGTCTGCGGGACATGGCCTGCAATAGCTCGGTTCGCTAACGCTCGAGGTGGGACGCAGGCCGTACCGATGCTTCCTTCAACAAGGTCGTCCTCCGCCGGCTCTTCATGTCCAAGATCAACCGCCCGCCCGTCTCCCTGTCGCGCATTGTGGCCAACATCGACGACAAGAGCGAGAAGCGCACCGTCGTCATCGTCGGCACCGTCACCGACGACAACCGCCTCCTGACCTTCCCCAAGGTCACCGTCGCTGCTCTGCGGTTCACCGCGACCGCCCGCGCTCGCATCATCGCTGCCGGCGGTGAGGCCATGACCCTCGACCAGCTGGCCCTCCGTGCCCCGACGGGCGCCAACACCCTGATCCTCCGCGGACCCAAGAACAGCCGCGAGGCCGTCAAGCACTTTGGTTTCGGCCCTCACAAGCACAAGGTAAGACGCGGTTGGTCCATCATCGACAGGGGACGTGGAGGGCTGACACCATCGCCTTTACCTATAGAAACCCCATATCGAGTCCAAGGGTCGCAAGTTCGAGCGTGCCCGTGGTCGCAGACGTTCGCGCGGCTTCAAGGTTTAGAGCGTTGGCGTTGGGAATGGCTGGAAATGAATGGTCCGCGCCGCACACCACTACGGCAGCGACGACGAGAGCTCACAAGACTGGTGTTGTTCTCTTCCCACAGGGGTCTGGCATGGTACGGGCGTGGCTTGGTCTCACGGCAAAAAATACTACATGAACTTTTGGGCGCAGCCAGCACCTACCTGCGTGACCGTGCTTGACGTTTCAGTGTGATGTTGTGGGCGAGAGCTGGCAGCCTGCAGGCAATAAATTTGCTGGACGTGGGTATCGAAAAGGGACCACAGCGACTCCCTCTGGGCGAGTAGAGAGGTTGATTTACGCCTCGCCTTCCAGAAGCACACCCTGCTTCCTCCGCAGTGCAATGAAATAAGCCTCCTTGCTCTCCTGGGTCGTAGAGTCAGCAACAAGGGGGCATGAAACGTGCACAGCGAGTCCGGCGGACGTACACTTCTCGACGACTCGGGCTTTTCCCGGTGCACCTTGGCAAACAGCTTCCTGAGGCGCTGCTCGAGGGCCTTGTCCTCGGCGCCCTGGTAGAACTTGCAGACGAAGTGGCCCCCGGGCTTGAGCGTGTCGCTGGCGAATTGCAGAGCGGCGGCGCAGAGGTCCTGGGCTGTCAGCGTCGTGGCCGCGGCTTCTTTCCAATGCTCATCGTGCGCCCCCCTTTCTTTCCCCCTTTTCAGCGAAGCTTGCTGGTCTGCAGCCTCTGCAGATGGCCACGAGCCGAGGAGCGGCGAGGATGGAAAGAGGTTTTGGAAAAGACTCACCATGCTGCCGGCGTGGTCTCGAAAGGCGTTGCCGCTGGTGTTCATGAGCCTGTGATGGGGATTACTCAGGGTGTTCGCGTTGAAGCCGGATGTCTGGTCCCAGGGTGCTGACATGTCACTCAGAACAAGCTGTGCGCTCGCGAGGCGTGGATATCAGCGCCATGAACAAGACCCGGCAAGACAAGGCGAGGCGAGGCAACAAACTCACGTCCACAAGCGCCGCGTCGGCCGGCGACGACGCCTCCTCGGCCTCCATATCCGACGTCGTCTCGCCCAAGTGCCGCTCCCTGTCGATGTAGCTAGGCCGGTCCACGGCGGACGCAGCCAAGCGCTGCTCCTCCTCGCCACCGCCGCCGCCGTCGTTGTTCGGCGGCTCGGGCCCGGCGTCGCGGCGCATGCGCAGGATAAAGTCCTTGACGAGGCGCTGGACCATGGGCGACAGGAAGTCGCCCTGGAAGGTGGCGACGCCCCGCGGCGGCTGGGCGGGGATCAGGTCGATGCCGACGACGTGGCCGTGCGGGCGGGTGCGCTCGACGGCGACTTGGGACCAGCTGCCCGGTGCGTAGCCCTGCGGTTGGAGTGCTCTGGTTAGAGGGGGTGTGGGGATGAAGGTGTCGCCGTGGTTATGGTCTTGTCACGACACGTGCTTTGCAAGCTCACGAGCGGTATACATGGCATCCTCAAGACACATGGAAAGCCTGAGAAAATAAAAACGGCTCCGAAATGAAAACCCAAAGGCCAAGGGGGGGGAGGAAAGGGGAGGAGGCTTGCCAGGTCAACAACCGTCTGATTCGGCTTAAAGAGGCGATACTTGGCATCCATCTAGCCCGCCCCCAAAAGTCAGTTCCACCACCAGTGCAGGTCGACAAATTCAACAAGGCCGAAAGAGAGCAAGGGCAGCGGCGGAGCAGGTACCTCGAGCAGCTTAAATGCGGCGCGGCTCTTGAGCGCGTGGACCTTTGCGTCGCGGGCGTACTTGTCGCGGCCCTGGCGCTGCTTCCATCGCGACGACGACGACGACGACGACGACGCGGGGCGGACGCCGGGGCGCGAGAGCTGGGCGGCGGCGGCGGCGGCGCACCGGCAGGGCGGGGCGAGGCTCGGAGGAGGACGGCCGAGGGCGAGGCGGGCGACAAACATGGCCTGTCGGGCCTGCGTTCGCGCGGAGGGGCTTTTTCTTCTGGAGGCTTGGTCCCGTTTGCTGGCGTTGTGGGAAGAGAGGGGAGCGAGTGAGCGTGAGTGAGGGGAGGGAGGCTGATTGGCGGGTGAGCAGTGTGTCAAACTATCCACTCCTCAAAATCCAACACAGAAAACGAACGACGTGAGTTATCGTAGCCCTCAAGCCCAGGCATGCCGTCTCCTCCCGCCCTGAAAGCTCAAACCCTCGTCCACGCTCCGCCAGCCCGGCAAAACCCCGGCTCTCCATGGCCTCCAACGACACGCCTCGTCGCCTCGACGCAGAACCGTGATCAAGCAGGAATGGCGGAACCAACGATGGCGAAACTGAGAAAAGATCAAGGAGGAGAGTCACGTCATCTAGCACTGCCGGCAATCAACCGCCTCTCCTCCCCTCTCCCCCTGCAGGAGCTACGGAATCACCCTGGCCAGGAAAGTCTACCAAGGTCGAGCAAAACATGCCCTGTCTGGGAACTGGGACTCTCCACTTAACTATACCGGCCATTGCCTAAAACGGCGGTGTATACTCGCGTCTCCTGGCCCTGCTGGTGGGTTCGCCGACTTCACACAGCCGCTGCTCTCCCCCTATTCTTCGAGGAAATCAGCACGCGATATCAAGGCCATTCCATCCCTTTGCCTACAGGCTAGCTAACAAAGCTCACTTGCCGATTCTCGCCAGCAGCCAGCCAGTCTCGCAACCGACACGGCCTTGCAGTCCCTGTCGTGACCCTGGGCGTGCGTGGGGCCACGACCATATCATCACGATGCCAAGAGCCTACGCAAATAGAGCGGATAATTTAAGAGAGAGAGAAAAACTTGCTAGCGCGCACGTCACAGTGTGTGTTTCTTCGAGAAGCCGCCAGCGGGTCTTAATTCGACTTGGAAACCCACCCTCGCATCCCGCTGGCTCGACGATGACACTCCAACATGTCCAATCCGACGACAAGCCTTTGGTCCCGTGCCGCTCAGTCTCTCCACAGCCCTACGCATGTCCATGAGAATCAAGTCGCTCCACTGAGAGCGCCTACGTGCGCAGCCGGAACAGCTGCTCTCTTGTAATACCTATACAGTCTATCCTGTGGGGACGCGGAACGCGGGACGCATAAACACTATAAGTAGAAGCTACGCAATCAAACCGTATCCATGGCTATATCAGACAAACTCATCCTCCATGTTTTCATCAGCGTCCAATCCTGGGCCTGGGAACTGAAGCGAGCCGACGCAAAAGTCTTTTGCACCTCGACACAGCCCCCCCTTGCTTCCCTCCAATGACTTGACTGCGCGTGACAAGAGCCCTCTCGATCCCCCTTTCGCCTCCTTCCCTTCTCATTTCTCTCCTTTGCTCCTAGGCGTCGCCCATCAAACCGTCTTTCTCAATCATGTCCGTCAATCCTGCAGCCGAAGCTCTGGGCGCACTGGGCTCTCTAGACCTATCAGGCGCGGGAGGCGCAGGCGACTCCTCGGGTGCGCGTGCCGGCGGCGCAGGCGGCTCCGGCATCTCAACGAGCCAGTTCGGCACAATCAACATCAACGCCGCTCCCGCCCCATCTCCCTCGCCCGGCACAAGCAATCCCTCCGCCCCCGCCGCTGGGGCTGCGAATGGCGCGGCCGGTGCCCCGGGCTCGGCTGCCCCCAACGCCGCCGTTGCCTCCTCGAGGCCCTCGGCCTCAGGCGCAAGGGGCGCCGGCGCTTCCTCAAGTCCGACTGACACGGCAGACACAACAGACGCCAACGAATCCCCGAGCCCGAGTAGCTCCGTTATCCCCTCAGGCACGGCTGTCCCCTCCACCAGCGGCATGCCTCGTATATCCAATACTCCTGCCTCCACCGGCAACAACACAATAAGCATCAATTCGGGGTCCAACGGACGGGACGACGATTCCATGAGCCAGTTGTCGAACGTAGCCATCGTCGGCATTGCCGCTGCATGCGTCCTCGTGCTCGCCCTCTTCTTCACCGCCATCATCTGCTGCTGTGTCCGCAGACGGAGGCGTCGCCGCCGCCTCCGCCGGGAAAAGAGTCAAACCCTCGGCGATGCGCCCATGGTCAGCTACGCCGCCGTCGCGACAGCCTCGCAAGAAGGCGAGAGGAGCTTGAGCGCCTTCACACCGTCGCCCACCACGTCCGGGCAGGCGCCGACTCTCCAAAGTATCATGACGAGCCCGAGTCTCGACTTCCACTCAGCGCCGCCACCTGTGTATCCGGGCCTCGTGGCGCCGCCAGACGACGCCCGGCAGCTGCAGCAGCAACACGCCTATCCAGCACAAGAACATTCCGCTTCTGGTTACCCGCTCATGACGCACGCCGGCCAAATCGCTCCTGGTCAGCAACAGGGTCATCACGAAGTGCATGGCCAGGACGCACGGGTCGAGGCGTCTGGAGACACGCATTTGCCGTACGAGTTGCATTCGCACCCGTGCGGGACCGTCGTGTACGAGCTGCCTTGCGAGCAAAAGCGCTGAATGAAAGAGACCGAAGCGACTCTGCGACACACGAGGCGAGACATTCCATCCTCGCGGCATTCAAGATGCACAAGGTCAGGCTGCCCATATTGCCGGCCCAGCCAGGAAGTGCCGCCGCGGCCACGATCCGAGATTTCATCATTCTCTGCTCGAGCAGCCACCCGCTCCTTCAACGCGTCTCAGGCGCCCACGTAATGAACACACTGTCAGCCTGGCCTTTCCATCAGTGTATTTCACAAGCGACTGCCAACGGGGCATGCAATGGGAAGTGAGGGGCTAGCTGGAGAGAAATATCTGGACACGGAGCAAGTCGAGTCAGATGGATGTGTTCTGATGCAAAAGTCAAGGAGACAAGTAAGGGAGGGGGTTTTAGTGAAGCCAAGGCCGGGCAGGGGCTCTGCCCGCTTGCCGTCCCTGTAGCTAAGCCCATATAATCTCACCAAAACAAAAGGCACGACTGTCATTTGCAGTCCCATGGTGCCCCCGTGTGCTATCGGTAAGTGGATTATGGCAAAAGCTGGATGCGGTCAGGGCCCAGGGGCACAAACGTGTGTGCCTCGCGAGCACCACCGCGGACGCCAAGCTTCCGCCATGTTGGCTCCCACACCGGCCCTAATGCTCGCAGAAACTCCATTGCACTTCCTTCAGGTTATTCTCCGTCTTCTCCTGCAAGACTGTGCGCTCGACCATGAGCTGCTCGCGGATGCGCTTCGCCTCGGGGTCGCCCATACAGACGTCGACGTTCTGGACAATCATCTCCCTTACCTCGGCCGGCAGCCTCGAGTCCTTGCGGACCTGCTCGGCGCCGGGCCACCAATCTCGCTGCTGAGGCGGCACGTTGGCCGTGGAGATGACGGAAATGGCCGGATCGACGAGAAATAGGGCGAGGATCTTTCGATGGCCCGGCCGGGTCCGATCGGCGAGGGAAAACGGCTCAACACGGTGCTGAAACAGGTTGGGGAAGAAGATGGCACGCCCGGGGCGCGTGAGGACGCTGCCTACGTCCTGGAGTGTGCCCAGGCCACTGCGTATGGCAAAGGCACGCTCGATAGACCTGTCGTCATTTTGCATGTACCCGAGAGTCTGGCCCAGGTTTTCGGCGTTGGCCGCCGTGCGGAAAGCGAGCCGGGACTCGGTGATGTTGTCGCTGTCGTAGTAAAAGAGAGCCGTGGCGCAGATGTGCTCGTTGAGCTGGCCTTCGATGTGCCACGAGCCGCCCTTGTAAGAGGGCTTCTCTGGAGTCAGGTGGATATTGGCCAGTTTGGCAATGACTTGGATGCGCGATGCGCCATTGAAAAACCCGGACGACTTGACGTCGCCAGCCGTCAGGTGGAAAAAGCGTGATGGCCTGCCGGGGTCATCCCCTCTGTCGCTGTCGTTGTCCGTATCCTCTTTCTCGCCATTGGAGTCCTCCTTTTTCTCTTCCTCGCCATCGTTGCTTTCTTCTTCTTCTTCGTCCTCGTCCTCGTCGGTCTCCTCATGCTCGTCTTCCTCCTCGCTCCCCTCATCTTGCCAGCGTCCATCGAGCGTCAGATGCTCATCTTCGCCTTCTCGGCTCACATTCACGGCAGAGTCAACGACGCCCTCGCCCTCGCGGCTCTTTTGCTTCTTATTGTCGATTCTCGCATCCGGGATCGGCACATTACGGCCGACTCCCCACGTCATCAGTCGCTGGACCCTGAACTCTCTGACCCAGCGGTATACAATGTCCCATGCCGGCAGAGCCTTCTCGATGAAGCCATTGATGATGAGATATAGATCGGCGTGCTCGACCGGGTGCAAGTTGTTGATATAGCTCTCGATCTTGGCACTTCCGTCCTCACCTAGAACTACATCGCATGGGAGCCACTGGAAACGCGACGAGAGTGAGGGGATTTTCTCTGTGCCCCAGTACTTTGAGACTGTAACTTCAGACTCGTCCGGCTCGGGAACGACAAAGCCACGCCCGTAGTGGTCGAGGCAATCCTCGATGCCAATGCGTTGGTGACGGAGGATGCGAGACCTGCCGTAGACTAGAGGCCACAGGGAGGGGTGGACTAGATCCAGCACTTTCTCGTGGCTACCAGGGTGCCAGTCCTTGCGGTCTTCGGGGACATTCTCCAGGGGCGCAACGGCCGCCTTGAGGCGCTCGACCAGATCTTGGGGGAAGAGCCGATCCGACTTGACGACACAAGCCGAGTAGTCGAGGACGGGGATGAGCCCCGTTTGTTGGTATAAGTCGGCCTTTTTACGAAGTTCTTCCATGCACTGAAGAAGAGTGAGCGATTTTGCTGCATATCTGGGTGTCAACGGAAGCAAGTTCTCTTACTCACAGCATCGGCCATGGCTGGCGTAAAGTCGGCGTGCCTGCGATATGCGCGCCAATCCAGTTGGCACGCCTCCTTCTTCCAGTTGGCGGCGATTATGGGATCCCGGACCTTGCGCCACCACTCGGGCTTGTTTGTAATGTCCTCGATGAGCTTGAGCATGCACACCTCGCGGATGAGAAGTGTCCTGGCAGCCCAGTTCTGGTCCCCGTCTCCCACAAGAACTGGGAAGCGCTTCCGGTAGCTGGGCATGAAGGCTATAGACAGGCCATAGCCGGGGAGCCTCAATGGGTCGCTACTGGTAGGGTTCGGTTGCGGCTGCGACTCCGAGTCTGGTTCTGGAGCCGACGCCTTCTGATGAACGAGTGAGCACTAAAGTTCGCACACGCGCAATGCCCGCAGAGACGGGCTCCTAGTCCCTCATGGATCATGGTTGAGAGCTACATACCCAAGGCTCCTCCATTATAAACGTGGCCACGCCGAGTGCCGAGTCGATGAGCGGCCCAGCCTGAGCCAGGGGGATGGTGATGCCAAAGGTGGTATACAGGTGGTGAATGGCGCTGGCCTTGGTCGGTCTTTCGTCCTGACTGCGAACCCACTGCTTGAACTGCTCCTGCTGGGCGTTATCCAGATGACCAAGGCCAAAGTCGACAAAGTCCATGATGGGCGGGGGAGGGAGGCGGATCGAGACGTCAGGGGCGAGCGACGTGGGCAGCTACGCAAGGGGCAGAGCGTTGGAGCAGTGGTGATCGACAACGACGACGACGACGATGACCTTCTCTCCGTCAGTACTTATAGGGAATCACGCGCTTTCAAGCGTGCATCTTTCTGCCTGGCCGTCTCGATGCGAGGACCAGTAGCCTATCGCCGTCTCGACAGCTCCACTATTCATGCAGTCGCTGCCTAACAAGCTAGGTCGGGCCTGTCGTGAAGACGCTCACGATGGCCTAGTTCGGTCCGACGTTTCAGGCGACCGGCGACGCGTAGAGATTGGACCCAAGGCGAGGGAGCGTGAGGAGATGAATTTTCTTCTCCGTTCCTTGGTCCTGCAGAGAGCACGTGCCCTTGCCTGCCTGATACAACGTGCGGATACGTACCAACCAACGACTCCAGATGCCTCCGAACTTTCGCCACCTTCGAAGAAGCCAAGACCGGTTTGTCACTGAGAAAGGCAGTCCGTTGATTGTCTCTCAGCATGAGAGGGCTGGCAGAACCTCTATCCAAAACCGGGTAAAAGACCGAAAACGCCTGGCCCGCCAACTCCACACGCAACCGATAGCTAGTACATGATACAATACCGAGGGAAAAGGTTCAGAGACAAGGCAAGGAGGCCGACTGTTCAGGCTAAGCCAGGAAGCTGGCATTAACACCTCGCCTGTCCCGCTTGAGCGGTGAAAACGCAGCTCCCGCAAACGCATTCTTCATGCCGCCGCCGCCACCCAGCTGAAGCCTCGGCTTCTTGCCAGGCACGAGCACCGGCTTTGCGGGAACCGCGGCCGCCGCCGTCTCGCCGTCCTCGTCGCCGCCTAGCAATGCCCGGCTCGTCGCCCCGAGGAGCTTCCGCTTCTTCTTCTTGGCATCCCCTTCCGGCCCCTTAGGCGGTGCCTTGCTGGACGCGTTCTCCTGCTCGTCGGCGGGCGGCACCTCCGTCACCGTGCTGAGAGTCGCTGGTGGTTTCGCTGCCGCCGCGCGCTCCGCCTTTGCAATGACCTTGTTCGCCTCGGCCGGCGAGGCCTCCGCGAGCCCCTTTATCCTCGGCCTGCCTCGCGGCCTGGGAGGTGCCTTTGGAGCCGCCGCCTTGGAATGGGCTTTGGTCTGCACCTTGCGCTTCGGTGCCGCCTCGGTCTCCGCGGCCAGGTCTGAGCCGTCGTCCCCAGCCTCGGGTTCGGCGACGGTCTCGGAGGGGCCGGTGCCGTCCCCCTGCTCTGCGAATGTCGAGTCCGGGCCAGCCCCGTCCGATGTCTCGTTTGCCGATGCTTCCTCCAAAGACTCGTCCGAGAGATTCTTGGTCCGCTTCAAGAAAGGCGTGATGGAAAAGGTAGACTTTTCGCCAACCACCGCCTGCTCCGCGCCGCGCTTCTTGGTGACGGGCTGCTTGCTGGCCATGTCTTGGTTGCCCGGTGTTTGGATCGTGATGTCGTCGTAGCTCATCTCCTGCGCCCGGCGCTTGCGGTTAAGTCCTGATTCGATCGTAACGCTCTTCTTGACGGCGGGTTCCTTGGCGCCTCGTGCGACCGTCTTCTTGGCCCTTTCGAGCTCAGTCTGGCACGCCTCCAGCCGGCTTCTCGACTCCTTGAGCTCACTCTGCGAGGCCTTGTACTTTGCCTTGAGTGACTCGACCCTCTCCTCTAACCGTTCGCCGCGGGCCTGGGCCTCGGCGAGCTCTCTGCCAAGCTCTGCCTTTGTCTTTTCCCGCTCCTTGGCGTCAGCGGCGAGCTTCTTCTCGGCCTTTTCTAGCCGAGATTTGAGCCCTGCCATGGCGGCGTCGTCCTCCTTGAGTTGCGCCCTTTGTCTTGACCGCTTCTCATTCTCGAGCTCCACTTCTAGAGAGTCCAGCTGACGCCGGAGATCGTTCTTTTCTGCAACCATGGCCTGGTAGTTGGACAGCTGAGACTTGAGGTGCTCCATCTCGGGTCGCAGTCGTTCCAGTTCCCGCGTGAGGGCAAATTTCTCCTGGATAGCTTTACTCGTGTCCTGCATCGAGCCGCTTAGAGAGTCGACCTCGGCCTATATTTTGCGTCAACTTAAAACGCTTCGTGTATCGTAGCGCGGTGAACGTACCTGAAGGTTAGCCAGCTCAATGTCGCGCTTCTTCATCTGTATCTCTTGCGCACACGCTGCCTTTTTGCTTTCACCCAACTCGGCGCGCAGGCCGTCGCTTTTCTCGGTGAGGGCGGCAATTATTTCCTCTTTTTGGGAGATTTTAATCTCAAGGGCAGCAGTTTCGTCTCGCGAGGCCAGCAATTTGACCTGCAGCAGGCGGGACTCCTCATCACGGCCGATCATGTCCGTCTTGCGCATATTCTCGCGGTGCTCCAACTCCAGCTCATGGATACGCGCCGTTCGCTACAAGCAGTCAACGGACAGCTCATCCAAAGGGTTTTTGATATGTCCAGTAGCACCTACCGACCTGGTCCGGGTACTTGCGCCCATGGCTGCTGTCCCGGATCGATGGGCAAAGTCGTGTGACGCGGTAAACAATGGCGGTTCGCCGCGAACGCGAAGGATAAAATGCTGCAATCCGCAGAAGAAAAAGAAATATTGCCCTTTTGTCAATCACGATAAATACCGAGCTGTGTTCTCATCGACCATGGGACGCATCATCAAACGCCAGACGGAGGAAGGGGGGGTCTTCATGGACCGGGTGATCAGACCGTGTTTTTGCTTGGAAATGCCTGGCGCTGACGAGTGGAGGGGGCAGAGAGTAAACACGCTGCCATATCAGGCCTAGCGCCTCTGTAGGCAGAAACCGTTATCCGGGCTTCCGCCATAGCAGGCTTTCGCCCGGTTACATAAGGCCTACAGAATGGACCTTGACACCTGTCGGCCTGCCAGCTGCGAGCCGGGCAGCTGCCGGAATACCTGAGGCCAAGGTATATTTCGTGCCCGCACCATTCGCCCAGGAACCTCATCACCAAGTCACCACCTACCCACCTTCGCAGCGACTTTTGACGAGTCACCTGGAGACTCTTGGAAGGCCACCTCAGCTTCTACTACTGTACTATTCTCAGCGTGGGTAGCTCCACCAGCTTCACCACTCACAACCACCACCATCTGCCTGCGCAGAGAGACGAAACTCGCCAATTGTTGGGCACTCCAGACCAGCCAAGTGAGCGAAGCCGGTCCACGATGCGCTTCCTCTCGATTGTCGCTTCGGCGTGCGCGCTCGTGGCGGGCGCCGTGGCCGCGCAAAAGTCTCCGGAGCAGCGCTTCCTCGACTTCCACGGCCGCTTTCAGGCCGCCGCCGCCCCTGTTGGCCTCGACGATGCCTCGTACAAGGCCCTTACCTCGGCGCCCCGCGACTACAGCGTTGCCGTTCTCCTCACTGCCCTCGGTCCCCGCTTCGGCTGCCAGCTCTGCCGCGAGTTCCATCCCGAGTGGGATCTCATCGGCCGCAGCTGGGCGAAGGGCGACAAGGCCGGCGAGTCTCGCATGCTCTTTGGCACTCTCGACTTTGCCGACGGCAGGGACTCGTTTCTCTCGGTACCGTTTGCTCCCTCATTTCTCAGAGACGCCTTGCGAGAGACAGATTGCTAACTTGACGCTTCTTCTCCTATTCTTTCTAGCTGGGCCTCCAAACTGCCCCCGTCCTCCTCTTTTTCCCTCCCACCCAGGGACCGCACGCCGCGGCCTCCCGTGACCCTGTCCGCTACGATTTCACGAGCGGGTTAGTTACCGCTCGACCGCTCAACTTCGTGAGCGTTATACTGACCGATCCCTACCTTAGCCCACCGGCTGCCGAGCAGGTACATGCTTGGCTAGTTAGACACCTGCCTAACCGCCCGCACCCGGCCCTCAAGCGCCCCGTCAACTACCTGCGCTGGGCCTCTGCCATTACTTTCCTTTTGGGCATTGGCACGCTGGCCATGACGGCGGGTCCATACCTGCTGCCCATCATCCAGAACCGCAACCTTTGGGCGGCTGGCACTATGATTGCCATTCTGCTCTTCGTGAGCGGTCACATGTTCAACCACATCCGCAAGGTGCCCTACGTGGCAGGAGATGGCAAAGGTGGCATCACCTACTTTGCCAGCGGTTTTCAAACCCAGCTTGGGCTGGAGACTCAGATCATTGCAGCCATCTGTAAGCCCAAATCCTTTCCATTCCAAGGCCATTGTCCATGCTAACTGTGCATCAGATGGCTTGCTCACGTTCTGTACCATTGCGCTCGTGACCCGCATCGCACGCATGACCAACCCGCAGTCGCAGCTCGTCGCTGCCCTCGCATGGCTCGTCATCATGTTTGTGGCCAACAGCTTCCTTCTCAGCATCTTCCGCATCAAGAACAGCGGCTATCCCTTCTCCCTTCCCCCGTTCATGTGAGTCGCTCTTGCCATTTGCGAGCACGACCGACAGGGGGCGGTTTGTTGGCGGCACTGCCGGCCCATTGGGGAATTGCGGGCACGCGTGCCGGGGGGCTCTGGCGATGCCACTCTTTTGCACAGACTGAACGGATAGACATTCTAGGCTCATGCATAGACATGAGAGGAAGGAACGGAAATAAATGATTGTACATTAGCGACTCCAACATGGAGCTCTTCGGAATGGCCACGCGTCACGAATGGCGCTTAGACGGGGCACAGAGCTGGCAAGACACAACAGGCAAAAATGGCTAGACACCTTCACACCTCATCATGCAAGTGAACAAGCTTGCTCGCGTGGACTGAATGAGGAGAGTCGTTGTGCTGCAGACATTGCAGACTCCGAGGCAGGCAGACCAAAAGTCATCGAGACCTGTTGTGGGCTGGGTGTCCAAAACCACGGGGCGAACTGGCTCACGAGGCTGGCCGGCAAACAGGATTGAAGATTTCAGTTTTGATTGGAAACAAAGCATGATGCCCAGATTTTGCCTTGAGAGGCGGCTTAGCCAGCCAACGCTTCATGCCTCGTCAGACGCGTTTTGTCCTCTCCCCTCCCCCGGTTTCCTTTGCATCAATAAAGACCAAACGAGGAAGCCAGCCGGATGACGCCCCACTAATGATCTACCTTTCGGCGCGGACCCTACGAGTACGAGTCGTTGCCTTGTCCTCCCCTGCCTGCCCTTGCCGTTACCTTACGCCGCTCCCGTGAGGACGCAGGCTCTATGCCCTCGACATGACACCCCAGGCGCGAATCTTGTTATCCGTGTAGCCGGCGAACAGGGTCTGGCCGTCGGCGGACCAGGCCAGGCTGACACACTCGGGCTCCCGGCTCTTCTTGCCGACCGAGGTGAATTCGGGCTTGAGCTCGTCGACCTTGCTCTTCTTCTCGAGGTCGAAGATGATGATGCTGCTGGCGGTGGCAGCGCAGAGCCAGTACCGGTTGGGGGAGAAGACGAGGGCGTGGATCTCGTCGTTGGCGTTGAGGGAGTACAGGTGCTTGGACTCGTTAAGATCCCAGAGCATGGTAGTGCCGTCCTTGCCACCGGAGGCGCACAGGGAGCCATCGGGGGAGATGGTAACGGTGTTGATGTACCCGGTGTGGCCAATGTGGTCGGTCTGCAACTTGCAGGTGGAGAGCTCCCAAACCTGAGGAAGGCCATATCGTCAGCCAAGTTGCAATAAAGTATGATGAGGCAAAGCGCGAGCGCGAGCCCGGCCCGCAAATAATAGAGGGTCAAATTATAAGATCAGGCAAGGTGAATAGATTGTCTCACGGCCAAGGAGGCTCTGAAGTAGCAAATACTTGATATTGTTGCAAAACATCATGTAAAGGGGGGAAGCGATTCCGGGAAGCAGTTGAGAACCCACCTTGACAAGCTTGTCCCAGCCCGAGGAGACGATTACGGGGTTCTGGGGGTTGGGGCTGAAGCGGACGCAAGACACCCACTCGGTGTGGCCCTTCTCGGTAATGGTGAACTTGCAGTCGCCGAGGGTGTTCCACAGCTTGATGGATCGGTCACGCGAGCCAGAGACGATCTGGCGGTTGTCGGCGGAGAAGGAGACAGAGAGGACGTCGTTGGTGTGGCCGACGAATCGCCGGGTGGTCTGGCCAGAGGAAAGCTCCCAAAGGCGGAGGGTCTTGTCCCACGAAGCCGACAGGGCGTAGGCGCCGTCCGAGGAGATGACCTGCAGTCCAGAGAATCAGTCTCCTGAACCTTTTACTGCCGGGACCTCGAGGTCGACTCAGGAGGGGGGGCATACGCAGTCCGAAACCATGTGGGAGTGGCCGTGGAGGGACCGCTTCGGGTAGCCGTATTGAGTCTCGTCGCGGGTGAGGTTCCAGATGATCAGAGTCTTGTCGCGGCTGCCAGACAGGAGCATGTTGGGGCTGTGATGCGAGGTTGAAGTCGGACGGTTAGCTTCGAGGCGAGGTTCGACGATGGTGGGAGGAGTCTTCTTGAGCATGAATGTATTGTGCGACATACTTCTCCATGGAGGTGGCCAAGCTGGTGACCCAGCCATTCTGCGTTGCTAGGTCAGCCCTTTTGTCGCCTTTCTCGACAAATTCGCATTTTCGTTCTCCTCGGCCCAGTCACCCACGAGGGGTAACAACGGGGGCCAGAGGAAGGGGAGAGGTAGACATACATGGCCCTCGAGAGTGCCCTTCAGAATCAATTGTTCAGCCATGGCAGCGGAAGACGAGGCTAGACGGGGGACGAGAGGTGTCGCGAGGTGCAGTGCAGGAGAGGAATTTCGAAAGGGCAGGAAAAGGCTCGACGGGCTCGTCAGCAAAACCTTTGGGCGGCGGCGGCAGCGCACTGGGTCCTGGGCTGTCTGGGAAGCTAGACGTGCTGGTTCGCCGGAAATTGTGTATTTTTTTTGTGTGGGTGGAAAATTAGGGCCTGTTAGGCCCGCCCGAGAGGGATCCGCTACCGATGGTACATCGTGCCAGGTACCACTTGTCTTGACCGGGCCACAAAGGGGCGCCTACCCTGTATCCCTATTCTTGCAAGCCGGACCTCGTTTGTGATTGAATTTGTATTCTTCTCTGGTATAAGTTGACGGCAATGCTGGCTGTTTGCAATCGAGACATCTCGCGCTCAGAGAGCTTTCAACTATTTCCTCCCTTCGAAGATTTGTTGATGGACAGATCTCTTCACGCGCCGAACGTTTTCTTATCCTATGCAATACGCAAAGCATTATATTTGCATCCCAACAATGCACAGTGACAGCCTCGAACATGAAATCAGAAAGCCGTAAAGTGTTAAGAGTAGTTCCCTACTCGTTGATCCTAGCAAAACACCATGCGCCGCTTGCTCAGCCCAGCTGGAATGCCCCAGCCTCATCACCTGCTCCTATACCAACTTCAGGGGTATCAAAAACCACTTCATGTGGAGGTGAATGGGTGCCAACGCCTGCACTCTTCTCCCCCTCATTGACACTCTGCATGCACGCCTTGGCCCGCCTCGCCGCCGCAGAGTCCTTGTTCACAGCGAGCGGGACACGTTTGCCGCTCGTCGCCCGCCGCGGCCTGCCACCACGAGCGACCTACGTCCCGTTTACAGACAGGTCGGCTGAGCGCTTTCCAAGCCGGGACACCTCCTTGCGGGAGAACATGGCGTCTCCGTTGACAATCATGCTGTGATCGGCAATATCCACCAGGCTCGCATTGTCGCCACGTCCGTCGGAGCCCATGAAGCGCCTCATGGTCGTCTCCCAGAGCCTGAAGCGCTCTTTGCCCTGCGTGTCCCGCTCCACCAAGGACTTGACCTCCTTTTGCTTGCGCATCTTGGAGGCGCGAACCAGCCTTCTGAGCGCGTCTTCCCCTTGCTGGGCGGTCCGGGCCGCCTCCTCGCGGATCTTCTGGGAGTCGCGGGAGGTGGTATCCTCCTGGAGAGTGCACATGTAGGTGTGCTGACTGGGAAAATCGGGGAACGAGGTGGGTATAAACTGCTTGGCATCCTTGTCTGCCTGGCCACTGAGTTCGGAGCTGAGCAGGGGGAGCATCCTGAGGGCATCGGGGTCTGTGGCGACGATGTTGGTGTACCTGGGGGCGAGCTCTTCCCTGGCTATTGGGTTTTTAAGTTGGGGTTTGAGCGACGAGGTGGAGAGGTTGTGGTATCGCAGCATGAGCTCGAAATCCGTGGGGATGGGGTGCTCGCGGCGAGCGGCCAGGGCGACTCTCTTGGTCTCGAGGATGATGGACTCGAGGTCTAAGCACCGAGTAAGCGGTGGGGTCTGGCGAGGGAGAGGGACCAATGCTTACATGACTCGACCAGGCTGGTGAAACTCTCCATGGCTTCGGGAGTCGCCGACGAGAAGCCATCGTGCTTGAGGACGAGGGCTATGGACCGTTGGATCCCGCAGCGGGCGAGATGGCGATAGGTGGGCGTGAGAGACTCGACGGCGGCAGCTTCGTCGTCTAGCCCGCCGTGGACCTTGAGTTGCGCGTGCTGGGGTGACTCGGAGGTGACTCTGGGGCGTTTTGGTTCCGACTCGAGGCTGTCTTGGGGCGAAAGGGTTCGTTTCGACGACATGGCTGTGGGACCGGGCTGGGTCGCGATTGGGGGAGGCGAAGGAGGGCGGCCCATGGGCCTTGCGAGCTGGGGTGGCGAGCTGGGATGTCGAGCAAGGAGAGGGCGCAGGTGTTGGATCGTGGAGCTCGGAGGCGGGAGAAGTGACGGAACTCGGAGGGGCCAATCCAGGCTTTTTCGGCCGACCGGCAAAAGCTCGGCTTAATAGTTGGAGGGTTTGCTTCTTCTTCCCGCCTTCGTCTCCCATCTGCCTTGTTGAAGTCTATGCGTACGCTACGAGGTAAATACTCCGTAGGCATGTCCAGTTTGACGCTCCTCAATCCAGCATCTCCCCTCGAACGACTCGGTCTTCGAAAAGACGCGCGCTCGCGACGCCAGCCCGAGCAGCAGAGACAGCGTCACCCTGGCGCATGCGCAGCCACTGAAACCCATCCATGGATTGACGCCCGCGGCAGCACGGGTCAGCCATCGGCAGGGCCGCATCTCCCGCTGTCTATCCGAAAGGAGACACATCGCTTGAGGGAAAGTGACAATGGCACGGTGAGGCGACAGAGGGCGGAACAGGCCCCTCGACGCCGTGCAACGCCAGAACGTGACGAACAAGCATGCAGCTCTTGGCAGAGGTGCAAGACATCTTTGTCATCGTCGCCGACCAGACTGCATCGCCTGTCTCGCTTCCTTTCTTTTTCCCTTCTATGCGCTCTGCTTGGTGCCCTCTGCATGTCTCGCGCCAACATCGCGACTCTCGTGAGCTGACGACTGGCATTCTGTAATCCGAGATACCGGCTCCCCACATGGCACGGCGGGCCGGCACTCTCCCCCTATCCCCCCTCACCGGCTCCCTTCAGCTGAGCGCCGGGGAGCTTTTTGCTGCCTGGCGTTGATGCTAATACTACATCCCATCGTCGACGGCCCCCTCGTCACGATGAAGTGACGCTGCTGCTCACCCGTCTGCTCTGCTTTCCAATTCTGCAACATAGCTGTCTCTTTTCATGCCCATCTTGTTGCCGTAAGCCCGCCGTCAAGCCTGCCGTCAAGCCCGCCGTCAAAATCTATCCTCTTATCAGCACCCGCCCCTCCCCGCATCCAACCAGACCATCTTGATTCTTGACGCCTTCAGCCGCAAAAGCTTCATTTGCGGGACGAGGCAAACCCCGGCTTTGATGCAAGCCTTGCTGGCAAAGAGAAGAAGGGACAACGTTCCCCAGAAGCACAAGGCAATATAAAACCCAGGGACCCAGGGGCAAGGGACAAGCCAGCCAGAGCGGCCAAGAAGACCAACAAAATGTTCTCTTTTGACGTGGCCGCCCTACCCCAGCTGACGACGCGCAAAGCCCTCATCGCCGTCGACTTCCAAAACGACTTTGTCGGTGGCGACGGCGACGCGGCGCTGCCCGTGTCCGAGCCCCAGGGCTTCGTCGCCCGTGCCGTGGCCCTGTCCGAGGCCTTTCGCGACGGCGTTGGCGATGTCGTCTGGGTGCAGTCGTGCTTCGACCAGGCCCGGCCCGCCGACCAAGAGCCCATCATCACGTCGGACACGGCGCCGCCGCCGCTGCGCCCGAGGACAAGCACCAGCAGCGGCAGCAGTCGCCGCCGTGGTGGTGCCGGCCGGACCAATGTGCCGGAGCTGCCGCCGCCCGCAGAGGAGCAGGGCCCGCCGGATCCAGAGGCCTTTCTGAGCCACGAGGAGCCGGCGTGCGTCAGGGCGTCGTCGCCGGGGGTCGAGATGGCGCCGGCTATCAGGAGGGCCGTCCGTGAGGGTGACACGGTCCTGACAAAGAGCTATTACTCGGCCTTTCTGGGCACGCCGCTGCTGCGCCTGCTGCGCGCCAAGATGGTCATGGAGGTCTTCATCTGCGGCTCCCTCGCAAACGTCGGCGTCTACGCCACGGCCCTCGACGCCGCCGGCCACGGCATGGCCATAACCGTCGTCGAGGACTGCTGCGGCTACCGCGCCGAGCCTCGCCAGGTCAAGGCCGTGCGCAGCCTCATCGAGCTGACGGGCTGCGAGTTTGCCAGCTACCAGGAGGTCCTCGAGGTTATCCAGCCCAAGAAGAAGAATACTAAGTCGTTGTTCAAAGACCAGACGGAGCCGAGCGAGGGCGAGGAGCTGCAAGAGGACAAGGGCGGCAAGACGGAAAAGAAAGAGGAGAGATCAAGGTCCCGCGAGAAGGGCGAGACCACACCAAAGGGAAGAGCCAACACCTCTCCCGACATCGTGAGGCCCATGACTGGGCTCAGGCTCGTCTCCGATTCACCCTGCCCTGCGGCTGCCGAGGGAAGCGCAGGAAGCACAGCACAGGCCGATCCACCGGACACCCCGTCGAAGCGACCGAGGCCAACCGCAGTCGAGGCTCCGGCAACTAGATCGAATAGCCATGATGACGATGATGACGATGACAGTGAACGGGACGATGCTGGTGCTGATATGGATGATACCGAGTCAGAGGGGGCATATGTAGCTGCTCTCGCCGGCTCGTCTCCGACGCCGGGGCGCGATCAAGCCGAAGCATCGCAACCTCTGTCACAACCTCCTACTGACAAGACGGCGTCGCCAAGCGAAGACGCTCCGGCAGCAGGACGAAGGGCCGAGGTAGGAGATTCAAAAACGGCACCCGTTGCCGACAGCAAGCCCGCTCCACCACTCTCAGACACAGACGAGGAGGAGGAGGAGGAGGAGGAGGAGGAGAAGGAGGAGGAGGAGAAGGAGGAGAAGGAGGAGGTGGAGGAGGAGGAGCAGGGCCAGCCACAGACCACGACAGGCCTCTGCGAGGGCGACACCAGCGTCATTACCAAACTCCTCCCCCCCTCGGTGGAAGCAGGCATTTTCGAGCGGCTGCGCAACGAGGTGCAGTGGCAGCGCATGTCGCACCAGGGCGGCGAGGTCCCGCGCCTCGTCGCCGTCCAGGGCGCCGTCTCGCCGCACGACGGGTCCGCGCCCGTCTACCGCCACCCGTCGGATGAGGCGCCGCCCTTGCTGCCCTTTTCCCCGACGTTGCTGGCCGTCAGGGCCGCCGTCGAGGAACAGCTGGGACACCCCGTCAACCACGCCCTTATCCAGTTCTACCGCGACGGCAGCGATTACATCTCGGAGCATAGCGACAAGACGCTCGATATCGCCAAGGGTTCATACATTGCCAATGTGAGCCTCGGCGCTCAGCGCACAATGGTCTTTCGCACCAAGCGTCCTGCCAGAACTCCCTCCCCGTCTCCGCGAGCGAGCGGCGACAAGGACGGCGACGACTCAGCCGCCGCACCCTCCCAGCGCCGTGTCCAGCGCGCCGCGCTCCCCCACAACTCGCTCTGCAAAATGGGCCTTGAGACGAACATGAAATGGCTCCACGCCATCCGCGCCGACCGTCGCGCCGACCGCGACAAGACGACGCCCGAGCTGGCCTACGGCGGCGCCCGCATCTCCCTCACCTTCCGCCGCATCGCCACCTTTCTCGACCGCGACCACGCCGTCATCTGGGGCCAGGGCGCGACTGAAAAGACGCGCGCCGCCGCGCGCCCCGTCGTTAATGGCCAGGGCCCGGAGGCCGTCGCCATGCTGCGCGCGTTTGGCGCCGAGAACCACGCGTCCGAGTTTGATTGGGACGCACACTACGGCGGCGGATTTGACGTGTTGCACATACGCTGTGCGCCGCGGTTCTTTGCGTCGGCCGACGACGCCGTTGTTAATATGCGTGTTGCGCTGATGCTGGCCGAGTATGGCATCGGCTATGCCAGGGGTAGCATGGGTCTGGCGGCGCAGAACACCAAGGCCGCTGGCGCTGATGACGACGCTACCGACGAGAGCCCACAGCAGGCCGTGGCCGTAAAGTTCGTCGACAACGACGCGGGCAGAACCACGGTCCAGGGCGACGTGGCCATCATGCTCTACCTGGAATCAAGCTACGGCCAAGCCAAGGCCGCCGCCGACAACAGCCCGACCCCATCGCACGCCGAGCTCGCCGCCCGCTTCACGCGCTTCCAGCGCGCCCTCAACCTGCGCGACATGTTCCGTGCCCACCCGCCCGCCTCCAAGACCGCCGCCCCGCGGCCAAGGCTGTCAAGAGCCATGCAGCGAGAACTCGCCGCGTGGGACGTCTTCGCCGCCGCCGCCCTTGTCGACGACGGCGACGGCTTCATCGCCGGCCCGACCATGTCCCTCGCCGACTTTGCGCTGTGGCCTGTCTTACACGCCCTGGTCGAGGAGCTTGGATCCGCGGCTGTGTTCGACGACGACGGCTTGGATCGGCTGCGGCGCTACTACGATGCCGTGGCCGCGAGGGAGAGCGCGAAAAAGGTGCTGGGTGGGATGCAAGCGGTGGGCAAGAAGAGCCCGTGATCGACCAACCCCGTGCACGCGAACGGGATGTCAAGCCGCTTTATCATGCTGCATGTATGTAGCGTACGTGTGGTGGAAAGTTGCTCAGTCATGCCAGGGGGTATAACCAAAGTGCCTTGGTTGTCGCCCCCATTGATTAATCCGCCATCTCGGGCGTCGGCATACCTCATGCTGTGTGCTCATCCAGAGAAACGAAGCCTAGTTGAATACACTTCTGAACGTACGAGACCAAAAAAGCCAGCCGTCGTAGCCTCGGAGTTGAGCCTCGTGTTTCCATGTCCGCCACATAGAGTCCGAGCAAATAAGACACATTTCTTCATTTATATACAAACGAGTCACACCGGTCGCTGTGTCCAAACACCCCTTTCGTTTTCTTTGCTCTTTATCCGTAGATTTTATTCCTTCTTACCCCTGGTGACGCACACCTACTTGTACACCCATGCCGCCTGTCACCGGTCTCGTGGGCAACCCAAAGAAAGGATGATAGGCTCATTGAGAGTCCCACGGCAATGGATACGTGCCGACCCAGTCCTCGACCTCGCTCCGCAGCTGCACAATCTCGGGTTCATTGTCGCCGTTGCCGAGATGTTCCATGAACAGTTTGAGCTTTCCGGGGTTCGACTCGCCCCTGTCCCTGGCCGCGTCCCTCGCCGCCTTGGCGACGCGCAGGGTGATGGCGACGGCGCGGTCGACGACGTCGGCGACGCGGACAAAGTCGTCCTCGCCGAAGCCGCGCGTCGTCATGGCGGGGGTGCCCATGCGGAGCCCGCCCGGTACTAGGGCCGACTTGTCGCCGGGCACCGTGTTCTTGTTGGCAGCGACGCCGACAAGCTCCAGGACGCGCTCGACCCGGCCGCCGTCGATGCCGTTGGGCTTGAGGTCGACCAAGACCAGGTGGTTGTCGGTGCCGCCCGAGACGATGCTGTAGCCCAGGCCGCCGTTGCCCTTTGCTTCGCCCAGGCGCTTGGCAAAGGCCTTTGCGTTGGAGAGAATCTGGCCCTGGTAGGCGTGAAAGTCTGGAGACTGGGCCTGTTTGAGAGCCACGGCAAGCGCTGTGATGGTATGGTTGTGGGGCCCGCCCTGGTGGCCAGGGAAGACGGACGAGTTGATGGGGCCCTCGAGGTCATACATCTCGTCTTGTCTGGTCTTGGCGTTCTGCCTGCGGACGCCTTTCCGGAAGAAAATCAGGGCCCCTCGCGGCCCGCGCAGGCTCTTGTGGCTGGTGGTGGTGACGATGTCGGCGTGAGAAAAGGGGCTCGGCAAGACCTTGGCGGCGACGAGGCCCGAGATGTGAGCCATGTCAGCCAGCAGGTAGGCGTTGGCCTTGTCGCAAATGTCGCGCATGCGCTTGTAGTCGATCAAGCGACTGTAGGCGCTGGCACCGGCCACGATGATTTTGGGGCGGTACAGGAGGGCCATCTCCTCAAGCTTGTCGTAGTCGATGAGACCAGTGGACTCGTCTAGGCGGTAGGGCAGCGTCTCAAAGTACTTTGAGATGAAGGAGATCTTTTTGGTCGGTGTTTGGTATCCATGCGACAGATGGCCGCCGTGAGGCAGGTCGAGACCCATGAGTCGGTCGTGCGTGTTCATCAAGGCCGAGTACACGTACAGGTTAGCGGGCGCACCGGAGAGAGCTGTCCAAAGCAAGTCAGCCCTTTGCCCGTCTGAGGCTCACCGACACGCCTCGACCTACCCTGAACGTTGACGCCCCAGTTCTTGGCGTCGAGGCCGAACAGCTCGAGGGCACGCCGTTGGCAGAGACGCTCAGACTTGTCAATGAACTCGTTGCCGCCGTAGTACCGGGCGCCAGGGTAGCCCTCGGAGTACTTATCTGTTGTGACCCCGTCAGCCCAGTTGAAGGACAGAGTGCTTGTGTGGACACTCACTCTGCATGACGCTGCCGAGCGCATCGAGAACAGCCTGTGAAGTAAAGTTCTCGGAGGGAATCAGGTTGATGAAATGCTTCTGCCGTTTTTTCTCCTTGACGCCTCTCTGTCAGTCGCGAACCGTGGCGTCTTTTGGGAGGCGAGCGGAACAAACATTTTCGATGATATCAAACACGGCTGGATCCGCTTGTTGGAGGTGGGCGGCGAGGAGCTGGGAAGGCGGTGTCAGCATCTCCAATGCGCCATCCGGCATGGCTTCGCCTGCGAACCTGCTGCTGGCCGTCTTGAGCCAAGGAGGCCTTGGTCCTCCGAGCCGCACATGGCAGAGCCCCGGCAGGCTTAAGCACTGGCCGCGCAATGCCACCGAGGGCCCGGCGGGTGCCTCGCAGACAGGCAAAAGACATGGCTGGCTGCAAAAGAGGAGACGCACGCGGAAAGCTGCGACGCGGGGAGAGCTGCGAGACGGACAAAGAGTCAAGCAATGGCTGGTTGGATCCGGCAGCCTCTCAAGCCGCCACGCCAGAGAGAAGTGGGAGCGGGGCAGCGGAAGCGGGCAGCAGAAGAGAGAGGCCGTTGCCGCCGAGGTGACTTGACGATGGCCTGATGGTACGAGCCGTAGTCGCTGTAATTTCTTGGTCATAGCCGACTCGCCCCGACGCCGGGGCCCGATAGCCGGCCGCCCCCGCAGATATTCTACAGGCTGCAGCCACTGGGCTGAGGAGGTACCTTTTCTCCCGGTCCAGGTACTTCAGTGCCCGCAATATTCTTTTCCCGCTCCAGCCCTCTCCATATCCTCGGCGTCCCATATCCGCAAGCCATGCTCTTCTTTTCTCTCCCTTTCCCCCTCTTTATCAACTAAAGATGGGCGTGATGAGACCGCTACCTCCAGCCATTCTGCACTCCGCACCTCCTCGCCCTTGACGGGGTTCGAGGCAGGCAACGGGGGCCATGCTGATATGCCATGGCACACCTCACCACCTTACGGGGCAATGTGATGGGACCTGATCCATTCCTTTGGTTGATCCCCGACGAAGCTTGTCGGCCCTTTTTTTCCCTCCAGACTTGTCCTTCATACTGCACTCATCCCTCTAATTCCCACCTTACGTAGCTTTCCCTTCTGTCGTGCGAATCTTTAAAGAGCTACTTTGTTTTGCTTGTATAGCTCTGAAAGCACTGTATCTTCAACCTCTGCACCAGGTGGGCGAGGTTTTCGGCGCTGGATTCTTGCATCCCATCTGCCAACCTCTGAATGTTGTTTCTGGGCTGCGACAAGGCATTGACCGTTTATGCCCGCCCGGCTTGAGCGTAATCACGTCTCATCTGTGACTGTCGCGGCTTACCGCGACGAGCGTGGTTTGCCGGCTCTTCTCCGCTGCCCACTCTCCATTGACAGTGTTGTACGCGTCAAGGAAAATCCATGCGATCATATATACAATGACATGTTCGTCGCTACTACGACATGGAGAGCTTTGGCGAGGGCAAGACGAAAAGCAAGCGGTCATAAGATACCACGCTCTGGCAACCAGGTCAGGAGCCGCCGAGAGCAGGGGAGAGCGAATCTTGCGGGCATGCGACAGACCCAGTCTTGTTGCCTGGCCTTTCAAAACTTGAGCATCGTCGATTCCATTTTCAATGCTACACGCCCGAAACCCTGCCGGCTCGACTGCAGAAACCAGAGGGGCATAAAAAAAGACCCAACCCGTAGACTCCGAATGCAGCCTCCTCTCAAGACCGAAATGTCGTCGTAGTCCACGAAGTCTACTCCTCGGCCATCATGGCATTCCGCTTCGCCGTGGCCCTCTCCACCTTGCGCTCGCGAGCAGCCTTGGTCTTTGCGCGCTTGGCGTCCATCTCCTCCTTGAGCATCTGCTCACGGTGCTTCTCGGCCTTGGCACGGTGGATCTGTTGAGGGTTGTCAGTATGACGGTGTGCGCTCTGCTTCTGGCCCAAGTCGAAACCACCCGGCAAAGAATCGACGGCTCCCCAAAGCAAGACTTATGCTGCGGCGAGGGAATACGTACGTGCTCAACCAGGGCACGCTTGTGCTTGAACGTGTTACCCTTGCTCAGGTGGTACAGCTCGTGGTACAGATGCTTGTCGATCTTGCCAGAGGCGCGATACTTGACGAGGAGGCGGCGGAGGACTCGCAGGCGGCGCATCCAGAGAACCTGGGAGGGCATGCGGGCGTCGGCGGTACCCTTTCTCTTACCGTAGCCACGGTGTCGGCCTTCTCTTCGGGCGAGGTTCAGCTCGCGGGCTCGGGATCGCGAGTGCATGGTGACGGGCTTGCGGATGATGAGGCCATCGGCGACGAGCTTGCGGACCGTCTGGCGCGAGTTGGCGTTGGAGATCTCGCTCTGCTCATTGGGATCCAGCCAGATCTTGCGCTTGCCGCAGCCGATGACCGACGCGGCAAGACGCTTCTGAGTTCGCAGGTTGACCCTGAGGAAGAGGAAGAGGCAATTGTCAGCCTATGGTGATCTCGTCTTGGTGTCTTGTCATGGACATCTGTGACATGCTCGACTGCGTCGAGACCACGGGCTCTGCTGCATCGGCCCACTGCCGCAAGCACTCCGTGGCAGGACCGCCGCTCTTGTTCCATTTCGTCGCAATTGCTGTACTCACATCTTGACGCTTGTTGGTGGTGATGGCCGATCCTCGATGGGTGTAGGGAGGTTGAAGTCAAGGAGGGGTTTCCGTGGCCAGAATTTCTCGGGCGCCGCACATTCCCGCTCAGAGTTTGTGGGTTCACGTGCACTAGTCCAGCGATTCGCGCTAAGCGAGGGCTCTGATGAGTCATCGCCAAGATGGTCTTATCACGTGATTCTGCTGACCCCTTACAGCATCTACCTCCTAGTACAGGAACCTCGAGGAGTTGGCCGCAGGTACCTCCTTAAGTCCTCGATACGCTTATAATATCCGAGTTCACGGCCATGGCTCCAGAATCCTTTCGTGGCCCCACCCTTACTCTTTCTCCGAGTTTAGCTGGGTGTAGATTATCTATTATCGCGGCATAGTATACTATAACCTACGAAGTATCCGTACGTCCCGACAATTTCCTAGTTCATACTATAACACTAATTGCTCGATCTCTGGCTTTGCAACTTCCGCGGTTTAGCATGTAATAAACTCGGCCTAGATGGGGTCCACCTACCAGACTTTGACTTCTACGAAGTCTTGCATTAGTTCTCTACACTATTCTCACTAGACACTAGCAATACTATGATCCTTAGACATTTAAAAGCGGGAGAGGAGATAGAGGAGTATAGGCAGAAAGTCGATGACGTATTTGAGCGAGGACAATTCCCTGACGTCCATGAACTCTTCGCAGGTAAGATTATTATAAAGTGTTGGCAGAACAACACTCTAGCATGAGGACGTTTTGCGAGAATTACGCATATATTCATGATCGAGACACAAGCGATGCCACATATCATTGAGAAGGCTGGGAGGTCTTGCCACAACCTCAGGCTAACGACGTTCGAGTCGTACAGGGTCAACTTGAAACTATTCGTTCTCGCCGATATTAGTTAATAACTCGCTGGTTTCTAATCATAGCGTGTCCAACGTATGTCGGCCCGTACTAACGCGTTAGTCGGCATCCAGCTTTCAAAGAGCATCCATCATCCATGCTACCCTCCGAGCTATCGATGGGGTCGGGCCCGTCTACGAACTGGCACGTGTGGTATGATAATACCTACCTAATTCCTGGACTATTTTCCGGTTGTTCACGCAAGCTACGCACCCAGGCACCATGATTGATGCTTAAATGTCGAAGGTGACGATTTGATCTGGCTCATACACTCTAAGTTTAGTTCTGTTAATGGTTGATCTATGGCCATATCTCCAGTAATGACGGATGGGCAGGCGAAGGTCTCGTGTCCCTGCCACAAGCTCATTCATTCAGCCAGGCCACGAGTATTCTTCAGTCTTCGTCTTCATTTGTCTGATGCCCGTTCTTGGCGCCGTCGTTGTAAAAGAGCCTGGACCAGGGTTGGCGCACGGTGCGGTGCGCCTGGTAGCTGCTCATCAGCTCGCCTACAACACACCACCTCTATGCCGGTAAACCGAGCCGCTCTCTCCATGTCCATTGGCACATTCATATTTACATTCATTCCACCATAGCTGGACCATAGCTGGACCATAGCTGGACCATACCTCGTCTTGATGCACCCCCTAACGTTAAGAAAAAGTCTCACCCGCAACTTGCAGCTTGCCCACGCTCCAAATCTCCTTTTCATCCTCCTGCTCGTCATTCGACAGACCCAACCCCCCTTGGCCCCCCTCGGCCTCTCTCCTCTCTCGAGCCTGCGTGCCGAGCCTGATGGCAACTCTCTTGAAATAGTCCGTCATGCTCCTCTTGGTGTTAGGCGGCATGCTCGCTCCGGGGCCGGCCATGAACTTGTCAAACACCCGGCTCTCTTCATCTGCCACGCAAAACAGCTCGACAAATGCCGCCTCGGCCGCCAGCTTGACGGGGATGACTGCGTCTCTGACGCTGGCAAAGATGGGCGGCGCGAGAGTTGGCACATGAGGTCGCACCAGTTCCATGTTTGTCCTGCTGAGCGTCCGCGTGATCACGAGGGCTAGCCGACGAGAATCTGTAGGATTGCCTGGCTCGATGACTTTGGCCAATGTCTCAAACATCTTTTTCATGCTGTCGAAGCTCTTGGGGGGAGACGTGAGCAGCACCTTGCCCGTTGCTAGGATGACATTATCGGCAACGTACGTCTGCATAAAAGCCAGTCAGTGAAGCTCAAGTCCATTCTTCAGTTCTCAAATCCACGTACATTCTTGTTGGTCATGCCCTGGCAGAGCAAATCTGGGAGCTCCTCCGCCATGGCGCTTTGCAGAAGAGTGTCCGGCGACTCTACGAGCACCGCGTTGAGAGCGAGCGCAGATGAATGGCTGACGTGGTTGGTCATGACCCGGTGTTTCAGAAGCGTCATTGCAGCATCCTCGGGCACGTTCTTAATCAGCGCCCCCAGGAGCTTTGCGTTGGTGACCGTCATTATGTCGTCTCTCTCGTCGGCCTCCATGTCGATCAACGAGAGCACAGCAGATCGTGACGACTCGCCCATGTTGGCCCCAGCTCTGCTAATGACTTCAAAGAGAGCCTTGAGCATGGCCGTCTTCACCCCAGGGTCCGCCGTCTTCGATCCAGTGACCAGTTCAGCTATCAAGGGGTCGATTCGAGGAGTGTACTTGATCAAAGTCCCCAGCGCCTTGGCAGCTCTCGTTCTCAGCGTCTCACTTGAGGCGTCTGCCAGCGACTTGGCAAAGGTCCGCTGCAGCTGCGGAAGGAAAGGCTTGAGCGCCGTAGGCATCTTCTCCAGCAGGTTATTCAAGGTGAGAAGAATGGCCGCCTTGACCTCGGTTGCGCGTTCAGACACGACCCGGATTAGCGGGCCCGTGATTTGGGTGACGAAGGGCTTGAGCGAAGGCTCGCTGGTCCTGTCCACAATGTCGGAAATACCCAGCGCTGCCTGGACTCTCTGTTCGGCCGTTCCGTTCATTAGACCCTGCAGGAAGATGGGCAGAACCGCGTTGATGCCTTTGGGGAGCTCGAACCCGCGCAGGTTTGCTCCTGGAACGCCGACCCGCTGCAGAGTCTGCCGAGTCGACACAACGAGAGACTCCATCTCCTCCTTCTTGAGCCTCTTTGTAAACTCACTGAGAGCGGCCCACGCAGCCTTGACAACGTCCATATCGCCGTCGCCAAAGGAATTGAGCAGCGAGCGAATAATGTCTTGATTGTAGCGCGAGTAGTCAACCGTTGTTGAGGAGAAAAAGTTTCCAAGGTGACGCGCAGTGGCTGCTCTTCTTCGGTGATCATCGTGCTTCAAGAGCCCTAAAAGGACATTCATGACCGTGTTGAGACCGTCGTACTCGTCTATGGATTGGACGACGGTGTCGAATGAAGTCTCCAGCTCTGCCCGAAGATCGTCTTCCTTGCAGTTGATCTCATTTTCCATCAGAGCGTTGATGATGTTGGGCAAGCGTCGATTCATGGCAGCTCCGGCAACCCTTGACAACGAGGCCAGGGCCTTGGCGTCAAATGCGGTGATGGGCGGTGTTGTCAATGTTGGAATCAAGTTGGGCAGAATGATATTCGATCGCGTAGTCTCAGTGAGGAGCGTGAGAAGAGCCGATAGAGCGTTGTCTGCCTCAGTCTCTGAACGAAGGAGATTGAGAAGGAAGGGAAGAACTTGATCGACGGCCCGCTTGCCAAGAATCTGCTGCAGCGAGTCAAATGCCTCTGCAGCGGCTTCCCTGACCTCTTCGTCCGAGTCCGTGAGTGCGGTTCGTACGACCGAGATGAGTGTCTTCTCATGGTCTTCCAAGGCCTCGGGCGATGCTGAGGAGATGAGTTCTCGAAGAGCCAGGCAGATGCCCTGCTTTGCATCGGAATCAGTCGACGATTGAAGGCTTTGCTCCAGGGTTGGCAACAAGCTGGACAGAACCCCATCTCCGGCTTTGCGGATAAGCTCGCCGAGCGCGTTGCTGGCAATGACTTTTTGCTCCATGTTGGAGCTCCCCAGGCGTCTGATGAGCAGCTGCGTGAGGGTCGGAACAAGCTCCTTAAGCGTTCTCGGGCTGGAGACCAGGACCTTCCACACCGCCATGGCAGCCGAGCGAACGGCGCCTGCAGTATCGCAGCGGCAAACGTAGAGCGCCGAGAGAATTTTGTTACGCTTCTCCTCCCCGAGAACTTCCTTGAGGGATACGCTCGCTTCTTTGCCGTCATCCTCCTCCTCCTCCTCATCGTCGTCCTCGTCGTTCGCCTTGACGCCAGTGAGGTTGAAGAGGAGGTCACCAACGAGCTCAACAGAGCTGAGACGAATCCTGTAGTTGTCGTCTGCCAGGCCACGCTCAAGCTCTGGCAAGAGGAGGTCGATGGCGCGGATGGCAAAGTTCTTAACAAGGAGTCGGCCGGCTCGAAGGGCGGTTTCCCGGATCGACTCGACGTCGTCTGCCAGCCCTGCCAGGATAGGCGGAACAATACGGCCAAGGTAGCTGGAAAAGCTGTTACCGAAGCAAACAGGAAGGAAGATGAAGAGGGACATGAAGCCCTCCCGGACTGCTGGCTTGGAGGACTCGATGTTCTGCAGGATTGTCGGCAGCGTTTCTTCCAACCGTGTTGTTCCCAGCCCAGCAAGCACCTCACTGAGCGCCTGGGCAGAGCCAAGACGGTCTCCTGCGCCCGTATCTGACTTGAGAGTCTGCATCAAGCCGGGAATGAGATCGGGCAGAGAGTCCTCGCCCAGTTTCTCGACAAGCGAGCCGAGCGCTCGGGATGCCGTTGCGCGGGTGGTCGGCACTGGGTCGACGGCAGCAATCTTGAGACCGGCGACAAGGATGGGGAGATGAAAGATGATGTCCTTTTTCTCTGTCAGATGGGCCAAGCTGCCAATGACCTGAGCTGCCTTTCGCTTGGTGTTGGAACGATCCCCCAGCCCACGCTGCAGGATTCGAGTGACCAACGCCAGAGATGGGGCGTCGAGATAATGCACAAACTGCACCTTGATGAGAGAGTCCAGCGCTTCATCGGTGTACTTGGTGGGGTCGCTGAGTGCTTTGAGGAGCACATCAACCAGGCTCTTGACTTCCGGATTGGTGATGACTTCGCCGAAGCGCTTCAGGCTTCTATTTGCGGCGGCTCGGACCTCTTTGTGACTGTCATTCAACACACCAGTCAACGGGGGGATGATATCCGGTAGACTGTTGGCCAGCTGGTTCGGATCGAGATATGCCATGGCGCCGAGAAGGTCACAAGCACCTCGCTTAGTGCGCCATTGCTGGTCATCAAGTCCGTCCAAGAGAGTCGGCATGATTTGTTTCACGCCGTAAGAGCTCAATTTGCCGAAGCATGCCTTGGCGGCTGCAAGGCAGGCGTCTCGCACATCGCCGTTGCTGTCGCCAAAGCCGCCGAGGAGTAACGGCACGATCTGGATGACATATGGCTCGAACAGACGGCCAAGAACTGTAGACAGGAGCTCGAATGCCAGAAGAGCAGCTTCTCGCTGATGTGCGTCCTTCTTGTTGTCCATGGCTCCTTTCAGTGTTGACAGGATTCGATATTCTCGGAGCGTGGAGATGCCTCTCCCGAGGACCAATCCAGATAGGCCATACGCGGCACCTCTCTGACCGGCATACGTCTTGGAGTTGAGCAATTCATCCATGACTTTGTCGAAATATTTGGACGACTTGTCTGAGCAGACCTTGACGAGCGGAGGCAGACACTCGGCAATTGCGTATTGGACGGTTTCCGACGGAGTGCTCAGGGTTGCCAGCAGCCGTTCAACCACGACGGGTATTTTGGCGTCGCCCGGCTTCAAGTGTCGTGCCAAAGCTCCATAGATGATGATGACGGCCTCGTTCACCCGGTCAGCGGTCTCGCTGTTCTTGTCTGGTTGCTCCAGCGTGCGCTCAAACTTCTTCATCAGTTGATCAATCATTTCCTTGCCGTGGACCTCAGTTGCTCGAATAGCCACGTCCAGCATTTCTCCCCGGACAGTGTCGCTCTTGTCGCCGAGAGGTCCGGCCCCGATCAGGAAATTGAAGAGATCATCGATTTGCTCTTTATCCATGACAGAAGTGAGCTCCTTGAAGGCTGCCGCAGTGCCGTGTCTGGATTCCCAAGGGTCGGATAGATCCATCTTCTTGGGCATTCCAAACTCGTCGAGCTGCTGGACCTTGGGTTTTGCAAGCTCCAGATACATGGACTTAAGATGAGGAATGACTTCACCCAGGGTTTCCTTGTGCGACTGTGCCGAGTCTGCCAAGGAGCGCGCCGCTGCCCTACGTAACTGAGAATCCTTGCTCTCTAGATACGGCACCATCCTCATGGGAACTGTGGCATTGATATCGAAGCCGCTCTCTTCCCAAATTTCTCTCCCAAGTCCGCGGTTTTCTTCCACGTCGTCGTGGCACGCGAGCCATATCTCGTCGGAATAGCCGAGATCGCTCATATCGACGTCGGCGCTGATTGACTGCAACACGGTTGTCCTGACCCCGGCGTGGGATACAGTCGCTCCCTTGGCCAACACCATCATCTCGTCTTGGTTCATGTTGGGTGCTATGCAGCGACAGGCATCGGCAAAGCATTCCCTGACGAGTTTATAGTGCTGGGCGTGAGCCTGCATTGCCTGGATGAGAACTGTCATGAGCTCTGCACGGGAAATTGCCTCATCTTCGCACACGTCGGTGTGAGAGGAGAGGAATTCCAGGGCCAGCACAAGTTGTGCGTCGCGGTCATCTTCAGCTTCTCCCAATCCGCCTTGACGCAGAATCTCCAGAACGAGTGGCATGACGTATATCAGAGAGACGGCATCAAATGGCCGCTGCTCTCCAGCAAAACGGAGGCGGTAGAGGACTCGTGTGACGAGATCCTCGAGGCGTTCTTGGTCGTAAGTATTGGACAGCGTCGCCCCTCGGACTCGCAAAGATGCTACTCCAATGAAAGGGCGCACGGAACCCAACCTCGTCGCCACCTTGTCGGAACAGACAATGTAAGCCAATGAAGCCGCATCCCCAATGATGAGGCTGGCGCCAGCGTCCGTAATGCCAAGGAGCAAAGCAACAGCAGTACCGAGCCAAAGCGTGGCATCGGTCGGGGGCCCCGTTGCAAGAGACTTGATAATGCCAATGCCGCGCATAAACTTTGCTTCAACTTCTCGAAGGGTTTTTCTGATCTGGGTTTCCTTCTTCAGTTGAGCGTTCACTTTGGATGATTCCTCAGCGGTGAGCTTTCGTTGCTGCCCCTTTTTCTGTTCCAGTTGGGTCCTAAGCTCCTCTTCCCATTTCAGGATGTCGTAATCCTTGCTGTTCTTGTTGGGAACCGTGCTTTGTTTCTTTTTGGCAAGGACGTCAACAAAACAGGTTTCATCTGGGGTCCTGAAGATGGCTGCCTCGACAGGTCCGACGTTGCTGATCTGGCCAGCATCAAGATCTCTGCTGACGAGCTCCATCACCCGTGGAATGACGACATCAGGCGCGACAAAGGCTAATTCGGCAGCGGCATTGTACGCAGCTTGTTTGAAGAGGTCCGACTTTGGTTTCTTTGCGTCAGCAACATCTACACAACAGCGGCGAATCTGCACCAAAGAGGCATACCGGCTGGTCAAGAGACGTCCTCTGCGCAATCTCATCCAGCAGCTCATCCAGATGGTTGCGCGCGAGACTCCCCGGATCCACGGACATTCGAAGACACAAGTCTATCCAACTGGACCGCGGAATAAGTTCGTGGCGAGAAAGCACTAGCAAAGTGCAGGCCTGGGCTTCTTGGGCATCTTTGTCACTGTTGGCGCCCAGTTTCTCAAGCTCGCTAGGCTCAAGGCAGATCGACCGAAGGACGTTAATGAGGGTTGTCCGCTCCAGCTTGGTGTCTTTGTCCTTGGCCTCATCCCGTGCCAGGCAGTTCCACAAGCCCTCGACCATGATCCGGGATATCACCAACGGATTGTGAGCGTAAAGCCTGGAAACAGTCTTTGCTGCCTCTATCTGCACTCTCGATGGAACACTGCTTGCCGTTATCAGGTATATCATGGCATCGGACCAAGCCAAGGTGACGTCCTTGTCAGTCGCGTCGACCACTTGCGGAGCGACAGACGTTAGAGCTCGGCAAAACCAATGCAGGTCTTCTTCTACGCTGATCTTGCTGTAGATCCGGTAATTGAGGAGAAAGGCTTGCTTTGTGGATAGTGAAAGTGCCTGAGCCGGAACCGCTATCTTAGTCAAAGGGGCAATGAAGGCGGAACCATCGAATTTTTGCAGCAAAGCCGGGGCCAAAGCCGTGAGCACATATGCGCCAACGAGGAGACCGTTCTGGGCGGCTGCGGCTGCATTTCCCATCACTTCCTCAGAGTTGGCAACGAGCTTTGGCATCACAGCCTCGGCGAATGCCGATATCCCCGGTGTTGACTTGTGGTGTTCCAACGAATGCAGGACACTTCCAACACGAAGCAGCCACAGCCTGCGTGAGCCCGGCTTCTTTTCAGCCAATCCCTTGACCGTGGCGTCCAGTACAGGCTTCGGCAACTCCCTCCCTGTCTCGAGTATCTTGACGATGGACCGTGCTAGAGCGGAGGTCTCAGCGGCCAAAGCTGCTTCATTTCCCTCCTTGGATGCCACGGCCACGAGCGCCGAAGAGGTCTTGTTCGCGCCCTCCTCAGACAGCGGGGTCGCCTCCAGCATCTCAGCATGAAGGACCCTCTGTTCGGGAGAGGCAAGCTTTCCGGCAGCCAGGGGGCTGGCAATCTCGCTGACGACCGCGTCCATGGCTTGGAGATTGGAGCAGCGCTTCACCATGGCCCGAAAGACGGTGATGGCCCCGGCGCGGATAGCTGGATTGCTGGATTTGATGTTGGACAGAAGGGGCTTGAGAAGCTTGCCATGAAGCAACTTGGACAGATCCATACTGTCGGGAAGAGACGTCACGAGAGGCTTCAGAACACCCTCGAGGATGACCTCGGGGGCACGCAGCAGACTTTTATCGATTGCCGGAATTAGGTCCCTTTCAAGCTCGTCGAGGGTGACAAAGTGGCGGAAGAAGTCGTCGAGTCCACAGGCGACATGCTCAGGCAGCGCTGTTCGAGAGCCGATGACCTCTCGAACGTAAAACTCGTGGTATTTTTGCTTATGTGTCTCTAGCTGCGACTTGAGCTCGGGCTGGCGGGCACAAACACCAGCAATGACACCCAGAATCAAAGTATGCTTGGCCACAGGTTGTTGGCCCTTGGCTGTGAGAGTTGAGACGGTCGTGGCCAGGTTCTTATCACGCGATTGGACAGGCGAGAAAAGCTTGCGAAACCCTCTCCTAGTAACAACAAGGGCGGAGCGGACCACACCACTCTTTGAGCTTGGCTGCAGACATTTTTCCAGGGCATCAGCTCCGGCCAAGAGAACATCGTTGCCCAGCTCGTCCCAAAGGGGAGAACCAGTCAGGTGCTGCATGAAAATGCTGCACCACTCGACCATGACGAAGGCGTTGGACACTGCGATGCCTGGCTTTTGAGTCTCTTGGCGCAGAGCCTTGACCAAAGCCCCCAGCGTCTTGGGGCTCGCTCCAGCCTTGATGGCCGAGGCGAGACATTTCTGGACGGCAATTCGGGATTCTCGGTCTTGGTAGAGGGCGTGGGTGCCAAACAAAAGGTCGAGGACGTCTTGGATAAGCTGCTGATCCAGCGCTAGCAGCAGTCGGTTAGCGACTGGTGGGATGGGAAGCTAGGGAGCACGATGATTACATTTTTGCGTTATCGAGTCGTCGAGCTGCTGTAGATGGGCAATGCGCTCCGCGGTCGAGGATGAGGCCAAAGCCTTTTCGGAGGCTGCCAGGTCCAGGCCGGCGCGGGCGCCATTGGCCGGGGCTTCAGGCATGGCGAGATGAGGATTGGGGACGGGCGAGTGGATGAATCATTGGGGGCTGCCGAGGCCTGTTGTTGTCCCCGGACCAGGTCGAAGGGGCGCGTCGAGTTTGGGCGGATTCGAGAAGAGACGAGACGAGACGAGAGGCCTGAACGAGGCTGGCGAAGGAGGTTGAAGGGACTCGATATTTTTGCGTGTACGACGTACAAGTGAGTCTTTTCCCCACGTTGAAAAAATTGGCCCCGCCCTGGCGAAGCAAACACTCACCGCCCGCCTCAACTGGCACTGTACGGTAAGTTACATGATACATGGGACTTATAATCCCAACTCTGACAGGCAATCCGGTATAGCCTAGGAGTAAACACCTCTAATGCACTGAGTGTGTATTTGCTCTAGGAGCCTTGCAAGTTTCTACCTCCAGCAACTCAGGCTTTATTAATCCTCCATCTGTTAGGTGAAGCCGGCGGCTCAATAAGCAAGCTCGCTCTGCCGCAGAAATATCCATTGGCCTTTGATCCTTCGAAACTCGCGTGCGGAGCATTTCCGTGCAAACGAGAACGATTGGCTACCCCGGACATGTTCTCGCCTCTCAACCTTGTTTCCCCCCCCCCAAAAATATTCCGTTTGTCACTATGCGGGTGATTGACTCCCACGAACGCCGCAAGCAGCCCGTGCTCTCAACTGTCAACCTCGCCCGCACATCGACAGCTGCCATCAACGACCTCATTTTCCCCTCGCAAGCTGCCAGTCAATCTCGGCACCTATCAGGTACAGTACCCTGTCGCCTTGCGAGGTGCAGGGAATAAATCTGCAGGTCCGCCGTACTGCCAGTGCTGAGCCCGAGGTACCTCTTCCGCCAAACATCTCGTCTCGCCATCGAATCCTCTCCTAACGCCACCCTCAGGTCTAACAATGGCTGGAGCAAAGAAGAAGAAGAAGCCCGCTGCCAATCCCGCTCGGGGCTTCGCCACAACCTCAATCGCGTCCAAACCGCGCCCAGAGTCCGAAGCAAAGCCCTCGCCGTCCCACCCTCTCAAACCAAATGGCAACGATGCCCCTCCCTCCACCTCGAGCGACAATGCCCCGCCATCCACGGCTGCCGCCCAGCAGCAGCAGCCGCACGACAAGCCGCTCAGCCCCGAAGAGTTTGAGCGCCAGCTCGAGGAGTCGGAGCTGCAGCTGCTCGTCGAAAAGTATACCCAGAAAGCCAAACGCGACGCTCAGCGCCAGCGTTCTCGCCTCGAGACGGACCGCCGCTTGCTCCGCAGCCAGGCCGACACCATCAACATCCCCAAGTGGCTGCCCCCAGAGCTTCTCAATCATATCCTTGATCTCATAAACGCCGAGACTCGCTTCTCTGCCTCCAACGTCTCGTCGGAAAACGCCGGCAGCGGCAGGATGCCCTCTGAGGAGGAAATGATTGTTCGTCTGTGGACCCTGAGCCAGACTCTCGAAGCTGCGACCTTTCCCCAGCCTCGCGTCGAGGCTGCCCTGCGGCACATACTCGACATCGCTCCACACGTTTCCAACGCCGCCAAGGACTCGATTTGGGGCTTGGATGAAGCTCTTGATTGGCTGGCCCGCCAGTGCTCCTTCGAAGAGCTTCCCCCCTACGAGTTCAGGGGCAAACCTACGGCCAGAGGTACGAACCTGGCACCTCCCTCTTATTATATCGGGTATTCACATGGCGCCTTTCTAGACACTCCGACCGACAGTCCTTTTCCCTCCCGCCCCCACACGCCCAGGCTTCAAGACGCGCAGAATGGCCGCCGGGGCAAAGATCTCTCCAACAAGTCAAACGGAAATGCACGCCCCGTGAAGACGCCTTCCAAAAAGGTGATGGCAATCTGTGACGTGGACATTGAACCTGAAGATCTGGTCCCCGAATATGTCGCAACCAAAGCTAAGCTCCTAGAGCTCAGCCGCAGCCAGAGCCGTGGCAAGGCCAGGCAATCCGACGCCGACGACGAGGACACTAGCCTGGTCGTGGCAAAACTGGAGGCTAAGCTTAGCAAAATAGAAAATGATGTGCTCTTCGACAGGTACGTAGCCGAGCAGCGATGGAAGGCCGAAAAGGTGGCTGTGGAAAAGCAGCTGGCGACTGCAAGACAACAGGCCCAAGATACCTCTGCCGAGGAACCTGAGGCGTCGGACCCGGCCGCCGATGTCAAGACATCGGACAAAGACGACGTTGCTGCCGAGGCAGAGCGTGTGGCTGCCGAAATCTTGGCCGAGGACGATGACGATGGCATTACCGGACTGTTCGCTTCCCTGCCCCAGAACGAAGTTGATCCGGAGACAGGCAAGACACAGCTAGTCATCAACTCGTCAGGCGGCGCAAGACTTTTGATTCGAGACTTTGGCGACTGGTCAGGCATCAAGCCAAGGAGGGTCTTGGAAGAGGCTTGTCGATCAAGGCAAGTGGTGCTCTCGAAATCTGCCTTCAGCGCTGGGACCCGTGCTAACCAGGAACAGGGATGCCTCTGTCAAGATTCACTACGTCGTTGTGTCGGATGCGACATTCGCAAGCCGCCAGTCTGTCGACATCGGGTGGACAAAGCCACAGGAGCCTCCCCAGAGTGAGCCTTCATCAGACGTCGAGATCATCGCGGACTCAGCCCGATTCACCTTTACCATGCTCAGTGTTGCCACACCAGATGCCAAGCAGTCCGAGGCGTACATTGCCACCTCAGCTCTTTTTCACATCTTCAGCGGTAACTCGAGGGAAGAAAAGGTCGCCTTGCGGCTGCCACCCGTGTGGCGGGATTTGTGGAACGAGATGGCTGAAGCAAAAAAGAACCGGCTCGACTCTCAGGATCGCGAGGTTGTCAGGTCCCTGAGAGCGCTGGTGAGACAGAGGCATGATCAAGAACTCGAAGACGGCGTCATTCTCCAGGGTGCGTTTCGGGGCCGAGGCACCCCCAAAGCGTCCCAAGACTCATCCGAGAATTGCCAAAGCGATCGCAGAAAGCAGAATACGGCCGCCGCCGAGGAGTTCAAGAAAATTTGGGCGAACAAGTCTGGCTCACGCAAATTTCAAGTAATGCTGGTAAGACGTGACTGGTGCGCAACTTGTGTCATGACGGCGGTTCTAACAGCTTCTGCAGGAATCACGTACACAACTCCCGATGTGGCGGTTCCGGCCGCAGGTTCTGGATGCCGTGGACAAGAATCAAGTGGTCATCATATGTGGCGAAACGGGATGGTAAGTCGTCGTACCCCAACGCCTGGATGAGATGGAGATCTAACCTCATGCAGTGGAAAGAGCACTCAAGTGCCGGCATTCCTGTTAGAGCACGAGCTCTCGAAAGGGAATCATTGCAAGATATACTGCACAGAGCCTCGGCGTATCTCTGCCATATCGTTGGCTCGTCGGGTGAGCGAAGAGTTGGGCGAGAACAAGGGCGATTTGGGTACCAGCAGATCCTTGGTCGGCTACTCGATCCGTCTCGAGGCCAACACGTCTCGTGAGACGCGTCTGGTGTACGCCACGACCGGTATAGTCATGCGGATGCTTGAGGGATCAAACGACCTTCGCGAGATCACGCACCTGGTCCTCGATGAAGTCCACGAGCGGTCCATCGATAGCGACTTTCTCCTCATTGTGCTCAAGCGCCTCTTGACGCAACGCAGAGACCTCAAGGTGGTGCTCATGTCCGCCACTGTCGATGCTGAGCGCTTCTCGAGGTATCTTGGCGACGCGCCGATTCTCAACGTGCCGGGGCGTACGTTTCCCGTGGATGTCCGCTATCTCGAGGACGCCATTGAGGCCACAGGTTACAACCCGAGCAACTCGCCGGCGGAAAAGATGATTGACCTCGACGATGACGCAGTGGAGGATGATGGAGCGGGCTTCAAGAGTGACTTGTCCCAGAGCCTGTCTGCCTACTCGGCTAAGACGCGCAGCACACTTTCTCAGCTTGACGAGTATCACATCGAGTTCGACCTCGTGGTTCAGCTTGTTGCGCAAATCGCGACGAATGAGTCTCTAGTGCAGTACAGCAACGCTATCTTGATCTTCCTGCCAGGCATCGCCGAGATCCGGACGCTGAACGACATGCTTCTTGGCGACCCTCGATTTGCGAAGGACTGGCTTGTATATCCCCTGCATTCCACAATCGCCACCGAGGACCAGGAATCGGCCTTTCTCGTACCACCGCCCGGGGTGCGCAAGATTGTTCTCGCCACCAACATTGCGGAAACGGGCATCACCATCCCGGATGTGACGTGCGTCATTGACACTGGCAAGCACCGGGAGATGAGGTATGATGAGAAGAAGCAGCTCTCGAGACTCATCGACACCTTCATCTCTCGGGCGAACGCGAAGCAGAGACGCGGCCGTGCCGGTCGTGTGCAGAAAGGCCTTTGCTTCCACATGTTCACAAAGCACAGGCACGATCAGCTCATGGCGGATCAGCAGACGCCGGAAATGCTCCGTCTCTCCTTGCAGGACCTCGCGATACGGGTCAAGATCTGCAAAATCGGCGGCATCGAAGAGACCCTCGGAGACGCCCTGGATCCGCCGTCGGCGAAGAACATTCGGCGTGCCATTGATGCGCTCGTTGATGTCCGCGCGCTGACGGCGGCCGAGGAGCTCACTCCGCTCGGCCACCAGCTGGCCAGATTGCCGCTCGACGTCTTCCTGGGGAAGCTGATTCTGCTTGGCACAGTCTTCAAGTGTCTGGACATGGCAATCACCGTGGCCGCTATTTTGTCGTCCAAGTCGCCATTTTCCGCGCCGTTCGGGCAGCGGGCGCAGGCCGACAACGCGAGGATGGCTTTCCGCCGCGCAGACTCGGATGTGCTCACGATATACAACGCCTACTTGGCCTGGAAGCGGGTGTGCCAGTCCAACATCGGCACGGGCAAGGAGTTTCAGTTTTGCCGCAAGAACTTTTTGAGCCAGCAGACGCTCGCCAACATTGAGGATCTCAAGGGCCAGCTCCTCGTCTCGCTGGCCGACTCAGGGTCCCTCTCGCTGACCGAGGAGGAGCGCCGGGCACTGAAGGGCCAGCGCTTCGCCTCGGGCGGTCGTGGGCGTCGACAGCAGAGCTTCTTCGAGGTTCCGTGGCGGGTAAACGTGAACAGCGACAACGACGTGGTGTCGTCGTCTGTCATTGCGTGGAGCTTCTACCCGAAGCTGCTCGTGCGAGACACGCCCGGGTCCAAGGGGCTGCGCAACATTGGCAACAACCAGTCCATCAGCTTGCACCGATCCTCTGTCAACCGCGGCCACCTCGACAATAAGTGGCTCTCGTACTACCACATTATGCAGTCCAAGTCGTGAGTCCCCCCTTGCCCTTGCGTTCTCACGCCCTTCTTTGCAGCAAGATACTAACCACTTACTTACTACCATCCAGCGTCTATCACGCGCACGAGACGACGGCTGTTGAACCATTCGCCATTGCCCTGCTGTGCGGCGACGTCCGCTGCGACGTAAGACCCTCTCCCTTTTCCATAGCAAAGGGATATAGTGTGCTGACCGACCTGCCCGCAGATGTACTCCGGAGTCATCGTCTTGGACGGCAACCGCGCCCGCTTCGCCCTGCCCGACTGGAAGACGATGCTCGTCGTCAAGATGCTCCGCACGCGCCTCCGCGAGGTGCTCACCCGCTCCTTTAAGCAGCCCGGCAAGCTCGCCACGGCACAGCAGGAGAAGTGGCTCGACGTCTGGCAGCGCCTCTTCTCGCAGGACCTCGTCGTCGGCGGCAGCAGCCAGGACGCGGCGGGCGTGTCGGTCGCCATCGGCAAGGCATAGGTTGCCAACCTGCGGTGAGTGACACGGGCCGTTTTAGTCTGGGGGAGGGTGTTTTGGGAGGCTTTGTGCCCCTGATTTTATCTCGTCTCTTTGTCTCGGTATCTGGCGGGATGCGGTCTTGCATTTGCTGGATGGATGGATAAGGATTAAGAGGTGCAGGGCGGTCAGAGCCGTGTAGATGAGTCAATTGTGTGGATATTTGCAGCATCCGAAAGAAAAGGGTCGGGGATGGTGCCAAAGCACCAGGTTGAGGGGGCTCTTACGTAGCTGTCTGGCAGCACAGATAGACTCTGACGAGAACATGCAAGGGAAAATCAACAAATTGTTGAACCACGTTATGATCCAAGCGCTTTTTTGATCATCGTCTTTTATTTTGTTCCTTTTCCATTCCTGCACCAACTGCCTTGCCATCTACTTGGCCACCTAGGCTACGACAGCATATCCTTGTCTATCTGCTTGCCTCCACCCGTCGACGCAGAGGATCAGGCGTGGAGGCAGCTCAAAAGTACAGCAGACGACCGCAGGCTATCGTCCGGAGGGAAAAGGGTAAGCCATGAAGCAACTCCCAAAAGGCCCACCATGCAAAGCTCCCCGCAGGGGCAGGACGACAGAGACCCAAACCTTACAGGGCCCCCTGTGCGCCGCCGTCTCCCTCCCCATCGGCCGTCTTCTTTGCCTCGCCGCCGCTGGTCAGAAACATAGCCTTGAAGTCGGCGTTGCTCTTGGGCGCGGTCTTGTCGTCGCCCCCCGCAGGCGCGCCGTTCTCGCTCGGCTTCGACTCATCGGGAGCTGCGGGCGCCTTTCTCGGGACGAAGCCAAGGCCACGCTTCGGCCCGGATCTGCCCGGGGCGGGGCGACGGATGGAAACCGGAGGAAGCATGAGCCCTGTCTTGGCCAGGGTCGGGTCTGCGGCTGCCGGGCCCTGGTCCTTGGCCGCCTTCTTCTCCTTGCTTCCGTACACGATACGATCGTCCTTATGCTCGGCCCTGGCCTGGCGAAGCTCGCGGACTGTGCCGGTCCGTAGTTTGCTCCCCTCAAACTCCATGCTATCAAGCTGAAGAGCCGCCTTGCCCGCCGTCGCCGCGTCTGCGAACTCAATCTTGGCGCCCCCGTGGCCGGGCTGCAGCACCAGCTGGACAACTGCGCCCAAGGGCTCGACAAGCGCCCGGACGCGGGCGTCGTTGACGGTGTCGGGTAGGCCCATCAGGGCAATGGTCCGGGCCGCAATGTCCGCCGTGGACGGGTTCGAGCGCTCGTCGCCGCCTTCGCTCATGGCGTCGGTGTCCCCTTTGCCAGGTGCTGACGGCGCCGGGGAAGCGGGCTCGCGATCCAGGCCCATGGTTTTCGCCGCGTGCTTCACTTTTGCCTCTTTGGACACCTCCACTACGAGGATCTCGTTACGGAACTTTGTGTTGTTCATCTCCTCGGCGGCCTTCTGGGCCTGCTCTTTTGTCTCAAAGTCGAGGTATGCAAATCCACGGTTCTTGCCGGCCAGGTTCTGCGGTATGTTGATTCTTGTCACCTTGCCCAGCTTGGAGAACACGCCTCGTATCTCATCTTCAGTGACGGACCGGTCCAGGCCGGAGACGTGCACCTCTCGCCCCTCCGAAACGGCGCCCTCGCGGTTCTTCTTGCGCGATGGGTCCGAGTACTTGGCCAGGAGAGCATACTTGCCCTCGAGGACAGTGCCTTCTTTGGCGACAGCTTTTGCTGAGGCATCGCGGTCGCGGAAGGAGATGTAGCAGAACCGGCGGTGGGTATTGACCTTTAAACTGGGCCAACGGATACTCAGGATATCGCCGCAGTCTTTGAAAAGGTCTCGTATGTACTTGTCGTCGGCCGCCGGCGGGTAATTGGCCACGTAAACCGTCAGGTCATAGCCCGACTGGACGCTAATTTGCGCCTGGCCAAAGTATTTACCATCCCTCAGCAACGCAGAATGCGCTTCCTCGGGGGACCTGAATTCGATCAATGCCGTGGTGTCTCGACCATCCTTTTCTCGGACAAAGGCCGTGATGTTGTTGATGTGGCCGTACTCCTTGAAGTACTGCCGAACCTTGGTCTGCGTGACCTCGGCGGGAAGGCCCGTCACGATGATGGTCGCGTTTTCTCGGTCCCTCTTGACATCCTGCTGCGAAGCCCCCGATGGCTGGGCCTCGATCGCCCCTTGGCCAGTCTTTTGTCGCTTGCTGGCAGCCTCGGCATCCTCGTTCTTCGGATCTGGTGAAGACTTGCGTTTGCGCTTCGACCCATTGAGCGACTTCGAGTCGTCGTCCTGCTGCTCGGCCTGCTGGATTCCATAGTAGGCAGCGTAGGCGGCAGCCTTGTCCTCTTCCTCGCGCAGTCGCCGCCGCCTGACCGCTTTGTTGACCTTGTGCACCATGTCGGTAGCGTGTCGCACCGAGGCCGGTAGCTCGTAGTCGTTGCAGTGTTGCAGGTAGACTTCCAAGACCTTTTCGGGCCAGTCAATAGTCTTTCGAGAGGCAGCAGCCTCCAGGACTGCCGTCGCTATCTTAGGCACCCGCAGAGCCGAGCCGGCGCCCGTCGAGGGGGTCGGGCTCCTGTTGGTCTGGACATTTGAAGAGAAGATGAGCATCTCCCACATGTAATACCGAAACCAAAAGTCGTAGCTGTCAGCTTGAATCTGGACGCCGGCGAGCTTGCTCCACACGGCTCTTGCTTGGTCTATGGCCCCCTTTTTCTCCGTCAGGTACTGGATGTAGATGCGCTCGAGGCGAAACTTGGGGTCGCCTTGAAAGTCCTTGCCGTAGAGCCTCTTTCCGACGACAGCGACATCCTCGAGGGCCGCCCTGAGGCCCACGTCGGCCACATCGACAGCCTCATCAATGGCGGTGGCTTCCAGTGCGGTGCGCTTCAGGAACCCGCACCAGGCCACGTACATCTCGATCATGCTCTCCATGCCGTTCTTGTACAATTGGTTTTCGCTCGTAGCCGAATGCTTGATTGACTCGATGTCGGAGAAAGGAAGCTTTGCCTCCTCGGCACACAGAATGTACCGGTTCCAAAGCTGTCCCGACCAGGGACAATGCTGGACAGCTCTGCGGAGTATGTCGAGCAGCCTCTCGGGGGTCTGGAGGTCGACCTGGGGAGACGATACGAAGACGATGTACTCGTGCCAGACGTGGTCGTCCAAGGCCAAGGGGCCGGTAAGAGCTCTGTCGAAGAGACCGCAGCACAGATCCGAGGCAAGCTCCGGCGTTTCGGAGTTTCCCTTATTCTGGCGTATTTCCCACTCGATGTAGTCTCTGAAGACGGACTTTTGGGCCTCGGCATCGCCGGCCCGCGAAGCTTCCTTGAGCTTGAGCTCGAAGGGATCTCGAGCGGCATTGGCTAGCTTTGCCGCCTGTGACGAGGCCGTCACCTCCTTCATCGTCTCCTCCCACGCGTCCGACTTGTACTCGGACAGAAAAGTGGAAAAGGCTTGCGATGTGTCGTCCCAGGTGAGATGAGGGGTGGCGAGGCGGTCGCGGTAAAGGTGAGTGATGCGCCTGACGCCCTCGGGGGTCCTTGTCTTTGCTAGCTGCTCCAGCTCGAGGGAGAGCCAGCGGTTCCAGAGCAGGTGGCTGTCGTCGAGGCGATACTTGATGGCTTGGTAGCCCTGCTGCCACAAGTCGAGGGCGGCGCCAAAGGGGAAGAGCTCGCGGCCCATCATCTGCTCCTGATCGGACCAGCCGCCATCGTCGGACTGGCTGCTGGCCCAGAGACTCCAGAAGTAATCGCAGTATGCCAACCAGAGGCGAAGACTGGCGGGTTCGGCGCTGATGGCGCGCTTGTGGAGCTCGACGAGGTTGACGCGCTGTTCGAGGTCGGAGACGTTGCGGGCCGCCTCTTCGAGGTAGGCAAGCCAGCTGTCCTCGCCTATAGGGTTGACCATGGTCTCGCTCGTCGTGGAGGCGCGGAAACGGTCATTACAGGGCGAGAAGGGTTGGGTGGTGAGCTAGCAATGAAAGGCTCGGATCGGCCTGAAGGCGGGTCAGGCGAGCAGCCGGCCGAAGAAAATGGCAGTAGGTTTGAAATAAAGGCCGCTGGAATGAGGGGAGTCAAGGTACGGGAAGGAGTGAAGAGCAGTGGCTGCACAGGGAGAAAAAGTTGCAGTCAAGAGGACCCTGTCAAGCTGGGCGACGAGGATGACGACTGGTCACTGCAGAAGAAGCTCGCGAGTGGGTGTGTGTGGGAGAAGGCAGAAAAAAAACGGGGTCGGGGGGCTTAGGGAACCTGTCGAGGGCGGTAGGGGGTACTGGGGAGCTATCGGGAGACGGCCATGGGTTGACGGTGGGCAGATGGCCTGACATGTACTCCCTACGCCAGTGCAGCACCGGTAGATGTAGCCGGTACTTTGGCGGCACGTACGATAGGCTGCGCGAGATGATGTAACTGGACAGGAAATGGCAGTCCCGGCAGGCGCCCATTGGACCGAGATCTAGCAGGCGAGCAACATGGGCCGTTCTAGGCTCGAGTCTGGACCGCCGGGGCCTCACGTGCAGAAGTTGTCGATACATACATACCAGGTACATACATAAATGCTAGTACAGTATGCGATGCGCCGACTATTCCCGGCTTACGGCCAGCCTAGCGTGATGCCTAGCGTCGAATGCTCTTAGGCAGCAGAACAGCGATTACCTTGGCACATTTTTTCCGTTCATGTCGAGCTCCGACAACTCAGAAATCACGGCTGTGGGCTGACAAGGTCGCACGACATGGTTGACGCGCGTTTGCGTATCATGAGACATTATCCGAGCTGATGCTGGACCGTACGTATGCCAATCCAACGTCGCCTTCGTTCGCAGTGGTTCAAATGCCATGCCGTGTCCACGGCGGCACAGTATCATAGCTCGCACTGGGATTGATGCCCAACAATGCGCAGGATGCGCCATGACAGAACTGCGGATATACGAGACATGACGAGCAGACAAGGCCGATGTATGTATGTATGTATGTATGTGTATTTTCCGTCCAGCGGCCGTGAGGCCGCTCAGGTCCCGGTGGGGCACAGGACGTGCTGAGCTAGTAGGCTGTCTACAGTCTCCTCTCGCAAACGTAAACAACCACCATCCAGCATTTCATCGGCTCTGAGGCGCTCCGTGTTGAACCTGGTGCCCGTCAGCGGGTCGTGCAGGCGCGGCGGTGAGATCGCCATTCAGTTTTGGTCTCCAAGGGACCGTTGTCGGAGACTGCAGAGCGCAGCCTCAGTTGGCCCGGCCGGGCAAAGGGTGACAAGGCCGATGTGTCGTTGAAAGTGACGCTGTAGGGTAGCTGACACTCAAGTGGGTGATGACTGGGCAACATCAAAACAAGCCGGCCAAGCGAAGAAAAGAAAAAAACAAGAGCAGGAAGGTCGTGATTAGTGATGGCTCGCGTTGGTGGCCGTGTCCCTCCCTGCTGCTGAGAACGGACCCTTGGCCTTTTTTTCGTCTCATGTGGTGGCAGTTGGGCGCCTCGCTGCCGCCAACTGTCAGCCGGCCATCTGGGCTGGGCCGGCGTTTCAAGTTTTTTTTTTGGGCTCCCTCCCCCCCCTTTTCTTTTCTTTTCCCCCCCGTGTCCTCGGGCGGTTGGACGGGATCTGCAACCCCCGACTGTCGATGGAAGGCAGCTCGCGGAACTGCGGAGAAGGTTGTGTTGGTTGGCGGGTGATCGATCAGCCGCCCCCAAGATGAAGCTACTGTAAGCCTGCATGCGAAGCGACCCGGACGGGTGTGATGGCCAGGGGCTGCGTGCCTGCAAAGCCGCGCGCTGACCCGACGCTAGGAGAGAGAGCTGATGATGACCGAGGGCCCCCCCTCCCGGGGTTTTCTGCTTGCGATGACAAGTCGTTCGTTTCAACGTTAATGCCAGAGCTGGGCCCGGACTGAGACTCGGACGCACACCCAGGGTTTGGTTGCCTCTTGGCCGGCCAATGACGTCCAGAGCCAAAAAGGACTGTCGGATGCCTCGCCTTTTGATCAGTCCACATGTCTGACGGCCCTTGAAGTGGTTGACGACAATCGTCATCGTGTCTCCAGCCCAGCGTGTTTGCACCGCTTTGCTAGACAGATAACGCAAGGTAGCGCTCCCACGCATGAAGCATGACGAGGACATGCTTATTTACCTCCTGGACCTTGCTGCATGATGTATTCGTCTGTAAGGGTCGGGCCCCCGTTCATGTTAGCGCGTCTGGAGGAGATACCGTGTCGTACGGTGGGCAGGTTCCTGCAGCTCTTCTACGGTTTGTTGGCCCCCGCACTGACTGCCCCTGCGGTCCAACCACAGTGGGTGCGAGGTGCCCGGTACTGCACGCGCCGCTCGGACTCTGCGCCTTGTCGGGTACTCTGTACCGCGTGTCGGCAAAACAGCATCACGACGGCTTCTCCTCCTTTCTCTCTCTCTCCCCTCTGCCTTGACTCCCTCCCGCCTTGGACATCCCCTCACCCGTGCCATTGCCATCGAGGCTGCTCGCCGACCTTCTTTCTGCGCCCTCTTTTGCGCCTTCTTCTTCATCTTCTTCGTCGTCGGCATACCCTCCCTGCCAGCAACGACGGGCTGCTCTTTGTTAGGGGGCTTTATTTTATTTTATTTTTTAAACTCGCACTGCACTTGTTTGTACCCCAGCATCCGCCCGCCGCCTCCACTTGCCTCGTCCACGCCATTTTTTACATTCTTGCCTCGTTCCTCAACGCGCCAATTGTCGGCTCGACCTTTCCCATTTCATTCCTTTTGTCGCGCATTCGACTCTTCCATTCGTTCGCCAACTTTTCTGCCTGCCGACACCCGCACACCCTTCGACAGTGTGCCACAGCATTCGTGCGTCCTGACCTGATTCAGCTTCTCTCGCCCTAGCCTTCGCCCGAGCTCTGGCCCGGCTCTCCTCACCGTTTCCTCGACGGGCCTTTTAGCTGCCCCTCATCCCGCTCCTTTGACGTCGGCATATCGACTGCTACTTCCTTCTCATCACCTCTCTGAGCAATCTCGACAGCGGCCTGGCTCGAGCCCCGGGGCCGAAATGGGCCGTTTTGTGCCTCTAATTCTGGGCGCTTGGAGCGCGTTGCAACTGTTTGGCGCCGTCGCCCAGGATGTACCGACTTGCATTGTAAGCCTTGGCTGCCCTCCCCACATCTACCGCCCCCCCTCTGACCTTGATATCTATCCAGCCCGGCTGCGCGAACCAGCTGAGATCGGACTTTGCCAAGTTTTCTTGCCAAAGCGCCACCGATGCTGCCTGTTTGTGTCAGGAAAAGTTCATCAGCAGCGTCGTTGAATGCAGTGCCAAGTGCAAAGCCAAGGACGAAGATGTCCGCCGAAATCTCGGCCAATCTTTCTGCGCAGGTAAGAAACGGGGGAATTTTGGTTGGTTTGCATCTTGCGCTCGGACCCGACTGACCAGGGTCAGGCCATCTTCCCTCGGCAGCATCATCGAGCTCGGTGAAGCCCGGAACGCCGTCGTCGGCCCCGCCGCCCTCGACGGCGACTCCCACTTCAGCCACGCCTGTTTCGACTTCAGCTCCGCCTAGCTCAACTTCAGTTCCGCCCAGTTCGACATCAAGTGCGCCCGCCTCCACGCAGGCGTCGACTTCAGCTTCGTCCACCTCGTCCGCCGTTGCGGCCGCCACGGTGAGTGCGGTAACTCGGCTTTCGGGGCCAAATAGGCTTTCGGACCTGGACTGAGCTAATTCCATTGACTAGTCTGCGACTTCTGCGTCGGAAACATCCGTGGCCGCTTCTCAAACCTCCGCCGCCCTCGCCGGCGCAAAAACCTCTGAAGCTGCCGCAACCGACCCCTCGGCATCTGCTCTATCTCAGGCTTCCGTGGTCGGCATTGGTGTCGGCGTTGGTGCTGCCGTCATCGCTATTGCTGGCATCGTCCTGTGTCTCCTGCTGAGAAGCCGCAAACGAACGCCCCGCCCGTCAATGGACATTTCAAAGCCGCTCCCTGGATCTGGCAGAGCGTATGCGGGCCGCGACCACAACTCATTTGAAAAGTATGGCAACGACATCGAAATGACTACGAACCGCTACGAGGACATGGTACCTCGACAGCAGCCCAGAACCATGGTTTGACCTCACGGAGACGTTAGCCGGTGAAGGCACCTACCGAAAAAGCTGCTCAAGACTGTGAGTTTCGTCCAGACCTTCCTTGGTCACCACCGGACGCCCAGTGAACATGATTCAGCAAACGAGCCACGCATCCTCATCTTTGGCCGACGAACATGGGATGAAGAGCTCGGACACAGCCGAGGCTGTACCGCTCATTTTGGCGAGGAGTCGGCTGCGTATTGCGTTCGAGATGCAGTTCTGTTTCTTTTATCATATTTCAGGGCCTCATTTCATTGTTTTTTACCCAGAGCCGGCTTCAGGGGCCCTATGGCAGAAGTCGCGGAGCTTGAGGCACCCTCAACTAGGCAAGCCGTTCCATGTACATATATTTTACACTTGGCTCTCTGTCACATCAACTACACACCGCCGCAAGATGGTGATGCGCCGCTAGATTAAAATCCCGGGACAATATGACTACCACGAGTAGTACGGACGCTGGCCGTGGATTGAGCGGTTGGGCAGGTGTACCCACGGGCCCTTGGCCGCCTTCTTGGCCACGCCTTCATCGTGCTCTCGTAACCGCGTCTTTTCCTCCTTGAGCACGACGGAGAAGCCTGGAGTAGAAAGAATTAGCGCGGGGACTCTAAACGGGGGACAAGGAGACCCACTTGTGCTTGGATGTTGGATGAGGCCGTGTCGCCCTCGGCCTTTGTAGTCGAGTTCTTGGCCCCGCCACGGTCCCCGGCCCACCCACGACTGGGCGACGTAGATGCGGGTGGGATCGGTAATTGCTATCCACTTGCCGTCCTTTGCCATGATCTTGCGCGGCTTGGGCAACGATTCGCCGTTGACTTTGCCCAGCCCCATGCCTCGCTGGGCGACAGCGAGATCGCGGGCCTCCTCGAGGTAGTACCTCATCTCGGCGGACATCTTCTTCTTGGACCACCTCATTTGCGTGATTGCCTCGTCGACGGGCTTGCCGGCAATCTGACGCGACAGCATGACGAGCTTCTTGAGACTGGTGGGGAGGAAGTGGCTCTTATGGACGAGCTCTCGCTCCGTCATCTTGATCCTGTCCTCCTTGGTCAACTGGCCGTTGTTGCGGACCATCTGAATGACCTTGTTGCGCTGCCAGCGCACGCGGCTCCGGGGGTTGGGGTCCGCCACCATGGCCATGGTCTCACGCGTCTTCTGCACCACGGCCTCCTTGGGGCCGCTTGCTGGTGCTGCCGCCGCCGGGCCGGGGGAAGTAGAGTCGATTTCGTCCTGAAAGATGTTGTCCTCGACATGGGACCGTAGGTTGCGCTCCAAAAAGTGCTGCCTGAGCTTTGGGTCGTCGAGCTCCGGGGCGGTGTCGCGGGCCGACTGCTGCGCAGCGTCGCGGGACTTGGCGCTCCTGCTGCCCCAGCCCTTGAGGGGATTGAGAGACCATTTGTGGCGGCGCTGGAGGGTGGTGCAGGGCGGGGGGTCTGAGGCGGCGACAGTTGCGCGGGTGGCGGTTCCGATAGATGGGTGGGAAGACGGCGCTCCTGCTTTCTGCGTGTTAGAGAACCCGTGGATGGGCTAGTTTTCAATTGAGAGGATGGAAGTGTACCCGAAAGCGCCAGCCGCCGTGCGGCCAGACGGGCACTCATGTCGAACAAGGGGACGTGGATGCCAGCTTTGCCAGACGGGAGGCCTTCACGATGCCAACTTGAATTGAGGGTGTTAAGCCTTGGCTGGAGTCAACCTTTTTTCGGACGCTCCGAAGTTCTGCCGAGTGGGCCACATGGTGAATATAAGTCACGTGATATAACTCTTTAGCGCGGTCGGAACATCAGACCATGGTTCCTGAGATGCCGCGGGCACAAGATCAAGTCACGCACTTCAACCGAAGCAAGCTCTCGAGCCGACAGAGACACTCGCCGCACACTCTCTCTTCACAACCGGCAAAGCAACACCGACGCCATGGCCATCAGCCCCATTACCGGAGTACGTTTGCACAGGAACCCAATGGCGCGGCATGGGGGAGGTTGGACATGCCGCGGGACTTGAGGGTTGGAGGCGATTTTATCACCTCGTTGCACGGGCTGACTTGGCTGGGTATGCATAGATGCTGCGACGACGCTTGGTCCTGGACCTTGCTATCGGACTGGGTATGTCTTTCCGGAGGTCACGAGGAGTTGGAGCTGTTGATTGGGTGCCGAGGCATCTGGCGAGGCATTGGAGGTCGCGGCTAACTGGGATTGCAGGATCTGGCTTCGTCATGGCCAATTACTTCTGGTAAGCGGGCACTTTCCCGACTCGGAGCGATGGCGAAACGACGAGACAATGCGAGAAGCCTGACGCCGAGTGACGGATAGGTACGGCTTCCACCTTCCCCGGACCCACGCCCGCGACGCCTACTACGGCAAGCTCGAGGAGAAGCGCGCCCAGGCCAAGGCCAACTAAGCGAAGCGCGGTGCAAGGGACGCAAACAAAAAATATGGCTGTGGAGGCCGCAAGACAACACGACGGGCTACGTCTAGACAAGGGGCGGATGGACGGGGAGCCTTGCGCAGAGATGCGGCAGCGTGGTCGTGGAATGTTGTTGTACACATAGACCAGGGCAACCCAGTCGATGGATGCTTTGATCGTTTTCTTTGTGACATTTGCATTGCTGTTCTCGCTGGTGCTATAGATGTGCGTAGACGGATACAAGGCTGGCCGACGAGCAGGCACATGTGTGATGGCAACCAAATCCTGGAGCCAAGGCGACGTCTTTGCCGTGCTTTTCTGCTTCCAACTACAGGTCTTCACGCGACGAACCTGCCCAAGAGAGGCAGGCCAAACCATATTTGGCAACCAAGATTTGGTTACCAGGCGCTGAATCGGCTGTGCTCGTAGACGGGGAGTTCAGTCAAGGCGTAGACCGCTGCTATTTTTGGTATTTCCGAATGAACTGTTGAGGTACCATGTGCTTGACGGAACAAAGCAAAGGCGATTGAGCCGGATTGCTTGCTGGGAGGAGATGGCAAGGGGTGTTCCTGTGTTCCTTGGGCGACGCCACGGCGTGGTGTGACAGCATGCCGCTCTTGTGGATGAGACGAATCTTGCTCTGCTCCTGATGACACAAGCCCAGACCCGGGATCCTCGAACCAGAGGCCGTGAGCGGCGTGGCCAAGTGCACACTGTGCCCCGAGGCATCCTTGGGTAAAGAAGCTCGACGGATTGCTAAGTGACGGCGACCCGGGCAATGGTGGCGGCCGTCACCTCGGGGCCTCGTCGGCGTCGTGCCAATTGGAAGACCACTGGTACGGCTTCGGCGGCTCGGCTGCGTCGTCGGCGGGCTTGGCCGGGCCGTCGTCCCATCCGGCCTTGCCCTCCCACGCCGTCGTCTCGACCATGAAGGACGATTTTTTATCCTTGCATCTACAAATTCGTTACCACTCCGCGCATCACAAAAAGTCCCAGTCACGGGCCCCCCTTCCGCGCCAGCAAACCACTACAGCCAAGCTTGGTGGCGCAGTGGAGAGACACAAACGAACAGGAGACGAAGAGACCGAGGGGAAGCTCACTTGCGAAAGAGGCGCTGCACGGCAAAGCACTGCACCGGGCTGTCGCGCACCGCCGGCCGCTGCACCTCGCACTTGTACTGCAGCATCTGCAGCAGCGGGCAGGCCGAGAGGTCGAGCAGCGCGCTGCCGTCGAGCTTGCGCCGCCGGCCGCGGGCGTCGTGCTGGGCCTTGAGGGGCAGCTCCGAGGCTGGGAAGGAGTGGCAGGGCGGCGTCATTTTTTTTCGCTTCGTTGCGCCGCCGTCTTCGTTGGGGCCTTGGTGGGTTTCGAGGTGCGGGCGGCGATGGAAGCGGTGATGGGGAAACGGGTGCTGGATGAGGTGGAGGAGACGACTCTCGACGAGGTGGGTGAGCGATTGAGTGCATTCTTCTAGGGCCGACCTTTTTTCCTCGGCTTGACGAGTTCCAGGTGGTCCGACCTCTCCTCTCCCGAACCGGATGCATCACCCAAGAACCCCCTTCTTCTCTCTTGTTATTATTATTGCACGGAGCTCAGCATGTTGGCTCGTCGAGAATTGGGTTTCACGCCCGCCAGTGCGCGCTCCTCGGCATCATCCTCCTTCAAGAGATGAATCATGACGGCATTCAGGGGAAATGCCTCAACGCTTGCTCACAGCAATGATTATTTTCTTGGGAGAAGAATAATTACGAGTTATTCGATCAATCACGGCGACATGTCCCAATCGACCGGCCGCGAGTCGATGTAGGCGCACAAAAGCTGATGATGCACGCACACACACGCAGATACTCAACAGCCTGCGCGCAGCACTGCCAGACGCCGCCGCCGCCGCGCCCAGCCGCGGGCTCAAGCCCACGCACATGGACGAGCTCGACCGGGTCGCGGCGCGCCACCTGCGCGACACGCAGGCGCCCACCCTGGCCATCGCGGGCCGCAGCCTGCCGCTGCTCTACAAGCTGGTCGCGACGCTCGTGTCGCCGCCGCACCGCCAGGCCGTGCTCGTCGTCGACGCCGACGGCCGCTTCGACGCGACGCGCCTCGCCTGCCACGACGACGACGACCTGCGGCACGTCTACGTGCAGCAGTGCGGCGGCGCCGCCAGCCCTGAGCATCTCCGCGCGCTCGTGGCCGACGCCGAGGCCTTTATGCTGTACCACGCCGCCGCGCGCCCCAGCCGCTCCCGCCGGTGGTGGGGCACCGTCGTCGTCCTCGGCGGCGCCGGCGCGCCGGGCCTCGGTGGGGGGGACGTCGTCGCCGGGTGGAAGGGCTGGCTGCGCGTGGACCGCGACCAGGTGCAGCCCTTTGCGCTCGGCGTGGGCGTCGACGACGCGCTGGCCGAGCGGGATGCGCGACAACGGGCTGTCGACGCTGCTGGCTGGGCGGCGACGTCCCCGTGGGGGGGCTTTGTCTTCTACGATGGCTAGCATCGACGGCACGTGGGAGGGGATACTGTACATTCAACAAGGGGCCAGAGGTTGCGAAGGAATGGAAATCAGAGGACAGATGGAGGAAAGAAAGAAGGGAAAAATGGAACCGCGTATGAGCAGGCGGTGGCTGGCCTCTGAGGGAACAGTCGAGATGACATGCTGTGTTTCTCTCCAGTGGAGAGCAACGACGTCGATGCATCTGATACGAGAGCAAGTCGTGTCACTCACTCATGGCAGCGTTCCGGGGTGGAGAGCCCCTTCTCCCTTGAATGAATCCCAACCACGAGGTCTCCTCATCGCCCATCTCCTGCACGCCAACATGGCCAGACAAGAGGCCAGCCTCTCCACCTGGCACGCTCTTATTGTTTTATTTATCCTCCACGATTCAGCAAGTGGAGCACCACCATCCACAGAGCAGGATACTCAGCATAACCACGAGCTAGGGTCCTTCGAACCCTGTCAATCCAAAACCACATCTACAGCATCATGCCCGAGCCAGACTGCACCGTGTGCCAGTCCCAGGGGCGAATCTTCCGACCCGTTATGTTTACAGCAGACCATGGCTTGACGCGACTGAGTCGGGACGATGCAGGATCGCTGCCTGTGCGCCCTCGCCATCGAGAAATGCTAAAACAAAAACACCCGCGCCAGTCATGTCCCGTGTTTTACGGCGACTCGTCGACGCTGCAGGCTCGCGGGGAGGTGCTTGACTAGCCGTGCCGGTCCTCGACGTAAGACGCGTCGGCTGAGGGGGTGGGCTTTCAACACTTCGAAACCACTTGTCGCAGGCTTCGAGGCCGGCTTGCGGTACGACGCAGGATGTTGGGCCTGCGAGGCTTGTGGTGTTGCATGGCATGCGTGCTGGGCTAGAATATCCCTCGGGAGTGACGACTTGTTGCCTCGAGTTACCTGGGCTGAAGTTTGATTCCTTCGTCGGGGCACGAGCAGGAGTATGCAAGTTCGAAATCAGGGTAATGTCACATTGGGGCCAAGCTGCTCAGTGTTGAGAAAAAGTCTTGTCTGAATTGTATCTATGATGTGATGCTCATCAGGGTATAAGGGTGGTGCATCATGGTTTATAAAAAGTCAACAGCCCCGAAGATGCATGCCAAAGACTCGGTCCCTAGCAGCATCAGTCCCCCATGCTTCGCGCGCAAGAACAGGACACCTGCTGTTATGCTTGTTCCCCCAGCTCGCACCCGGTCGCAATTCAGAATGAAAGAAAAAAGACGAGACCCAGCTCCAACGATCAAAAAAAAGGGTCTTGCGAAGGTAACAGAAACGCCGGCCATGGATTCATAAAGGCATTGGGGAAATGCAGGCGAGGTTTCACGCGGCAATGGCGTGGTCTTCCGCCTCGTCGGCAACAGTCGCCTGCCCGTTGAGGACGCTCTTCTGGAGCGACGAGGCGACCTGCTTGCGCATCTCGCGCTGAATGCCGTGGTTGACGGCGTCGAGGACGTTTTCGACGGTGACGCGCGGCTTGTAGGCGGGCTCGGTGCCGTCTTGGTAGACGCCCGTCTTGACCAGGATGCTGTACCAGTCGTTATCGGCTTTTTTGTTGACGGCGTTGGTGCCGCGGATGTCGCTCTCGGGCGTGTCGCCGACAAAGTAGACGGTCTGGGGCGGGCGGTCCAAGCCGTGCTCGTCATTGCGCCACTGGCTCAGCAGGCGCGAGGCAAACTCAAAGGTCGGGACCTGGGGCTTGCCAAAGGCGTGTGTGTGCAGCTTGCCCTTGCCGCCCGTCAGGTCTTTGAAAGTCACCTCAAACATGCGGCGCAGCGCACCCATGCCCAGGCGGACGTGCTCGTGGGCGGCGGACCAGACAATGTCGTTGTGCGAAAAGTAGAATGGCGGGCCCTCGTCAAAGGTTTCGCTGCGGCTGCCGAGACGGCCGCCGCGAGACATGGCCAGGTCGAGCATGATTTGAATGTCGCCGGCCCAGTCGCGCGAGTCGGCAAAGACGAAGACGGCATCTATGACCACGTCGGTGAAGTCGCGCTCACGCGAGTTGGCATGCTCTTCGGGCGTCAGCTTCCGGAACGGCGTGGTGGCTGCGTTGTGCTTGATGATGTCGCCGGGGGTGACGACGTCGGTGAAGCCATAGCCCTCAGCAACGTCGCGGCACTTTTCGCCCTCGCCGCCGACAACCAAGACCGTCTTGTACTTGGACGCCATTTCCCGCATGGGCGTGTGGCCGCAGATGAACTGGCCAGGCTTGATATCCTGGAGGAGCTGGCGAGACAGGTCTTCGCAGCGCTCTTCTTCCGACTTGCCTCCACCGTTGGTGAGGAAGATGTGGGGGCTGTCAATAGGGGTTAGTCGCAGTTCTCGTCACTCGCCCGAGAGGTCAACTCACACATGGACACCATACTCATTCTCGCCGTTGAGAACCCTCATGGCCTGGATAGCCTCCGGGATGGCCTTGCCGCCGCGGACGAGGACGCCGTCAATGTCAAAGGCAAAGACAAACGAGTCGGCGACGGACAGGGGGCTGACAGGCGAGCCGGGAGTGGGCACGCTGGCGACGCTGGAGCCTGAGCTGTCGGCGGCGAGCTCAGGAGAGCTGGGTATCGAGTCCGAGGAGGCGGCGGCGGCGTCGTCCAGCTCCTGCTTGGCCTGGGCGACCTTGTGGTAGAAGGCGGCTTCCTGTTGTTTGGAATCCATGATGGTGGTGGACTGAAAGTGGGTGTAAGTATGCGGAGACGAGTGGACCCGTGGAGGAGAGCTGGCAGTAGGAACAGTAGAAGGGTCCTAGAAAACAGTAGAGAGGATAGGGGATAAGCAGGGTCAAGACTCACCGTCATGAACGGTAGGAAGAGACGGCGTCTTTATACAATGGCGAGGGCGTCCTTGCTGCCGGGACTCCCATGATGTGTCTGCAACACCGTCGAGGATTAGTTTCCTGTCCTTGGTCTCCACGTGGATCCCGGGCGAGTCATACAACAGGGCCACGAAAGGCCGGCCACGAAAGGCGCATGGTGTCTCCATAGGCAGAAGCAGGCAGCTTGGGGGACCAGGCGGAAGGAGGATCGGCCGTGACGAAGGGGCGCCAGGATACCCACCGAGGGTCCACAAATCGAAAACTCTGGCCCGCAGGCTATGACATGTGTGGTCGTTGAGTGGTCGTTTCTCCTCAACGTGGTGTTTGTGGATGCTTTTCGCGCCCCCTTCTGTTGTCGTCGAGATTTGGGGGGACGCACGCTCGAGGTACGTACCCCTTCGGTTCTGTCGGTAAGTACCGGCTACCTCGGGGTTGTGGGCGAGAACGGCAGCCAAGCCTCGTACCGGCTACCTGCTCAGCCCAGCCTCGCCCCTTGGCGGTGAGGTTTAAGACTTCAGTGTAGCGATAGGAAAGCGCTGGGGAATATTGATATTCTTTTTCCCTCACTCAATCGATGCACTCATCCGGGTACATGAGAAGACGGAAAACTGACAGTTTGAATCAGAGTGGGTAGATGGGCGCTCCGTCTTGCACGGCCTCATCTATTCTGATACGCCTCGTCATGGCTTGTCTGATTGCGGCCGGCGTGGGGTCGGTGCCAGGGCCGTACCTGTACGAGTGGGCTACAGGGCTGTGCATAACAGGCGACGTCGGGGGTACATGCGGGGCATTTCATGCTGCGGCAACTTCGGGCGGCCCAACGGATGCCTGAGCGTGTAGTTCTCGGGTCGCTGGTGGGCGCAGCGCATGTCGCTGGCCGTACTGCTTGCTTGGCAGCTGTGCCGCAGCCTGCGCAGGCGGTGCACCAACAACAACCAACCCCTGTGAATCGGGGAGGGAGGCTCTGCCCCTCCATCCCTACAGGGGAGATGCGAGCAGGGGACCCGAATACGGTACTCGGACGGGAAAAGGCGAGGGCGCCGATAGGCTCATTGGCCGAGAATGACTCTCGACGGGCCTCTAGGCTTGCGCGGGATGGACGCCGCACAGGTCGATTTCATACACACACAAGCAGAGCAAGCAGCTGTCAACAAAGATGAGTCGACCAAAAGCATCCATCTCGTCATTGTACATGTCTGCCGTGCCGCCCTGGGCGCAAGCAGCGGGTATGCCCCCAGCCAAGAGCATGGCGCATGTAAGTTACATGACTTCCGGAGCGGGTCTCAGGGGGTGGGCGCGACAAGATTACGGTAGGTGCTGTTGTCAGCCTGTACAGATACATACTTGGCGGTGCGCGGTGAAATGGCGCGCGCGAGCGTGTACAGTACAAGCCTACTCCTTACTGTAAGTTACGGTGGAAACGCATGGCGCGGCCGCCCACGACGGTCGGCCCGGCCGGCTCCACCGTGACGTCAGACCCTTGCGCCGGGCCGGCCTTGGCTCGGTTCCGCCACGCGACCGTTGCCTTTCCCGGAAGGGCCCTGATTGGGTTCTGCTTTCTTCAGCTTCCTGCTCTGCGAAGATACATGTGATCTTTTTTCCTCGGCACGTATCCGTAGTCGTTGGTGCTGATGGACTCCCAACGTTGGGTAGATGCGCCAACACGAAGACAAAAACAAAAAAGTTTAATCTAATCAAACCCGTCGAGGATTCACGCAGCCGAGCCTAACTGAGCCTATTTCCTCCTTTGACGTCTCTCCTACGTAAAGTTGAAACCTTTCCAACATCGCCCTCCCGGCTTGTCGGTATCACACACTACAGTAGCCTTCCGCTACCCGCAATCCTATCTCACGCCGTCGGGAGGGGAACTGGCCGCACGGGACAGCATCAGAAAGAGATGGGTCGGTGTCATTTCGCCGCGGCCGCAGAACGCATGTAACCGCTACCACCGGTCGCTTCGCGGCTCGGCGGGTCCCGGGGACTTTGGTCGTCGTCGAGAGCTGGCGTACCATGGTGACGACGATGACGAGCCATATACTCTTCTTTCGGCCGGGTGTCCCTCTCGGGGCAGACAGGGGACCTCACCTGTCCGGTCCAGGTGGTCCGTGACGGATGCCGCTGTCCGGAGCCCTTGGCGCTGCTACTGCACCTTTGCCGGCCGGCTGGCGGTGAATGGGGATCGACATTGACCCGGGGCGCAAATCTCGACGCCTGCTTGCTATCTGAGAGACAGGGCCCCGGATGTGGACGGATGGGCGGCGGCTACGGGAGAGACACGCAGATGCGGGCGCACAGACAGGGACCGATCCGAATGTCGTGCGACCCAAAGATCTGTGTCTGGCCTGTCGCGCGAGTCTGAGAACAGGCACACGACGACCGTCTCATCTTTCTCCATGGACAAGGCCCTCTCCGGTGTGCAGATGAGGTGAGAAGTCTTGCCCCTTCTCGGCCAGATCGCCATGGCCGACAGATAACCTACAGTTGATGGCGCCAATCAGAAGGACGACACGACATGCGGTGCAGATACTGTATCTGTACATATAAACGGGCGAGTTTGATGCGACCGCAGTGCTCCGTGACACGCACCCTTTAATCACGCAAAGGGGTCGGTCTCTTGCGATGCCCTGGGCCAGTGACGACCAATGATGGGCTGAAACGGGCCAGGATGCCCCTTACTTTCACGCGATGTCGCGTTCATCGTCTCTGCGCAGGCCAACCAAGAGATACGAGATACAGTACGTGACCAACAAGCCCGATGATAAGCCCAAATGTATAGAAGGAGGAGGAGAAGAGGAAAGAAGGGAGCAAGGAAAGAAACCAACGAGAGAACAACTGCGGCATTTGTCGGTCCAAAATCGCGCTTGTCTCCTCCCCTTACCCGGTTTCTTCTCCATCCGCCATCCTCCATCCTCCATCCCACAGTTGCATGTAACATGCAAAACCCGACACCGCATGTCCTCTCGCTCTTCAGGCCCATTGGCCGCCTCGGTAACCGGGCAGGGCCTGTGCTGTGTGCTCGCCAACGGCCAACGGGGCTTGGCCGATTGTGCGAAAAAAAAGCAGTACACGGGTCAACACACACGGGTCAACACACACAGGTCAAACATGTAGATAGACAGACTCACGCATGCAGCTTCTTGACAGCGTTGGACGAGTACCGTACTGTACATACTTGGTACAGCGCTCGATTATGTACAGTAGACCCGAGTTGCACGGCCGCGGTGCACCAACCTGGGTATACCGCTATCTGCGCATGCGTCGCATCATCTCACCTCACCCAGCCAACAATGCACTTCAGCGCCCTTTTGCGCCGTAGCCTTGCGTCTCCAGTGGGCTCCCGTAGCTGTAGCAGGCAACCGGCCATCATGGGGACCGGTGTTGCCGCAGCTGCACGGACCGACGATCAGCAACGACATGAACACAACGCCCTCGCTGCCTCTCCATCCTCCATCTCAAGGTGAACAAATCACCATGCATGCGCGCCTTTTGATACAGTGGATCCTCTCTCCTCCCTGCAGTCCTTGCAGGCAGGCATCAGGCAGGTAGGGAAACGCACTGCACACATGCATCCCGGACCGGAGGCCTCACTGCAAGTTGACAAACAGCCCGCCGTCCACCAGCAGCTGGGCACCCGTCACATAGCCGCTCATGTCCTCGCACGCCAGGAACACGGCCGGCCCCGCCAGGTCGCGCGGCACGCCCGTCCTGCCGAGCGGGATCCTGCCCTCCATGTAGCGGCGCTTGTCGTCGTCGGCCAGGTCCTCGTCGTTGAGCTGCGTGCGGACGGTGCCCGGCAGCAGGGCGTTGCAGCGGATGCCGTGCCGGCCCAGCGCCGCCGCCGCGCTCTGCATCAGGCTCAGCACGCCCGCCTTGGTCGGCGTGTAGTGCGCCTGCCGCGCGCCGCCCACGAGCGCCGAGATGGACGACACGCCGATGATGCTGCCGCCCGCCGGCGTCTGGCGCTGCGCCATCTGTCGCGCCGCCGCCTGCGTGACGTAGAAGGCGCCGTCGAGGTTGGTGCGCACCGTCGTCGCGAGCAGCTCGGGCGTCGTCGCGAGAAAGTCGGAAAAGGTGCACACGCCGGCGTTGGAGACGCAGATGTCGAGACGCCGCGCCGCGCCCGAGAGCTCGACGGCCCGGGCCACGAGGCCGTCTGCGGCGTCGGGGTCGCGCACGTCGCCGGCTTCGAGGACCAGCCGCCCGGCCGAGCTTGGCCATGCACTCGCTGTCGGCGCAGAGCCGTCATCGGGCCGCCCGAGCAGCGCCTCGGCCTCGCCGACGAGCGACTCGACGTGCGGCCGGTCCCTGTCCAGCCCCAGGTGGTTGACGACGACGTTTGCGCCCTGCCGCAGATACTCGAGGCATATGGCGCGCCCGATGCCCGTGGTGCCGCCCGTGATGATGGCCGTCTTGCCGGCGAGCAGCGCCGTCGGAGGAGCCATGGTAGGATGGCCGGCGGTGGAGGTGCTGCAACGCCAAGAGATGTCGTTGTTAAGGACAGCCTGCCAGCCAAGGCTCAACCTTTTAGCCATCCGAGCTAAGGGGCCCCCATACCTATCGGATCCAATACCGAAGCATAACTATACCGTACATGGTAGTAAAATAGGATCTTGGCAGCTGTATTGACAATAATTAATACCAAGACGCCTAACTTGGAGCCACTGGCAAAAGGACGCAGCCTCGGATATCGGCTTCCCCCCCACGCAGGGCCCGACTTCCGCGCATACCACGGTTCGTGAACTGCATGCTTCGCCCCTCGGCCAGGGGATTTTTTTTTTGGCGTGGTGGGGACTCAGGAACTGTCTCGCCGCCGAGGGAGAAACGGCCACCGTTAAAAACCTCACAATAATTACCGTTCGCCTAGGCCGGCCCCAAAGGTGAAATGGGGGGGAGTGGGCGAATCACCACCGCCGTCTCTCTTGTGGACCGCCTGCAACTCCACGACGTCTCGTCTGGGCCGTTCTTATATGGCTTCGCAGTGCTTCACGGGTACACATGGACTCAAGCAGCATGGACCCAAGACTCAGGTTCCTGACATTCCGGCCATGCCAATTACGTGTACGCGGCGGCCACCTCTATCTATCCCATGGTTCCCATCCATCACCTCCAACCAAACACAGCCTGGGCTTACGGCCCTACACAGTTATAGCCCGCTGGCAACTGGGTACTCCAGTTCCGCTACCTCCCGGGATAAGAAACCCGTCAATATAACAAGCATGATTCAACGGTAGCCTTAACTAGACTCGGCACGCTCACTCGCGCCCTTCTCTCGCCTAGCCTCGCCCTGTCGAGGGGCCAGATTGCTGCTTGGCCTCGGACGCGGCCTTGTCACCCACAGCCGCAACCCCCCCAGGACTCTGCGGCGTCAGTGCTTTGCCGGGCGACGGAGCAAGCAGATTGCTGGATGGAATCAGCTTGGACCAGGCACCTGGGCTGATGGTCAGTCCAAAGCCCGGCTTGTCCAGATCCCCCGCCGTCAGATACCCCGCAGTCGGGATGGGTTCGTCGACAAACAAGTCCCCAAACACGGGCAACACGCTCTCCCCATTGGGCGAGTTGGCCAGGTACTCCTGAAACGGCGTGTTGGGCTGCGACAGGACAAAGTGGTAGCTGTACGGGCCACTGGCATGCGGCACTACGGGAATGTCGTACGCCGCAGCCATGGCCGCCACCCGGAGCAGCTCTGTCATGCCGCCGAGCCACATGACGTCTGGCTGGATGATGTCGAGGTTGCGGCCTTCGATGAGCTTGCGGAATCCGTATCGCGAATACTCGTGCTCTCCTGTCGTGAACTTGACCGTCGGATGCGCGCGCTTGATCTGCTCGAAGCCGTCCGTGTCGTCGGGCGATAGACACTCTTCCCACCAGTTGATGTCGAGGCCCTCGCATGCCTTGACGAGGTCGATGGTATACGACACGTTCAGGCTCATATAACAGTCCACCATGATGGGAAAGTCGGGCCCTACCGCCTCGCGATGCTTGCGGAGGAACTCGACGTTCTTGCGAAGCGACTCGCGTCCCTCCTCCGGGCAAAACGGAAGCGGCACCTTGGCGCCCCAGAAGCCCATGTCTCTGGCCGCAGTCGGCTGCGGACCGGTGCAATAAAAGTCGATTCGCTCCCTCATGGCTCCGCCGATGAGGCGGTAGACGGGCTCGTTCCGCAGCTTACCCAGCAGGTCCCAGACGGCCAGGTCAATGACTGATATGACAGCCAAGGGAAGCCCCTTGCGGCCGTAAAACAGAGAGGCCCGATACATCTGCTCAAAGAGCAGGTTGGTGTTGCGCGGGTCGGCCCCGATCAAGAAACGTTCAAAGTGCTGGTGGGCGAGCCAACAAGCGGGAGGGCCTGCAGAGTCTGTCAGTCTCGCCGTCCTGCCGTCCCCAACACGAGCCGAGTCGCTCACCTCCGAAGCCTGTGGCGAAGCCGACGGTGCCGTCGGATGCTTCCACCTCGACCAGGAAGGAGCCCAGGGCATTGATGCCCCAGCTCGTTCGTGACTTCCGATACTGTTCCCATTGCGAGCAGGGAGTCGATATGTCGCTGTCAATCAGCCTGTGCACAGGTGAGTGACTGAGTACGGAGTGCGAGGGAGCAGAGAGCTTCATACCAGTGACCGCCTTTGACATTGTGATAGTCTCCGCCTGTGCCTCGTTAGCGAGAGGGGCCTGCGACCATGTTGCTCCAAGAGCAAGTTTAAGCGTACCGGAACCGACGCCAGCAATCACGTAGGACCGCAACGACTTGATTACGGGGAACTTCCGAATGCTAGATGCCGTGGACATGACGAACTGGGGGATGCTTCTCGTCTCCAAGGCAAGAAAATGGACAATATAGGAACAACTCTCGCGAGAGGAGAGGACGAGAAAATTGGGAGCGAGACATATAAGGGCCCGGGTAGCATCAAGCGGCCTGCACCGAGCGAGCAAATCCCTGCCACGAGCGTTATTCAAGGCAGGAGACGACCCAGCGTGATTTGGCTTTTCGAGTCAGGAATTAGTCGGATCTCGTGGATGAATGTGTTGGCGAAATGAGTAGCTGTGGGCATCGCCGACTTGCGGGGGACACTTTGTCCGGGAAGGTCCCTCGGAGTGAAATGGCCCGACGACAGGCTCGGAGCGCTCGAGCCCCCGTGACGGCCGTCTCCAGGGCCGTAACTCGTCTCCAACTTGCGGCCGGTGCCCAGCAGCGGACAGACAGAGCAGGTGACGAGCATGCGCTGGACTCGACTCTGAGACAGCGCCTGGGCTGACGAGGAGCGGTTCCTGAAGAGGAACTTGAACGCGTGACGGCCAAGCAGAGTTCTCAGCTCGCCTGAGGCGCCCTGAGGGGCTCCGCAACAACCCTCGTCCCAAGTTCAGCCGGCCAACGTCTTGTTTGGGAGTTAAATCTTGATCCCGGGCCAAAGTTGGCTCGCGGAAAGCGAGGAGAACAGCATGCTTCGCCGACGGGATGGCTTGCGGGGGGTCGAGTGCTTGGACCCTCCTGAGCGGCCGAGCCAGGCTGATGCTCGGTGATGAGGCAATCTCTCGCCAGCTATTCAAATCATCATGTCCGCGTCGGGGATGTTTGGGCTGCCTGACGAGGATGCAGTTGAATTGACTGTACCGGCTCCCACTGCGCCCGCAGGAAAAAACACCGACAAGGGCGAGCTGCTTTAGTGCGTCGAGCGACACCTTGATACCTTAGACAAGCAAGTGCAGCATCATACCGGTTGCCCGTCGCAAAAGGGGACGATGAGGAGGGCAGGTCAGGCGCAGAGTACGTACTCGTCCACTAAGGGGAACGGAGATGAGTTAGGGGGCTACAGCTCTGTGCTGCTGGGCAGGCGGGCCATCCGGGTGCTTCGTTATCTACCTAGCGAAGTCAGGTAGGTTGCGCATCTGAGGCAAGCCCCAGCGAAAACCTTACTCGCAGGTACGGAGTACAGTACGTTACAGTACAAGGCCGCGTGGAGGGCCGGCCACTCATGTCCGCTAATTAGAGTCGAAACTTCCCGCTTTGGCTGCACTACACGAGCCCCGGCATGCTCATTCCGGCGATGCGGCCCGCCCGAATGACAGTATCGCAGCCTGGAGCCCTACTGTAGTCGATTGGCGCCCTCGGGCATTGTTTTGTTTCCATTGCCCTCTTGCCCTCTTGCCCTCTTGCCCTCTTGCCCTCTTGCCCTCTCAGGCCACCACGGTCCACGGTGCTATGACGTGGGGTCTCACCCATGCTGCAGAGTGCAGACGAGCCAAGCCTGGCGACGTCGGCCGTCGTCGGCCGTCGTCGAGAAACCGTGGGCCCCTACCCTAATTAACCCCCGCAAAGAGGGAGCGCTTGCGTCTGGGCTTACTCTCTCCAGCAGCAGCAGCAGCAGCAGCGACGGCAGCCTGGCCATTACACTTCTCGCTGCTGCTGCTAGACCAACTCGGGCTGTTGGCCGTCGTCGGGCCTTCTTGTCGCGCAGTCACCCCATTTTCGGCGGCGCGCTGCCGGGTCTTGGGAAGCTCCGCTTAGTCGGCCCTCGAAAGGTATAATAGATCCTTGGCCGCTATAATATCTCATTAGTCACGGCGGCCGAAGGCAACCCGAATTTCGACGGCTTCCCTTCTCTCGAAAACACCTCCACGTCGCTCAACTTTGTCCCGAGCCTGGCCCGCCCAAGTTTAGCCGCTCCCTCGCCTCCGTCGAATCACCAACCGGCGGGCCTATCCGTCTGTCTCAGTCGTCAACCACTGCGACATGCACAGCGACACTGCTGCCTCGCCCGCTGGACGCCACCCGCCCGACCTCGACAGCGATTATCACTCCGACGATGACCAAGAGGCCAGCGGCCGCGCCGGAAAGCGCAGGCGCCTCGTCTCCGTCTCGTACGTGGCCCTCGTTCCGGTCTTTGCTGCAGTCGTCAAGGTCCGCGTCTTGGTGACTAGAATTTGTTCTACCAACTGCGCTTTGTGTCTCGCTTCGACTCGTCAGGCCTTGTGAATACCCCCAGACTAACACTCAACCCCATGGCAGGTGTGAAGTCTGCAAGCAGCGAAAGGTTGAACTTGAGATACCCCCTCGACACATTCCCAATAGGCCCTGCGCGTGTAGATGCATATACACAGCCCCCTCCCCCTCCCCCTCCCCCTCCCCCTGGGACCTCGCCTGCCGTGCGCCACGCTGGCCCAAAGGCTTGTTGACCTAGCTGGGTGCTGACACTTCTCTATCCACGTAGGTCAAATGCGATCGCGGCCAGCCCGCCTGCGGCTGGTGCGCCCGTAATGGCGCCGTCTGCGAGTACAAGGAGCGCAAGAGGCCCGGGCTACGGGCGGGATTCGGCAAGGAGCTCCAAGATCGCATGGATAAGCTCGAGGCGATATTGAGATCTCACTCCGAGATCCTCGAAGCCTCCCTCCCGAACCATGCCGGCAGCCGCACCGGCGGCCTCTTCTGCGGCAGAAACGCGAGCCTCCCCAGCGATCAGGGCACGCCGCGAGAGCCATCGCAGATGTACAAGCCCGCCGAACCGGTCAATACGCCGCAGGTGGACGCTGCTCTGAGTCTCTCCAGGCCGGCCGCCTTTACTCCCACTTCGCAAAGTACCGACTATGGCACCTCTTCAGCGCCCGCCATTCACGACAGTCTTCGATCTCAGATGCAATGTTCCACCGTCTCCTCGCCCCTGCAGCTGCCGCCCATCCAAACAACCATGTCCGCTCACGATCCTTACGGCTCTGCTCAACCTGGCGAACCATCTTCAATCAGCAATTTGCCCCTGGCGACTTCAAACCCGCCCGGTGACCAGGACATGCCCCCTTATGACCTGCTCTACACCCTGGTCGACCTGTACTTCAAGCACATCAACACCTGGTGCCCTATTCTCCATCGGAGGACAACTCTCGAGCTGCTGTTTGGGCCGTCTACCCTCCAAGAGGCGGATCGAATACTGCTGCACGCCATTGTTGCTACGACCATGCGCTACTGTACCGACCCGAGACTCACTCGTGAGCGGAGGCAGCACTACCATCGAATATCCAAGGGCAGGGTTCTGCTCTACGGCATGGAGAACTCGTCGGTCAAGTCGCTCCAGGCGCTGGTAATCCTGGCGCTGGATCTCTGCGGGAGCCTGAATGGTCCACCGGGCTGGAACATCATGGCTCTCATCACCAGGGCCGTCGTGCAGCTTGGTCTCGCCGTCGAGAGCAACTCATTCAGTGTCGCCCCGAGGTTCAAGTCAATCTACACCCTGAGAGCCTTGATTCTCGCCGAGCCAAAGGACTTTATCGAGGAGGAGTCGCGCCGGAGGCTGTTTTGGATGGTCTACATGCTGGATAGATACGCAACAATAGCCACGGCGTTTGAGTTTGCCTTGTCCGACAAGGAAATCGACCGCAAGCTGCCTTGCCGAGAGGAACTGTGGTTCCAAAACCAAAAGGTCGAGACGACGTGGTTCACGGATGGCGACCAAGTCGCAGGGACTCCAGAGCACAAGGCTAGCAGCCCGGAAAACCTCGGCGCCTTTGCCCACTACATGGAGGTGCTGGGGATCTTTTCCAAGATCCACGTCTTCCTCAAGCAACCCGTCGACATTAGCGCCGTGGGCGACGTTGAGCGGTGGAAGCGCCGGTACAAGGAACTCGACAACATGCTCGTATCCTGGATGGCGGGCCTGCCGAGCGAGTTTGGCGACATGACGAAGCTCTTTCAGCCGGGCGCGATCAACAACGTCAGCTGTTCCTGGATGATGATGCATGCGACGTTTCATACTGCCGTCATTCGGTTGCATTCATCAGCCGCCTACCCAACGGCACGGTCCAACGTGTTTACGCCTTCTGCCGGCGCCGCCCATCTCTGCCTGCGAGCCGTGGAAAGGGTCGCGGCCCTCGCAGAGGTCGTCGTCAACAACGGAATGCTCTCGAAGCTGGGACCTCCCTTTGCATTCACAATTTGGGTGTGCGCGCGACTGCTGCTTGTTCACGGGTCTACGATTGAGAATGCAGTGTCGGCGCGCATATCATTTTTCGTCGACACGCTTCGCGAGATTGGCAGATACTGGCAAGTGGCGGCCAGATACTGCGGATTGCTGGAGATGGTCCTTGATGAGCACGCCGACAGTCAGCGCCAGGGTGGCAAAGTCATGCCGAGCTCGGTCAAGATTCTTTCCGACATGCGGCGAACGGCCTTTGACCTGGATCTTCTCATTTCTCGACAACCGCGGCAGGGTCCACCCCACGCCTTGACGCCCACAAAGACGCCGGATCAGAACGAGCTCGAGTACCTCGACGTTTTCGACTTTTTCAACGTCCCTCGCCTGGCACTTGGCGGAGACGGCACGGCAATGTCGCACGAAGCCACCATGGACGGGCAGAGTGGCGGTGCGGAACAGCCCTCGGGACCGCTCAACGAGTTCAACATTACCAACTTCATGGTGGACGCCAACAGCGACTGGCTATTCAAGCAGGAACATGCCAAATTTGGATAGCCGGCTTACTGGGAGATGGAGCCCGAGGTTGAGACTGGAGGTGTGCTTGCGGCGCGAGGCCATGGACAAGTAGCGAGGAGACATGCGGCATAACTCAGCACCATGGACGCGCGTCCATGTCAGAACACACGGTTCGGTCTATCGATACGTGTACTCGTCACCGGCCCTTGATGGGAAATAATCATGTTGGGCTCGATGGGGAGGCCGGAGGGGCCTGTCGGTGCGGCTCGGGGCGGAGCGAAAGAGACTGAGACTGAGAGGAAACGAAGCGATCTGACAAGAAAGCGAGTGATGACGAGAGGAAGCCTTGGAGTCAGGAGGGGGGGAGCTGAGGAGTTTTGCGGTCATAGTGCACAGAGCACATGAGGCTCGGCATTTGCTTGGCGGCTTTGAACAGCTTAATGCGGGTCATGGCGTTTTGTCTTTTGTTTGAATTGCATAATGGAGTGACGTACGGTGAACATGGGAGCGAAGATATTTGGTAGCAAAGGCGGAGCTGGTTTCAGCCGAGGGCTGTTGTTGTGACACGGCATGGGAGAGAGTGGATTTGGCATGTCGAATGACAAGGTACAGTACCTACCTACCTACTCATGTCACCTGAATGGGATGACTCGCCGGATGTACGATTGCATGAGGAGTCTGTGTCGGTCATGCCGAAGCCTGTCGACGGGAACGTGGGTGGGATGATTGACAATAAGGCTGGCCAGCCATGGATGGAAGCAAGAAATGGTACTCCGTAGTAGACGCGGGAGAAATGCAAGGAACAGTGAGTGCCCCGACATGACATGGGCGTGGCTTGTTGAGTGAGTGTCTCGAACGCGGCGGGCGGGCGTCGGTCGGGCATTTGGGCGACATGGGGCAGGATGATGGCGTACATGATGCTGGAGGGGGTTTTTGCCGCATCTGCTCCCGAACTAATGCAGATGACAGCATATACAGTAGGGCAAACCGTTTGATTCAGAGCCGTATGGGCATGTTTTACTGTGCTGCGGTGAAGCGGGGCGGGGGTTCGTTTTAGAGCATGACGATGCTGACGTCTTTGGGCTCGACAACGGCGGGGCGTTGGACGACTCCACCTCGGGGCTGGTTGACCGGGTTGCGGCTGGCCGTGTTACCTCGCGAACGGAGGAGGAGGAGGAGGAGGAGGAGGAGGAGGATGATGATGATGATGATGATGGCGATGGTTACCTACCTTAGTATTGCTTCTGAAACCTAGGTACCTTACCTTAAGGTACATACCTACCTACTTTGCTGTGTGAGGGACAATGTACAGGTAGGTTAGGTACCTAATTTGTGCGTTAGGTGCGCACACAGGACAGTACAGGAGCTGCCGGGCACGTGCCCGACACCACAGCAGCACCTACCCTTATCAACAACCCGGCCGACAAGACTTGGTACCTCCTACGGCCACTAGGCATAGGTAGTAAACTACTTAACCCACCATGAGCACTACTATGAGCACTAACTTGAGCATCGCTTGGGTGGGAGCCCGAGGTGCCGGCCGGGCAACCAAAGGCGTTGACCGCCAAGCTAACGACATGGCGGCGGCGATGGCTTCCCATGACCTGCTGCTGCTGCCGGTGGCCGCGCGCCGATGCTGCGGGTGATTTTCGGCGGCCTTCCAGGTTGCTGTGCAGGAGACTTTGGGGGCCTTGCGAGAAGACGGATACAGTGGTGTGATACGGATTACGAGCTTCAAATATCATGGTTTTCTTTTTTCTTCTCTTTTCTTCGCTGCGATGCGCAGTACATTGCACATTACAGATTACAGCAACTTGGGGCCAGGGTTAGTGCAATGCAATGCAATGCCAGGTCATGGACAAGGCAGTTCGTTGGGCAACACGGCCAACGTCCAAACTCGTTGCTAGCAGAGACGTCTTGTGCACTGTAACTTAGCCGGCCTGCCCGCCGTACAAGTAGTCGAGCTCGGCTCCTCCAGAAACTTGAGCCCTTTTTTCACCCATCATCGCGTCGGCCCAGACCCCCTTCACTCTCCTCTCTCTCCTCCTCCCATCCTCCTTGCTCTCTCGCCCCTCCTACAGCCTCAGCCAAGCGCTCGTCGACATCCGAGTTTCCTATACGCTAGCCAGTCTCGTCACGGTCGCAGCGATAATGGGAAGCTATACCTTCAAGTGGTACGTTGCCCGTTTTTCGCCCTCGCTCTCGTCCGCGCCCGACAGCAATTGCCGACTCGAGCGCAAGCGACGACGCACCCGCATTTTTGTCTGAGACAGCGCCGCTGACGGGCGCGATGCCCTCTCTAGGGAACACGACGCTGAGGAGGCATTTGTGACGGGCACCTTTGACAACTGGCGAAAGTCGATCAGGTTAGAAAAGAAGAACGGCGTGTTCCAGAAGACAGTGCCGCTCGACGACACGACCGACAAGATCTACTACAAGGTACGTGTGCCCGCGATGCTCCTTGAACTACCCTACCTGGCCCTCCCTTGCTTCTCGTGCTTCCGAAATTGGCCGCCTCCCCTTCCCTTCCCGGAGCTTGCGCGGGCCTTGCGAGTGCGGCTCGGGCAACTGGCTGTCGCGCTGGTTGTGGTGATGGTGACGCGGCGATAACGATGTGGACAACGACGACACACGATTACGACAAAACGACTACGGGGCGCGGCTGTCACGAGAAACCACGGCGATTACGAGGCAGGCCGAAAATACACGCGACGTCGATTCTCGCAGCTTCATCATCGCCTCCTACTCCTCCTGTTCTTCCTCCTCTTTCTCCGCCTCCTCCCGTCTTGAGACACGGGCGCGCTGGTCGGATTCAGTAGCGAGCGATTCATGGCGACGTGAAACAAAGGCGCTCCATGACGAAACTTTGCCCGCTGCCCGGCGCGGATCGATCTAGAGGGGGGGAGGGGGGTGGTGGGGACTGGCTGATGTCGCGGCCGCATCCTTCGCGTTCGCCTCCTTGGGACGGGATGGCCCTTGGGATTGTTTTTGCCACGGGGGGCGAAGCGGCGTCGCCGAGTGACTCGAGGCGCTGCCGGGGGCGCTCGGGGCGCTCTCGACAACAAGATTGTGCTTCGACGGGCTTCCTTGCTTGTCCGAATCGAGCCGGCTGCTTTCGTGCATCGCTGGGAGGGAAGAAAAGGCGGACAAGGTTCCTGGCCAAGCCCCATGCGCAAAGCCCTGCCCCAGGACCCACTCAGCACGCACCACCTCCTTGTGCCCGTCCTCCTCCCTCGCCCGCCCCGCCGCTTGCATACGAGACCATTATATCTCACGTCACGCCCTTTTCTGTTTTGTCCACCTGTCATCACCCTTTACTGCTTGCATGTGCGTGCACACACACCCGCATATCCAGCTCGCACTCGCACGCACACACACATCGCAGGAACTGCACTGCACTGCACTTGCAAACTCAGTCTTGTCGTGGACGCGCGTCCAACCCCCTCGCTAACTCGCCTTCTCTCGTCCGCCAGTTTGTCGTCGACCACAATTGGACCGTCAACTCGTCCTGTCCGCACGAAGCCGATAGGGACGGCAACGTCAACAACTATCTGACCCGCGCCGACCTCGTCAAGCCTGCCTTTGGCACCTCGCCCTCGCCCTTCATCAGCACCGTCTCCCCCGACTCCTCCACCGTCGCCATGGCCGGCAAGAAGAACAAGTCCAAGAAGGGCTCTGCCGCCAAGCAGCAGCCCACCTCGACGCCCCCGACCGAGCCAACCGCCGCTGGCTCCTCGGCGGTGCGCGAGGGCTCCTCGCCCGTCCGCGACGCTCTCCGCTCTAGCTCGCCGTCCAAGCCCAGGGACACCACCGCCACCCCGACTGTCGGCCCCGGCGGCTTCCCCGACACCCCGGCCAGCGAAGAAGACAAGACCTTTGGCATCAACCCCATGCCCGCTGCTCCCGGTGCCGTCAACCCCATCCAGCTTGCCCCTGGCGAAAAGATTCCCGAGTCTATTTCCGGCAAGGGCATCAACGACCACGTCAAGCTCGATGAGGATTCCTACAACAGGAGCGACGCCATCCCCGGCACCGATTTCCAGTCGCAGCTGCCGCCCGTCTCCAAGAACATGATCCCTGAGTCCAGCCTGCCCATGGGTAACGGCCAGGAAGCCAACATCAACACCGTTGGCCCCTCCTCCACCACCGCCGCGCTGGCCGGCGCCGTCCCCCGCGAGACCGCCGTCCCGGACATGGTCAAGAAGAGCCAGGACAAGGCTGGCTTTGCGCCCGAGGCCTCCGCCGTGCCCGAGGAGGTGAGGGAAAAGTCAGAGGTGGAAAAGGAGCTGCAGGACAAGGTCCAGAAGGCCCCCACAACGTCCGAAGGCACGGCTGGCTCCGACTTCCACAAGGCTGAGCACAAGGGCCAGGCTGCCGGCGCCGCCGCACTCGCTGCCGGCGCGGCTGGTGTCGCTACCACGGCCGCCAAGCATCACTCGTCTGACAAGACCGCTTCGGCGGGCAATGACTTCAGGTCTGATGCCACCTCTGCAGGCAATGACCTGAGGTCTGGTGCCACCAACACCGCCAATGACTTGAGCGAATCGGCCAAGCAAAAGGCGCCTGAGCCTACTCACGGCGCCCTGGTTACCGGGCAGACCAAGGACGATGCCCAGAACAGGGCCTCGTCGGCTGGGCCTGGCGAGGTCAGGGACTCTGCGTTCGGCACCCACAAGAGCCCCGAGGTGGCTGCCACCTCGTCGTCCGCTCTGAGCAAGCAGCCGACCGAGCCGGAGCTGGCCAAGGACGTTGAGCGGGCACCGGCGGTGGACCAGGCCGCTACTCACGATTCTCGCCCAACCGAGACCAAGCCGGAGGCGTCCAAGTCTCTCGGCACCTCGGCTTTCGGCGCCCACGACAGCACCTCGGACGTGCACGTGGCCAAGCCCACCCAGAGCCAGGCATCCGAGCTTCCCACCCACGAGCCCAAGTCGGAGGTTGCTCAGGGCGCAGAGGCCAAGGTTGCCGAAGCCACAGCCGCCGATACCAAGCCTGCCGAGTCCAAGGCCGAACAGTCTACGCCCGAGGCAATAAAGCTCACCGAGTCTCAAGCCGCAGAGTCTACCCCGGAACCCACCAAACACCAGGAGACAAGCCCTGAGACTACTGGTGCTGCCGCCACCAATGGCTCGGGGACGAAGCCTAGCGGGTCCACAGGCAACTCCGCAGAGGCGACGCCGGAGAAGAAGAAGAAGAACCGTCTGAGCACCATCTTCACCAAGATCAAGGAGAAGCTGGCCGACAAGAAATAAAGTGGTGATTTACGGGGGTGAGGGGAGGAAGACCCTATAATGGAGGTGTTTCCAGAATGGTCTTTGCTGCGGCTTGTCGAGTGTCGAGGTACCTGTGTTGAATGATTCCCCCGAATTGTGTGCGATTGGAGAGTGTGGTCAGGACATCGTATTCCTAGGTAATTCATCATCATTTTCGGTGCCGCGCTTTTCCTTGTTATTTTTCGCTTCAGCATCGTCACCCATGTCTCCCATTGGTCAAGGCGTCGCGAGGAGGTTTGCGAGGCGGCATTTATTGTCTTGCCTCGTGGTGTATGAGGCAGCAGGCATGTAAGAATAGGCAGTGTAAACATAGGCTCGAGATTTGCCGTCCTTGATTGTGTCCATCCGCTGCTCTCTTTTGCCTCGTTGCGACAGAAGGGAAGCTGGGGACCGTGACTGAACATGGCTGTATTTATCATGCAAACGGATTGGTCACCTGCCATTCTGTCCCATCTTGAATCGCCTCATCTACCAATCCTCATCACCAAAGTGGAGGAGGGCTTATTTCGACGGCGGCGACATCACGTGGCATGAGTGATGACTAACGTCGTCCGTTCCGGCGGCGCCCGTGGCCAGAGGTCAATGTGCTCTCCCTTTTGCCGTCACGATTCGCCCCGCCGCTGACTTGACTCCCCGTCTCCAGCGCTCCCGGGGTCCATCCCAGCTGGACCCCTCTGTTCCTGCTGCTGCATCCTCAATCACCGTCTGTATCCATTATATGTCGAGGTCCTATCGTTCCGTGACCTTTGGAACTCATCCACAAGCCTTTCGGATATCAACTCCGACGCTGAGACGCGTACCCGTGGAGCAGGCCCCCGTCTTGTCGCATGCTGGCCCCCCCGGGCTGGAGGTCATTCACCACGACAAGACGGACTGAACGAGCTTAGGCCATCCATCTCGCTTGCATCCGCCATTGTCGAAGCTTGCCGCCCCGTCTGGCGCCGGATATGAATCCGTCGAACGCGATCCTGGGCAAGTCCCTGCCGTCGGCATCGAATCACACGTCCTCGATCCAAGCCGGTCCGTCGTCGTCGAGCTTCGAATCCGCTCGCCGCCCAAGCCAGCCTGGGCCGTCGTCGTCCCAGTCAATGCCGAGGAAGGGCCAGGGCTCTCGAAAGCAACACAAGAATCAACGTCGACCAGGACCCGGCCCGGGAACGACTAGCCCCCTCGACGAGTATGACGCCATGGCGGAGATGCGGGCGGTCAGAAATCCATCAAGCCGTCGAGGCCAGACCTCAATCACCCATCTCCTGAGCTACACCGCTCCGCGGCCTTTTCTGGACCACGGCCACCATCCCAGATCCTACCGCCGCTACCCAACCTGGGGCCCCGGCTCGGGATACCATGCCGCCGACAAGTCGAGATATGTGCACGCCAACTATCGATTCGTCGTCTCCCCCGAAGGAGCATACTCTGAGCACGCGGCAGATGCAGACTTGTTCTTGGACTGGCCTAATGTCATGCAGATCATTGCTTCTGCCGAGTCCCAGTCGGCTTCCTGCCCCATCTGCCTCTCGGAGCCCGTGGCTCCCCGCATGGCCAAGTGTGGCCACATCTTTTGCCTCTCATGCCTAATTCGCTTCATGAACTCGAGCTCTGGCGCCGATGAGCCCAAGTCAAGCAGAGGGGCCAGGTGGAAGAAATGCCCCATCTGCGAAGACAGCGTCTACCTGCACGAGGTGAGGCCGGTGCGCTTCTACGCTGGGCAGGAGAGCGCCCTGCCCCGAGTCGGTGACGACGTCGTCCTTCGGCTCATGGCCAGGAATGCGAGCTCGACGCTGGCATTGCCCTGGGAGGGCGGGGCCGAAGTGCTCAACTCGGGGGAGGACGTTGCCTGGCACTTTGCAGCCAACGTCTTGGACTATGCCCGCCTCATGAAGGGGACGCTGGAGTACATGACTGGCCAGTTTGACGAGGAGATTGCTGCTCTTGTGCAGCAAGAAAAAGAAGACGAGACCCTGTTTGGCCAAGATGGGGAGTGGACCCAGAAAGCTATCAAGGCCATCGAAGCCGCCAAGGAAAGAATTGACAGCAGCGAGAATGCCGAGGCTGCCATCGCACAGCCGGGCCCGAATCCGTCCAAGCAGCCGGCGCAAGCCGACTTCTACTTTTACAGCTCGCCACCGCATCTGTACCTGTCTCCTCTCGACATTCGGATTCTCAAGACCAAGTACGGCTCCTTCTCCAACTTTCCGTCTACCCTTTTGCCCAGAGTAGAGCACATCTCGACGGGTCATGTCGTGGATGACGCGCTGCGCAAGCGAGCCAAATACCTCGGCCACCTGCCCCACGGATGTGTCATTAGCTTCCTCGAGTGCGACTGGACAGACATTGTTCCCGCCGAGACGTTGGAATCTTTCTCTAGCGAGATCGAGCGGCGTCGGAAACGGAATCGCGACAAGGCTACGCAGGAGGAAAGAGAGCGTCTGCAGGCGGAACGCCTCGAGGCAGCTGCCATTCGAGGCACTTTGGGAACACGACGGGCCATGGAGCCTGTAGAGGAGGAAGCAGCCCCACGGATGGACTTGTCGGAGTTCCAACCCTTGAGCGGGCAGTCAGGCAGGACACCACCGGATCCGCGGCCGGGGTTCGCCACCTTGGCTTCCATGTCGACGAGTCCTTCGACCCAGCGGACTGTATGGGGCACTCGCGCCATACCGGGCTCGCCCGAGCTGGAAGCATCGCAGGCGCCGCTGCCGAGCGGGGTCGACGACGGCTGGCTCAAGGATGAGGAGCTTCTGGGCACTGCCGAGCTCGCCATGCAGATAGAGGCCATTGACACCATGGAAACGGGAAACAGTGCTAGCAACTCTGCAGGCGGGAGCAAGAAGGGCAAGAAGAAGAAGCAGAAGATTACGCTGATGAGCACGGGGGGCAGGCGAGGCAACTGAGCGTGCCGCGGCGTGGACGCTTGCCCAGATGGAAGTACATATATTTTGCTGCTGCCTTTGATGTTCTTTCTTGGCTGGGGCATCAATGGAGTTTCGGGAGAAGTGACTTTGCTCACAGCTGATGTTGGTTGTGTTTGATCTCTGGAAGGGAAAGTAAAGCAAAGCGTCTGGCTTATGAACAGTCGGCGTCGTAGAGCGGATTCGAAGCGGCACATTGGGAGCAAGGTGATGCTGTGTATCAAGAAGGGCGGCTTTTTGTGCAGTTCGTAGCTGCCAAAGAAGCTCAGTTTGAATTCAGAATCAGTGCCTGTCTCTGAATACTAATCGTCGAGGCAATGAGGCTTTGAGAGGTTGAGCCGGCACTCGATGCCTCCTCAATGTTGCCACCACTTTCCATCCAAGTATTTTGCACGCAAATTGAGGTGAAGAGTACCTCACCATGTCGCGCCGTGTCATTGGTGCCCTGGGCGTGTCGAGCTACCTGATTAGGTAGCGGGCGGTGGGCCAGAATTTTTTTGCGCATCACGGCAGAAGGAGAAAAAAAAGACTGGGCATCCTCACAGCCAGAAGAAAAAAGAAGCAGGCGTCAACAGCACCAGCGACTCGGTAGCATGGCCGCGCAGACATCGCCGACACTGACGTCGACGTCACACACGCTCACCGCCGCACCGCCCTCCAAGATGGCACCAGCCCGCTCGTCGACGACCGACGGCGAGGCGGCCGCGTCGCTGCTCTTAAGCCTGCGCTCTACAAACCGACACACGTTCCTGCGGCCCAGCGCAGCAATCTCCAACGACTCGCTCGACGTGGTCAAGAAGACGCTCGAGGGCTTCGCGACGCAGGTTGGCGAGCAGCAGGAGCAGAGGCTCAAGGAGAGCCGCAAGAGGAAGAGGAGGGGTGGTGGGGACGGGCAGCACGTGGATGTGCTGAAGCTGAGAAAGGTGTATGTGGACGGGTTTGAGACGGGCCAGGTGTGGCAGCAGGCCAAGAGGATCATCGCCGGCGTCTTGAGCTTTTCAGACGCTGTGCTGGATGAGCTTGAGGAGAGGCGGCAAGTTGCTCTGCCTGGCGGGGAGGGCGTCGAGTCTGGGTCCGATCAAGAGCAAGACGACGCCAAGGTCGACGCGGGCTCTGAAGAGGTCGGAGACGAGGAAGAGGAAGACGAGACAGGCATTTCGGTTGAGGACCTGGAAGACGAACTGCAAGACCAAGGCGAAGACGAAAGCCTTGGCGGTCAAGGCGACTACGACGATGGAGAAGAAGACGAGAACGAGGAAGAGTCAGAGGATGAGGAATTTGTCCAAGATGCCCACGGGCTCAACGACGGCTTTTTCTCCATCGACAACTTCAACCGACAAACGCAATGGTTTGAGGAACAAGACGCAAGAGGAGACCCCACGACAGACCAGGCAGGCAACGATGAAGACATTGACTGGGGTGCAGATCCCTTTGCGCCCCAAAAAGCTTCGAAACAAAAACCAGGAGCAGATAACGATGCCCCATCGGACGATGACGCCGAAAACGACGGCGACGACGACGACGACCAAGGGCCGACATTTGGGGATATGGCGCTGGATGCCCCCGAGGGGGACAGCGAAGACGAGGCCATGCAGGACGGCGCCGGAGACGACGGCGGCGAGTTCAATGCCAACGAAATCTACTACAAGGACTTTTTCGCGCCGCCGCCCAAGAAGACCAAAGGCGGAAAGTCCAAGCCCAAGAAATCGGTCAAGTTTGAGGTGCAGCAGCCCGCCGAGGCAGACGTCGAGCGGGCCATGGCTGATGTGCGCCGCGACCTGTTTGACGACGAGTCGGACGAGGAAGACTCGGACGACGCCCTGTCGGACGTATCTGCCGGCGACCCCAGGTCGCGACGGTCAGCGCACGAGCGGCGGCAGGCCAAGCTGGCCGAGGAGATTCGGCAGCTCGAGGCGGCATCGGTGGCCAAGCGCGAGTGGACGCTGTCGGGAGAGGCGGCGGCCGCGGACCGGCCGATGAACTCGCTGCTGGAAGAGGACCTCGACTTTGAGCACGGCGGCAAGCCCGTGCCCGTCATCACGCCCGAGGTGAGCGAGGGCATCGAGGAGCTCATCAAGCGGCGCGTCCTGGCGCAGGAGTTCGACGAGGTGCTGCGCAGGCGACCCGACGCCGAGGGCCTGCCAGCGGGGACGCGGCGCGGCATGGCGGAGCTCGACGACACGAAGTCGAGCAAGGGCCTGGCGGAGCTGTACGAGGAGGAGCACGTGAAAAAGACCAACCCGGACAGTCACGTCAGCCAGTCGGATGAGAAGCTTGCGCGTGAGGAGAAGGAGGTCGAGGCCCTGTGGAAGGACGTGTGCGCGCGGCTCGACGCCCTAAGCAGCTGGCACTACAAGCCTAAGCCGGCGGCGGCGGCGCTGTCCGTCGTGGCCGACGTGGCGACGGTCAGCATGGAGGAGGCGCAGCCCGGCACGGCGGGCGAGAGCAGCAGCCGCATGGCGCCGCAGGAGGTGTACCGCGCGGGCGCGGCCGTGGGCGCGGGCGAGGCGGGCAGGGCCGAGGTGTCGACGCGCGGCGGCATGCCCGTGGCGCGCGCCGAGATGTCGCGCGAGGAGCGGACCAGGCGGCGGCGCAGGAACAAGGAGCGGGCGCGCAAGGCGGGCGGCGGCGCTGGCGCCGCCGCCGGAGGCGAGGGCGCCGCGGTCAGGACGAGGCGCGAGACGGTGGCGGAGCTGAAGAAGGGCGGCGTCAGGGTCATTAACCGCAAGGGCGAGGTCACCGACGTCGACGGCAACAAGGCCAAGGCGGCAAAGAGCCTGTCGGGCGGCGGGCTGAAGCTGTAGCACGGACCTGCCGCTGCGTTCTCCCTTTTTATTTTCTTTTTTAAATGGATTGCTGCTTCTGCATTTTGGGGCGTTTCGCGCTGCCCTGCTCCGTCTCTTGACCAGGGGAATGAAGAAGAAGTATGAAGACGCCCGCCCCCTTTTTTCATTTTCAAGCACACCTCAACGTTTCTCTGCCGTTTCTTTTTCCTCTTCTGGCGGCGGCGAAGAGCCGCGCGAGTCGTGCAAAAGTCGTTTGTCCTCGTGCCCGTCCGTCCTTCCGTTCGATAAAAGCCTCGCCCCCCCTTGTGTGGTACTGTACAGAGAAGTCACCGTCCCCCCCTTGCCCTCCCCTCTGAGTAAGAAGTTGGCGGTCCATCTTCCGCTGCATGTCGTGATGGCTGCTGGTAGGCCTGTCACTCCCTTCCCTTCGCCCCCTGTCCCATCCACTCAAGCTGGGCGTGCCGTCGGTGCCCTAGACTCCGCAGCGCCAAAGCGCGCCCGAGCTGGTCTGCTCAAGCGGGCAAGTCGTAATAATGCAAGGTAGCCCTAGACCGTGTCTCCTCCACTTGGAAGACTTCACCTCCCTTTCTCTCGCCTCTTCTGGCAAGCATACCTCACTCCTACTCCACCTCCCTCACGCCTTGTCGCCCGCGTCGCCGTCCGCCAACCTAGGCTTCTTGGGCGACGCCGGCGCGCCCTCGTCGGCGGCAGCGGCAGCAGCAACAGGGGCGTCGTCGGCGGCGAGCTCGTCGGCCTTGCGCTTGCCGTTTGGCGCCGCGTCCTTTGCCTTTTTGCGCACCATGCCGGTGAGGTCGGTGGCGTTCTTGGCGGCCTCGTCGGCGCGGGCCTGCACCTCGGCGCTGGGGGGCTGGCCGAGGGCGCTGCCGAGGATGCCGCCCAGGGCGTCGGCGTCGATGGGGTCCTTACGCAGGTCGACAAGCTGAAGGGTGGGTTAGCCGGAATTCCAGTGATGGTGATGTTGATTTGAGGTGTGAAGAGCGTGGGCATCAAGGCACTCATCGCAGGGGAATTGGTAGGGAAGAGGGCTAATTGGATCATTTACCCTCTGCTCCATGTCGGCAACGACCTCCTTCATCTCGGCAAGGACCTTGCGGGCCACGTCATTGTCCTCGGGGGAGGCCATGGTGGCGAGATCTACCTCCTTGGCCTGCATCTTGAGCTTGAAGCTCGTGATGGCGAGGTCCATCTCCTTGACGGCCTCGTCGCGGAGGTCCTGGTCCATGGCCTCGCGCTTGGCGTTTGTGCCGTCGTCGCCAGACATTGTGATGGAGGCAAACTCGAGGGCCAGGGAGAGCTTGTAGTGGGCCTCGGCGACAATCTCCGAGTCTTCGGGGTACAGCTCCATCTTGTACTTCAGAGAGACGCGGCCATCCTCAATGGCGTTGGGGTATCTGTTGGACACGGAAGAGGCGCTCTGTCAGATAGGACGAGACGGGAAGGGAATAGGAGTGGGGTGCGCGTACTGCTCGTTCTCGAGCGAAATCTCCGCGAGGCAGTCGTGCGTATCGGCTAGGCGCTCTTTGACATGTCGCACGGCCGGGGAGTCCTCTTGAACCACCTCCTTGCCTTTGGCCGACTGGTTCTCCGAGCTCAGTTTTTCCAGCTTCCTGAGGTAGCAGACGCGCGCGAGGTCGAGAATCTCAAAGGCCGTGGCCAAGTCGTCGTCTTCCTCTTCCTGGCCCTCGTCGTCGGCTCCCTGTCAAAGGGCGTAAGCGAGGCGTCAAACGCGCCGATGCAGATGGCCTACCTCGTCTTCTTCCTCGGCGTCCGAGTTGTCAAAGTTCTCGTCACCGGTGAACTGGAAGAGAGGCTTCTTGGCGCCGGTGTCTGCGCCTGCGGCGGCCTCTTTGGCGGCCTCGGGCTTTGCGTCCTTGACCTCGCCCACGTCGGCGAGCTGGACCTGGGCGGCGGTGGCGGCGTGCGCCTTTGAGCTGCCATTTGCATCAACGGCGGCGCGCTTGTCTGCGGCGGCAGGGCCCCCGAGGACGTCGCTTTTGCTCTGGCCGACCTTGAAGAGGCTGCGACCGTAGTGGAAGAGAATCTCGGCATTCTCAGGGTGCAGTTCGCCATTGATCTCGGCCTGCAAGACGCTGGCGCGGGAGAAGATCTCGGAGGCCTCGTCGTAGTTCTTGTGCGCGTACAGGGCGCTTCCCTTTGCGCTCAGGTCGGCGAGGGAGACTCGTTTTGACTTGATGTCTTCATCGTCGTCATCGGCGACGGGCTGGGAGACGGCTGCCGCGCTGGAGTCGACGACCTTGGGCTCGTCGGCGGCCGGTCGCGTCTGCTCGGGGGGGGGATCTGCCATCTTTGACGAGGCAGCGGCGGTCTCTGGCTCGTGCCAGCAGTGTGGGATCGGATTAAGGGAGGTGTTGTGCGTGTTTGGTGCCACGGAGATGCGGTGTGTGTTTGGGACCGAGGAGGCGCCTTGGCGAGGGCGCGGGAGAGAAAAGAGGAAACGCGAGAGCGCGTTGAATGGCTGCTGGTAGTGATGGTGGGCTACGCTCTGCTACGCACTAACAGAGCTGTAGCTCGGAGCAAGCGCGCTTGATTGGCCAGGCTGGCAAGTTGAGACTTTTGCATAAGTACGAGTGACTTGCATAAATTCCATCCCCTTTACTGCATAAAATACTTCCGTAGGCATGGTTTGAATCGGGCTCTCTTACTATAGTAGCTGCTATTCGTATCTAGGAACATAGGCCTATTAGTTCCTAAGAATAGTTCCGAGGAATAGTTCCTTAGATATACTAAAGATATTAAAAACACTGCCCTTTAAACCGAGGCTTAATAGAATCCTTTTATTATCTTATAGGTTAAGTCTAGAAAGCGCTATTAAGCCTACTAAATTAAGAGGGAGGTATAGCCGTCTTAGGTAAGCTCGATAGTAAGGGGTAACGGCGGCTTAGAGGTATAGTATACTTAGACGATAGAAATAGCGGAGGCGGGCGTAGCCGACCTATAGCGCTAGGCGTATACTAAGAGATATATAATAAGACCCTTTTACTCTTTAACTTATATATATCGTTTAAAATCTTATAAACTAATTTACGAGAGTCTATCTCTTAATACCTTTAAAATAGATATTATAGACTTATTAAGCGGTTTAAGGAAGCTCTTAAAATAGCTAGCCTTCTACTTAGTTTTAAGCTTTCTTTTCTTAACTTTTCCTTATTAACTTACTTATATATATCTTACCTCCTTACCCCTTTACTATAGCCCTATATACTCCTTTATAATATTACTAGGATTCTCGTAAAGAAAGATATAAGAAGTATATATAAAATATATAAAGGTAAAAGTAAAAGTAAGGGGTTAAATAGGTAAGGCAAAGTTATTTTAATTCTTATAGGGGTAGTAGTTATAAAAGGGGAGTAATTATATTACCTTAATTATCCTTCTTTCCTTTATCTAACGCTCCTATATATACCTATTTAGTATCTTAATTAATAAAGAAAATCCTACTTAAAGAAGCTACTAATAACCTCTTAACTACTAAGCTTTTTACTAGTTTTCCCCCTTCTTTTTAGCTATTATCGGTCCCTTTATTTTATCTCTTACTACCTCTATAAGAAGCTATCGCTACTTTTACTTCCCCTTATACCCCTACCCTCTTCTCTATACCTCCTTTTAGCTCCTTCTTCTTTCTTTTATACTAAGTATTTTTAGCTTCTTAGGTCCCTTTTACTAAGGGATATCTCTAAGAACTACGAAATTAAGCTACGCTTTATAATATACCCCCTTAGCTATAGCCTGCCCTTATAGTAAGGGTATAGCTAATACGGCTTTAGGCTAGGAAGCGTATAGAGGAGGTTCTTAGCTCTATACTTCTCCCTTTACTTAAGGAAAGTAGGGGCCCTTTTAGGTCCCTAGGCTCTTTTAAACCTACTTAAGGAATAAGGGCTTAAAGAGGGGAAAGACCTATAAGAAAGGGGGCCTTCTTAGAAGGGAAAAACCTAATTAAAATAAGGGGCCCTTTAAAGGGAAAACCTTTTTCTTTTCTTTAGCTATAAACGTTACCTTCTTATATAAGCTATTAGCTTCCCTTATAGACTCTTAAGGTAGGCCTTTAAAGATAGCTTCTTTTAGACGTCTTTTAGCCTTATTTACTATAAAAGATAGCTAGCTTTTACTTTAGTAAGAGCTTTATAAGACCGTTTACTTTTATTAATACTATTAAAACTTAATAAATAGAAATAAGTCTCCTTTAAACCTCTTAATAAAGCTAATACTAATAGATATTAATATACTATAGCTAGGTTAATAGCTTTACGTTTTCTATAAGAATTTATATAGTCTATATATTATTATATTTTATAGCTAATAAGGATAAAATTTATAGTTATAAAGATATAAGTAGTATAAAAGTCTTTAACTATTATAAATTATAAGCTTAAGCTATAGCTTAAGCTATATAGTTATATATAAAGGGCTAGATCTTATATATATATATATATACTAGCTATATATAAATAAGCTTTATATAGTATAACGACCGGTATTATTCCTAAGGGATAAACCTATTAAGGGGTTTATATTAGTAGATATAATAGGGCGTAGTCTAAGTAATAATAAGTATATTATATTAGTAATAAGTTAGAGGTCGTAGACTATAGACTATAACTAAGTAATTAAGTAATTAGAATTAGAGATAAGATCGTAATAAAGATTATAATAATTATAATATATATTAAAAGCTAAAAAGCTATCTATTTAAAAGAGTAAAAGTAGGTAGCTATATATACTTATAGTCCCCTTACTATAACGATATTACTTATTATATTTAGTTTATTTAGTTTACTTAGTACTAATCTAGCTAATTTAACTAATTAGACTAATTAATACTTAGTTTACTTAGTATTGATCGTTTAATTTAACTAATCTAACTAATTTATTATATAACCTTTATATTAACGGTTCTTCTTTAGTCTATAGCGCCTAGTATCCTACGCTTTAGCTATATAGCCTATATTCTAACCGTCTTCCTTTTACGGTTAGCTAGTTTATAATATTATTTTCTTCTCCCTTATAATCCTTATCCTAAGGATTATAAGTAGTATAGTACGTCGCTCTTAAGTATTAATACGTTCTTTCCTTCTTTATAATTTTTTTTTTCTATTATAGCTAACTATATCTAGTTCTTATATCTTTAAATTATTCTATTCTTTAACCTAATACTATAGGGATATAGTATCTTAAATCGAAAAAATCGGTATTTAGTTATTTAAAATAGGTTAGTATTTACCTTACTAAGAGAGTAGCTTATTATATTTCGTCCTAAAAGGATATTTAAAATACTTATTTTATACGAAAAAAGTATTTATTATTATAATAGAATTTTTTTAATAACGGAGTTCGATAGCCTTAAGGTTTAAAAGAATCGTCTTTAGGTTAATACTTAATATAAGCGCTAAGAGGTTAGTCGGCTCGCGGCTATGGTAGCCGCTATTTATACCGCTCTTATAAGGGCATAGTAAAAAGAGATTAATATCTCTTCTTAAATCGATCGATACTTTAAGGTATAGTCGCGTATATTACGCTAAGAGCTTTATACTTTAGGCGAGTTAGACTTATTATTAACCCTTAAAATAGCGGTTCTAAATAACGCTTTTCTATAATTAGAACTAAACTTATAGTTATAGTTTAACGGCGTTACTACTAGCGTTACTAATAGAACTATCGGAGTAAAGAACTATAGTAGGTTAAGTGCTTAAGTAGTTCTTAGGTATTCTCTTTTAGTCTATATCCTTTCTATTTAATAAGGTATTCTTATTACTAACTTTATTTTCTTATATTTAGTATTTATTTAGCTTTATATTCCTAATTATTATAAACTTTAATTTTATTTTATAGTTTAGCGTCTTATAGTACTAGTTTTAATAATAAGATATAAAATATCGGGTATATCTATATTATTATTAATAGCGAAAGTTTATAGTTAACTTTTAAAATAACTATCTTAACTTTAAATAGTTTAAGCTTTTTAAAATTTAATTGTTACTTAGTCGTTTTATTTTAATATTTCGTTATATAAAGTAGACTATATCTCCCTCTTAAAAGATTAGTCCCTATAATCTTTTTTAATTATAGTAAGTAGATATTTATTCTTTAATAAATTAAAGTTCTTATTATATTTCTTTATATAATTTTTATAGCTAATTTACTTATAGTATCTATCGCGAAGCGTAGCCTAATTTCGTAGTTCTCGGAGATATCCCTTAGTAAGAGGGACCTAGGAAGCTATAAAACAGGTTTTAAGGAAGGAGCTAAAAAGAGGTATAAAGAGAAGGGTAGGGGTAAGAGGGGAAGTATAAGTAGCGATAGCTTCCTATAGAGGTAGCGAGAAATAAGATAGATATACTAGCAACGGCTAGAAAGGAGGGGAAAAACTAGTAAAAAGCTCGGTAGTTAAAGGGATATTAGTAGCTTCTTTAAGTAGGATCTTCTTTATTAATTAAGATACTAAACGGGTATAAAGAGGGGCGTTAGATAGAGGAAAGAAGGAGAATTAAGGCAATATAATAATTACTCCCCTACCGTAATTACTGCTCCTATAAGAATTAAATCTCTCTGCCCTACCTATCCGACCCCTTACTTTTAATTTTACCTTTATATATTTTATATATACTTCTTATATCTCTCTTCGCGAGAGTTATAAGCCTAGGAGGAATAGAATTCCTATACCTTCCGGCTACTATAAAAGGCATCTTTCTTATATCCCTCGTAGCTCCCTTTTACCCCTTATACTAAAAAAGCCGATTTTTAACCGACTTTTCTGCCCCCCCTCTCTCCGTAACGATATCGAAAAACGACTTCTCTACTATCCCTACGGTCTATAGGACGATTCTTATAGAGCCCTAAGATTAGGATAAGTAGGTAAAGGAGCTACGGGCTTATATAGATAGAACTATCTATAATTTAGTCTTCTTTAATAAGTAGGACCCTCTTAAGCCCCCTCTTCGTCTTAAAGTAAAGGAATTTATAGAGGGAGCGTCTCTCTTTTCCGAGCTAACCTCCGTATAATAGAGAGCTTTTTCTACTACCTTAGGTAACTACGAGAGTTACCGTAAGGAATACCTTTATAAGATAAAGCTACTAACTACTACTTATACGGTAATAATAAAATCCGTTAGTACTATAAAGCTAATCTCTCTTTAAGAGAAAGAGACTCTTAGGTAGTAGCTTTTAAAGCTAAAGACCTTAATAGCTCCCTTAAGGGGCTATATAACTAACCGTATTAGGAAGACCTATATAGCCTACCTAGGAGCCTTTTCTACTAGAAACCTACTAGCTTCTTTATAGCTAGCTAAG